ATGTATCAAACTGTACGCTATTACACTGTATTATACTGTATACATTTCAATACATTAATTGAATTGGCGGGTTGGCGGAATCGGCCTTATGGTCCACTCTACGTCCCTTAAATCGGACCATGCAGCATGACTGAAGAAAGAATATGTGGGTATCGAAATATGAACATATCAGATCAAACGGGTTGAGCGAGGTGTTGAAGAATAAGTAGGTAATAGAGTAAGTAAAATGAACAGAGTGATTATGAGTTAATGCACAGCTTTAGGTAGTAGTAAGTAGTAGTTGTTTTACCATTCGCCTTTCCCAATGCCCACGCAGGAATATGTGAATGCGTTCCGAGGCGAGATTAGAACCTCGTAGATTAGAAAAAAATAAAATCCCTGAGAAATGAAATGAATATTGCCCCCGTTTTCCTCTAGATAACTCCTTACGATGGCAACGCTAGTAGCGAGAAGTGACCGCCGACCACCGGCCGCGCCGTGAACTGAAGCCCGCTTGGGTAGTTTCCTGATGAGGCGTCGTAGAGATCTGTCAACGCCATGTTGGTCGGCGTGCTGTCGATCCAGCCTGCGATTAACTTTATGAATGTATCTCTAGTGTCTGCGCTCGCGATGGCCGCGCACCACATCATCCAGTCCGTCTTGGTGTAAGTGTGGCGCGTGTCAAGAGGAATACCATACTCGAGAGCTACCGTCGGGTAAAAGTTAGACTGCATGTCGTATACGGACTGCGGCACGAAATCGCCAAAGTTTAGTAGCGAGTTAGAGTATAAGTTGTAAAGTAATCCATGCGAATCAGCCTCTCCGTAGCTTAGAGTCGCATGCGGTGGGTCAGCCGCCGTGTTTAGGCCGAAACCTTGCCATTGCGAGATGTAAGATGTTGCCGTGTTGAGGTACGAGCTAGCATCATCCGTGTTACCTGTGAGGCTGGAAATCTCGGACATGGCTCGTAGCCCAATGATACCCTTCAAACCCAAGTTCGTTTGGTTAGCTAACGAGCCTGCGAAGTCGTCCGTCGAGATTTGGTCTGCGGGAATCAACGCCTCATCAACTAGATAACCAGCCCATTGCTTCAGGATAGGATAATGCTGCTTAAGGTAGTCATTGTCGCCTGTCTTTTGAGCGTAAGCTAAAACCATGATAATCATGTTACCGCATTCCTCGAGCGGCATGGGCTCGTCCGAACCATCGGTGTAGCCCTTAGCAACGGGGAAGGTTCCAAGATCGTGAATGGCATTGGTGTTGGGGTAGTGACCGTTCTCCTGGTTAAGGAATAGCGGCTTCAGCATGTAGTTGAGGATGGCGGGGTTCGTGTACAAGATCAGCGGCATAGCGGGGAATATGACGTCCACAGTCTGGATATCGCTGTTGGAGCTGATCTCCTTGAGGAATACAAGGGGGTCAGAGTCCGTGCCGGTGAATTGTAGAGCGCCGAAGGTCTGCCTAACGCTTAAGCTAGTCAAGGTTAAGTAATTCTGCCCTGCCGCCGCTATCGAGTCCGAAGCCACCTGGTTATCCAGGTCTGTAGCTATGCTTGCGGATTCCTCATAATCGTTGTAAAAGAAGGTCATCTACAGATCGCTATTAGGCCGGATATCCACTTTTTACGGACCGAACAACAAAAGACTTACAGCATCGATATCAGAGCCGAAATAACTGTTCCACAGGGCAGGGTAGGTTGTGAGGTCACTCCCCTCGCCGAGCAGGTTAATTGCACCGTCCTGGGTCATACCAATCGAGTACAACGTCGAGACAGCATCGGTCCCGACTGAGCCGAGATCATTGGCGAATCCAAAAACTGGCCTGTGGGTGGAATGAGCGCGCATGAACAAGGCAAATTAATCCTGCTTAGTGGGTTTCATGGTCACCTACCAATTGTCTGTTACCGCTCTGTAATTGGAGTCCTTTGTGTTTGGAAGAACACCATTGTTGATAAATGCGTTTCTCACAACGGTGTCTGCGGCACTTTGCCATGTGAGCTAGTTATGTGATTACGTTAGCTATGTTCACAAAGAGATTGTTGTTTATTTTCTTTTGTTGTTTACAACTTACACCTTCGACGTCCTTGGTGGACCAGAACCAGGTACCCCAGTTGGCCTGCTGGTTCGTCTCGGAAATAGCTTGCTGATTCTGACGGGCAAATTGATGGTACGCGACTCCGTCGGCTGAGTTATGATCCCACTCTATGATGGCATTTCCATCACCGGAGGCCCATTCTGTGAGAGGGTGAGTACAGCGTATCAATCATGAGGAAAGGATCCGCGTAACCTACCTGCTGAGACGTCCGCGTATAATTGAACATCGTGGCTGGCGCCGTCCAATGAGCTAACAGCAACGTCGAGGTAAGAGAAGACTAGAGATTGTCGTTTTAAATCATTCGGCGTTACAGGCGTTAAAAACGTAATATTCATCTCAACCTTGCCGCCCACGCTCATTACGAATGAACTGCGTGTCGACGTGTAAGAGAATTCAGTCTGGTCCACCAAGTCTGCACCGGGCGGAGCACCCAGCCAGTTGTATGCCTTGCCATCTACGCGGATGAAGCCCGCCCAGCCTGTAATCTGCTGGCTGTGTAGTAATGTTGTTAGCTCGTCAAATTGATCATATTTCGGGATGTTGACCAAAGAACCAACCTCCAGAATACTGGCCATTCGCCAGCAAGATAACCTCCGTTCCCACCATCGCTGCCGACGTGTAACCACGAGTTAAGGTACGGCCCTTTGACAGCTAAGGGGATGGCAGGTGGTCTTGCAGGACTAAAGCTTGACGCGGCATGGACTAAGCTACTGCCAAAGGCCACCCCGGCGACTAGCACACTTCTAAGCCCCATCACGGATGATAAAGTATAAATGAAGTGAACTAGAAGTTTGAAAAGCTCGAGAAGGTTGGAAGGGGAAGGGTATAAGGGACGGTGGAATGGATAAGCTCCGATGTTTCGGAAACCTAGAGGGTACAGCCGATGGAATGAGTCGGGATAAACATGGAAGAGGCGTGACGAAAGGGGTGGAGGATGTCGGGACGAGGGTAGATATTTGAATTAGATTCCGAGTCGCCTACATATCTTTGTACAAACCATGCAAGCCAATCTAGGATCTCAAGGCGTAGAGGCTAGCAAGATCAGATGGATCGACGAATGAGGAAGGTTTCGCAAACGTGTGGAAGTACAATGCGGACAGGGTAATGAGAGGGGGGGAGCCTTAAGCAAAGGCTAGGGATAGAAAGAAAAGAGAGAAAAGAAAATAGTCATGGGACTGAGCATATCCTGAGAGGCATGATCAGGTCACCATCTGGACTAGGCGTATACTAATCCTTTCATTCTTGGCCTACCTCACTTAAAAGCTACGTCGTGTCCGGCTTGGTATACAGAAGTAGTCATATTTGTTAACGGTATGATCTCTTGGAGTGGCATGAAGCTATTGGGGGTTCGGCCTTTGTGACGACATGGCTAGTTGTTGGCATTAGGAAACTATCCTGCAGGTCACGAGCTAAGGGGTCCGAGGTCTAGGACAAAGGAGGTACCTAGCACGCGGAGAACCAGGTAGTTGGAATAAAAAAAACCGTATGTAGGAAACAAGGATATTAAACAGCATCGTAAGGCATACTGTATAAACTTATTAGGTAAAAATTTGGGAGGGCTGTGACGAGAACGGGAAATCAAGTTACCACAGAAGGGGATTTAGTGGTGGAGAGAGGTCCTGTTTACCCTGTCCTGCTTGTCGTCGAATTAGCCCGGAATGTGCCGGTAGGGCAACAGGTCTCACCCGCATGAGGAAGGAGATCTGCGAGTCATCAAGAAGATATACTGAAAGGCAGCGCATGGGATGGATGACTTGCATCATCTCGAACTAACTCATGAGCCGTCTAGAGCCGTCGATTCTCTGCGGGTGAAGTAGACGTGCTTCTGATTGTCTACCTAGTAGGGATGGCGAATCTACCAGGCTGGAGAAGGATTTGTTTGTATGGATCGTGAATTGGATATTGAGAAAATTTGCCTGCAGATCTGATATCTTCGCAAGCCACTGCGAATCCTCCCCTTCTCGTATTCGAGCACGAAAACGTGGAAATGATAGGCGTGTTCAGATACCCGAGTAGGACTGAGGGAAGACATATGCGTGTTACTCCACCACGTCAAACTACAGTGCTGCCGCGATGCAGGTCCGGGAGACATGTTGACGGTAGGAAACCATTGACTTCAATGGTCTACCAGATTCCAGGACATAGATTCTGCTGTTATTCGATGCTGTTTCCTATTCGGGATGGTCTCAATTGTTCACTCGGCTAGTTTGGGTTCCAAGGTTTTCAAGATAAACGGGCATGGCTCATTAGGTTTGATTTGGCTTAAAAGTAACAAGCCATTCCTTGTGTCCGTTCAGCTTTGGTACGCCAAGGAGAGACATGCATGATGTCGTCTACCTAGTGTTCCTCGAGAGTCTACGGCTAAGAAAAAACTTCTTCATCGCATAGCTGCGTCTTCCCGGCGAAGTAAGCTCACATGTGTATTTTGACATCGCGCGGTCGGGGTAACGAGTGCCGGAAGTTTTAACTAGACTTGGTGCTGGTGCCTCGGCAGCTCGAGGCTACGGCGCTTCGCAACTGGTTGAGGCAAAAGTAGCTCCCGCTACTACCGGCTTTTGAGTCTGGGGAAACTAACAAGCTTAACTTGGCACGGGACAGTGCCATTAATAGATCTCTATACCGTGTTAGGTCTTTCCTCTAATTGGCTGTTATGAGATCTCGTGTCTTGCGGTTGGAGTTGTTTACGGTCTTTGTTGTCACTTGAGCTGATGGGACTCCGTAGCCCCTTACGTCAACGATAATTGGTTGCTCGAATATTGCATCCTGCAAAAGAAAAGGGATCAATAGTCGGTGTAGTTAGGTGCTCAAGTCGTCAATTGTCGAATATCAAACTAGAGGCAATAGACCGCCCTACCGGTCTGCCGGTACAGTTTTTCTCCCTTGGGTCTTTGTATAATAGGGAAGTTTGGTAAATTTCTTTCAACATCGTACGAACCCCAACCCAGCTAGCGTGGGGGGATCGACAGCCGAAACAAAGAAAGCCAGAGCTTTAAAATGATGGTTTCCCGAATAACGCTTTTGTAATAGACTTCTTCTGCTGTGACCTTGGAACAAGGTATTTGCTGGTGACTACGGACAGTTCTGTCAATTCTCATGTTGAACTGAGGCAGTGTTCGCAGTACTTGCAGTGCTCGTTACCGCCACTTTGTAACACGGCATCGTTGTCGGGTCGCACATATTCCGTGAGGAACGAGAGGAACTTGCTTACAACGCATGCGCCTGCGAATAAAATCGATTGCACACATCCGGCGGTGACGCATTGGCAGGCCAAGCTGGCCAGGGTACCAGGGTGGTGAGCGCGGGGGAAGAAAGGACCAGTCCAAGGTATGACTGTGACCTTTTACCCCAAGTAACCTCACGTGTCCGAAGATCCAGCAATCTTATTTTCACCTCTGCAGGTTTTCCGTTAGCGTAGGAACTTCTCCAGCTCACGATAATCCGGGGATAACGTCAATATATTCCGGAAAAGGTGGGATAGGTACCACACATGAGGTGAAAAATTCGATTCTACAGGCCGATCATGGGATCCTAGTGTCGTATTGGCGCCGCGCGTCCCAGTATTTTCATGATCTATCCTACCATTTCTCTTACTGTGGCTACGGCCTGATATTTCGCGTGAAAATTCCGCCGATTACACGCCGTTCTGTTGGGCTGTCTTATGTCCCGTCCTGCCCGTCTAGAAGTTGCCTGGCCTAGCCGCCAAGGTGGCCTCGGGATGACGGAGAGGACCTAACTGTCGGTAAGAGTCTAGGCGACCCGCCGCCCTACCCATGAGGAGCTACTATTATATGCCGTGCTACCCCGCAATCTAATCACGCATATAGCTAGGTCCGAATGTTAAGGTTGCCCGCAGCTTTATATGTGTTTTCTAGCTGGCCTCGTGGCGCCCTTCCAAGACTGAGCTGTCAGCAAGGCGTGGCCGATCGTGTATGGTCCATATTACACCTGAAGATATGAGGTCATCACTGCATCCTTTTCAATGCGCATCTTACACTGCGGCGGTAGCATTGCAAATCTGTTGTTGAACCAGCCTCAAATCATTAGCGGCGTAAATAGGTGCCGATAGAAAGTTTGGTTCTCATGCGCATCTGCCAAACTTGCCCCCTTCGTCCGAGCGGGAGGTCCTAGCTGGTTGTGGCCAAGATGCCAGCCATCAACTGTGCCAAACTGAGCGCTAGAAGCTAGATGCTGTCTATATATATTCTGATGACCTGCCATTTCGGGATATTTCATGTTGGAGTGGTGGAATTTTGATATGTACGAAATAAAGTGCTCTCGTAAGGACGCTAGGGATGATGCTCACATGACTAATCAGACTGACCCGACGTCAGATAGAGTAGTATTTCTACTACCGTTGCCTTGGTCTCTCATCAGGTGCGGGATATGGTCTATGTTGAAGAGCTTGGTTTGAGTCGATTTACGCTCTTGTCGTGGTAGACGGGAGATCATTCCAGGAGTGTTGGATTCTCGGGTTTCGGGCTCTCCAAATAAGATCAGATGCTGCGAAGCGATTGAGACAGATGTAGGGTCTGATTTTAGGTAGTGTTGCAGCATGTCGACTCATATTGTGTAGGTAGTAATAACTACGAGACAGAGTCGGCAATGCATTGTACCTACATCGCATTTGCGTATAATCTGAATGGACTGTGGGGGTTGGTACATCGAATTCTTTGCGCCTGCAGACCCTAACTTTGACCTAATTACCGGAAAATCCTCGTGTCGTTGGTAAATATTGATCGTGTTGCCATTTCTGGGATAAGAAGAATTTATCAAGAAACCTTCATGTCGATTGCTAGATCTGACGAGTTAAACTCCACTAGCTTTGTCATTTTTAACTTGAATGGTACTTGGTAGGTAGAAAGTGTACCGAAACGAGTAAAATGCCGTACGATTTGAACTTTTAGTTTCCTGAATTGAGAAAGATTGGCGTTGTGCTCTGTTGCGTATATGGTTGCACCTAGGGTGGTATGTGGGATGCCTGTAACTAGTTGTAATGTGTTGATAGGATATAATTTTCGTGTTCTTGCTTAGATATCTAAATCGATATGATAGTATAGAAGCGAGAATTCTAGGTGTCGAGGCGCGGTATTAATCGACAATGCATATTTCGGGGCGCTGATATTCTCCGAATAATTGTGCTACGGGACAGTGTAGCCAAGGGTGGTGATATTCACCGGTCTCAGTGTATACCTAGTACCCATTTTGGTACTTGTCCAACTACCTCATACGAACAGGGTTGATTGTAGTAGCCCACTTCCGAGTTGCGGCTAGCCCAATGTCGAAAGCCTCATCATATAGATATGCAACGTACCACAGAGTTAGTATTCCTTAAACCTAACCTTATACTTGGCTTTGCTATACCTCGAAGCGTCTGGGCAGCTCATAGAAAGGGGTAGGTAGTAAGAGGCTCGGCTGCATTGAACAAGATCATCAGGGCGAAAGCGCGGATAAGTTCCGGACGGGAAGGTTGCAGGTATCTAAACCTCAAAGAGTAAACACCATCACGAGTGTGGTTGCCACACTGTGCAGGTTATAATAATAGAGGAGCTTGTTACTCGCTTTTGGTTCTTGCATGTTCGGCGACTTGTCAGCTTGTCCACTGTATCCGCTCTCGGCAACTGCTTCGACATTGGCAGTGATGCAGGAAGTAGGGTCTAGAATGCCGTAGTTAGACATGAAGCAACCAAGTTCCTAAAGCACATTGTTGTAGTCTCAATTAGGGCTGTCATACGAACTCGCCATATTGATCATGTTACTGCAACAGCTGTACAAGAACCGTAGCTTTTAAGATTGAGCACTCCTGAATCGAGCATGTCGGTAAATTGAGTAGGACTGAAAAGCCATAATATGAGAATGTCATTATTGTGATTGTACAGGCCGCCACAAATAAGCTGAGAGGGTAATCTCATAAAGGGATACGGGGTGGCTTGGCTTGGCTTATGTAGGAGATCTTGGAGTTGTGTTGGTGAGCCAATGTTGTAACCATTAAATTTTTGAGTTGGCCAATTGAAAGGCTGGTGTTGCGATTTATGAAGATCTCATTTACCGCAAATGAGCATGATGTAACAAAATGAGCCGTATAAGCAAAATGATGTCGATGGAAGGTTTTGAAAGTAAGTGGAAGGTGAATCAAGATTCGAGATGTCGTCTTGAAAGACTTTAAAGTTGAGTTTAACCTTAGATGGTCGGAGTTAAGAAGAAGTGGAGAAATCGGGAGAAGCTCGTTAAATTTCTATTGGTCCAAGCTGTTCTCCTATTAATAGATGTGGGTACCTACAAGTACGTACCTCCAAGTAAGCTTCCAAGTTGCAATACCTATTTTTAATGTTCACCTGAAATATTCAATATTCACTAACAATACCTCCTAATAACAAACAGCAAAATAAATTACGATCAATTAGGGACAATTGCAACTCGTCTAAGGATAAAGGACAATTACTCAGATTCAGCCTCATCCAAAATATATTCCCACGATCTATGGACAGCCCAACTACAACCACCTTCCACTTTACCTCTCGCTAAAGGCGTCTTACTGGGCAAAAACAAGGCACAGGCTGGGAATCAGCATCAGCAAACAAGTCCCAGTTAGTATCAGGTGTGTGATGACTGCACCCAGGCATTCAACCTCAAACACATCCTTCGATCATTTTGCGGTATAGCTTCAATGACGAATCCTCCCCGCACTATTATTTTGAAGCATTTAGGCGATGGTAGACCCATCTAGACCATACCGACTAGATTGAACAGGGCGACGCCCCGAATGGATGTGATCCTTCAACCCTGTAATAGAAGTCATCACTACAACATGCGATTTGTAGAGCCATCTCGCGCAAACTCCCCTATAACGACACTTCATCCATTGAACTTAGCCTGGAATTAAACAAGAATACGCATCTCGTCTAACTAGCGTTTTCCTGTTACAAAAATAACTATGAGGTAGAATGCGTATAATGGCTTTCGCCTAACTTATACGTCGTTAACCTGCGTCAACCGAGGCGCAGGTCTCGACTAAATTGATCCGCAATGAATTTCACCTTGCTCTTTCGGAAACATGAGCTCTAAACAACTACCATCGCGTAGGAATCTCTATCATTTTCTAGGTAACCATGGTTCACATATGGCAGCCTAGAACTCTTACTCGCCATATCGTGACTGAGAGGATGTAGTCATAAAAGGTGAGAAGATCCCTTCGATCTTATTGAATCCACACCCAAGACCAGTGTCTTTTTTTCCTCACTTCCATTCGTTTTCTTAGTTTAGGGCTTTCCTTCTCTTGGGCTCGGCTACCCGTTCATTTCTCAACTGTCCTTTCTGAATTTCTGAATATCGTCTTTCCTTCACCATGCTGTTTACAGGGAAGGACGCTTTAGTTGCCCTCCTCGTGCTTGCGCAGGGGTGGGCAGTGAAGGGTTCTCTAGAACGACGAGCCACTTCGAACCAAACTTTCATCACTACTCCTCCAATTGGTTCATCTTCCAGGTCTGCAGCACCAACTTCGACTTCGACTTCGATGGAGGATGATGAAGAATGTAGTAGCGAGCCTCTTTCCACCGCTGCAAGCATGACTAGCGCGATATCTTCTAACCACACTTCAACTGCGGGTCCTGAATTCACGACATTGACTGTCAACGTAACCTCTGTCTCGACTATCATTTCATGTGCAGCCACAATTACTAATTGCCCGGCTGCTTCTAACACGGCTGCTCTTAGCACTCTGCCTCCGGAAGCCGTATCGACCATACTCGTAACAAGTGTCGTCGATATTACCACTACTGTCTGCCCGGTCACGGAAGTCTCGAAGATCTCCTCGTCAATTGTAGCATCTTTCACTTTGTCAAACTCGCAGCATAGGCCTACAACTACCTCTACCGCCACTGCTAGTGTGAGAAGCTCTTCAAATGCTATTGGCATTAGTGCTACTAGCTCGGCAAAACCCATTGGAACGTCAACAAGCTCGGGAACGAGCCTCACGACCCCCGGACAAAAACCAACTGAGACCTTCTCCAACACTACAGCTCCCGGCACCGTAAGCTATAAACCTCATTAACTATATCTCGGGTAGTCGCTAACATATTCTCTAGGTAACTCTCTCATCTACAGCTTCTCCCCCAACAACAACGGCTAAGCCATCCGTTACTAACCTATCATCTTTCATGACATCCTTACCTCCGGTGTCAGTTATCACCAGTACGATTAGAAGCAGTTCCAACGGATCAGTTATCCTTAGCACATTGACTACTACTCGATCCGCAGTAACAAACGCGACATCTTCCGCCTCGCGTTCAGTAATCACTAAGACAGTCAGCATACCTTTCAACGGAACAGTGAGCCTTAGCACATTGACTAGCACCCAGGCTCTACCAACAAGTGCACCTTCGGAGACAGTGATTACCAGGACCATTAGCAGACCTTCCAATGGAACATTCATCCTCAGCACATTCACTACTACTAGACCCATTATGACCCATACGGGATCGGAGACAGTTACTAGGACGATCACTAGAAATATGAACGGAACAGATGTCATCAGCACGATAACTTTCACCCGGTCCGCGCCAACAAGTGCAGTATCTCCCACGGGATCTGTCATCACCACCAGCGCCCCTGGTTCAGTAGTCCTCACCACCGTCACCGTCTCTGGCTCCGTTCCCGTCGTCACAACCACCAGCCTACCCCCTAAAGTCGTAACCGTCACCGTAGGCAACAGCGCTAGCACCGACACGACCGTGACCAGCGTTTCCGGCGGCCAGACCACCGTCGTAACCGTCACAGTCGGCGGTTCGGAATCAACTCTTACCAGCGTATCCGGCGGAGCCACCACAATCGTAACAAAGACCATCGGCGGCGGCTCCGACACAACCATGACCGAAATCCCCAGCGGCCCAGCCACAGTCGTAACCAGGACACTCGGCGGCGGCGGCGAAGGCGGCACCGTAACAGTGACCGCCTCCCCATCGACCGTAACCATCGGCAACGGCTCCGGCCCAACCGCCGAACCGTCCACGGTGACCGTATCCGTCCCCGCGCCCTCTCAATCCGTAATCACGAAGACGATCGGCGGCGGCGAAGGCTCCACCGTAACCGTCACCGCGTCCCCATCCACAGTAACAGTCGGCGGCCCCGGCGGCAGCGGCGGCGCAACCACAATCATCACGTCGACGGCCGCGATATCCACCGTCACCGTCTCCGTGCCCGCGCCCTCGCAATCAGTAATCACCAAGACCGTGGGCGGGGGCGAAGCCTCGACTGTGACGGTTACTGCGTCCGCCGCCCCGTCGACGGTGACTGTAGGCGGTGGTTCGGGGTCAACTGTGACTGTGACCGCGACCGCATCCCCGTCGACGGTAACCGTGGGCGGAAACGGAGGCGGCAGCACCACGACCGTGTTCACGACTATGAGTGGCGCTGGCGGCGCGGTTTCGACCGTTACGAGTGTTGTCACGACGACGGTTCTGCCGAGCGGGATGTGTCCTTGCACGACTGGGGGTTTGTAAAGAACTACCTACCTAGTACCTACCGTAAATTGATACCTACCTACCTGGGTGCATATGGCTTACAAGGACGAGTTGGGACCGTGATGCGGGCGTTACATGGGTAGGTAGTTAGCATCTGAGCAGGAAAAAATTGTACATACATACGAGATATATCAGGGGACGTGCATGACCCAAGTCATGGATTGAGCCGGGCTGGTTTGTTTTATAGCGATTACGTTCTATTGTATATATTGAGCCCAACCGTCTTTTCCGATATGCATCGTGAATATCGCGCTCCGGGATTGGCATTATAGAATGTCAATTACCTGGACGACAGTGAAGATGTTCAATAAGTTTCCATTTGAGAATACTAGAATGAAACATGTATATTTAGGAAATAGCCTACCATTCCCAACCCAATCACCGCATTTCTGCTCGGCCCCCTCAAGTCCTATGCTGCGCCCTCGATCATCCTCAATAGTACAACCTCACAAAAACCCATCGTAGCATTGAATGCAAGAGTATCGCCCATACCTAGTTTGACATAAGTAAGGGTAGAAGCAAACACCAAGCCTTGGTAGCTCATGCGTGCCCCTCGCACATCTTCGTATCTGCACAGACTACGATATCCCTGCGTTGACATTTGGAGGCGTTGGAGATCGGAAAGGGAAAGAGGTACCAGTCGCTTTGAAGCGGGAAATGAGTACTGCAAGATACTATTCCCGAGAGATTGAATGTCGTAGTGGTCAGGCAGCAAGATATCAAGATAGGAGAAGCTGAGATACGGTGCCGGAAGCCGAAATTCGCTCAAGCATGTCTACGGACAGTAAAAAATTAGAACAACAAATTGGTCTGCGCGCCTACATTGCGAGACATGAGTAAAAATAATTTGGTTTTTATGTGACTAATAAATACATGGTAAGTTTCAAATAAGAAGACTTGGCCCTCGTACCGCTTTGATCTAGTAGTGATATTGGATAGGCGTTTAGCTACAAAACATTGCCGTGAGGTCCCCGAATTTACAGGTATTTCAGCGAGATAGCACTAATACAGCAAAGGCTTTCATATCGGATAGATACCACAAACTCCTGGTCATCTTACAACTCTCTTAAGTTTTGAAATGGCGTAATTCTCTGGAGTGTAGTTTGAAACCCAACCAGCTCAACGTTGGCCTCAACATCCGAGTCCCCGAGGACCAAGTCGAAAATCATCTCATCAAGTGCGCGGTACTCGTACACAAGTCTGTCCATCGTAATCCATGTCATACAATTGGCTTGCGGCCAGAAGAGCTGCGCATCGGCTTGTGCAATTTCCTCAGGAGTTCCGAGATCAACGGCCACACGCCACGCCGTCCGTGACCCATTAGTTAGGCCGGTTGGGTACAGTCGTGTTGAGACATGTGTATTCGAAAAACCGCTCGATATACCAGATGTGTAGTTGAGCCAATGAGAAGGGACGTCCGTGCCGCGAACAATCCAATTTGTGATATTGAGTCCTGGGCCTTCGTCATCCACGCTGAGCGTAATTGTCGAATTCGTCTCTTCATTCACATAGGTGCCGGCGAAAGCGGACCGAGCTTCGTCTTTTCCAGCCGCCTCAACAGCTGGAAGTAAAGTCGTGATGACCTGCGAGAATAATTGCTGTACGAGGTTACTGCTACTCTCAGGTCCTGATGCTAGGATGCTGATGACGAGATCGTAGTCGGGAACTACAGCAAACATTGCATGGTAGGTACCGCCATCCCCGCCCTTGGTATAAAATTCAACTAAGCGTTGGTCTAAAGTGACATTATCGGCGCGAATAATTTCCCACGGCGCACCGACAAACATTCCGATCGAGGAGGTGAGCGTCGCTGGCCCAAGCCACCGATGGGTTTGCGTCGGCGATGAAAATTTGTTTGTTAGGATTGCCTCCCCAAGGGTAAGAAGGTCATGCGTGCTAGAATAAAAGCCACCAGCACTTAAATAAGTTAATAGAAATGCTAGGGTATGGTGTTTGGTATAGAGTTATGTTCTTACGGGTCATCGATTCCTAACGTAGCGTCCCAGAATGTATCATTCAAACTGATAGCGCCCAAAGTGTCATTGGGTTTCGCAAACGTGGTGTCTCGCATGCCGAGTGGTTCTAGGATATGCTTCTGAACATATTGACTATAGGAGTAGCCGGCGATAGCCTGGACAACTAGGCTAAGTATGTAGAAAGCAGTGTTCGAATATAAGGGGCTCGTATATGGAGAGAACACAGGGTATCGCTTCCCGAAGTTGTCCCAAAAGTCTAGAAGAAATATATGAGTTGCAAGACTTGAATGGCTCGGCGTTGTGTACTCACCTTTTTCCTGGCAGGGCGGGAGGCCATCGAGTACGCCACAATTAAAATGTTCACGAGCTGGAGGAAGCCCAAGCTTGGTCCAATCAACAGGAAAACTACCCATATCCAGTATCACTTCATCGGCCTATTAGCTCTAGGTATACATTTAATAGAAACGTAGAAAACCCTTACGATCTGACCCGATCCCACTTGTATGTGTTGCCAGAGCCCAGACCGTGATATCGTCCCAGTCGACAGTTGTCATTCGGTCTATAGGGCTACTCTGCTGCTTTTTCAGTTCTCTGAGCCGCGGTAAATAGTTAGTGACGGGATCTTCCCAGCGAACACCGGTAGTCTTTAGAGCCACCATTAAGATTAATTTGGACACACTACCAATTCGATAGACAGTGGACGAATCAATGTGCGATGATCCACGTGGATCTAATATAGGTGGTGTATAGTGCACATTGGCAAATGATGCTGTCTCGTGAATAGACTTTACACCTATTGACAATGCTGTGCCGTTGAAATTTTCGGTGATGCCATCAAAAGTCTGCTGCAGTGCGCTCACTGCCGATTGTACAGCTGGGTTCGAGCTTGGGTTCGTCGGCGCTGGGAGAACTGGTCCCAAAGGTGGGCAATGGTTGTTTTTGGCAGCAAAAACATCGTCAATTAGTGTTATATATAAGGGGCACACCCCGAGGAGGAATCGGATCAATTTCATATCGATTTAGGTCTTTAACATTCTCAATTGCGAATAATAGAGGACATGGAAAAGTTGGGTGTCCTTTGTCGACATTTTGAACCTTTCGAATAAGAATTTTGAATTTCGAAATGGTAAAATAAAGAATAGGCCTTGATCGAAGGCTCGACGCAGCCACTTCTCATCGAGGAAGGCGTAACTCAACATGTTGATTGGATTCTGTTTCACGTTTGTGTTTTGTATAACAAGAGTTGAGGCAGATAATGACGGTCGGAAGGGTTCAAGGAAAGCACGAACAGATGAACCGCCACATATTACGTAAGCTCAAAATAGGTACGATTCGAAACTCTAGAACCCGCTGTTCCCAGATCTCAATTAGCATTTCTACAACAACAATTCAGATTCCATCTGTATTAGGTGTTGAACTCGCATTCGATATCTACAGTGCATCACTTTTTACTATTTTGTGAAATGAATTATAACAGGGGTATTCCGATCTCTATTCCATTTGCTTCTCATAATTGCACACATTAAATCATAACGATCTTTGAGCAGACTCAGCTGCTCTCAGCATAACATAACCCTCAACCAAGCGAATGAGGCTCCATTGCCATCATCAAACGAATAGCACTTGACGATAATTCCTCCGCATTTCATCGGCGCTGTTATTGGACTTCCCTTCAACCAAGCGAATGTCTTTTATCGAACTCATTAAATATTAGAGCTTGAAAGACTATGCTCCAACGCTGCCGTCGTCCCCGTCTCAACTGGGAGCTCGGATGATCGTCGCGCGGGGCGCATTATCGTTGTTGTCTTCCGTCGTCTCAGCTCGTATTTTGCGAGGACGATCACATTCGGTATGGCGGAAACTCGATTCGAAATACCCCATATCTTTTTTTTGTTGTAATCCGCATAATATCCTCGGTAATCCTATAGGCATAACTCCTGGAAACACACTTCAGCCTCTCGCCATTCCCTCACAGCACATTGGAGGAGGTTTTCTTCGGTACATTGATCTTGGCGCTTGACCACCCTCATTTTACTCTCTGCACCTGAGCATACTTGCGCAAAGCATAATGTGCTTTCCAGCCCCGTATCGTTGACGCAATCCCTAATCTTCGCCATCGAGCAACCGCTGCTTCTTAAGCTCTTTAGCGTCCTTATCGTATGCCCCTCGACGTCGTACGGTAGCGCGGCAGGTATCGCGGCTATGAGAGATGCGCACATGACTAGAACCACGGCAACGTTGGGAAAAGCGGCGAACTTCATGACGACAGCGATATATCTTGATTTCCAGGCTGCTTAAAGATCGTCCTTGGTGGAGAGAGTGACTCGCGGGTATAAATAACAAGTATTGCAGTAAACGAAAGTAGTTTGCGGATCGTCGAAGAGATGTCGCAATTGAAGATCTACATATGAACAGCACTGATCGCCCCAGATTCTTTTATTTATACATGCAGCTACATTTATTATATCGAGCAGCTTCGGAAACATCCCGGCAAGAAGGACTAAGGGGATGTGAGATCTTGAAGCAGGTGAAACTCGCCTTGATCACCAATAGCGTGCATCTGAAACAGAGTCCCCGTGGTGTGAGCCAAGAACCTCTACGCCGGGTCTCAAATAAGATAAACACAAATACGAACATGTACTGTAGTTTAATACAGTACCAATCGTATCAGTTTATCAGCCTAGTGAGTACAATACGTCTCCCTCTTCATTCAGCTAGTGTATTCGCCGTCTCAGTTCATGATTTGACACGAGCTTTTATCCACACACACTTCTGAGAAACAATGTTGTTGCTAAGTCGATTACGACGGTCCAAGTTTGATGTTTCCGCGCTGAAACAGCATCGCGGACCTAACCCCAGATTCATCACGACCCCACCCAAATTTATTCCATTGGAAGGCAAAAAGATAACGAAGCTTACGACCCTCTCTGTCACAGGAGATCTGCGGCTAGGATATAAACTCTTGGCTTCGTCGCAGCTATCCAAACAGCTCGGAGACATCCTCGCAGGCCGTGTCCCAGGTCTCCTACAAGACGAACGACTGTTAAGACGGCAATGTCATATCGAACTCGGCTCCTAACCGATGATTTCATGCAGCTCTGCCGTTTACCCGTATTAGGTAAAGCTCTACATGTGTGTTTAGCTCGGTGGAGATGAAATGTTTCTACATATGTTTTTATCGATCGTCTTATCCATCAACAGACAAATCGCACAGACTATTCATACCCACATTCCACATACTACACGAGGATTAGCCCTCACATAGTTACTCAATTAGGAGTTTCATAAGAATGGCGCTTCTTTAAAGAAAATACACGCCACAAGAGGGTACCAGAGAGAGGAGATTAATATTGCCTATCTACTTTCCCCCCCTGCATACCTACCTAGGCAAGTATCGATCTATCTATTATTGTTTGGCCGGATAGGCGTAGATTTATGAGCATCCCTTCGACACAAAGATAAGACAGCAATTCTACTAAAACAAATACCAGTGCCTCTATGATTAACACGATCTAGAATACACATTGCATTGCTTTGTTACGCTTCGCGAACTGTTACCTGCAAGGGAAGGACCGCTCCGTGCCGGTTTAAGGGGTATCATATGTTAAGAGTCCATTTGCACTTCCAATCTGAAGATTCGCATCTTCGCGATTAGGTGAAACAGCTAAATTGCTAACGTGAGCACGCGTCTCGGAGGTCTCTGTCAAAGCAATGAATACCTAAGTAGGTAAGTATGGGTTACTTCGTCTTGTATGTGAGGCTACGCCTAACGTTACGTACACCACGCCATTTCGAAACTCTCGAGTTTCACATACAAAGAAAGAATATCGCCAAACTAGAGCCTCATTTATAATATCGAATATTATATCGGCTTTACGTATGCTCGTCGTCGCTAGGCCCGCGTGTTCTTTTCGTACAATCCACGCGCTCTCTGTTCAATTATTCTTACCTACCTACTACTTAGTAGTTAGATGACTTCCTAGGCTGTTATGCGCTGAACATATTGAATAGATTCCTGCCTCGCTCATTCAGTTTCTCATGCACATTTCCATGGAGTCCAAATGCTCGTCGATGCTTTTCACCAGAAACTTCAGCGATATGCCTTCAGTAATTATGCTCCGAAAAGGGGCTCTGCCCCTGACTCAACCCACGGAAGAAACTGGGAGATATTTTGGCCAGATAACGGCACATCGCATAATATAAGTTCTCCTGTTAATATCTTTGGGGTGACCTTTCTTGGAATTTTAATCTAGTGGTACTAAAGTTGATCCAAGTAGACATGTTTAGATCTAGATCAAAAGAGATTGAAGTCTTGATGTCAGCTGGCAAGGGTCGATTTGATATGAGCTGGTTCGGGGAATGTACAATCTCCCTTTCCCTGACATTTCTTGTCCATTTAAGGGCCAAATATGGCTATAATAAACCTCGATGATGCGCGGAAGAGAGCCTTTGTGGGAGCTCAATAGATGCCATGGAGGAATTCGTAGAAGAATGGTCTCCTAATGATAGCAGATGGCATAAGGTGGTGTCTCGTGTCGCTTCTATATGATTGAGTTTACCCAGGCTTCATTTTGGCAGCCAGAAATCACACTATCAAAGTGTGTCTAGTGTGTTGTAGGTAGGTAGGTAAGTATAATGTAATGACTTGTCTGAATTCTCATGGTCGTACACTTGGACACAGCATACTTGAATTACAGGTAGAGATGCCTACGACTTTATATCGTCTACCACCGAGGCACCGAGGTATTCACGCTAGAGCTGCAGGATTGGGCTGAAATGGACATATACCCTAAGGTGCGAGAAAACTTCAAACAGGGATATAAAAGCATTAGCAAGGAAGTTTACCAATCAAAGGAACTATATCATACTTATCTCGAGCTCTCATTGGCTCTGGTCCTATGCGGTACTTATTTTGAGGCTATCGTGCACGTCAGACATGGCAGAATCGACCCTGAACCCAACGGTGGCGTTCCTACTAAATATGCCGGTCATAGGGATCGGAATTAGCTGGAACCCGGAAGATGCACGTATGATGGGCCATGTGGATATCTCGCCTCCTCGATCGACACGTTGGACTCCGCCACGTAGCTGACCGCCCCATCGCAGCTCCATATTCGAGCATAACACGACCTTTAAGAAGCCCGAACGACCCTCCTCAAATTTTTTACCAGTTTTTTGTAATTGAAAGACTCTTTTCAGAAATCGAATAAAAATCCTCGCATCATGGTCTACAACTTCCGAGCGGCACCGCCTATACCCGCCTACTTCATTGGCGCGGGAAGCATCCTTCTTGGCGTGAATTGCTTCTTCCGCCCCACACAAGAGTACGGCCGATTCGGCTTACCGCTGGAACCTGCACCCCGGTCCAAGCGGGATCGGGGCGAAAAACGCGAGCGAGGCGAACGTGGTGAAAGACGATCTAGCAGCGCTGAAGAAGGTCGCGCTTCCCCGTTGATACACCTAAAGGGCATCCGCGAAGTCACATACGGTCTATCGCTTGGCGTTCTAAAGTGGCTGAAACACGATGACGCCGTCACGGCGTTCACGGCGATTATAGCGCTCGCGGGCCTGGGAGACGGCCTCGTCATCTGGTTTAACGGAGGGGAGAAAAACAGGAAGAAGGCTTGGGCACACTGGGGCGCTTTCGTGATCCTCGGCGGGTGGTCCGTGTGGAGGACGTTAACAACAGCGAGCCCTAGACTGTTGGGATCGGGATCGGGAGGGTTCCAGGTTTTCAGGAAATAAATTGGTGGCTTTCTCGGGTGGCGGAAATGGGTTATCTCCGAGCCAGCCACATGCTCAACGATTTCGAATTCTCATCGAGGAATTTGGACGCAGAGCTGATGGGCGGGATGAGGGAGGATGCGTGCATTTTCTTTCCTGGGGGGAGGGTATAGGTATCATACGCTGTTTGGCTCGGAGAGCTGGGTCATATATACGGGTTACATCACACGAGAGAAAAAAATATTATATCGGGAGAAAGTCTAGGTACTACTTACTCTAGCATGACCTGAAAAAAGGTATCAATCGAATTGTTATAGACTATCGGCTGACTGCGGATATTTCGGCGATGTTTACCGGGAGTTGGGTTCCGACGGTGTGGAACGAGATGAAGACAAACCCCGCAATCCTCCATTCTGCTCTCCGTAATTCTCGAAGTCTGCGATCTAGTGACCCGAGCTTCAACAGTATGAGGTTTCTAGAAAGCTAATAGTTATACCGTAACCTCGGGTAAGAATTACGGCGAACTTCAAGATTTCAGCGGTGAAGAAAACCGGAAGCGGCTTAGCGAACGCCTTCGAGGGCTTGGGGATAAAGAAATTTGGGGTACGACGGAGATATTATGGAGTCGTATGGGGTATCCTGGTTGGAGAACCGATCGAGATTGGGGATTCTGGGATTACATTAAAGAACGTAGATCGACGAGCCTCAAAGGTAGGAAATATGTTCCTCGCCAATTTCTTCCGTGGGCTTTTGCCAGTGGGACCTTTGAGACCGTAGGTAATTTGGAGCGATGAAGCTCCCCCGGAGTTATGTCGTCAGCATTTTGATGCTGGCCGTGAGGGCTACCCAAGCCAATGCAGCCAAAGATTTCACAGGATATGTGAATCCCTTCATTGGCACCGAAGGCCCAGTGAAGGGTACAGCTTTTAACGCTGGCAATGTCTTTCCCGGGGCTACTCTTCCCTTCGGAGCAGTCAAGGTTGGGATTGACACTACTCGGTTCGTATTCTTATGCATTTTTCTTTCGTAATATTGATTAGGTCCTTGCTAATTAATATAAAAGGTGGAATGTCTCATGTAAGTTTAACCTCGGTGACGATAGTTAAAGGCGGGAGTAATAAAGGCGGTTTTCACTAACTTTGATGATTGCAGTCTCGGCAAATGGTGGATATACACCAGATGGCAACGTAACCGGAATCACGATGCTCCACGAAAGTGGAACGGGAGGTGCACCGACATACGGGTTCATACCGCAGATGCCCCTTACAACTCTCGATGGTGTCAATTTACTAGATAACCTGACTTACATGCAACCAAGAGTCGGCGAAGATGTAGCTAGCGTCGGATACTATAAGACTCAGCTTCAGAGCGGCGTCACTGCCGAGATGAGTGCTAGCATGCATGCCGGAATTATGAAGTACACATACCCTAAAGACGCCGACGGACGTTTCGTTCTCGTCGACCTAAGTCACTTCCTCCCAAGCACTGGAAAGAAAGAACAATGGTATAGCAACGGGAAACTTGAGCGTAGCGACGATGGTGCCTGGTACTCGGGATATGGCGTTTACCGAGAGGGCTGGGCTTGGGGCGGTGACTTTCGAGTATACTTCTGCGCTCAATTCGACTCTACCCCGTCGCAAGCCCAGCTATTCTCGGGGAAGGCAACAGATCCATACTGGCCAAACACTACTGATGTTAAGCCGACTTTTACCAATCGGACCTGGATCGAGGGTGGAACTATAGGATACCAGTACGCAGACCGAATTGGTGGTCTATTTGAATTCCCGTCGAACGTCACGACTGTCAAATCTAAAGTCGGGATATCGTGGGTTTCAACAGACAAGGCGTGTCAATTCCTTGAAGAAATCCCGCATTGGGATTTGGAAGTAGTACGAGATGCCGCTAAAGATCAGTGGAACTCGGAAGTACTCTCGAAAATTGATGTTACAACTACGAACGACACTCAGTTAGAGATGTTTTATACGGCGATGTATCATGCTCACCTACTCCCGTCAAACAGGACAGGGGAAAATCCGTATTGGGAATCCGATGAGCCTTATTATGATGATTTCTACACCATTTGGGATACATTCAGATGTCTTCATCCCCTCCTAACCCTCATTCAACCCAAGACTCAAATCGGGATTGTCCGAGCTTTAATTGACATCTGGCGATTCGAGAGATTCATGCCGGATGGGAGAAGCCATAACTTCAACGGCAGGGTACAAGGGGGTTCCAACTCGGACAACGTGCTCGCCGACGCCTATGTCAAGGGGCTTCAGGGAGGCATCAATTGGACAGACGGCTACGCAGCTATGAAAACTAATGCGGAAATCCAACCATACAATAATTTCGACTTCGAGGATCCGACGGGGAGCACGAAAGAAGGTCGCGGTGCGCTCAATGATTGGAAGAAATATGGCTATGTGACGCCTTCAAAAGGCCGGTGTCTTAGCAAGACGGTCGAGTACTCATTGAATGACTTCTCGCTGTCTCAAGTCGCCAAGGGAGAAGCACCTGAAGATGCAGTCAAATATCTGAATCGTTCAGCGTGAGTAGACTATCAACCCTCAACGCGATTGGAAGAAGGCATTCTAATTTGGTAATAGGGGCTGGCAGAAGACGTGGGCCGCGGACGTGACATCATTGAATGTTACCGGTTTCCTCGCCCCGATGTACCCGAACGGCACCTATCAAGACTACGATCCACTATCATGCGGTGCCTGCGAATGGAGCAGTATCAGCTACGAGGGTGTTCCGTAAGTACCCTTCTCACTCTCCCTCCAAATCTCACCAACTAATAATTCTCTAGGTGGGAGTACACCTGGACAATCCCATTCGACATGAAGTCCCTAGTCTCTCTCATGGGCGGCCCCGAAAAGGCCGAGGCAAGACTCGACACCATGTTCATCCCGGGCCTCACGCGGTCGAACCAAGGCGGAAACAGCCTCGGCACGACGATATTCAACCCCGGGAACGAGCCGAGCTTCATGACGCCGTTCCTATACAACTACTTCCCGAAGCGACAGCATAAGTCCGTTCAGAGATCGCGCGAAGTCGTTGACCAGTACTATAACACCGGGCGCTCGGGGATCCCGGGGAACGACGACGCGGGGGCTATGAGCAGCTGGTTGGTCTGGAATATGATCGGCTTGTACCCTGTGGTGACGCAGCCGGTGTACTTGGTCCTTGCCCCGCGGTTCGGGGATGTTACTATGAAACTTGGGGATGAGGGGGCGGTTTTGAGGATAATGGCTACGGGGCTGGATAAAGGGCCGTATGTACAAAGTCTTAAAGTTAATGGTGAAGCGTGGGATAAGAGTTGGATTGGACATGAAGATATAGTGCGGCCTGGGGGGCAGGATAGCTTGTTGGAGTTTGAGCTGGGCGCTGAGAAGACGGCGTGGGATGTTGGTGAGGTGCCGCCTAGTCCTGGTCATGTTGTGCTATGATAGCCATCTGAGCATGATACTTTGGGAATGCTTGATACATATGAAAAAAAGGGGTTGTTTCAATTAAAATGGTTATTGTGTATAGGTATCCGATTGAGCTATATCGCAGAACTCTAGCCGATCTACGAATCAGCACCAAGCCTCTTTCTGGGCGCCGACTGGCCTTTCTTGGGACTCCCAGAAATTAAGTCATATACACCTCCATTAGACGCAGCGATGCTTTGGATGTCTTTAAACCCTAGAGTAGCGAGGTTCAAAGCGAGAAGTACAGACTGGGCCGAACCAAAAGTGACTCGAACGGTTTGAACATTATCGGGTGAGCTCAATTCAACCAGAACCACGGTCTTTTCACCAAGAGATCGTTCATCTAAGACAGCGAAGTGATGTGCTTGAGGGAACTGGCGCGATATTTCCTTCACCGACTGACCTATAAAGGGAGAATCAAATGGCTGAAAGGGTGGGGTTGAGGCGGTGGTATGGGACATGTTGTCGGCTTTAGTGACAACCGCGAGAGATGGTTCACTTGGGGCCATTTTCTTAGCACCCTCAAGTGAATCGCTTAGGAGCTTTTCTATCGTCTTTCTCATCGTCTTATGTTAGCGGTGCTCATCGACCAGGATGGATTGAACCGATACTTACTGCGATCGGCAACTCCGCGGTGCAGAAAACAGGGAAGATAGAAGACATATTTTGTGTTAAGAAATATTTACTTCTTTTGGGTATATATAGGTATCAACCCTGTGAATTGACAGCCCGCACTCGAAATATGCGTGAAAAGAGTTTTTTTTTTTTTTTTTTACGTGCCCAGGTGGTTATGAATTTGGAGGGCGGGATCGCCTCTAGAATAACGGGTCTTGAATACCCCGTCTGTCATGCCCGCCTATCATCAGCACCTACCAGACATCCATATGGTAATCGTAGGATTTACCTACCAGTTGTATCTTAGTATGTGTCAATTCTCGGGTTGAAGCATGCGTTAGAGATATTCCCAGCTATAGAAAATGAGCATTGGTTCTCCTCAACTTGATTATATTTATCTACCTAGTACTCAGGATCTAAACCAGAAATTTATATAACACCTAATACATATTGCGTCGAATAGGAGAATAAGGTGAGTAATAACCCTTTATGGTTAAATTAGGCGCTTGTAAACGAAAGGGCTCGGACTGAACCACCAAGTTCTTTGGTGGCGTAATTGAAGATTCCAAAGCGATAACCCATGAAATAAGACCATCCAGTATACATGGTATACGGCTCTCCTAGTTGAGTAAACTCTTGCCCGTCGGTGCTGTAAGAGAAGTTGGCAGCGTATGTACCGCTCGCACGCGCATCCAACGATGCTCGAAGCCATAAGGTCTTGTCCGAGGGGATGTTCGTTTCTGTAGCAACTACATTCCCATTACCAGTCGTATTCAGTGAGGATTCATCTTGAGTAATGTTGTGGACAACGGTCAAAGTGTAATCCGCTCCAGTGCGATAGACACCAATATAAGCGGTGCGATCACGGAAAGCCGCGAGACCAAATCGATCGCCATCGGCCATTTTGCTGAAATCGACTTCAAGGGTGCCAACGGGAAACTCGCCGTGAACTCGATGGGTTAGCGTGTTACGTGCTGCGTAGAAGTCATCTGTTACGGTTACAGTGGATAAGGTGATGCCGCCATCGCCAACTTTGTACTTGGTCTCGTCCGGATTGTGATTCCATTCCCAATCGGGTGTCAAAGAATCTCCATCAAATGTGTCAGTGCGAGTCCAACTTTGAACAGTTTTTAGTGGAAGTGGCGCCGGATAAGAGGAGCCCCATCCACCAGATCCGTCTGCGACGAAAGAAGGGAAGCCATCATCTTCCCACTTGACAGGAGCTAAAACTGGTATACGGCCGTTGGGGTATGCCCATGTGAAGGACATATAGTACCAGTCTCCAGTTGAAGCTTTAACAAGACTTCCTTGGTGAGGTGCGCCCCCTCCACTTGCAAGAGGGGTCTTGACGCCATTGACGAGTATCTTGCTCTCATATGGACCCCAGGGGCTATCAGACTTCCAGATATATGTGATATCGCCTGGATGGTCATCAAGGATGTAGTAAAGGCCATCTTTCTTGTACATTCGGTTCCCCTCAATCGCGTCTTTCCCTACGTCTGAAGCGCTGAAGACATGTTTGGCCTGCGCTTCGCTGAGCCCATCCTCGGATAGTTGGGCCACAGATACATCCGTAGAACCGTATACCACGTACATCGTATCATCGTCGTCTATTAAGAGACCACAATCATAGTAGCATGTTCCTCCGGGAAGCACAGCCGCCCTAGTCCATGGTCCAGCGGCATCCTTGGCGGTATAAACGTAGGTATAATAGAAATCAACACAACCAATCCAATACCAAAGCCCAGTACTCTCGCGGAACCGCATGGTAGAGGCCCATGTACCTCCACGATATGCATGTCCATTTGTCAAATTGTAACGTTCTCCGAAGTCGAGAGTAGGGACAGAGTGACCGATGAGTTCCCAGTTAACAAGGTCTCCGGATTTCAGAACAGGCGCGCCCGGGCTGTAGTGCATGTTTGAGGCAGAAAAATAGTATAGTCCATCAGGGCCAACTGTGACGTCGTTGTCGGCGAAATCTTCAAAGACCACGGGATTCTGAAAAGAATCTGCCCGATCCTGTAGCGAATGATCGATAGTACCCGACGACGGGGCCACTCTCGACCACACTGGGTTGAAGTGTAGCAAGCTGAAGACTACTAAAGTCCACATGATCGCCATGTCGTTGATTTTGTAACTTTCTGGCACTGATGGCACCTAATGAGTAGCAGCAGCTCGTTAACTCTAGATGCTGAGATGTTGCCTTAGTATGATCCCATGCTGCTGAAGAAACAGCTCTCTTTTATAGATGAGCATGATAAATCTCTTCAACATAGATACTTACCTACGCTGTCATCAAGTCAAACACCATTAGTACGCTTCTCAGGATAAACATTATTAGCACGCTTCTACAAAGTACTAAAGGGGCATTTAATACCGAGGTCGTATTGTGGGCGATCTTTGGATACAGGCGATGCCACTAAGCTCTCTTGATCGGACGTTCATTGCCAGGATTTATGAAACACCCCATTCAACGATACAACGTCGCTCCCTAATTCCTTGAATCCAATTTTATCTCGATTCTCTATAGACGTGCGAATTGCGAAAATATTCTGTCTGTTGGATTGGACTTAGGGAAGATAAAAAATGCCCTATGGTGGGTATTTTGTCGTATTAGGTGATAGATAACTCATTTTGGGTGAACGAAGCGAAATTTGAAGACGTAGCTTTTTAATGCCTGAGGGTTTGCTTTGATGCTGATAAAGAATTCGTATTGATGAACTAGTTATATGATTAAAGCATCAAAGCATTCATATTTTCCTTGAATATACGGATAACGATAGATACCCCGTATCTGTCGATATTCATCGGAGGAAAAGGACTGAGGTCCCAAGATATCGTGTAGCGAGCGAGGATATTATTGACCTGAAATCCGGAGTGCGGAGTTGAGAGGTTAAGAGGAGTGATGCGACAAGAGGAAGGGGTATGAGATAAGACTCTATTTAAATCGTAGAACTTGGAAGGGAAGTGTATCCCACGCCATCCATACGAGAGGTAGTCCTTACTTAGTCCCCTAGTCCCACAAAATCCGGGAATTGCAATTGCTTGTTATCGTAGACTTTCTTGATGGTTGAACCTTCCACGTTTCCTGTCTTCCTCTTCGCGGAGAAATAGCACATCATTAACCTTACTGGGACAAGGGTATCGGGGTATATCTTCGAGCGCTGGAGAACGGGTGCTAAATCGTGGGGCCCCCAGAATTTTGTCCAGGTGCTAGCCAATCCAGCTCACCCTACGCCTTCTAATTCGGCGAAATATTGTACCAGAGTAGGTACCTATCGTCTAGCGTCTAAACGCTAGACCAAACGCTAATCTAGGGCTACCCAAGGACCCTACCCTGCCTACTACCTAGAAGGTAAGTTATCCAATCCATCTACAGTCACCTTCGCTCATTTCTTATCTTTCTCGTTTATTTCTGGCCATGAGGCTCTCGCCTCGATTGATCCCGCGCTGAATTGCAGCTGGAAATACTCGCATCTAAGTGGCCGGAAGAATTACTTTGGACCACCGAGTAATTTTTCCCGAGGCTATTTTGACCGGGTTGCTAGTCGTCGCACGCGCAGCTTCGTCTCCAACTTGCGACTTTATCACCAAGCTTCAGCTATTTAATACGACTAGGTAATAGAAGCTAGGTCGTATAAATTCACTAGCCCGAACCTCGAGATGTCTTCCACGATAACTGCCTACGATCGCATTACTTGATCGACCGATAATCAGTCTATAAACCCGAATAATCTAGCAAAAATCCTATATCCACCGATGCGCCGCCGCCGTTATATTTCCTTGTTTAATCAAACGCAAGCCTGCGGCACGTGTTGCAAATGAAGACCTTATCGCTTGAGACAATTCCGATATAGTGTCAGGTCTCGATAATATTCGTCCAAAATACTTCCATTGTTAGAGCCTGGTCGTCGTCTATTAGGGCATCATGGCGACAGTCCAGCAGCTTCACCAGGCCCTTACGCCAGTCCGTTCGCTTGAAAATAATGGCGCAAGAATCTCGCCGACCGAAACAGATACAGATCGAGCATCTCGATCTTCAGTTACGAACGGAACAAGTGATACTAGTGGACTACAAAAGGGGGATACTCGAACTGTCGTCATTGTCTATGGTCCCAGACAAGAGAGTATAGTATCGGTTTTCGCCGACGTCCTGGGGAAACCCTACCGAATGGCGGATAGCTTTCAAGGCATAACTTCCCTAGAGCAAGATCTAGTGCTAGGGATATCGCTGGAAAGCGCCAAAATTGATGTCTCTACACGAAATCGAGATGCTGTGGTTGCGATCAATGCCCATAGCGTCAATCTCGGAATGCCTCCGGATACATATATTTCCGCGCAATGCGACTACGAATATTTGTATCCTGGAATGTCTTTCTCTCGTCAAGACCTAGCTCGATTTATATCATTCACTCTCGGCCAGATCAACCACCATGATTCGCTCATGTCAAAGCCGCGCACTTACTTCATCTCGACTACATTTCCTGATGTTCGTGCTGCTCTTCCAAATCTTGATATTCTCACGGTTGGCGCCGACGCTGTAGAACTACGTGTCGACCTCCTGAAGGAGCCCCTAAATGATGGCGGTTGTGCAGTCATACCTAGTTTAAGCTACGTCGGCGAACAGGTCATGCTGTTACGCCAGAGAACCGAGCTGCCTATCATTTTCACTACTAGGTGTACAAGGGAAAATGGCCGATTTCCGATGGACAATCCTGACCTGTACTATGAGTATCTTTTCCGGGCTATTCAGTGGGGCGTTGAATATATCGATGTCGAGCTTTGGCTTCCGGAACATATCCGGCGGAAGCTGTACGAAAAGCGCGGAAGTAGTCGCATTATGTCTGCTTTCCACGATTTTTCTGGTACTTTCAAGTGGCCTTCAGCTCAAGCGGAGTCCATATTTCTAGAATCTCGAAAATATGCTGATATTATAAAAATGATATCGATAATCAACGACCCCAACGAAAACTTTGAATTGGAATATTTCCGTTCTAAAATTCGAGCCGAGTATTCAGGCTCACCCCCGTTATCTGCGGTTAACATGGGAGAGACTGGTCAGTTCTCAAGGACCCTAAATAAAGTCTTCACGCCAATCACTCACCCTCTTCTTCCCATCATTGCCGCACCAGGTCAACTAAGCGCTGCCGAAATTAACGCAGCTTTGGCAACGCTTGGCCAGCTTCCAAAGAAAAGTATTTACGGAGTCAGCAGTCCATTTTCCCGTATCGCTACCCCGTACGCACCCTTTTACGAGAAATGCTTCAACGAACTTGGTTTACCTCACCAATTTGCCGTTGTCGAGAGACAGTCGAAAGATTCAAGTTTCATAGAAACTTTATGTAATCAGAAATCATTTGGTGGCGCGTATCTATGCCCACCTATATCCCTCACAAGCCTCATGAACAACAGCTTCTTTTTTGCGAGCCTCAACAACGGATCAGGTCTGTCGATTACCGAAGCAGCCCGCACGATTGGTATGGTTGACACCATTATTGTCCAATCTGGTTCATCAACTCCACCACCTTCCGCACCCCCCGCGACTCCATCTAGTTCTAGTTCTAATCGAAACGGTGATGCTTCCTTCGGTAACAACGCTAATAGGCTACCACTAAACTCATCGCTCATATTTGACAATGCAAATTGGCGTGGCATTGTCAGCACTCTAACACGCGACCTTGCGCCGTCAGCTTACGTCGATCGCGCAGCACTCGTCCTAGCTACCAACGCCGATGATGCAGCGTCAACTATGTACGCATTAAAGGTGCTTCGTATTGGAAAGGTGTACACTGTTGGCTTTAAGACACCTCCTGATTTGGCTCGTGGTCTCGAAGTTCAACCCTTCAATAACTTAGAGGGTCTTCAACGGGCAAGGATGGTACACGATAAGGCCAATCCATTCGTGATTATCTCTGCGTTGGGACCCGAGAAATCCAACATTGTCGGCATGCTTGTGCGCGTGTTCGGAGGATCAAGGGGCTCGTCGACACAGATCCGCAAAGTTTTTCTAGACCTTGCTGACGGACCGAGGAAAGGTGACCCAAGTTTGATTGCTGAGCAAAGCGGCTTTGCTACGTACGGTGCAGCAGACACGACGGCTTTCACAACTGCCCAAACCTTCAGATTACTTGTCGGTCAGAATGTGCCGTATAGTTTCGTGCGGCTTGCAAGTGGTCAAGGAATGTTTTAAAGGAACCACATAATACCCCCGAGTAGAGTAGCCGAAATATTGACGTATGTGATAGTATTGGGATTTGGATATACGGAATCATCTATGATATAATTAGACGAGTTTTTGACTTTGGACGGTTCTAACGAGAATACATCTTACATCTGATCAGTACCACGTTCACTTACTTCTTGATCCAAGATCACGTCCACTGAGGACTCATAGGCTTGTAGCCTTACTGAAAAGAAAGCTGATGCTTAGAATAACTCGGGACTTCACGAACGCTTCTCGACGGCCTAGAGGCGTATATGCAGCCACACGTTCTTAGCGACGCCATTATGCTCCAACAACCCTTGTCAATATTCCATTGTGCTACCCAATTCGTTTCATCGGAGTTAACACATATAGTCTGAGCACTAGACCGCATGTGCATGTTGAGGCGATCCTATAATATCATCAAGGTCGAACGGCTCGGAGTTTTGTTAAAGTTTGGGAGGTGGTTTTCGTCGATGCGACCCCGTGCCATAAGCCGGGGCAATTCCCGGGTGGCTACCGAAGTGAGCAGTCAACTCCAACGATGTGGAGTTTGGAGGCTTCTTACGTATTGAGTCATAGAAGCTACCTCCTACGTACTAGGTATGTTCCCTGTCTAGCAGCCTAGATAGGCATGTTGTGGATGCTTAACTGGGCTGATATGTAAAAACTGATATGATTATCAGGTATTTTTAATATACGGCGGGTACCTGAATCGGTTTATAGCCTGATGAAATGGCCTCGAAGACGCCGTGGAAGGTGCATAGGATATTTTGACAGGCTATCTTTTATTAACATTATCTGCATGTCATAAACAATTTCGTTGAAGCCTGTAATTCACGACAGGTACTTACGCGCAGTCTGGCGATTATTTCACGAGACGAAGCCACATGCAGCCAGCCATAGGAAAAAGGTTACCCACGTCGAGGCACTGCGGAGAGCTTCACCGTGGATTCCTACAGTATTCGTCCCAAACCCGAGTCCATGATGATCTATAAGCCTATCAGATCTAAAATTCTATCTCCTTCTACTATGTCACAGGTGTAACATGTCAACATTGCAAGCTGAGACTAACAGGACGGGTCTAGGGTTATCCTGTTGTCCGGATCTGTCACCATCCTAGGCGAGCACGGCCGAGGACTGAAAGTTGCATACCTCGGGCAAGGAGCCGCATCACGAAATCTAATCGCGCAAGGACTTACCTCTGCTAAATCAATACTTGCTTTAATATTCATTCGAGAGTGAAATTTACTGTTACTTACATACCTAGGTATTCTAGAATGGGATGGAGGGGAGCTCGGGTCTTTTAGCGGCGAACATTAACCCGGCTTCTTACGACATCCTCTTACCCCTGTCTAGATCCCCCCGGAATACACACCTGCTTCTTCTTCCGAGATGAGTTCCAAAGATCCAAACAAGACACGATATCTATCTGGTATCACACGTGCTATTGTCACGGCCGAGATTTACATATTCTTTGATATGGCTATTATTGTAAAATCTGTATGTCGATCTCTACGCTACTGTATCGTACGAGACGCCTTCGACAACCCCGTAGATACGGAAAAGGAAACAAATGATGTCGATCCTCCAATCTGTCTACGGCAGAGGGCTTTGCAATACCAAAGGGATCTGTAATATCTCGACCCACCGCCATCTGCTCGGGTACTCCCATGCTGTTGAACGTTCCTGGCGTTAATATGTGGATGCACGAACACAGAGTTCCGCCGGCTAGCACTGCTTCTCCCATACTGTCGGTATCCGTCTGGAATAGGGCGTCGATATCATCTAAGCCAATGATATACCTGCTGATCATGACGATTTAGGAGCCACATAAAAAAAGGTTGACGTCTCACAACTTCAAACGCCGTTGCCTCCGGGTCGATACTTCGAACTCATGTCATGAAAAATCCCCCGGGTAGGCCTACCTAATTCTGAACGAGGAAGATCCTGGACTTTGCGTGTCATCAACAAATTAAACTGAACGACTTCACTAACCCAAGCCGGTTAATTCTTAGCAAACGCTATCATTGCGACGTGGCTAGGCGGGCTGTCTTCCTCAGTTGCGTCTTAATATCTTGTGGTCTTATCCTTTAGACCGCCCATTACTAGGATGGAAACTCCCTAGACTAATAGCGATGAGATGCATAGGTACTCAGGATGTTGTCAGACCTAATACAAGATTGAGATAGATTTTTTTTTTTTAGCGTATTGCCGAGTAAGTGAGTTAGACCTGTCGATCATCAACCTCCTAGGTACCGACGGTGCCCTGAGGCAGAGGCGTAGTGCAATAACGGGCTTCAGTGGATCGGATATAGATTCATAACCGACGGCTCTTAGGAGAGGGAACTACGCTTCTAATAAGCGCGAGGAGACTTCGGTGGACCTACACAAGGCTTGCCGTGGATACTCGTTAAGGATTAAGATACGAGGGATCGCCTGGAGATACTGTCCGAGCACTCGTAGGGCATGCGTGGCCTGGTCTTAGGTAATTGATCCCGACTTCATATTATATCGGACGAGACCAATGTTTCCAAAGTACGGTTCCGCCGCCGCCGCGGTGGTCCTGATCTCGGTCGCATATAGGCTAGGAGGCTTGCAACCGCACAAGTTGGCTGAAGACAATTCAAGATCAGTCTAGAATACAGAAGTTTTCAAGCCTAATAGTATGGCATACGCCAAGCCGGTAAGTGAGACTACATTTCTCTCGACGTTCCGAGGTATACCTGGTTTTGGACAGCTCCGAAGGGGAATTCGCCAGAAAACCGATATGCGCCTGAATGAGAATCATTCCGGATGATTCAAGCCACAGGACGCCTAGTTTAGATAACCGGCCGAAAAAGATTTACCAATGTGACGTGCCGATGGAACTCCTGGCAAGCTAGAAAGGCTCTATTGCATAAGATAGATCTGGGGATCACAAGCTAACACACCTAGTACCCAACCTTGACAGCTCGTGATGACGCTCGATACCTTTAAAAAGAATCCTTTAAGGGCGGTGGAGTCGGCGCTTCTACGGCTTTGAAGGTCAGGGTGGAAATGTTAGTCAGAATGGATTCTGGATGAGTTAAGACTATTGGTGCGCAACTAAAGGTCCCGTTAATCGTGGATCCTAGCACGTGGTTTTACATCGTGAAGAAGTTGGAGACTGGAGGTCCACCCCCCTCTTCCTCCCCTATAATCGTCACCTCCAACCCTTCTAGGTTCGTTCCTCCGCTAATTTTCTAGGCTTGAGCTGAGAGTGGCAGTTAATGGCATTCGCTATTAAGCTATTAAGCTTAACAATAGCATATTGGTAAACGGCATAAGCCGGGACTAACCTCTGCAAGTACCCCATTCAGAACCCCCCCCCCTCTAAATTCTGGTGGCTTTCCGACTACTTGGTCCGAATTCGAATTCGTTAACCAATACGAACCCTTGTTCTTGTTACTCTCTCGGCTCCCCTGCAACTTTCCCCAGTTGCCCCGTCAGGTCCCGCATCGACAAGGGCAGACAAGAGCAATACACGAGCCGAGTGGACAACGAACAAGGACCGTGCTAGAATCAGGTCTTTTGCGGAGACAGTCCTTGACTTCTCAGCATTTCCCAGCATCTCCCAGCATCGTCTAGGATGTTAGCAGGGTTAAAACGCCCTAAACCCCAACCTTTTAGAAGTCCCAGCAGTCTCCAGTAGTCTCCAGCGGTCCCTAGCAACCCCAGAAGTCCATATCCTACATCATTCCTATATCCCAGCTATATCCCAGCATCTCTCCGCATGAACTACGCCCCATCTTTTTTCCCATCTGAACTAAACTTCAGACCACAAATTTCCCTGCATTGCGTGGCCCTAAGCCGTTGTTGCTCTTCTTTTATTAGTCCAGCTCCGCCGTGTCTCTCAATGTCTCCAAATCCTAGAAATTTTATAGCTGTATCATTGGGCGCGTCTCAGTACCTGCACTAGGTATCCGTACAATACGATATGCAGCAGCATTGACCCAACACATGTAACGCCATTCGTCGTTCCACCTTGGATACATGAACTGAGCAGCCGGCGACGCGTCCAGCAACGGGAAAAGATGTTGAGAGCTGCACTGGCGATCCACCAGAAACCTCTATACCAGTAGAGAGAAAGGATTAAGAGAAAGTGAAAAGAGGGATTGGTTATGTTCGGGTTGACCGCGACACTTTCGGTATTTTATCTTTTAGAGATACTTGAACGAGACGGGAACATCCAGTATCCGTTCCGTCCACAATCACTCACCGCAACTATCACGCCGACGAATCAATCACGATGAGTGTTGCACCTCCCCCTGGGATTCAGCCCATCATTATGTCGCGGCCCCAAATCGGCATCGAGCGATTACCAAGTCGCCGTATGGGCAACGAACCGCGAGAAGCAATGAATTGCAAGTCATGTCGGAAGCGGAAAGTAAGGCTCTTCCCAAAATGGGGGCGTCAATCTAATTAACCGGGCTTTTATTTTTTGAATGAATGAATCTAACAAACGACCCCCTGAATGTAGATTAAGTGCAATCGATTACGCCCGTCTTGCGAGGCTTGTCAAGTCTTTCAGTGTCCTTGCGTATATGGTACGTGGTCGGCATTTTCTGCTCGAGAAGGAAGTCCTTCATGGTGGATTGAGATGGCAGGACTAATCATGTTGATGACCTACAGATGCGGTACCAAAGAAACGAGGACCGAAGACAGACGTGCTAGAAGCATTGTTGAAGAGGGTAGATGGCCTGGAAGCTCAGCTCAAAGATCGCAGACAGTCGGATGCCTCAACAACTAACGGACAAGCACAACATATTAGCATAGAGGAAACCCTCTCTAGTCTTAGCTCTGCAGTAGCTGAACAAGCCTCCGAGCCAAAGTCAAAACGACCAGCTCTAGACAATGTCCGGACAACGGAAATAGCCGCCGAATCTGCAGTATACTCGCCTACATTTAGCAACGAGCCCCCCACCCCTAACATTCAGATAGATGCGCTTCTTGATACTTACTTCAGTCGGTTCCATGCAAAGCCTTATCACATCCTCGACGAATCGTCAGTGCGGCAAAGGCTACAGCTAAGCCAACTACCCAGTTATCTCATACACGCCATCTATGCTGTTGCAGCCAGGTTCGTTTGCACATCATGATTCATGTGTGCAAGTTACTAAAATTGTAACAGATACACAACCTATCCCACCGGATATCAATCTGCGGTTAAATTGAGTGAGGAATATGCTTTACAGTCCCGGAGCGAGATTGATACAGACGAGCCATCTATCGATGCACTCCAGGCTCTTCTTCTCCTTGTCACCGCCTTTACTGCAGCTGGTAAGGGGAAGAAGGCCTATATGCTCCTAAGTATGTTACGAAATGGCTATCGATTTAAATCATGAATGACTCATAAGACCATGGACTAACGGGCTCATCTAGCAACTGCCATTGGCATGGCTATGGCCCTTGAACTACATCGAGAGGTTGACTTACAAACGCGTATTACGACCGTTGAACGGGAAGTAAGGAGACGGTTATTTTGGACCTGCTACCTCCTCGATCGATTTATGGCATGTGGCTCGAAGCGCCCATGTATTATCAGCGACAGAACTATTCTTCTGCGTCTACCGTGCTGGTCTCCGGGCCCGTCTGCTTTACCGGTCGAAGGCGATTTCTTTCAAAATGGATCAAATCTTCAACATATACAAGGTAGCGGGAGGAAATCACAAGGGAGTAGTGGTATGCTCATCGACATCAGCCGGATCTTAGGAACGACGAATAGGTATCTGGCAGCTGGTGGTGTCAAGGGCGACTCTCACTTCCCTTGGCATGCTCTTTCTGAGCTTTCTAAGATCCGACAAGATCTAGACATTTGGGCTTCTGGAACCGACGATGTCTTCTCCAGTGTGGATACCCTGTTTGGACAACCCGACTCGACTGTTCTAGTCCTCAGCAAGCTTGTTTACCATTTGATTCACTGTCTCATATATAGGCCCTTCCTACCAATTAATCTAGCAGAACTCGCCGGAACAAGTCAACATCAATCATGGCAAATAGAGGCAACGAACATATGCTTCTTACACGCTAACGCGATTGCCGAGCTAGTCGAACTCGGAAAACAGATGGCTTCTATTGAATGGCCTGCTTTTGTCGGATATTGTATTTGCACTGCGGGCACCGTTCACATACATGGAGCCTACTATAATAAGAATGGAGGAGGAGAAAATATAGGGGTACTTTCATCCTCGTCTGAGTTTTTATCCCGGGAACTACACCAACTCGGCGAACTCAGCTACACATGGGCCAGCGTTGTGCCCCAACGCGATACCTTACAGAATATTTACAACGCCCACGCCGAACTAGTCAAGGGTCTCGCAAACAATTCGATGCGGTACTCGCCAACGTTCAACCTCGAAGACTTCTTCGACCGCTATTCCAATATCAGCAGGCCAGGTGGCCGCCCTTTTACGTTCGATGTCGCGAGTTTAGGATTATCAGATGCCGTTGTCGAATTTACCTCAGATGCATATAATGGACCCGAGATATACGCGCGTCGCGTCCATGCAGACACGGAGAGGTCAAGTCTAAAGCGAAAGATCGCCGGTCGCAGACGCTCGGAGATGAGGAGTCTAACGCCGGTGAACACAACCCACAACGGCCCCCTATCCTCCGGCCTACCCACGCCCACGGCCCATCCTCGCCATTTTTCCTTCTCGGCTACTCAGAGCCCATCGTCGATACTCCATGCCTCGAACACGCTTTCTTCTCATGGCAGCAGCGCCTCCCAATTAGCCCAACAAAGACGGGAATCAATAGACGACCAAGCCAACGCCGCCGCCGCCGCCGCAGCGGCAGCCGCGGGCTTCGACTCCCCGTCTGAACACCAGCAGATGCAGTCGATGAACACAGCCCCCTTCTCTCCTTCATACCACTACGCGACCCCCAGCCCAAGCGGCGACAACGAAAGCTCCCTCGGGGTGACGAGCTACGACCCTATGTTCGGCACCGTGCCAACGAACACCTTCTCCTCGCCTACACCCTGGCATGGCGGTGCCAGTGTCGCAGGGCTGGGCATAAGTGTCGGTGGAAATGGAAATGTGGATGAACAGCAGCGCAAGAACCATGCCCCGAGCCCAGGTTCCGCCAGTGGGAATGGGGAGGAGAAAGACCCGTTCTTGAGCCTGCTGGAACAGCTTGCGGAGAACGAACATGCGATTGGCCAGGGGAAGGAGATTGATTTTTTCCTGGCTGGGGCGCAGGGGTAGGGGGTTTGCGCACTTACTTACCGGAGCAACTTGTTAAAACATACGATGACTTTGTGGTTTTGGGAGTAGGGGATTAGGGTGGTCTGGAGTGATTTTGTACTACGACACGATGTGATGTGATGGGCTTCATGACACTGCCTTTGGATTGACGGGGCGGGCGGCTTGTAGTGTGTTTTTTTGTTTTTTACGACGGGGTTTACGAGGCACGCACGTACGCGATAATGCGGAAACGAAGAAGGGAGAGAGGGAGAAAGTGTGTATTTATAGGGTTGGTGGGAAAAGGAAAAACAACGTGGCTCACTTGGAGTATATATATACGCATACCTACCTACTATTTGTTGTAGGTAGGTGTGTTTGGCATTTTAAAGGACTACATACCTTAGGTACAGGTAGGATAGCATAGCGTGTTCAGGTGTGTTGAAGTGAATAATTGATATTTTTTAATTTATCTGCCTAGTGCCTATCATGGCTGGAGTGTTCTATGCGTGGCTGTGTTGATTCTAGATCATGGAAGTCGAAGTCGCCCGTTTTGTGCACCGGAAAGTCGCTATACTCATCTGGGAATGGATCTCATGGACCTCGGCTGCCCTCCCTCCTGATTATCTTGATAATCTCTCTCCCCCGTAGCGAAACACCCTAGCCCGCCAAGTTTTCGCAACTTTTTTTTTTTTTCGCGTATCGCTTCGCTTGCGCCCGCTTAGCGGATTATGGGGAGCCCTGCTAGCGGGCGTCATATATCATTTCGAGATCGAGCCAGGGCTCGTTCTGTGTACCTAGTAGGGAGGTATGTAGTCGGTCCGGTAGTGTTTCTGCGGCACATCTTATCCGATGACGCAGGGCCGCTTTATACTAGGCACAGTATCCCCAACCCAGATGCAGATACATACATAGCAGCCCAAGCTCTACCTAGCCTCTCCGTCGTCAGGCACGAAATACTTACCGAAACCGGGTACGGCGACTAGATCCCAGACTACCTACCTACCTAGAGCAAAGGGAGGCTAAGGCCGAGCTCCTATAGTATAAGCCTTCGGCATCGTGTGATTTTCCCCAAAGGATTTGGGGAGTTAGGTTGGTTTTGGGGGAGGGGCCGAGGCGCGCTGCGTTTATGCGGTTAGGCTGCTCCGAGGACGTCTCCGCCAGCCCGGCTCGACCCCGGGGTGATTGGGTTTGGCTGTGGTAAGCGCGCCCGTGGGGAAGAGAAAGGGGGAAGGGAAGGCGGGGCGGGCTAGGTAGGAGGTGCTAGGTAGGGCTTTTGCGCTGTGGAGACTGGGGAAAGCTGGGCAGGGGTTTGGGGGACTTGGATACGGTAATGAATGCGAAAGTTCGGGAGGTCATCCGAATTTTTTTAAGAAGCGTGAATGATGGACCTAGGATGGGTGTTAGGTAGATTCGATGCCGAAGAATTGAGGATTAAAGAGGAACAGAGCTGGGGATTTTGGAAGGGAAAATTACATAATCATTTTTTTGCTTTGGTAAGCTGATTATGTCATCCCAATTTATCTAATCTTAATCATCCAAACTTTCTCTGGTTGGAGATTCTCGTTTTCTTCCACTTCAACTATAAATCTTCTTCATCGTGACAATTAATAATTTCTAATGGGTCAATTGATACCCACATATGCCTAGGCATTTTTCATGACCTATGAGAAATCCTTGATTATTTTCTTCGAATCTCTTAGTGAGGACTCTTGAGTCTTGATCTAGGTCATAGATCTTGCCAAGACCAACCCCGTAAACACCCCGAAATCATCGTTTCGATCATTAGATGCCATACTCAGAGTCTCGGCCTCGGTCTTTTTCCCGGATATGAGCGGGCCCTACAGAATTGAGTGCAAAATCTTTTGCTATTATATCTTGTGAGATGAAGGGTGTGTGGTTAAGATCAAACAGATCTATCAAGCGGGAACGACCCTTCGATAGTGGATAATGAGCCCACATCTACATCCATACGGTCCGATTAAGAGGCTCATGCAGAGCTTGATTCTTCTCCATGTGAGATATTGGAAGAGATGGTTTGATTGAACAGGAGCAACCATGACATGAGGTCATGTTTTCGTGGGGGTACGCGAGCTCGGATTGTCATTGTGGAATCTGGTGCCTAAGATTATCTTGGAATTGAAGCCGATAATGAGATCATACTAGGCAGCAGGATCGAACATTCTACTCTAAATCATCAAGGGAAAGCGTCGGAATTTTCCCATTACGAGATTCATAACGCACACCAGCAGGGTCTTGCTGGTAGCTAGGTCTATTAGCCCTACCGTGAACAAACCCATCGGGTTGACATCGCTCTATACTAGTGGGTTTCGTTTCCCCGGAAACTCGGAAAACACATATTATCGGAATATGGCTAAAGCGCCGGATAGAGGCTGTGCACTCGAAGTTTGTACGCCGCCTCCCGGTTTCAGGGTCCATCCGATTCCTACTATACCGCTCTGGAGCAAGCGCGCGTTGGCATGGGATTTCGAATGGGAACGAGAAGCCCCTAGCTCTGTCATATTTGATATACAAGGGAGACAACATATTAACCGAGCTCCTTCATCTACGTATATGTCTATGTCCATGGTAGTGGCCGGCTCTTTGTCGGCCCCCGAGATAATTCTGAGGTTGATATTACGACACGGGATAGGGGCCTGGACCCCGGAAGGCCCGGAAGATTATCAATTCGAGTCGAAAATTGCAGTTTGTATAAGCGACAGTACAAGACTGGACTAGTTCTAATCCCTCAGAATTCTTACCTTCCACGCCAAGCTATGTATAAGACGAGCATCATATCAATCTTACGACAAGTAGCTGATACGCATGACCTCCGCCGTCGCCACTTGTCTGACATTGAGCGGTGGTCCCATAGTGCTATCGCAACTCGAAGGGGATTGATGCAACAATCGTTCGAGGCGGAGGCATCAGCATACTATATGCAATGACAGGTTCTAGAAGGTTTTACTCTCGAGACCTACTTGCGCTGGAGTCGCATATAGGCCGCAATGGTCTTCTTAGATTACGACATCGCTTATAATTATGCTGTCTATAGGGGTCACTTTCTACAACTCAGGTAATATCGACCTTGTCTTCCTCACTTATATGTTGTCCTAGGAATAATATGATAAGGTATTAGTTAGGCAGCCACCTTCTCAGTGTCGCAATTTGGTGGATGCGATAAACCTATGATGGAATCTAGACCTCTGTTCCTAGGATCGTGGTATACACACAGACTAGGCTCTTCGCCTACACTATTACAGTCTCCTAGTGGGCTAAACCCCTAATGGACTGAACTTCAACCCGTCTAAGCCTCATATACTAGTCGTTAGCCTCTACACCATACGGAATCAAGTCACCAACTCGGTTTCTAACCTGGTTCAAAGATATTTACCACATGAAGAGAAGTCCTTACGGCGACTAAGACCTCTAACTCTCCCGGAAGTTAAGCTCTGGCACGTATCCATTTAGAGCTTAATGAGCTCTCCGGGCGCGCCACCCCACAAAGATGATGAGGTACCCTGATATGAATTACCTGCTTTCTACATGAAATATATTGAAAGAAGTACTAGCCATCATACCCCAAAAAATATTAATTATGCTATTCACACGATTCTTTTCTTTTACCCCCCACTCCTGAACCCCTTGCTACTCTTCGTCAAGGAAAAGACGTGGTGGCTGAATAAGATAACAGATTGACTACCGAGAAACCACCTGTGTAACCACACTCAGTACATTCAGTTGTACGATTTGACGAATGACATATGACCGGATGCTGGGAGGTCTGACAGACTGTAACAGCTATCTAGCCCCTCATCATCTATACCAATGAAAAGAATTAGACGTACAGCAAGTCCCCCAGGGGAAGACCTTGAGCAGTTGAAACTCTCAAAAGACGCACTCCATTCAATTGGAATAGTCGAATCAATTAGACTTATGTAGTGAGAAAGGGGTAGATACAAAAAGGGAGGGTGGTTTTAATTAGAGACCTTTGTATTTTTGTATAGTAAGCTAGGGGTTCTTTGAGCTACCAACACAGGTGTAACTCACTCCTAAACTCATTCATATAGGTAACCTAAGTCACAAAGACAGTCTTCTACCTGTATGAAGTCGCGACGGTCTAGTTCTACCAAAGTCCTCGAAGTCAAGGATACTCCTAAACCAACCTCGGAAGACAGCAGCATTCGGAACGTAGCAAAATGCCAAGTTTTCGACCTTGACTTCTCTAGATTACGAGTCCTCCGTTAGCGCAAGAGTGAAAACACTCTTTCACTGTCGTCATTCAGAGTAGATGACGTACTGGATCTCGAATCTTGGCCAGATACTCTACCCAAAGTGCAACGCGCTCAACTAATGAGTTGAATGTTTGCCCAATTTGAATATATCACACCAACCAGACCAATAGCATGCCGGATTGAAGCTTTGAGATAGCAATCATATCGATGAGCAGTATAGCTTCGACGTGGCTTGCCAAGGAGCGGACGTAATGGTTTTAAACAAATCGGACCATTTCAGCTAACAAAGAACTACGGGAACTAAAGGGAAAAGGAATAATAGGGTTATCAATAGACCGCTAGTCCTAGTTCATTCGTGGCATATAAGCACATCGAGTAGTGTGGAGTTGGTGTCATATCATTGGATGCATTGAACTCCATTTGTGATAGCAGGTTCAAGTAACTACCCGCGCTATCAAATGGCTCATATAGTGCATGGTCGGCGAGGCGTTAAAGAAGGACGTCGGGGGCTTAAGCCTCGAAGAACAACTGATGTCTGGCCTGCCTATATAGGAGTGAATCGGTTAATATGACCTCAATGATTCGGAGGGGTAGACATCCTCAGGTGGGAAAGAGACATATAGTACGACGGAGGGGTCTCAGATGCCGGAAAAGTCGGAAAAAGAGCCGTCCAAGCCGACCTCTGTGCTCCTTTACACGGGAGAGTCCTAGATTACTTAAGATGGCTTGGGGGTGTAGATACCTGTTCGATACTCGGGCAACACAACGTCCGGCAGCCGACTTAGAAGATGTAAGAATATATCTGCAAGTGCATCTATATTGGCGGTATTATGTATAATATCATCTATATTATCTCACGTCAGGCCTGTCCGCGCAATCTATTATGGTTTGAGGCTGACTAGCAGTGCGGCTATAGGTCCGGGGAAGATAGGGTGCACATGTCAGCAGTTAGCAACACGCGTCAAAGAACGGTCTCCCGCCTTTGTATATTCCAGATTCCAGATCCTAACAGGAACGGAACCCCATCCCGGCATACCCCCCACTCCGATTCACCGTTTTTCTTCATGCCTCTTTACGCCTCTTCACGCCTCTTCGCTCCCTTTTAAAGAACCGTGGACAATGTCTACCTACCGAGCTGGGATCGCGATCCTGTCAGCTGCCTCAACAACTTCTCCAAAGAGCAGGATTACCGATCAGTCAATTGCGGCTTTGGAAGAGGTTAGCTGGATCATGGCCAAGACCGGATTAGGAGGGGGTTTGGGGTATGACAAAGGGGAGCGCCCGAAACACTTTAAAAGGAAAAAAAATAATAACACCTTTTTAAATGCTTGGCGGGAGATTTCGTCGTCCTCATCGTCATCGTCATCATCACAATCACAATCACCATCAGCTTTCTTCATCCTACACTTAAAAAAAGCTCTGGATGGTCCTAGTAGTCTTGGCTTGTGTAAGGTAGGCGACGTACACAATGACAAATGTCATGTCAAATGCTGTGTCGTGTCTTAGATAGCCTAGATGTTGTCCCTCGTTGTTGGAAGTTATCGTACGCTGTATCGCACAATACCTACTAACCAGTGCCTAGCATGCGGTGTATGTCCCCATGGTATTCTCCGGCTCGCTACCGAGAAAGCTAGGGGCGTTTCATCGTGGATTAAGACCCTGCGTGCAAGGTCGCAAACCTAGTACCATCTTGGCCCTTCGCCTATTCGTCGCAGCCCGAGGGATATACCCTCATCCGGCAGCGTCACGGCATGACATGACATGACGTGCGATAAGGCACGTTTGTATGTATGTAGATATAGTATGTGGATGTAAGTGTGTAAGTACCGCGTGCGCAGCCCAGATCTCGCTGGCCTCCATGTCTCGTCGATCGAATCCCGTAAGGAATCCTGTGCCTCCAACGGCCAATGAGAAATGGTCTGGGCATTTGTCACTGGTGACGACGTCTTTTCTTTCTTTCTTTCTCCCCGTCTCCCGGTGCGCTTGCTTGCTTGGCGTGAGGCGCGTTATCTGATGGTACATACATACCTATGAAAGTCGCTAGATTAATCAGCTTAATAATCCAGACCTTCTGGAACTCAGGCTGTTAGGGTTCGTTCGCCTTGGCTACGGCGCGGGTCACTAAAAAGTCCACTAAAACTTTTGCGTGTTAGGGCTTTGGGCTGGGTGATCAGCGGCTAAGAGGGCAAAGCCACAGGCGTCGTTTTACTTGCTAGGTACTAGGTAGGTATTGTACGCCGCTACGCAGACGGGGGAATATCCCACTTTGGGGGGTTTGGTTTTTTTTACAATGGGATTTCCCTAACACACGCCACCCGAGTTTAGGTAAGTCCATGGCGGCCTGAAAAAAAGACGAACAATGACAACAAAGAGGCACGAGAAATGATCTCCGATTGAATACTACACAATCTGACGGCTCTCGTCTACGTACCAAACCAAAGCCGTGGACTAGGGTGGTTGGGTGGGTTCCCGAGTCTCTACCGAAGCAATCAATGCTTCCAAGTTATACCTAAGTGTTAATTGTTTGTTTATATGTACCAAGTATCATAACCGGCAAGTCATAAATTAGTCCACCCCGCTGGCGCCGGCCCGATTGGACGGCGCACCGCAAAGGTCGCGCCATTAGCTAATTGGATAGGGCAGTTGGCTGGGACGCACCCTAGACAATGGACGACGAATGAGGCATGTGCGGGAGCACCGTCGCTGGCTGAGACAATGACGTGCTGATAAGGCCCTGGAGATAGATGGTGCTTAGGTAAAGGGTAGGTGAGACTAGACATGCATGGTATGAAGGTTAAATATTGGAAATGAGAGAGGACGAATGACATGTTGTAAATAGGTGGTCGATGTATTGGACGAGGGAGTGCATTGCGGGAGATTGGCACGGGTTGTTCATTTAAGCATCTGTCTTCGGAAGATTCTAGTTTAGTCGCCTTAAAGTGGGCATGAAGGTGGGTAGATAGATAGCTCTAGCATGTGAGAATTTTGATGATCTTCTCCTTTCTATTTGAGTATGGTATAGTGTAGGTAGTAACTAGGTAGTTAGTCCTATATACCTGGTTTGGTGGTAGCTGAGCATCCACATCTATCTTCTACTTTTCCTCTTCTAGGGTATGATGGAATTTCCCCACGGGCGCCTCTCCGATCCCTTAGTTCGATAGTCGACTCAAAAGCGACATGATATACATACATCATAGACATATATACTCCGAAACGCCGTCTACCCACACTGCATAAAAAAGCCCGCTGATCATCCCATCCACAATGTGAAACAGGTCCCATTAACTAACTCGTGATGCTTCGTATAAATGAAAAAAAAGTGAATTAGATCACCAGCCGAACTGCTCGCAGTGGACCTCGACTGCAGGGCCGTCGACGCTGATGCAGCTTGCCGCGACGTTCCGGACAATGTTGGTCAAGCTATCGGGTCCGCATGAAGCTATAAGAACTCGTTGGTTCTTAGTCATTGAGCTCACCGCCTCCCTTATTTCTGCCTCTGCATTAGGTCTTCCCGGCCTGATCGGCAAGTTGAGGTTCGTCGTGCTCGTTGCTGCGGATGGGAAGTCCGTGGGTCGGGTAGTGTCTTTCTCTTCTCGGTCGGATTCGTATCGGGTAGCGGCAGAGGACGCCGGGCCACTAGAACTAATATAGTCCACGTTGCCTTTCTCGAGAGCAGATGGTCCTAGGTCCGTAGTAGAAGAGTCCGACGCAGGTTGTTCTAAGGACGAATTTCGGAGCGATTCAGGTCCTAGTCTGGTGACATGTACCTTTAGAGCGATCTTTGGTGCGTGTACATGGTTGCGGAGGTTATTCAGGTGTTGCGTAAACCACGTTAAGTTATCTAAATGACAGTTAGTATGTTTCCACGTCAAAATAAATTCGCCAATGAATGTTATTGCATACCATGTCCCTTAACAGCCCAAATGAAGTCGATCTGCTGCTTAGAGCTCTCGGACATTCGTGAAAGCATATCGGCCGCTATGCCAAATGTAAACGTCGCACCAGAGCCACCTGCGACCAAAACAACCTTATCAAAGTCCAGAGGGTCCGGAACGGTACCGTATGGGCCTTCTACTGAGACCTTGAGGCTTGCGCCAGGGTTCTTCAGCGCGTGGTTGTGGAGGTCACGGGTGAAACCGCTGTATGAGTTGATGACAAGCTCGAAAGGCTCACTTGCCACGATGGTGAAGGGATGAGTTTCGAATGTCCTAATTTTCGGTAGCCAGACGTAGCAGTGCTTTCCGGGTCGGGCGCGTGAAATAGGCTTCTTAAGCACTATTCTAGTGCCGCCATCTGGGAGGGCATAGATGTTGGCCTCGTTGTTGACGCTGTTGTAGACTAGTCGGCAGAACCGAATGAGACGATCGGCGAACCACAGTGCAGCAAGGATTATAGTTGCGTATAGTGTCCTTTCGGAATCGAGCTCGGGACGGTGTAAACCTAGGCTGACAACGATGGCGAAAAATAAGATAACGTGAACAATGTAGAATAGTTCATAGTTAAAGCGCCTTAGAATCATGCCGGCCATAACAGAGCCAAACATGGTGAATCCAGAGATGATACCAGCTGTGACGACTTCCTCTCGAAGGGTTGAAATCCTTCCGGCACCGATGAAGTAAGACGTATATAGGCCTCCGTGAAGAATAACGCAAAGCATCGTGGTGTATCCGGCGATTCGATGTAAGACGTTGAGGCGTTCATAGGAATAAGCTGTAAGGAATGCTAAAGGTGTGTTTTTCAGTGAGAGGAATACTACGAAGACCATATTTCCCGTCGCTATCCTATAATTACATATGTCAGCATAGTAAATCGAAGGGGCGGTATAAAAACTCACCAGCCAAGTCGGGAGGCCACATTGGCAGAGACACTATAATCAACATTATAAAAGCCGAATGTGGCGTTCAGAGCCACATAGACCGTTACAAGAACAGCATGGCCAACTGAGGTAAACCCGGGTAGACTCCGTACGAATATTCTTCTAGTAACTCTAAGGGAGATTATTAGATTACCCAAACCTATATTCTCAGAATTCGATCTCACCTTGAAAGAGCAAAGAAAGGTAGCAATATCGGGTTACGTGAACGAGACCAGCCAAGTTTGACGAATGTGAAACGAAGCCAGTGGGCGATGATGAAGATCCCGATAAGGGCACTGAGTGAAGCCGCATAATACGTTACGGACCTAGTGTTGACTTTTTGCCGTGCTAGTAACCATGCTGCGCGAGAACTTCCGCCCGAGGAGGCGGATGCCGTGGCGGTAGCTTGGTGAATCGAAGATACCGACGACATGATGATCTAATAAGAAGACTACCTTGATACAAGTGTAAAAGAGTAGTGAGAAGACGAGGCAGCTTGCCTTATAACTGAAGCTAGGCGATGAGCTATGAGCTATGGGTAGCTGAGGGGGGGACGCGCCTCTCCTAAGTAGGGCTTTGTTGTATGCTGACTGATCGGGACCGAATGTTGTATAGTGAGTAATATCAGACTCTTTAAAGGATCTCTAACGATTCACCGTGGGGTGTAGACGTCAGCCAACGGCTATGCTTAGAACGATCCTTCTGGCTCAGATGAAAATCAGACGGGCGCAGCCAGAATTATATCGTACGTCGTCCCCCCCATGCTGCTGGGGGGTTCCTGAATCGTGCACCCCGGCGCAAAGCACATGTCTGTGTGGTCATAGTCTTGTGTTGAGATGTATGGGATAGTATAGTGCAGTGTGGTATAGTATAACTAGATGTAGATAAAAAGAGAACCCATAAGACAGACCATGCTTGGATATTCGGAATCCCTATACCCAAAAAGGAAGTATCAGATAGGACGTGGCGCCGATTCGTCCACCGGTCAAGAGCTGCGATTAACTCGCCCATGCATTGCTGCTTAGGTGCCAATCATCATGCCTCCCTACAAGTATCTAAGGCTAACAGGGGCAGCGGTGGTAAGGCCAAGTTACAAGCACCTAGGCTCGTCATAGTTGTGAGTTAGTCGACTAGTTACATTTTGGAGTCGGCGGGAATACGGTGCTACGCTCGGAGGCGGAGGAGCAAGACTTTCTCTCACGAGTCATGGCTGGTTATGGTCAAGAGTTGACTACTTCTTGGTAAGTAGATTAAGCACGGTTTCGCTTATGTGTCTAAGGTGACATAGTCTTGGGTGGACAAGTATATGGAAGTTGTGGAGAAGACTGGATTGGAAAGACAAGTACATTCTCTTCAGGGAAGGAGACAAGAGTAGAAGAGAGGGCCGGTGGTCTGGATCCTGAAGATAGATGTGTTTGGTTGAGATGTGAAGCAAGTAAGGTGAGATAAAAAAGAAATATGGGGGAGGGTGAACGTATAAAATCACCGGAACACTAAGCATCATTGGGTCCCGGGGTGGTACTTTGGTACCTACAGTACCGGCAGGGTCCACGCTACTAGATGCTAGCAGGGTTACAAGGTTAAAGTTCACTGGTCCGCAACAACCAATGCCCCGTTCCGTATTGCTCTAATCGATTAAGGTATGCTATTCGTTCGTTTTCCTTCTTTATTTTCCTTTCCTTCACCTCTAGTAATACTCTAACTTTTACTTCGCCTCTATCTTCTACCTTGCCGTCTACCAAGACGCTACGAAGGCCCTACCAGCAACAAGTTTCTGGTCCCAAATGAGCTACTGTCAGGAAGTCTAGCAATATGGATAAATTGGTTGGGGTCCTTAATCCTTGTTGAAAGTCCCCGGATGAAGTATGACCGTTTGCACGTTTTATCCTGATTGGGATAGGATCATGTTACTTCCCTGGTCTTCTTAGTCTTCGCCGTAGTGGGGATGTTCCGTATTTTCTATAAACTACCTACCTAATCAACCGGAGCCATTCAACTGTCCGACGGAACCGATAATCTAATCTTGATCTCAAGCGTCTCAAGACTCGTCCGAATGTCACGGACAAGAAACGGCCTGTCGACTAAAGGTATCGGGTGCCAAGACGGTAGCTCATTTATTCTACGATGACAAATGCGTCAACTGTTCTCTCATCATGAAGTTTGAACTAATATTGCACGGCGCTGCAAGAATTCTTGTCGTCCAAGGAAATGACAAATCTTCCTACGATTCCTAATCCTAACCCCCTACCCAAACTTTCTTCGAAGAGGATTTGCGATACTGTTCAACCCTTCTCACGCCATCGCCCTTGGATTAGGGTTCGCCCCTAAGCGGTAGGGTCGAGGGTGGATCAAGGTATGGATCCCACTTCACCTCCCAAATCATCGTTACTCAACATCTTGTCGTTGCCTAGGCTCAGTCAATAATTAAAAGTCCCAAGTCATCCGTGACAGCCTCAGCATGCGCAATTGCGATGGCTTGGCATTCTCCACGTGTCATTCTAGGTCCAAGCTATCCCACATACCTAAAGTTCATGACATCCCGATGCATCTCTCTCGGGTCGGAAATTGACGTCTTTTGTTTTACATCTAGAAATGTTTCTTCTGCAATTTATTTCCTTACAGCGTACATCCTAACACACATCATCGACGATTTGTAAGGCGGATCCAACATGCGTCAGCGGCTTGTCAGCACTTGTAGAAGCCACACAAATCTATCAGACCATCGCTAAATTACCACCGACAGGTGGGAGAGGCGCACTCTGCCTTTCATCCCGCAACTAAGATATACCGACTCCAGATCTTACGATAGTGCTAACTCTCATTGGTTTGAGAAGCGGCCCGCTTCTCCCTAACGTCTGGACGGTTCATGATAATCGGTCGAAACGGAAATTGAGATGCCTAATCATAGGAGCTTAATCTCAACCTTGTTGTTGCTGTCAAGCTTTTCATGATCCACAGGACAACTAGATGCATATGTACTACGCAGTACTAAAGATCTGATAACGACCCTGGTCCGACACCCCGTTTAGGCAGTTCACATGGAAGAGACAACAAAAGTAAAGTATTACACCATCCACAGGTCCAACACAAACGCGATAGTCAGGTCAATTCTCCCATGTTTTCTCGTAAAACTGAGGCCTGGAAAAGATAAACTAATTTTCTCGGTGCCTCAATTAGCAAGAAGTCATATGACAAGCAGTCATATTGGCTATCCTCCATTCACTCTCATTTGCTCCTTTGTCCAGGGGCTTGCTTACCTTCTAAATCAACTTAGCTCGGCGCCGCTAGCGTCTAGGTATTATTTACTTTCCGAATTTCAAGGAACGATCCTACAGAAGGCGGCGAAGGTATGAGGCTCTCTGCGCTTTGAGACTAGAACGCCGAATCTTTCGACCGAATATCCAAATCTAGAATGCCGGATAGGACCTAACAGATCAAGATCTAGATCCGTGACAATCATTATTCCGACTTAATATGCATAAGTAGTCGATAACTAGTTGGCTACTTGGGTGGGCGGTTATGAAATGAGGCCACTCGACAATATTGTATGTAAGGACTTCTAAAAACAGGTTGGCTATAGATCAGCTCATTCCAGCCAGTTCGATTCTTGCTTTCGCTTATTCTCGTCATACGGGGTCGTTCATACCACCTAACAAGACAAGAATTATCGGCGTTGGAGCGATACAACGACACTATCTCTCTAGAGTGTAAGTATGCCGGAGACTTAATAATGAGGTCGATACAAACTCAGACCGGAGGGTAGGTCATTAACGATGTGAAGATGAAAAGCATGTGATGAGACATTGGCGGTAGCTAATCTACACTACAGCGTGGGTGGTGTACTTTTCATCCCATGTCGATTCTCGGTGAGGGGCGATTTCGCCCTACCCCAAAAACTCACCTCGTCTAGCCGACCAATATAAGAAAAGACACATACAACTTAAACCAACTTAAACCAACTTGAACCAAATTTACTCGATTATTGACACGGCTCTAGAAAAGCTTAAAATGGCAAAACCAGCCCTATCAGCCTCAATATGTCATTTCATTGATTATACCACATATTACTTCATAATAACCGTCGACATATTGAAACAGTAGCATGCAGATGCAGCGCCAAGGTTGTTCAACTGACACCAATGTACGATTATCGACAGTTCCGTGTTCATTACTACGTCACCAGCCGAATGAAAGGCGCTCCAACTAATATATGGAAATTAATCTACTGGGAGAACCAGCACTGTCGCATTGGGGACCTCGCAGGCAACATCACACCGCATTATGCCGAGAAAAAAGAAATCTGGGGAACCATGAAAGACACACTTTATCGATGCTTATTCCCCCGGATTAGTAACATCCGCTGCTATACACATGCGCACACGATTATATGATGTCGTACGATCAGCGGCACCTGCAGCAAGAAGAGCCGGTATTGGAAGTCTAAAAGAACAAGCTCAAACTGCATGTCTCGCCAGAATTAATTGGTTATCCATTCCCGGGTCGTTTTCGATCGTCAGGTTCCAGGGGTTCCAGAGATTGTCGGCAGCCAGGCGATACAACCTTTACATAAGCTATGAGACGATTGACGTGACATCCTCTCTCTACGTAACCTGTATTTCAAACTATCTTTTATGAAGACATTCATACTCAAAGATCGCGAAAAACTTCATTTAAGTCGACAACATCAACACTAGTCTATACAAGTCCGCCTCAACGGCCCTTTAACGGGGATTGCTCTAAGCGTCGCAGGGGGTGCGCCCGCCCAGTCGGTCCTAACCCCAGAACTCCAGAACTCCGGCCCCATAAACCCCCCCGCGCCATCGACGCATATTGCAACCTACGACTATCTCAGGATGCCAACTCGTCGTGAAACCGACGGGCAACTAGTCAGCCGGGTCAAAGCCAAGCACAATCCCCAGATTCTTGGATTTTTAGACTCTATAGACTATTATGATGGATATAACTTGGGGAGATATGGGGCTAATTACTACCCGTCGAGTAACTATTCGGACCTTTAAAAGCTGACTACAGGCACATCTATATTATATTTGTCTCTCAACGTACGACCCCATAACGCCGAAGTCGATTCACGAACTTGCCTGATGTTATCACGTTATACGTCTAGTTAGGTGAATCTCGTGCCCAACGTAAATGAATATCCACACAGCGTCGCTTTCCGACACCCTTTTGTGCAATAGCAACAATCTTGGAACTTCGTCGTCCAAGGTGATTTCTATCTCACGATCTAATCGCTAACTCAAGAAGGTGGCACTGAGGCTGTATGTAATGACGATACCTAGGTAGTTTGACGGCACTAACCGCTTGTCAAAAGCTCTCTTTCACGAGAATCATGAGTTCACCGATAGAGCACTACCAGTAATCATAACCCTTACCCAACATTCAGCTCTTCTAGGATTACATGACCTAGCTAAAACACCAGAATATATTGCTGCCTAGTCTATACACAGCCAGTCTGACTAGATCTTAACCAGTATCGTCGCATGTATTTGTGTTTTCGGGGGTGGGGGTGGATAGGGGGTAAGTGGATGAACAGGTGCCTTACATTTCTCAACCCACTATCATCTTACTCTTACTTGATTCCAAGGAGCTAGTATCTTGATATCATAATAGACCGGTCTAGCTTCTCTAGCAGAGGTAGTTGTAAGTACCCTAATGTCAACCTAGAGCCCGAGCAAGCTTCGCGCCCCCACCATGCGCCAATGCCATTATCTACACCACCTTCCCATACCATGCTAAACCCACTCTGGAAACGAGAGCACGACTTAGATTCGGCGAAATAATAAGCGCAGGACCACTGACGCAAATTGGAATAACTACACGAAATGGAATCTTGGAACGAAATCTTAGTTTCGTCAGGTATGTATGTATCTGACTCGTTAAGCGCGGTATCCCTACCGCCCAAACCAAGGCAGAGCTTGGTTCAGGTCGCTTACAGATCAATGATTCAAAATATTCCGCTCGCTCGTCAGACTAGAGCGCGGGTCGGGTAGCTTCCTCTAGCCCATCGAGCTTATTCTGCGGGAACGTCTTTTTTCTATCAGATAGGGTGACGCGGCACTGGGTATGTCTGAGTCGTGGCTCCTTAGCCAACCCTACTACCGCACCTAAAACCCAACTTCGTCGATAACAACATCAACGCCAGCATCTGCGGATCGCCAACCCCGTTGTTTACTTACTTACTCAACGGAGCCCCGTCCCCGGTGCTAAGCCACGAGATAAGGTGACGTAGACTCAGCTGCTGACTGGTGAACTCATTTCCCTGACGAAAAATTAGGCAGGGTCGGGGTTGGCTTTGCGGCCCAGCTCCTTGGCCGTGGTGCTCGTCCGTGCCCCGGCTGCGCCGCGTCGGACGGTGCTTCCAGGACTGGACGATACACATCACCAACGACGCCGCGGAAGGCTGTGGCTCGAGGACGCCGCCGTGGCGCATCCCGGCGTGCCGGGCCGTGTGAGTTCTGGTCGCGACCGTTGACGGGGTTGGTGCAAGCGAGATTGTTTTAGGTATGATCGCAGACTGGACGCGGATTACTGATCATCCCGGAACCGGCATGTTTGCAGAATTAAAATTGGTAAGTAGAGGCTGATGACGTATACTAATCTGATGAAAATATGTGTTATAAGAACTCGCGAATCAACATCACGGCCCCGCTGTCTTGGGAGGGGAATGCCCTCGGATGCCATCACAGCCGGAGCGCAGCCTCCAATCTAGGTGCGTGTGTAATTCGACGAAAACGGTGTCTCTTGCGATTCGACAGCTTGCTTTCCTACTTAGGACATCGGCCGTGCTTGGGCTCGGAGACTTCTCGTGAAATGGGCGTTGGCGCGGCCGTCTGACGCCATCCACAGACAGATACGCTTTCGCGGAGAGACTGTGTGTGTGGCGGAGCGATGTCTTCGCTGCTATGTGGCGACGGATTTGAATAATTACAGAGTTGGGGGCGGTGCGCGGAGATTGTACGCGACATATCGATGGCGATGATTTGGATGTGTTGTAAAGCCGAGGATTCAGGGGTAAGACGGCTGGCGTGGAGGGAGATCCAGGTGCCGGCTCTATGAATAGGTAGATCCGTCATGTCATTATGAGAAGCTATGTAATGCGACAATTAGGTAAACCCCAAGATTGGATATTCACTTGCGCTTGGTTGTGTTTTCTATTATAGGGTGTTGCGGATTTCGAGGTTTTGGTGTTGAGAGATCGCATCATCTCAGCTAAGTCACAGAACAATTCCCCATTTCAACTCAAACATGCCCAGGTGACAAAATACTGATAGGAATGTATAGGTAACTACCAGGTAGCGCTTCTATTAACGTCTCTAGAAACATAATTCGTAAACAAGTCATAACTATACCTAGGGGAATTAACACAAAAAACATTACTCAATATCTTCATCATGACATGTCTCCAGTCCAGCGACTTATACGAGAAATAACCTTTTCACCACCCAAGACCAAGGGGAGATATCCTCAACCATCTCCTCTCTCAACGCTCATTGGAGTTTAAATATACAGACAGCATGTGAGAGAGCCATGCAATCAACCCAGAAGCAACCTCAACCAGCAAGCAACCCCCCTATCCCAAAACCAAGCCCTTACTTACCTAGGTAGTAGGTGCTTAGTTTCTCGGCATCCGCGGCGGCTGCAACTTCGGCTTCGGCAAAGACTCCGGCGTCAAATACTTCTTACAGATATCATTAATCTGCGTCCGCGTCGGCACATGGGTACACCGAATCGCCACGACCTTCAGATCCTCCGCGGCCCCAAAGATGTTATCCAGAATCTCAAGGCGATGGTTCCGGTACATCTGTGTACGGGAGTCGACTTCCCGCTCGATCTCCTCCTGGTTGTAAATGCCGTACTGCATCTTCGTCTCCGCGGACAGCTGCTCGTCCGACTTCTTCATCTCGAGCTGCATGCGCAGGGTATCCGTGCGCAGCTGCTCGGTCTTCAGACGCGTCTCTGCGAGGCTGAGGTCCGTGACGAGTTTGAGCGACCAGAGACGCGTGCGCATTTGTTGTTTGGGCTGCTTGTTCAGCTCTTCCGTCAAGGACTTGAGGACCTCCAGAGCGTTGGTTTCGGGGGTCGTGGTATTACCGAGGCCCTCGTTGAACTCAAGCACTTTCCCGCGCAGGAATTGCAGGTCCTTTTTCAGATCCTCGACGCAGATGTGGTATTCCCGGAGATTGTTCTGGTCCGCGATGCTGGCCATCCAGTCGTCGATCAGGGCCTGCACTTCCTTGCTGATCTCCTCGTGGTCCCTCTTCGCTTTCCGTAGACCCTTGATGATCGCGGCCGTGTCCGTTTTCTCGGGGTTCGATTTAGATAGCTTCAGCTGGCTGATCTCGTGGTCTTTATCCCGGATATCGCGACCCTGAGAATCGTTCTTGTTCTCTAGCTCCGTAATCTGACGATCTTGCATACGTATCTCGTCTCTGGCGGCGTTCTCTCGTTTTCGCGACTCCCTCAACTCGGTTTCAAGAGTCTTAATTTTCGCGTCTCGATATGTATGCTCTCGCAGAAGATCATTAATCTCAGATTCCAACCTAACGATCTCGTCCTTCGCCTTATCATCGATCGGAGGCTGATTAATTGCGTCGTCGAGGTCGTCGCGCAGACGCTCGTTATTCTCCTCAAGCTCGGCGATCTTTTTTGCCAACTCATCATTCTCCGACGTGAGCTTAGCCTTCTCTTCATCGCATCGTTTAGCCGCATCCATTGCTAGTCTCCCATTAGCATCCCGGAGATTACGGATCTCTTCGGCCGCCTGCTCGCGCTCTTCAGCCATATCGCACATGCGACGAGCGACGTATGCGACAGAGCCTTCGTTCTGGGCAACGAAACGGTTGAACACAGCGATCGGGACCGTCGTCTCTCCAACGAGATTCTTCTTTGTGCGTTCGAGCCAAGCTCCGGCCCTAATTCTATGAATCTTAGCCGTCATTCTCTCACGCTCTTCTGTTGTGGCCTGGCGACCAACAACTTTCTCCCAATTCTTGACTACTTGCCTTGCTTCCGTTTCAATATCATCCTCAACTTCAGTTGGGCCGGTCAGGATATCCTCATTTGCCTTCTTCTTGTAGTAGTCCTGGATGGCCTGGTTGTTGAAGGCGTCAAAGTCGGCGTCGGGGAGAGAAAACCCATGAGCGGGTGCGTTGCCGTTTCCTGGTGCAGCCATTATGACAGATAGTTATTTCTGCTGGCGTGTTATTTTATATAATCTGCGTTGGATGGTACTAGGTAGGTATATAACTTAGAAATTAAGGTAAGTATTGACTGACTTTTAGTTTTCTTTACCTACTTGTTGATACCTATGAAAGATGATACTGGATATCTTTATGGCTTCCGAATTCCATGCATAAAATCCTAATACTTATACTCATATACGATATTCTAGGAGCTAGGTCTTTGCTCTTGTAGGCCACCATGATTGTTTCGTTGTATAATGAGTTCGTTTTTGCGGTAAGGGTTTCCAAGACAACTAACTAGTGTTGTTCTTCACCCAGAGCTACACACAAAATATGAAAAAGAGTGTGATGAGATTTTAGAACTTGTGATGTATCATATAATCCTTTTGTTCACCTCTAAGCAATTTGTTCAGAAATCAAAGGAAGGAAGTTCTCATAAAGAAATCCATGAAGGGTATTGTTAGACATAACAACTGACATCTACCTAGTTGACCTAAGCCATAAAGCTAACACATACATTTCGAGATATGATGTCAATTCATACAACATACCAGATTTTAACCGATGTATAAATAATCATTTACAGATAAAAGAGTAAATGCTAGATATGTATGAAGCATGTCGTTACTTCACAGTGTTCATATTTGGTGGAAAGGGGTTAGAATGGCTTCTGGGAGAATTGCTTAGTAATACAACTGTCGGCACCTTTCTTAAAGAAAAAAAATCAATTCAAGCGAACTACAATTGAAAGAGATTTTAAGTTATAAATTTACTTCATATAAGTTCTAGCTAGATGAATTGTTCATTTATGCGGAATGTTCCTGTTATTCTAGCCAGCGACAAAATTTGCGAAAAGGGGAAGGCATCAACTGAGCAACGCTAAAGGGGGTACATTCAATTTGATGCCCAAGTGCCGACAATTAAGTACCTAGTATCCTTAAGTAACACACCATCATATTTCCCTACACACCGCTAGCTTATACCGCTATATTCCGACTACATGGTAAAGGTGATTGGAGCAGCGGCCGACGCAAGGGATGGAATAGTCTCTTCCAATACCCCTCGGACCCCCAAACCCAAGAGCCAGCACCTACCACAAGCGTCCGTGTAGTTAGAAAAGACACGATGTTACCCGCTCTTAGCAAGTCTCACATGTGAGTCATTTTTCGTCTGTGTCCCGATATCCAATGAGCTGGAGTGGGTAACTTGGTATGCCGATACAGAAACAAAAGCAAGGGCGGCAACCACTCCTTAGACTCTATTTGTTTACGAAGGGTGTTCAACTCTACGATTGGTGAGTGTCGACCATATGGGCGCTTCCTAGGACGCTATTGTTAGAAAGATATTACTGAAGATTTGCCCCTGTCGACACACCGGTTGAGTACCTACGGCTTCTGTCATGTTTAGTATGTGTAGGTACTCACCTCTCGTTACCTTCCATGTTCTTTGAGTAAGCGCCTTTGTGTAGGTGTCTATGGGTGTATAGTAAGACCAATGGGAAGCTCCTATTATACTCTCCATGGCTTGATATCCGTCATATCATAAAGAGTATTAATATTTATGGGTACCTAGTAGGTAGGTACCTATGTGTGTTAAGGTACTTGTACTAGGGAGACCCGGCGCCTAGTCATAGGGATAAGTCTCCATAGCTCACACAAGTGAGACATTGTTGGGTAAGATTGGCGGTGGGATATGGGACGGGAGCCTTATCTTAGTTTGTATTCTAGTGCCCTAGATGATGGGAGTCTAATGTAGGTCATCAACGACCGGCACCTGGGAGCTACAGAAAAATGTCTTAGCTAGATTAGCCTTGCCTACCAGCCGTATTCTACTACAATTGTAAACATCACGATCATGATGCCAATATTCCTACTAAGAATTAGAGCTACAAGGTCTGGGATCCCACAACTAGAGTATATCGCCGACGATTTAGATGAAGCCATGAGGCAAGGTTCAAGTCTATCAGATTCCATTGAGACAATGTATTGGATCTAAGATGAGACACATACTAAAACTGAATGAAACCAAAACAATGCGTTTCACTTGTAAATTCATCCTAAAAGATCTCATTGGTAAAGTAATCTGGTGATGTAGCTAAGTTATTTGAATAATTCGAAAACACCAGCTTAATCTGGTGTGACAATCTCGCGATATACCAAATCGCCAAAACGTAAAATATCCTGAACGCCAATTTCCGTAAGCAAAACGTAGCTTCCTGGGGAATATCAAGCGAACGACACCGTGGCGCCCTTGAAGCTAGGCTTCCAATACCCACATAAGCTTGTAATAGAAAACCATAGTAACCCTTCTTTTCCATATAACCCTCAATTCCTGAAGACCAAGATCCCCACACGAGCATCAATCCCTCCCTTCACAAATGTACCGAAGTCCCATTCACCACAAAGCATCGCTATCAACCATGCCCCCCTGCGGAGGCGGCTGTACCGGATACTGCATTTTACGGGGCGAATAGTTGTGCTGCGAAGACCTGACGCTTGACGGATTATACGTCGGACTATGGTGAGTTGACGGTGATTCGTATGGGGCCGGTCGAATTGGTCGAAGCGGTGTTTTGGAGATCCTGCGCGTCATCGTCTGAGGCTGCGAGTCGGGCAATACACGTCCTGGGAAGAATACTAGCAGGAGTAAGCTAGCGAGGAGGACCATCAATCCGTCGAGAACCAGAAATAGTATTTCGGACTGCGCGATCGAGCTGCCGTATCCCTCCGCGACTACAACAAGTCGGTATGCCGTTCGCACAACTAGTAGGAGAGTTGCTAATGAGAATGCTATGCTTTGTGTAAGTACCTAGTAGGTATGTTGATTGTTCGTTGGTAGGTTTCGGGTCGGTACCTACCCAACAAGAAGATCTTGAAGGATCCGCTGTTGTATATACCAGCAAACTTGATATCCAATGCATGGTGTCTCGTGCGGACAGCGATTGCGAACAAAATCGCGTGGAAAATAAAGATAGCTAGGGCGAAAAGTTGAATCGCTAATCCAGCGATCAGGATAGGAACACCTGTGTCAATCTTGATGATTGTTAGTCGATGAATCCCAATTCTCACGGTCGTCAACTCACATCACCCGAATCATCTCGTATCGTTGAAAGAATACCTCCGACTAGCTCGAGTACGACCGATACAGTTGAGAGGGCGTAAAATAGGTATGAATACCAGCCTGGTCTCCATGAACGGAATTCGTCGCCGTAGACAGTGACTATCTGCGGCATGACCAGGAACATCGCAGCGCAGATAAACGTCGGGCCTATGACGGTTCCAATTAGGAACAGGATGAAATAACTTCGATCATTCGGGCTGCTGTGCAACAGAACTCGACCGATATAGCCCACCACTTCTAATGCGAGTCCAGTGTTTAGGGTCGCAGCGAAAATGGAACTCTTATATTTAATCCCCAGGGCGAAGGTGACGGGGATTAAGACGGCGAATACGGCGAGAAAGATGGCATTTCCAGCGAGAGAGGGCTCGTATGTGAGAAAGATTCGCGAGCAATAGCTCGAAGCACAACCTGCTGAGCTAGCCATGTCGTGTGGGTATCATCGCATTCGCTGCTTAGGTAAATTAATTCAAAAGCGGAAAGGGAGTCCTAAAGGCAGGAGAGGATAGAAACCCTCACGACAGCCTGCTAGGTTCTATATATGCATTCGAGCATAACATATATGTCTGTCGGGCCCGATAACCTGGGAAGGCTACTTTGAGGGCGCTTGGGTAAGAAGACTACATCGGGTGAACCACCACCATGCATCGGCCCGGGGTGAGTCTGCTCCAATCGTGAGCCGATGTAGCGATCTCTAGGACCCCTCCTCTGCATCCTATAACTTTCAAAATTCGTGTTACTTGTGTTGGTTACTCTGTTGTACTGCCTCCCCCGGATTAACCAAGAGATCGACACCGGTAGGGCACACTCCAACAACCGGTCTACACCAAGACTTTTCCTAGGGCCCTCATCTTGACCCGATCTGTAGGCCAAGTTAACTTATTTTGGACCCACAAACTGCATCTTTATATATTCATTATGCGGAAGGTAGTGGAAGAGGGGGCAGCATTAGTATAAAAACATGGAGTGACGATGGGTTAGGTAGTAGGTTCGGGTTTCTGGTTTCTTTTGAGCACGACCTGAGTAATGTAACCTTGTACTTCATCCAGGATACAGAACAGGTAGGCTTGTCTCTTACCCAGGCAGCCAGGTCACATCAATTGAGAGTCCTAAGATCATGGTTTTTACAGATACCTAGATGGGTAGGTAGGTAGCGAAACTTGCAGACAAGGCTCTAGAGAAGCTCTTTCGATGTTTCTCTCATCGGTTTTTGATATGCCCAATCAGAGGTAGTAAGGGGGACGCTCATATGGAGGGTTGACCCGACGCTGTGGTTCGATCAAGGACTCCTTGTCAAAAAGGACCAATCACAGGAGGACTGGTATATCAGCGCGGTTAAAGTCAACACATCTATGGCCATTCTAGACGAACCCATGTTTCCTTAGCTCGATCTGCAGTAGGCTGCACGTAGCAGTGCCCGAGGCCAGGCTGTACGACTTCGCTTGATATAGTCGAATGAAGGACGGACTGTCCATCGCTACCTTATATGCTTGACTTGGTAGAAGGTGAAATGAGTTCTGACAAGTGACAAGGCGTTGTGTCGGCGCATCCTTCACGCGATACTAAGCAGAGGCGATATAATCTGCCTGTTGGACAGGGTAATGTCGAAAATCCATCACAGGAGGACAAGAAGCAGGCTACTAGGCAGACTGCTAGGCCAGTCACATACATGGGAATATGTTATCAACGGCAATTGACGCTCGGGGGTGCCTGATTGGACAGCTTTGAGTGTTGTTTGCCTAGCTGTTAGTGATAAAAATGCCGACCGTAACTCTCCGTGATTGATCTTGAGCAGAACAATCGTAGAGGGCACAAGCTAGTAGACGCGAGAACCGCGCGAACAAGCAAAGTCGATTCGATTTGCAAGGGTAATATCGTCCACTAGATGAACAGCGCAGGGTAAAATGGTACGATTTTTATGCAAAAAGGAGATCCCTTGTTTGTCAATCGTGTACTTCGCAGACTGAACTTGTTTAAACCTTGGAAGAAGAAAGTGAATGGTGAATACGCGTGGGCAGGAGGTAGAGCAAGATGCGACCGTTCTGCGACCCATAGCTCCTTCATCGTAAATCGATTACTGCCAAGACTCACATATAAGTGGGGCATGAGCGGGAAGCTCGGACCAATTTAAAGTTCTTACCCAGCTTACCTAACAGCTGAACCCCCTGCTCCCTCTCTCAACTTGAATCACAATATGTATGACGTATGTGGCTGGATACGCTCTAATTCTGGACTCCGGATATAACGCAACTAAACCTTCAATCAAATTCGACCAAAGGCACATAGGTGTTGAGGCGTTGAGGATAGCAATGAGTCTATATCGATGCGTCAAAAATAATCGAAACGGACTATACAATACATGCGCTCACTCGGTTCGGGCTACCCGACCGTCCCCCGCTCGGTGGTATTCTACCGATCATGGGAAACACGATCCCAGGCTGAAGGATCTCGGGAAACAGATATATGATGAATATGCCGTCATCAAAGGACATTATGGTGCGGTCTTTTTATGTTCCAACCTCTTAGAGGGCCACTCGGATTTTAAACTAACATACGAATTTCAGCTACCCCAAAGCATCCAATTGTCCTAGCTCACGGATTATTAGGGTTCGCGGAGCTTCAAGTCGTTGGAGGATGGCTCCCGACCATTCAGTATTGGAGGGGGATCTCCGATGCTCTAGAGGCCAACGGGATTCAAGTTATTACGGCAACAGTACCCCCATCTGGTAGTATCCAGCAGAGAGCTGAGAAGCTTGCCCATGGAATTGCCCAAGTCGCACAGGGTAAGAGCGTAAACATCATCGCACATTCAATGGGAGGATTAGATGCTAGATACATGATATCGCATCTTCAGCCTAATAATGTGGATGTACGCTCTTTGGTCACTGTTGCGTCTCCGCATAGAGGAAGCGCCTTCGCGGATTATTTACTCAAAGAGATTGGTACGGACCGTCTTCCAAGCGTATACAAGTTCGTCGAAGGTGTAGGGATGGATACCGGAGCCTTCGAACAACTTACTCGACAGTACATGACGGAAGAGTTCAACCCTCAGACTCCGGATGACTCAAGCGTTCGCTATTTCTCATATGGGGCGACAATAGATCAGCCATCTGTCTTTTCTCCTTTTCGGCATTCACAGAAAATCATTACCGATCTAGAGGGACCTAATGATGGTCTTGTGAGTGTTGCAAGCTCTAAATGGGGCACATATAAGGGGACTCTAGTTGGTGTAAGCCATCTAGATTTAATCAATTGGACGAACCGCTTGAGATGGACAATGCGGAAGTGGATGGGCCAAGGACCATCGTAGGTTCTTATCCGATCCTCACTCCATGATTTCATGCGTGCTAATCCACGAGTAGATTCAACGCCATCGCATTTTACCTAGATATTGCTGATATGCTCGCAAGAGAGGATTTATAATCTGAATTGTAGGATATACGTCACTACCTATACACCTGTTCAGGTTGCTCCTACCTAAGATGTACGCGTTCGTTATTTTGGAAACTATAATACCTTTTGATCTTGCGCTAATTTTGCGACAAAGTTACGGCCGTCACGACTGTCACGGCTGGCATATTCCACAACCAATCCATCTACTCTTTCATGTCAATCATGAATTAAATTGCACAGCCATCGTCTTCAAATCAATATGTGGCATTACTCGCATTACTATATTCATGGAATCAAGCAACCAGTCTTATTGGCTTCGTTACAGTCATATATTAAATTGATACAATGTCTTCACCAATAGACTCGAGAAACGGGCAGAGGCCTCCGCAGGCACCAATGCAATTTCCCTGCTTCAGCCAACTCCCCCCTGAGCTTCAAATGATGATCTGGGAGTTTAGTCTAGGAGATACCACAATGGTTAGACTTTCATTTCCCACGCGATATATCCGCGCAAACCGCTGTCCTTTAGTCGAAATTCCAAAGCCGCATCTACCGGGACGCCTTTAGAATAAGTTTCCCTCTCTCAAACCACGTCCTCTATCTAGCAAGGTTCCCGTAGCCCTCCACGTTTGTCGCGCTAGCAGGCGCATGGTTCTTCGGCATCTTATACCATTTCCCATAAAACGACGGCCTGAAATAATCAATGATCGCCAGAATCGTTTTGAATACGCTTGGATGAATGATATCGTGGAAATTGGCCCCTGGACGCCTCAGAAGAAGCTGTTTGATACCCTTGAAAAGCGTTCGAACCGCGACCTTGATATGATTAAACGTCTAATGCATACATTAGACTTGTCTTACGATTTTTTCGACAATAAAGAAGGCTTAAAACTGCTGTACGACATTGGCTCTCATAGGTTTTGCGTATGGGTTGAAGTGGATTTTCTGCCTATCCGGCCCTATAACGCCGTGATACGTGCGTCATCAATCGAGGAGTGGTTTTTTGGCTCGAGGATAACCATCGGCCAGGTCCCGAAAATCCTGCGATACTTCAACAAGGAGCCGCCTAAGGTGTGGAACAATTTCATGGAGTTTTATGCCGGAGAAATTCCTCCTTTTAATGTCCAACCCCATCTGTATACGGATCCGCTCTTCATATTGAAGATCTATATTTGGTTACTTCATGAAGTAGCAGACTGCCAAGATCATTTTTACGATTTCAGCTTACAGCTCGCTGGATACGGGAGCCCTCACGGTATTCTGAGCATCTTCGTCGCCTTAATGGATGGTCACGCTTGTCCCATTTGCCACGTTCGTGTTCTTGAACGCGTGAAGGAGCTTCTTCCAGAACTGCCCCTGGAACTTGTGGATGTACTATTCTCCGCCGTTCCAGCTACCCATAGATCTTCCGAAACCACTGACCCAATATGGTTGCCACCGCAATCGATTGAGATCGATGCCTTAATGCGTTGACGGCGTATCGGAAGGGGAGCTTACATACGACCTCATTTCGTTTACGATTCGGATGAAAGCGTAACCGGAGCGCCGGTTGAGATGAACGGTAGTTGACATGAAAATTCTCCATGCCGAGCGCGTCGGAGTCGTTTAGACTCGGCTCTAGATAGAAGAAGCTCACACTGCCAAGACAATTAACTATTTATAAACCACCCAACGTTGTCTAATGCGCATAGTGCTTATTTCTGTACGACTTGAAGAGCTGTCAACGGATACGAAAGAAACTAAGGAGATGCTAGTTTAGTTGATGGTAGGCAACTATCGTATAGTTTGCCGCTAGAGGTTTTTCAGTGAGGCAAGCTAAAGAAAATCGCGAATACCCCACTTCCCACCGGTTTGACAGAGACTAGGTATCTGTTCAATGCCGACGCGGGTGTTGGATCCAATGACTGGCTTTTCCGGTCGATGGCGGAAGAGCTGAGATGGGATCGAGTGATAACGCGCATGTGGGTGTCTTCACGTGCCGCGCCTCGTCGCTTAGGAGGCGTTGTATACCCTGCCGATGGAAGAGTGAGGGAGGAGAGGTAGGTAGGTAGATGTGAATTGTGATATATAATATTCCGTCGTGTCACATGCGTAACAGACACTTCCGGCTGCGTGAATATGTAGTTACCTGCCTGCCTACTTGCCTACATACATATGTAGGTAGGTAGGTAGTGATACGAAATAAGCGCACCACTCTCAGATCATCGCTCAACTGTTCGCCACCGCCTGAAAACCCAACAACTAAAGCCTTTAACCCCTTTTTCTCCTTATTCTTCTTCTCGAAGCCGGGTGGGGCGCTGAACTATAACGCCCAACTTATCCGAAACAGCACCGGTTCTTCCCCACAATAGCTCGGACGTCGCTGGCAAAGAAGCTAAAATGCGAGGTCCCTACCTAGTGGGCACGTAAGGCAGGACGGGGCGGGTCTTGGGCGTGGATTAGGTAACTTGGTCGATGGCGATGATACGTGGTATTGTGCCCTGTGTGCGTGGAGGGTAAGGTGTAGGTAGGTAGGGTGGGTATGGGTAGATGCGGCAGGCAAGTCGGTAGGTAAGTAAGGGCGGTTCCCGTGATAAGTGACACTAGGTAGATTCGGGGGTGCCGATTTAGGGGTGGGTTTAGGTTTAGGTAAGTGGAAGGTACTTATCTAGGTACTTGAATGACGGATCTATTGGACTTGATAGTATAGAGCTTAGTTGTTGTTGACTGTCTTCTTGTCATGTATCATGTACGTTAAAAGTGCGTCATGGGCAAGGAGATGCACGATGGATACAAGACGACGTACTCACGCTTCCAGAGAATTCCAACGGAAGTAACGCCGACGAAATCTCTTGGCTGAAGGTTTACCAAAATCTAAATCGTATACGGATATATTCCACAACAGATTCAGATCTAGACCAGCCAAGATGCCAGACCAACGGCATCATCAGCACTACGACATGTACCTAGCCATGCACCGAAGCTTAAAATACACCTGACGCTTGGGATCAGGGGTCCAGCAAGAACATTCTAGCACTAACCTGTCTACCGCCTTATCAAACACCACGACTCCGCTCCCAAACTCCGCTGTCTCCTCAGCTCGACCCGCGGAACCTCCTTTACCTTCTACGGCGACATCAGCTTACGGTTTAGACTAGGCACGCCTGCCTGCCTATACCCACATGCACGTAAACTCCACCCCCGGACGCCGGTCTCAACAGACGGTACCTGGGAGGAGTCCAAGCGTGCCTACCGCGATCAAGGGCATTCTTCCGTACCGGCCTAGTCATGCACAAAACATGAGAGCAGAACGCCTGTGTAACTATACCCTGCATGTGCGGTTCTCTGCCGGCGTTGGCCTTTTCCTTTTTCTTACTTATCTACCTACCTAACGCAGCTAAGCCAAAACCGCGAAATTTCTTTTACTTTTATCCCACTATTACCCCGGCGTCGTCGTTGGGGGACATATCATTCATTCATTCATTCATTCATGCAACACACCCGATGGCACGGGAGGGTCTGGGTCGTCGAATCACTGGGCGAGGCGTGGGCGGTGGGCGTCGAATAGCCTCAATCCCGATCCAGTTTAGCGACCTGCTTAGGTGGTAGCGGAAGTAGGTAGATACTTCGAGAGGTCTCTTTAGGGGGTCACAGTGGTGGTAGCGTTGCCTAGGAGTCGCTTTGGAGCTATGTAGGTTGATACGCTGACGGGCTTGTCTGATAGGTATATTGAAGTATTTTCAATGGGCTTCCAGGAGAGGAGGGGAGCTATGTGACGTTCACGTGCTCCTGGGGTTCCCTCTGGTAGGTAGGTCTTGACGAAACCTCCCGGGAAAGTGAGTGGAGGGTGAAGCTCTTTATGATACGGTACTCTGAGATGCTGGAGTTAGGTAGGTAGGCAAGTAATTGGACCCTTGAAGGTAAATTGGTATAAAATCGATAGTACTTGCTGAATCGGGCTCGGTAGCTGGGTTTTGCGCACGCCAGCGCCTATAATACGGGTGGCTGGAATGTGACCAGTCAACAGTACGGAGGGAGTTCTTTGAAACATCCCTAGCCTTGTACCACGAACCTGCTGGCAATTCATCTCCGCCGTCTCTAGTATGCAGGGCCACGTGTCTACTATAATTGCTATCATGGATATGGCTTCATCTAAACATATGAAAATATCAACTTACGAGAGGATTGCGGTATAAGAACTAAACTCAAAGAATATAGGCCGTTTTCAAGAGCACCTGATACAAGGACAAGGTAGGTAGGTTGGGTCGTATGATGGGTGCGAGGACGTTGTTGATTGATCAATCAACATGTCGCTCCGAGACGGAGACGAAGACAAAGGCTTATGTGTAGACCCCGAATAATGATTGCGACCTAGGATGAATCCCTAGACACGCGAATCAAGAACGTCGCCTAAGCTTGCGAATTTCCTTATCAGCTAGGCTAAAGACTCGGCGCTCGGTGTTCGTCAATGTCTGACTCGAGTACGCATGTCGAGCTTCTCCCGAGCTTCGAGTATAGTAGGGAGCGCTGTAGCGCAGATATTAAACTGTCAGTGCGTTCTGAGATGTGATAAATTAACGTCAAGCGAGTGCCTCGCAAGACTTTTTGCTTACGCACGTACAATATAGGCGCCACCTAATTACTTGGGTGGCTTTCGAATAATGTCAGGAACTCAACGAAAATCATGCAATCAGGCCAAAGCCTGTCCTTTCATTCTACCACGATAATAACCCGATGCAGATATCAATACCCGCAAATCCTACGACAGTCTTTCGGCATGACTTACCAGGGGGTGTGGTTCCGGGAGGGTCCGCACCGTGCCGATATTAGGAGTCCATCAGGCGCCGGCTTAACGGTATGCGGCGCGCACCTTTATCGCCGGCTGGCGTGATTTTCGAGAATTTATGCCTAGTCGTAATAAGAGGGTAAATTTGCTGGGCAGTCGCGTGAGAATTCCACCTAAGAAATGAATGGACCTCTGACACAGTAATTGTAATCGAGGCATCCATGGATGTCGTATTCAGCCATTTTTCGGGAAGTACTTACCTAGTTAGTTAGTCACCCACACATGGCCGGGCCACGATAGCGCGAGGTATTTCTCTTATGCCAACCTGGGCATCATGTGCCTGGGTGCCCAATCCAAGCGTGTTGTTAAGAGGCTCTTAAGGTGAGCCGGTATGAGCAAGGTGGGCGTACCGTCACGAGATTCGTTCGATTATTCACCCCGGCAGGTACAAGCATTGTAGGAGTTGCTGCAGCCGAGCATCTTCGATCGGGCCAGGTATAGAAGCAGCGAGATCGCCGATGGTTGGGGATTCGTCGGCTTCAATGAAACGCACACATTTGGTGCTATGCATATACATAGCAATATATCACAGGGACGCAGAGAAGCCCGCAGAACGGCGCTATCCTCTTCCATCTCACCTGAATGGAGATTTCCTGGTCGCGTTCAAATGGCTTGCTCTGATGGGAAACACGTTGTTTTTTGGTCTTTCCATTACCCATTAAGGGGAGGAGGGGGGAGACCCCTATGACTTGATTTTAACTTGCCTAATAATGATGGAAGAGTCCGACGGTTGTACTCGGCGTCATTTAATACTTTATTATGGTTCTGACCAAGAGTCAACTCATCAGTATTAAGCCATAAGCATAATCATATAAAAAACAATTTCGAAAATGCTTACTTTGAAGGATCGTTGTATCATTTGATACGATTTGAATGAAATGTTTGGAAATCGGAAAAAAACAAATATGGTACTTCGTAGTCGGTCTCATAAGACTCAATCGGCCAGTTGCAGGAATGTGAGATCAAATCGTATGAGCGATCGACAGCTTACATCCAACTTTCTCCTTCTAGGTCCAGAGTTGGATTGCGAAAGTGCATCCCTAGGTACTATAGTAGACATGATGTGCGCGTACGCCTCCGCGGCATCTTCCTTTTGCGTCGAATATTGGGTGGTCTCATCACCTGCTAAAAGTTAGACGTTTCGGATGAAATTAAGCAAGCTAAAATGGGGGTGATTATATCCTCTAGACTGCCAATTGTAGAGAATTTTTTTGGTAGATCTTTTAGGTCTTTTAGGCCTTTTAGGTCCTTTAGGTCCTTTAGGCAGTCTACCACTGTCGGAAGAAGCGCAGAAGGGCAAAATGCGTATAGCGCAAAATGAGTACAGCGCTCGTTGTCTTACAATCCTTTCCCGCTTGTCACCTTATTCACCCGAAACGCCCATGGGTCTAGAACGCTCTGTGGAGTCTGGCTGCATAATCCATGCAAGCCATTCTAGTGGATGGCTGCAACTTGTCTAGAAGAGACAACGGGGTTACAAATTACCTGCTGTATGTCTGGGTATGTCTAGGTACCTATGTCTGGGTAATAGACTCCACCGTTCCTTTGGCGTGTCTACTGTATCGGTAGACTTCTGTACAAGGCAAACTTCGGTGTCTGCAAGTGTACTAATTTGTGGGCTTTGTGGGCGCGAGGGCTTGAGAGAGGGGGGGCAACCTAAGTGTGCTAAGTAGTAGTGATCGTACGCATATATCGCTTTGATCTGTGTAATTAGACGATTTTCTGTACATCGGAGAATACTTTGCGGTGTGATTGCCATCTGTTACCGGGGTTGGTTGCGAGCTCGGGGTTCTGTATGTAAGATGGCCTGCTGGCTGCTGGCTGCTTGCCTCCTGTCCCTCTGTACCGTACGGTACCTACTTACCTAGCAGTGGGCGTTTCTGTAAGGCCACCGCCCACATATCCTTTTTGGGGGGGTGGGCTAATAGTTTTTCGTTCTCCCTGAAAGCCTCCCATCGATAACGACTAGACAAAGCCACTTTTCCCGTTCGCGTTGCGACAATCAAAACTACCGGCGACAAAGGTTGGTCATCCATTGTCATGTTCGGCCCAGAACATGGTCTGACCCCTTAAGAGACAAAGATAGACTTGTTAGTCTTCGTAAGTTTCGAAGAGAACCTCCGGACCTCAGGGCTTATCCGGGCGGTTCCAGTACTCCTCTAATGATCGAGGCTCCAATGGGTGTCGTTTCAAGTACTGCCGGACATGGGGGAGGAAATAATGGCAAGGACAAGAGTCAGCAAACCCAGCTGAATGGCGATAAGCAGGATACTCCGGACGATGGCAGTCACTCCCAGACTCTCTGGATCTTGATCTTCCGAGGCTCCCCTCGCGATATCCAGAGCAACCGAGTCACCGAGTTATATATCGTCTTCGATGAGAACGAGAGCAAAAACCTCACCATCCGAATCCAAGGCCATCACCCAAACTTTACCGTAGAGGAGATATGGAACCAACCTCATCCCCGAACGAGGCCGCATTTCTACCGACGACTCGCGGTCGCGACGGTTGAGACCAGTTCGGAACTTGATATGGGACTACGCGACGCAATCTCGGGCTCCCACGTGAATAATACCGAGTCGGATTGGACATGTCAGAGTTGGGTTGGGGATGTCTTGACGACGTTGCAAGATGCAAGGCTCATAACCGTCGAGGAGGGTGATAATGCCTTGAACGGGATGGTGAATTACATCGCCCGCGCCCCGTGGCAATGATGATGGGCAAGGGCACCACGGTACCTAGCCTCTGCCCCTCAGCAAGTAACAAAGATCCCTGCGTATCGAAGGGAGGTTGAGGCATTAGAGGCTAGGTAATTCATCCGTCTAGGCCAGCGAACTGGCTTATCTTGTTGGTCCCCTCCAGGTATTATTGTTGTCCTGGCACACAACTTGATTCGCGGCCCCTGACTTCGTCATAGTATATGCCTCAGAAATAGCAAGCGAATATGCATATAATTTCGATGTTCGGAATCAGGGTCACGGGGGCCTCGCTCGTCAGGCGTGCTCGGCGACATCTACTCGGCTCACCGATATATTGGCCATTTTCGCCAGATGGAATAGGCACCCGCCATAATAGGATGCCGTTACCTTCCTTAATATTACCCTTCAAGAAAACGAAGCAAGTCGTCTCCGGCAGAGGGATATCTTATAAAATAATGAGTTCCACTTAGGTCCATGGTAGTTCTCGCTGGTTTGGAAATGGGCATCAACGGCGGTGCATAATTCGGGTTCAAATCATCCTTTCGTGTCTTGCATCTGATGGGGATTGGTATCGTGCGGCATACATAGGAATATACCCTGACCTCATATCCGTAGAATAAGGGTAAGGCGTTGAAGGAAATCATACAACTTTGGCTTGCGACTATTAAAAATCCCGTTATCCCGTTATCCGGTTCGTGCTTGGATAAAATTTAGTCGAGATAGTGACCCTTAACGATATGCCTTGCTCGGGTAATACGTAGTAGATATGTGGGAATTGCTCCTAAGATCCATGATGTTATCCATGGATGTGAATCCCGAAGCCCGAAACCTTTTTCCTTCAGGCTGTAGAATTCCTAAGGATCATATTAGTTCTTCCACAACCCGAAGTGAATAATGTTTTGCTGTTGCTGATTTTTAGGTTTAAAACCGAAGTCAGCCGAGCGCTGTTTGTTTGTATGATCGAAACGCTTACAACGCTGCTATGATGTTTAGTAAAAATGAAGGTCGCGAATCCAATTGAAGTCTTTCTAAGACTGTACTTCTGATTGGTATATCATAAATTTGAGACAAAGATGAACATCACGTCAATCGGCTCTAGCTTGAATAGCTTAAATAAATCCCACCTCAAGTTCGTCTACTTTAAGAAGACGTCAGAAAAAATTGAGGAATAAAGATCGTATGCTTAAATGTTATAATAGGAATAATAAGATGTCATGTATTCTTCTAGCGAGGTGATTTGCAATATGTATAAGATAAAATGTTAACGTCGTCAGCTATTCTTGCCTACAACCTTATCAAGAACCTAATTGGCTGTTGTGGTCCCAGAATAACGTAAGCTCACCTGCATTCATGCAAGAGCCAACTGCAACTGCCACTGCCGCAATGACCCATATTAGCCTGTCTTGGATTTTCGATTGGTAGGTACCTCAGAGCACAGAGGCCACTTCGTCGCTTCCTCAAACCCTCCAATTAGCTTAACTCAATAATCCTTCTTCCAACATTCGGACTCCCGAATTTCTACTAGTTTACAACTCTCTTTACATACCTCCCTGGACTGTACATTCAGCCCTCTTATTCTTGCGTTATCCGATGGATGCATAGGGAACGAATAATAGCGACATAACCGGGTCCTCCAAGATTCCTCCTTTCTGGCGTTGCAATTATGCCTCCAGCTTCGTTCAGGAGCTCGGCGCGGGTCGTCATCGCCGCACTCGGCCTGGCGAGCTGGACAACGATGGCCAACGCTGAATTGAGTGCTAGTGACTACTATGTTCACTCATTGCCGGGAGTTCCGAAGGGAGATTCAATCAAGATGCATGCTGGGTGAGCGGAATCTCAGAAGCGCCCTTTGACGTTTCAGCCCTTCCACAAGCCGATCTCTCCTACTAACTTTCTACCTCTACACGTAGGCACATCGAGATCACACCAGAACACAACGGAAACCTTTTCTTCTGGCATTTTCAGAACCAGCATATTGCAAACCGACAACGGACCGTCATCTGGTTAAATGGAGGGCCTGGCTGCAGTTCCGAGGACGGCGCATTGATGGAGATCGGTCCCTATCGTTTAAAGGATGAGAATAATCTGGAGTACAATAATGGGAGCTGGAACGAGTTTGCAAACTTGCTTTTTGTCGACAACCCTGTTGGAACCGGATACAGTTATGTTAACACTGATAGCTATGTCCACGAACTGGATGAGATGGCGAACCAGTTTGTTAAGTTCCTCGAGAAGTGGTATAAACTATTCCCCGAGTACGAACATGATGATGTGAGAGACGAAAACACTAGTTCCTGTTGTAATATATTAACTGAAGCTTTCTAGATTTACATTGCAGGCGAATCATTCGCCGGGCAACACATCCCCTACATTGCCAAAGCAATACTCGAACGAAATAAGCTACCACAAACCCAATTCCCATGGAATCTTAAAGGGTTACTTATCGGAAACGGCTGGGTCTCACCACCAGAACAGTACGAAGCGTACCTCGCATTTGCCTACGAGAAGGGTATTGTGGCCAAGGGTTCTGATGCATCGGGCAAGCTTGAGGCTCAATACCGTGTGTGCCGCAAGGATTTAGCTACATCGGGTAATCGCGTGGACAATACCGCTTGCGAACGAGTGCTTCAAGATATTCTCCGGTTGACACAGACTAGGAATTCCAAAGGCGAACAAGAATGCTTTAATATGTACGATGTCCGATTGAAGGACACCTACCCAAGCTGCGGAATGAACTGGCCTCCAGACCTAACCTCCGTTACGCCATACCTTCGAAAGCAGGAGGTGGTAAAAGCTCTACACATTAACACTAACAAGGTTACGGGATGGACCGAGTGTAACGGTGCTGTTGGAAATGCGTTTAATACTCAGACCTCGAAACCATCCGTCGATTACCTACCGGACCTCCTCAAGGAAGTAAATGTCCTCCTCTTCTCGGGTGCAGAGGACCTGATATGTAACCACCTTGGTACGGAGGCTTTCATCAGCAACATGCAATGGAACGGTGGAAAGGGTTTCGAGTTATCCCCCGGTAACTGGGCACCGCGCCGCGATTGGACTTTTGAAGGGGAAGCAGCGGGTTTCTGGCAGGAGGCTCGTAATTTAACTTACGTCCTATTCTACAATTCTTCCCACATGGTGCCCTTCGACTACCCGCGCCGTACTCGCGACATGCTGGATCGATTCATGAGTGTTGATATCAGTAGTATTGGTGGAACACCATCCAAGAGTTTCCTTGACGGCGAGAAGTTGCCCGATACGACTGTCGGCGGCGCTACCAACCATACCGACTCGGACCAGGCAGCCAAGGATAAGGAGGTTAGTGACGCCAAATGGGGCGCATATCAGAAGTCGGGCGAAATGGTCCTAGCTATCGTCATCGTCGGCGCTGCCGTCTGGGGCTACATCATCTGGCGCGGACGCCGCCGGACTGCCGGATACTCGGGTCTGCCCGTCATATCTGAGCATGGGCGTGGCGGTGGGCTTGAGAGCTTCCGCAGGAGGACCAATAACACCCGCGATCTAGAGGCCGGCGACTTCGATGAGAGCGAGCTGGACGAATTGCACGTCGCTCGTCCTAAAGTTGCGAGTAGAGAAAAGCGATATACCTCGGGCTCGGTAAGCGATGATGAAGGAGAAGACGACGACGGCGAAGACGAGGAGACCGACATCGATGAGAAGGCCGCGAAGAGGAGCGTAGGGGGCAGTAAAGGCCAATCGGCAAGCAGGAACTAGAGCGGTCCTCCGACTCGGTCGAGCGGTTTCAAAAGAAGGCGAGCATTCTTCTTGGACGGCGCAGAGGAGTCTTGGTTCGGGTCCCCTCAAAATCAATAGAAAACTTTATTTATCCCCTTTTCGAAAAATTTGTCGAGAAAGCCATTCGCTTTTTTAAACTACCAACCACCACCACACTGGCCTGTCTTTTTGTCCCCCTACCCCTTGTGTATATATGCATGCGCACAGGTATACCTACATCTATTATCATAGCGACTTTTGCTTTTTTGGGGTACGGTAGGTGTAGGTTAGGTACTAGGTAGGTAGGTAGGCTGTCAATATTATTACAGAGCGTTGAGGTTATATGCGCCTGAACCTGGTTCGGTTTTATCGGTGATGTGATGGTGGCTTGGTGATTGATAAATGTAACTGTTTTACGTAATCTGCCGAGGTACGTTGCCGTAGGTAAGATGCTCCTCATAATATCTGTGACCAAGTAAATGAACTGGCATTTCACAGTACATAAAAGTCACATCATAAAGACAGTGCCATGGCGTAAAAACAGACGAATTTAATTCCTATCATGATCATGCAGCTCGTACGGCATTTTCAGCTATGCTTGGTCCTGTTAAAAAGCAAACGCAGCTAGCAAAGTATTTTTCCGTGACGAGTAGACTATCTAGGTACCTATCTACGACCCAGAACGGGACGTAACCTCGACATCAACAGACAGCTCAGGGGTATCGTTGTTATTGCGATTATTCATCGTCGATGAAAACCCCCCATCCTAGGCAAGGTGTCCTGTTTCTAGACGAGATCGTCGTTCTGGGTAACCTGAGTTTTGATATGTGGTGGCGTTGTATGTGTATCCCTGAGGGAGATTGATTGATTGAATGATTTGATTTATGCGTGAACGCCGCAGCGAGGAGGGGGATTGAAGAAAAAGTAAAAAAATTCAAGGCGCGGAGAACCCCAGTATGTACTCCGAAGGCTTTCCGTATGTATTTGCAAATGCACACTCCTACTCCTTTTTCCCGCCCATAATCCCTCCCAGCCCCATTTCCCCGTTTCGCACGCGCGCCCGTGCGCGATTGAACCTGATATGATGACGATGTGTCCCCCTTTAACGAAGAATCGATTATTCGATGCATCTGCCAGATAGGAGGGCGGCGGACGATGGTATGACTAAAATCAGAACGGCTCGCGATTGTCGTCCGTTGGTAATAACTCCGTGCTAAAACAAATAAGGCATGCCGAGGGGGTATCGAGTCTTGCTAACGACTGCTGCTGAGAACGCCTGTAGACAACGAAATAAGAAAAAGAATTACAAGGCAATATTACTCTGAACCGTTTTAAGAACACTTAGGAACCCGTTATGTGGGTTTGCTATGTGAAATGGGTCTAATGACCCGTTACTTGGCCCATAACCTGCATGTGTGGCGCGTCTTGGTAGTAGAACTACTAATCGTCATCAAGCTCGATGATTTCGATAGGGGCCTTCTCGCGCTGGAGGGTTGTAGTAGACGAGCGTGATGGCTTTTTCCCTGCCGGCCCGCCGCCATCTTCGTCGGTCTCATCCTCGCTGTCGTCATCGCGCGGCTCCTCTTTCGGCTTCCAATTTCCGTCTTTGTCGACGAGAATGGACTTCGTACCAAGCTTATTCTCACGCTCCAACTTAGAACGTACTTCGACAAGAAATTCGTCAATCTGAAGGCTAAAGGGCCTCGCATCGCCGTCACACAAGGGACATCTCCACTTGTCCACGAACGAGGGCTCTCGAGGACAGTTCGCACATCCCGAAGGATACCCACATTGACAAGGTGACTTCTTACCAAGCCGAGTGTTTAGCCAAGTTTCGAGATCGAAACACTCGAGATGGGTGCACATCTTTCCACGAACAGGGACGGTAAATATCATCCGGGAAAATGGATCCGTAACATCAATAGATAAATCATCGACCATTGCAAGCTCGTCGTCATCCGCATAGTTGCTTGAGAGACGAGATTTGATAATATCTCTTGTTTCATTCGATGACAGATTACCACGCGAATTCACCATGTTGAGCACCGCACTGTGGCTAAGGATTTCTACCTGTTCAACAGCAATGAACAGCTTCTTGCCACTTGGTATACGGGTATCTTCGGGAACAGTAAGACGGATAACGTTGTTACCTGTAACAACGTATTGCGAAATTTCAGCAGGTAGGTCCTTCGAGTGGTGTGCTTTTCGCATGATTCCTAATTGGTGAAAGTTTAATTCCATGAAAATATGTTCCGGCCAAATTGTGTCAGTAGTAGCCCATGCGCTCTCAGTGAAGGGGAGAGCTGAAGCACTCCCATAAGAACATCGTAGACGGTAGCGTAAAGATCCATTGGAGAATACGCTGACAGGTAAAGATTCACCTGGCCTCCGTTCTTCCCGAGTGATCCTAGCATGATCAAGTTCTGATACGGTGAACTGGAAATCCTGAACGTATTTCTGGGGTTCAACAACCGTTGGTGGAAGGACAAGTGATTTGATAGATTGATAATATCTCTCCGGTTTCTTCGCGTCAAAATGTAGAGGTATTCGCTTCGGACTTCGAAGATGGGCTTGATGGAGAGATCCTTCTACGGATACTCTATCATAGGGGCTATGAGGGTAATCTTGCACACCGATTCGCATGCCAGGAGGTGGAATCAATCGGTCTTGGCGGACCGAACCGCTTTTCTGGCGAGGTTGAGAGCGGGCAGACTGTTGAGGGTGAGTAGAAACTTGAGGCTGATTCGCCGGATGCATTGCAGCTGGCTGTGCATTTGTTGTGTTACGATGAGCAACAAAAGTGCCATCTCCTGCTATTTGACCGGTGGGATTTGGGACTTGTCCTTGAATTAACACACGTTGGCCATTGAAGTTCTGAGGACCCTGTTGCCACTGCTCAACGAGTTGTCCTGGATGGAGTGGATTGCCATGGGGGACCATCGGGTTAGGCATAGCCAGTGTACCTGTCGAAACCGTAGGGGGAGCTTGTTGATAATATTGCGTTTGCGCCTGCTGGTACATTGGGTGCGGGGAGTGAAGTGGAGACGGAATTTCTCCTTGAAAAGCTGGGTGGCTAAATTGAGTCTGAGGGCTGGTATTATTGGACATGTTTTGGTTCGAAGACAAGGTGAGATAAGCCGGAACAGGTGACTGAAAGAAAGGGCTATGGCTGCCCGTCCCTGGACTGTACGGCAAACCTGGCTGTTGCTGTTGTTGTGTTTGGAGCTGTTGTGCTTGGTGCTGTTGTACTTGATGTAGTTGTGCTTGATGTTGTGCTTGTAGCATTTGTATTTGCTGTTGCCGTTGCTGCTGCTGTTGCTGTTGCTGTTGCTGTTGCTGTTGGTAGTAGTTCAGCGGTCCAGGCTGGTTCGACTGTTGAACTTGATGAACCCGTTGCGCTGGCTGGTTTTGAACCTGATTTGCATGCACAAAGGACAAGTATTTAGCAGCAAGCGATCTGTTGTACTCGGTATACACTGAGTGAGCCGGACGCTCTTTAAGGGTACCATCAATACCAAGATGGTTTGATTGGTCCTTCTTGAAAACAGCCTCCATTTGTACCGCAACCCGTCCATCTGCGATTCCTAGACTTCTTCGTGTTGCTCTAAACATGATAGCCTGGAGGATCGGAGAGGGCAGGAGGAAGTCGTATACCAGTTCGCTCACGAGAAGAGGATAGCCCTGTACTTGATGGTCGCGATGTACCGCCGCCCACTTCTCGGCCAAGCGCACGAGAAAATCGAGCACTCGCATGATGGTGGTCTGGTAAATCAGAACGCTCTGCATGTCGGAGAGAGAGTTTGGGAAATTCGCAAACCATTGAACATGTTCCAACCGGAGCTTCGAGTTGCTCTTGAGGAGCGTACCCATGATATTAAACGCACTGTCTATAGATGCTGGAAGGTGGAGGCCTCGATGGCATAATCGATGAACGCTAGCTTTGTCTATAGCCCAGGCACAGAAGAGTTGGTGCGTCACGACGAAGAACAAGTCTCCATCTTTGCAGGCCTCGGTTAGAAGTTGATATCGAGGTCGCTCAATCTGAATATCAAGGCCCGATTCTCCGCCGACACTAACTATTCGAGTTTGTAGATTTCGGAATGCGTTGATAGAATCGAGAAACTGGAGCATAGGTTGTCTGGATATGAGAATATGGTTAGTAATTGCCAATTTTATATCTTGTTATGAGTATCAAACTAGGTGTAGGCACCGTTATAATAGTAGGGTAAATAGGTGATATGGTATTTTACATACTGAATGCATCGTCTCTTAGCAGGCGGTGGCTCTGGTTGCTCTCGAGGTGGCACCGTTTTAGGCGCCATCTGGGCGTTGGCCAAAGGTATGGAAGGTACCGTGGGCGCAGTAGGGAGCGTAGATATATTCGGTGTTGGGGGTGTATGAAGTGCTGTGTTTGTAGGTGTAGACGTCCTTGGTGCTGGAGAAATATCCTTGCCTTGTCGTGAACTCGTCCGTGCACGAATATTAGAGATTCGAACAGCCGATTGCTCTCCACCAATATTATCTGCTGCAGTAGTATCAAGTACGAAATGTGCCTTAGTAGTGGGGGGTATAGATACGCCTCGTAATTCGGAAACGTCAGGGCTTGGTTCGTCACTAGGCGCGGGAGACGGAAGCACGGTATTTGCGGCTGAGGTCGAGGTCGTAGTAGAAGAACTATTATGTTGTATAAGATGCGTTGCTTAGTAACTGAACCAAGTATACGACATGAAATTAAGTGACGAGGTAAACGTTTCGTAAGTGGAGTAAAAGGAATGTGAAGAAGGTAGAAAAATTATTAAGTATTTTTGTCTAGAAAATACTCGTAGACGTTTACTTACGGGACTGCAATTGTTGTTTGTGTTTGAGTTTGAGTTTGGGATTGGGATTGGGTAGGTGGATGTCGAGACGAGGAAGCTGGGCGAGGCCTTTGCAGTGGGGCTGAATTGGTGGTAGTTCTCGCAGCATTAGAAGTAGAACTAAAAGTTGTCGGCGTCTTCGATACGGGGACAACTTCTGGCTGGGTCGGCGTATCGACACTGGGTAGAACGGGGCGCGTGGACTCTTGAGTAGTAGTGATAGGTTGTCTGGGCGGTGGTTGTGGAGGACGAGGAGTAGGCTTCACAGGTTTTGCGTTGGTGAGCCATGATGGTTGTCGACCACCAACAAAAGCATTTAAGGTAGAATTAGATGCTGCAAGTTGATAATCTGATACCGGATTCCCATTTACATTCACATTTGCATTCGAGTTCGAATTCCCATTTATTCCTGTCGTCGAAGAACGATGTCCCCCACTCGGCGCCATCAGTCATCAGTGGTGATTCTTGTAACTCTTGTAATTCTTGTGCTTTTTAGATTTATTCTCGTTACGACTCGACCTTCGTGCCCCCTTTTGTATCGCGACCGTCGAAGTGCGGAAGACTATGATCGGGTTTATCATGTTAATAAAAAATGTACTTATATCTGATGGATCAATTTATTCTAGCGCTACATAGTGTGTGAGGGTGGATAATAGTTATAAGACAAAGGGAAGAAATATGATTATTTTCAGCCTTTGAAACTGGAAACGCACCATAAGTAACTTTCGGGAGGTTAGCTGGTGGGAAGTGGGAAGACCGATAAGAGCTGAGACAGCAATTCTTTGGGAAAAAAAAGAATATGCGTGCTTTGACGTATAGGATTCACAGGAATGCGACGAGGCTTGAAAAAATATGTAGTCAGCAAGAGGCGAGTGCTAGGTAGGCGGTGGATGATTGTAGATAGACGTGGAAATCTCGTGGCAGTTGTAGTAGGCAACCACCTGCCCAGGTGCCCTAACAGTGCAAGCAACCTGATAAGCTAGCGCCGTTGCAACAGGTTGCCAGCCGGGTCCAGCCCGAGACGGATCGACCTTAGATCTATGATTCTGATTTGGAAGGAAGAAGAATGCAATCCATTGGATGTTACGTGTTGAAATTTGGTACTTGTATCACCTGAATCCCAGCACCCCTCACCACCTCTATATCGAAATATCCTACTTATCTGCATAGCGTCATTTATATGTGTACAAACTGCGCATGTGGCAGGTGGCGACAGGTGGTGTAACTGTGTATTGCACATGAAATCGGACTAATCTTTCAAGGTTCTTTGTTTGAGTTTGCTATCCCGTTCCGTAGAGCCTCATCCTCCGTCTCAACTAATGACACTTGAAAGGTAACATAATTGTTTATTTAATTAGGTATGTTTGATAGTTTACTCAATTTACAGTAATTCAACTTCCCACTTACCACTTGTCTATTATAAAATCGAATATTGCTAGTCTATAGAAGTTAAACAATATACTCTATTGCTGTAACCAAACACCCAATAAGATGTGATATGCGTATAATTGCATCATGTATGAAATTTTGTAAAGTCGGTCTACGGCAGATCTATCAAATACTATCACTCCACGTAGGATCTTCAGTCGTCCCGGTTTCAACGTTGTAAACATCTCAGGGTATAACGCGGCAATCTTGAAAATAGAGTGCATCCAGATGTTTACGAATGCTAATCGACGATGTACTGTGTTCCTTAGACCAGACATGGTGAATACAGGTGTCTTAAGTAATGCAGCCTATACGCGACTCGATCCGACGTTCCCAACAATTACCAATCATCTCAAGCTGCTATACAAGCATGTACGTACATGTTGTTGTTCCTGGTACCTGACTCTCAATGGACGCGATCGGATCTGCTATAAACATGTGCATGTGTATGTACTGTACATACATACCAGACTCAGAGGAGTCCTACATGTAGGTATACCACAAAATCGAGTACCGAATCGAGTAAGGTAAGTGAGGTAATTACCTAATTAAAGAAAGAACCATTTAGGAGCCAAACTGCAATAGAGTTGGCCCGATCGAGCAAATCGAGGAAACTACTGTTCAAATTCTTGGCGCTAAGGATTTACCTAGTTCAATTAGTTAAAGTACCTGATGTTTTCAGACACTTAACATTGCTAGCATTTTTATATTGTTGAAGAGGTATTTGCGAAGCAGCGGCGACCTATCTTGATAGAACGGGCCAATGAAAGCACAACGGTAAATCCCTCCTTCCCTGTACAATACTTTTTTTTCTCCCTACTCTTCTCTAATTTAGGTTAGACGGATAAGGATGAACGGGCACCCTGGTAATGAAAGGTAAAAATGACCAGTAAAGATCAGTCAGGACCCCTCTCAGCTCACTCCGTGATCCGTTCTTTGCACCTATCTAGTCTAGCGGGTGGTTCTCCTCATCCCATCCATCCGCATTCAATCGCATTCCCAATCTTGAAGGTCCCTATCCTGCTTATCCTGCCTATCCTGCCTATCCTACGACGCCTCGGCGAAATTCATATTTTTCGGTTCAATCCTGAGAGTCGACGGCGATATCGTTTGTCGTTTGGGTCTAGGTTAATCGTCTAGGTCTTCTTCTATTCGCGGCACATATTAATTCACACTCTTTAATCTCTTCACTCGTATGAATTTTAGTATAACGACGTCGGCCTGTGCCTCGTCTCATCCGCTCCCCTAACCGGGTTTTCTTGTGTTCTCGAATTTGGTGCTACCAGGACGGTAACGGTAAAGGTCTCTGAAAGGGTCTCTAAAAAAGAAGGGAACATCCAATAGGACGACGTTTTCCACCTTCTAGCCAAAAACTCCAACTCCCAACCCGAAAGCTGAAGAACAAACGGGGGGGAGAGGCGACGTATACCCGTATACCAACAGCCCAAAAACAAACCGATACGACGACATTACCGCGAGTCTTTGAATCTTTCTTCTGCGTATATATACCATTTCGTAGTAGTTTTCTATATCGATGGCTATTTATCGATGCATTTCGTCACCATTGAGACATTGATCGAGTCAGATCCCCGATAGACTACTCCACAGCCCGCAGAGTCCGTTCGGATTAGGAGGTAGCAAGCGATTAAGGATCGCCACCTCTCCTTCGTTTGTCTTCGGCGTTTTCACTGTCGCCGTTCAATATATTTGCGAATTTAATCTGATCCGATCATATCCTGAATTCTTCACCACGCGACATCGCCGTAATTATCATGGCGAAGCCAGACTCCGGGGACATCCTCGTGGTTATTCGTAAGTTTGCTCTTCTTTCATCCTCCGTTACACCCGGATTCGTAATCTGGCCACAAAACATATATGTATATGTATACCATGCCGCATCGGTCGCGCAGTATCGAATCTCATTTGACTAAGTAAATCTCTAGATGATTTCCAAGCTCGCAGCTCCGACGAATTAAGTTTAGCGAAGGGCGACCGTGTAGAATTAATCGAACGTGACGACGAATTTGGCGATGGGTGGTACTTGGGTCGCCATATGGTAAATGGAAATAGTGGCCTGTTTCCCGAGGGTAAGCGATTTTGCCGTTGAAAGGGTAGCAGAACTTAGGAATGAAACATGAGATTGATCGACCCTTTGTAGTATACACACGACCGGCGCCAAAAGGTGTCGCGGCTTCGTCTGGCGTTTCCAAGCCGATCACGAATTCGTTGTCATCTACCAATGGAATATCATCCGTGGCCAGTCAACCGACATCGACCACGTCAACCCAGGACCGCACCTCGACTCCACAACTTACTTCTTCCGCTCCGCCTGAGACCAACCCACTAACCTTGCCGTTGAATTCTGCAAAGCATGAGGGAAAGATCACTCCAACATCCACAGCACCTCTAGTCAGCAAGAGTTTTGCCTACGGTACTGGTAACGAATTAACTCGCCATAACTCTCATCAGAGCCAAGAAAATCCTGTCCTGCACGAGACTCTCACCGTCATTGACGAGCATATCACCGACCTCCACTCGACTCCACAGAATGGCGCACTCCACCATGCAACAGATTCCGGAAGCGAATACAGTTCCCACATGCCAGATCGGCTATCGTACATCCAAGGTGAGGAAACTGACGAGGAAGAGGAGGTATCACATACCCGTCCAGAGGTTGAAGCCTGGACAGCCGATGACGTAGCCGAGTATCTGTTCACGGCTGGTGTAGAGAAGAAGCATTGCGAAGTTTTTCGAGACCAGGACATATTCGGCGAAGTGCTTCTCGGACTAGATCAGTCATCGCTATTCCTAAAGGCCTTCGACCTGGGCTCTGTAGGGCGGAGATTGAAGACATGGCAAAAGATTAAATCCTTGCAGGATGAGGTGAACGGTGTCGTTACTACGAGACGGACCACGCAAACGTATGGGAGCGAGGCAGGTTCGGAGGATATAATAGGAGGGAGGGTTCGGAGCCGGACAAATACGTTGACAAACTCTCAGAGATATGTTCCGACGGACAGTCGGCCAGGCTCGGTTCACGGAAAGCGGCTGTCGCAAACTGTAAAATTGGAACAGATGAGTCCTGTTTCGCCTAAGGGAACACTAGACAGACCGTCAACTAGAGGATCGCAGTCGCATCATAAAAGGCCTTCAGCAGCTTCGGTCCGGGAGCTTCATCATTCGCGGCGGCATTCGTCAACCGACTTTAGACTTGCCCCGCCGGTCGGTGCTGGAACCCCAAAGCTTTCGACCTCAGGAACGTTTCCAATCGCCGCCGACCATTCCCACAAAAAACAACCTTCCTTCGACCGTAATTGGACTATGGGTTCAGCCTCCACCCCTTACCCGCAACGTCCGTTGTCGTCAACTGGATTTCATGATATCGCGAATACCTCCGACACAGACACCACACAAAATCAAACCCCTGAGCTCGACCGCGGCTATTTCTCCGGAACTGAGGTCGATGGTCGGAAACGCAACGTGCTTAAGAAGCGCGATAGTACCGCCTCACATTCACATAAGTCAAGCTACACGGAACAGCAACGGGTAAGAAGTGCAACGGCTATCGCGAGGCGCTCCAGGTTCGGAAGTATAGATTCTACTAGAGATACGACGCCCCCGAGCGCTGCGCAGATGTATTACGGCGTTACTGGCGATCATCGACGGACAGCTTCTACGAATACCACCGAATCTATACGATCTATTCCTCCAGCTAAGGATGGGCCCAGCCCAACTGTCACCAAACTTGACGGAAACTCTCCGACCTCGCCGCCTAACCGACAGGCTGTCCATGGCGATTGGATGTCGAATGCCGGAAGTAAGCTTGGTGGTTTGAGGGCGATCTCAGATGCTATGATTGGTAACTCGAAACTCGGGTCGCCTACCAATTCTTCCGCACAAGATTCCCCTATGAGGTCACCATCAAGAACCGGATCTAGTACACCCTCAGGCGGTCCCAGTTTCGAAATCGATGTTTCGGAGATTGGAAAGAGCCCATACTCCACCATGACCACCACCACTCGCAAGAACGCGAAAAAGACGAAGAAAGAAACTAGTGCCTACCTGCGTGGGTTACTAAAGATCGGTCCTCGCGAAGCAATCAAGGATGCAGACTATAGTGGGTGGATGAAAAAGAAGAGCTCGCATCTTATGACAACGTGGAAACCGCGGTTGTTTGTACTTAAAGGACGACGCCTTTCATATTATTACTCGGAAGACGATACCGAAGAGAAGGGCCTCATCGATATTTCGTTCCACCGCGTGCTCCCAGCTGACAACGAACGGCTCACCGGGCTTCATGCCACTCTGACGGGTGCTAGCAACACACCGATCATGCCAGCTGATAGTAGCATCCCTACTCTCGCAGACAATGTTACCATTTCCCCTGCCGAAAAGGGTCTCGATGCGATGTTCATATTCAAGCTTATGCCGCCTCGAGCTGGGCTTTCTAAAGCCGTTAACTTTACGAAGCCTACCATTCATTATTTTGCCGTTCCCAATCTTCAACAAGGCCGAACTTGGATGGCAGCCTTAATGAAGGCCACAATTGACCGTGATGATACCCAACCAATGACAACAACATACCAGCAAAAGACGATTTCGCTTACCAAAGCACGCGCTATGCGACACCGGCCGCCTGCCCTAATGAATCTGGACGAGAAGGTCGAAGAGGGTGTGAAAGACGATGAGAAGAAGAACGGCCTCGGCATCTCGTTTGGCGAGGTCGATAGTGCAGTTTCTGGTCTCGAGAAGCTAGGCCTTTCAAAGGTTGAGAGTGCAACAACTAAGACATCGGCATCTGAGAACGAAAAGACCGACAGCAGCCTCCCTTTCTTAGCATCGCCACAAAGCGCCTAAACCGCCAGTAACACCAACTTCCCACGGGCTTTTTAGCAAGGACCGGCCGAGCTGAAGCCTACGACCACGATACACAAATTTTCCTTCCCTCTAGCGCGTCATCGGATCTTTATTTTTTTATTTTCTTAATTATTCCCCCAATATCCATTATCCATTATCGATACCTGTGTACGAATGAAGCAAGGAACGGATGCAACGACCACACTCCCACATACCACCCTCCTAAGACAGGGGCAGGGGAAAGAGGAGGAAAGAGAGCATGGACGCACCAGGAAATATAATATCACGGGTGCTTTAGTAGAAGGAGCGAAGGGGTTCCCGGTGTGCGCTCTCTCTCTCGCTGTCGTTGCTGCTGCTGCTGTTGTTGTTGTTCGGCTCCGATTTGTTCCTAGGAGAGGAAGAGGAGGCGGGATAGAGGAGAGATGGGAGAAGAGGAGGGGAGAGAGAGCTGAGGGATGAGGATGATACAGCATTACCCGAGAAAGAGCTGGAGCTGGAGCAATAGATAAAGCCTTAATACAGTGTACTATGGAACAGAGATTATGCTAATTTGATCTGGCTGCGTGATGTGATTTGAATATGTGTTTATTACGCGCGAGAAAGGGGGATTAAGGACGTTTTTTTTTCTCGGCGGGTATCACGAAATTTTGCAAACATGAGGTCTGTATTGACCGAAGACAGGCTGCGAAGCAAACTTAGGTAGGCTTTTTTCTTCGTTTGCTTACCTACCTACCTTGAAAGAGGAAGTACTTACACGTGAACTTGGATTTGAACTAGTCGAGTCTCCAGGAAAACGGGGTTAGTCTTTAGATGCACTTCCACAAAGCTCAACGTCTTGAAGAAACGGTCCGATGACGAGCACGAGAAGCAAGTCTCTAGACATATAGGGCACCCACCCAGTGATCATAAGATAGGTAGGTGCCTATGGAGGTATGTAGCACCCATATCAAATCACAAAAAACACAAGCAATTTCCATAGGTACCTAGGTAGTTAATCCATTTATTCCCCCCTCGACCGGATCCAACAAACCGTCAGATCCTACGCGAATAAATGGCAAACACGCAACCGCGCAAAGCACATCGAAAAGAAGAAAAAAAAAGCGCAATCGCGATCGCGATCCCATCTATACCTAGTCCAACACGCAACAAAGGCAAAGGGCCTCCGGGGTATCATAGCCGTATAAACCGTGTCACTCGTAACCCGCAAATTTTGTTTTCCGCCCCCTCACGCCACTGATGTCAGTACTGTTACGCCTAGTTACACCCCTCAACGGACTCCGAATACTAGCACCGTACGCTCGACGCATGTCCGTAAATCTAATTTCCATCAAGAGTGTTTACTCTTCCTCCAGCGTACGTTTTATAAGCTCGATCCAAGCTCCGATATCCTCCATAGTCTCGAGCGCATTAGCCCAGTCCGATCTTCTAAATTGTTCCATTCCTTGACTATCACTCGTTGGCTTGAGGATATTCTCGGAGATAATGGCGACTCGGCCGCCGATCTGGATCTCGAGTAGGACGTTTGCCGTGTCGCCATTGAAAGGGAACACCAATAATAAGCGTGGAACAGGATGCGCTGTTAGGGTAAGGTCTACCTTTAATGCATTCTTTGGGACTGATTTTTCCTTTGACGTCTTCGTAGACATGAATTGTTCAAACTCATCTTTTTGAGTAACCGGTTGATGACTATCTTCCTCGCTGGATTCTGTAGTAGACGGTTTTCCTTCTTTGGGCTTGAACATATTAGTAAGGAGCAAAGATAGGAACGCGTACTGGCGCAGCAATGGCAGCATCGCAACTAGGTCCTTTGGGTGGGCAAAGGGTACATGGTTAACGACCTGCCCATAAACTGGCTTGTATATGAATAAAGTGTTACGATGAGCCTTCAAGGTGGGTTCCGCCTGAGGGCTTTGCGAGAAAGTGGGAATAGTCTGGATGAAGGTAAATTCCCGGGGCTCGCTAGGATCGTAAGGGCTTCCTTCAGGAATAGGAAACATTAGTGCATCGAAGGTGATGTTCGTTAAAGGGACATTCGTCGCAGAAATCTTATATATCTCCATAGCGACAGCATGAGGAACGATGACTGGAGGATCGAAAGTGGCCATGAAGACGACATCAGGAGTTTTGGGACCAGGCAGTCCTTCCAGTCCACCTTCCGTCTTCACTTCTTCCGAGGATGGTAGAAGAGTGGTAGGCGGCTCAAGCCAATCTAGGAAAGGCACAGAAGTTTGCATCATATCTGTTTCTGTAATATGTGACTTCTCGATATCGGGACTAATCCACTTATCCGAGACTCGCACAGGACTGTAAACCATGCCACTAGCAGGTGCACACTCGATTAGAATGCCCCACGTTTTGGCATCATCGGTATCCACAGTCGTAGATGCAAGTTTTCTCCTCTCTTTCCAGTAGTCAAGACTAAGACCAATTCGACCCCGAGCATGCATGAGAGGACAGCCATTGCGGAGGCAGAGACTAAAGACTCTGAGTCTTTCATCTGACATACGAATGAAAGCGCGGTCTTCATGCCGAAGTTTCTCGACGTCCCATCTGTGAAGTCTTTCCAAGCTTTCCCAAATACCTGCGATCGCCTCGTGACAGTTAAACCCGGGAGAGCCGCTAAGTTTGTCAAGCGTAGCAAGACGTTCGAGATTTGCACGGAATTGCGTTAATCTCTTGGTCAAAGGGCTCTGGCCAGGAGCCAGAGAGAGGTCCTTCAGTAAGATAGCGGATGCTTTGTCGGCATGTTTCTCGAGAATTGGCATGGATTCGGTATACACCAATGAAGCTTGATGTACGACGTGATTAGTGATGCCGACCTCAACTGCCATAGTCTGTCCTGCTATGATCAGAGTCTTGGCATTTTCGCCGGCACCCTTAACATCCTCCCAAAGACACTCCAGATTCAGGTGGATAGCCAATCTCTCGAGTCCTTGGTTACTAACACGACTACTATTTTGGCCCTGTGGAGGGGTTAATTACTGCTTGTATTCTTAGCAATACAAGCTAGATATCACTTACCCAAAGAGCGGCGATAACCGCTTCCATCCTCTTCTTGCGATCTTCCTCATCTGATTGTCTCGTTGCGGCAACCAGTCCCCCAACACTTATGCTATCCAGGTTAAGGTCGTTAATATTCATATTTATACCCAAAGTATTATAAGCAGCAGTAACGGAAGGGCTATCGAAGTTGACCGTCACACTGGTATTGGTTCCAATCATCGTACCGGTGGCGGGGGATTTCTTAAATTGCTGTGGTGAGGATCTAGGACCGTGAGGGGAGAAGGCGGCAGCGGTTTGCGGGTTTGAAAATGGAGTCGAAGCTTGAGGTGTAGGCGCGGCTACGGGGTGCTGTGAGGGTGTACGGCCCTGCTGGGAGGGGCCGTGACGCATCGGAGTCGACATCGTTAAGGCAATGATGTGGCGTAGAGCAGAAGAATTCTTAGGAATAGGGATTGGGCGGAAGCGGAGAATAGTAATGCCTTAAGCTTCTGCGAAAAGATTAAATGGAAAAAGACGTGAGGAGGTGTAGATGGTCGCGATCAACCAAGAAACCAAACGAAGCTGAAGAATAGAGGTGAAGCATGTTACTCTAGTGACCTCCCCTTCACTCCAACTTCACCCAAAACTCTGTAAGGGGTAGGTTTTAGCAGGTGATCTGGTATTGATGGTGATTTTTGAGATCAATTCCAAACTTAGGTTGCAATTTTGAGGATGTCGAGGTAAGATTCCAACCTCTCAACTTCGAGAAGCTCAAGGTTCAATTGAATCGGTGGGGAACGTCACAAGCTTCCAGGGCCCCACTTGGCACTGTTCAAGGTTCTCTAAGGTCAAGGTACAGGTACTTACATAAGCACACCCCACTAGAATCACCTACAGATCCCTCAATCTCCATCAATTTTGCCATTATGATTGGTGGATACGTCATTCACAATATCCGATTCGCTAGATTTCCAGCGACGATCGCTCTCAGCCGCACTTCAACAACTTCCAGGGATCTACGCATTCACCAATTCACATATTTCTTCATAGACATCATTTAATAACGAATTAATTCATCTGCATCCACAAAGGACAAAGCAGTAGCAAATCTACCTAATTATGTCTGAACGAGAACGCCACAACTTATCCTACTAGTTGCGCGTTGCCATATAGACATGTAGATATGGATGTATGTATTGTTGGCCGTCCCGGTTATTTGATACCGTTAATCACACCTCGAGTATCGCTTGGAAGAATGTGTGCCGAGAACGTATTCATGGCGGGATAATTGGTAAAAAAGTGAGTTGTCAGCTGATATATGGCCGGAACCCAGTCTTGTTTTCCACGAGATATTGCATGCAGGATGGTTGGTGTTAATGCTGGTGGTCAAGCTTCGATCGTCGCAAAGACCGCTTGACAAATACTTTCCACAGCTGATCATTGCGTGTAGCTGTGAAGACAAAGACACCGTGAGAAAGTAGGATGATGAATCTCATCGTAACCGTCCATTGTCGCATAGGTCATAACCAATCGAAAGTTATCGTCCAGTCTTGAGCACCTCGTTGATATTGGCGTCTTGCTAGGTGTCGGCGATTGGAAATCCGATCTGGCATTGACGATTAGACCAGACCTATGCGACAGTAGGTAGTTTTGTCGAGAAACCGGATCATCTTGACGTCTTCTAGTATAAACCACTACGCCGGTTCAACTTTAGCCAATCCCCGTTAAAACAACCATACCCTCTCAAGACGCTCATATTCAGCTAACTCCCCCGCCGACGGCATCCTATCTCAAGGCCACACAAAAAATCCAGACAACCTCCCAGTTCCGCACCCCCAATTGTGATTTTGGGGCAAATCTTTTCAGTATCCTCGGCACATCATCGTTCACCGTACCCGACGAGATGTGGATGATGGTAGTTTGTTGTTGATTATTGGTCATGGTAAGGTCCACTGACGCAAATAAAACAACCTTTCAAAATATCTGTTAGCTAACCGCTTGCAAATATTTTTTCTCAGGTATCATTAATAACGCACCTTATCTAGTCCACGTGAGGTTTCCGTGCCCACCCTACCGCCCTTTGCACAACAAACAACACGCAGATATCGAATGGAGAAAGTTCTCGTTAACTCCTCTTCGTTAGCATCATGTGGATGCTTTTCCTATACGAACTTGAGCCTCCAGAGAAATAGCATGAGGCTATGTTGGATTGTCAAGTTAAGCGTAGGAGTAGGAATTTAAGTCGATTTGCAAGTTGTAATGAGCGTTGGAGTATAATATCTCCAGGTAGTTCTCAATGTCCAAGTCCCTATGAATGAGACATTGAAAATCCAGTGGCAATTTGCAGAACTCGATGACTCGGTGCTTCCAAAACGCAAGAGCTGAAGGAAATAAGCGCACGAAAATGAGAAGGAAATGCCGATAGAGCCAATGAAACGATGCCGAGCATATGATCGCATAAGAGAGAATCAGAGGTTGCGATGTGGAGAGTTGCTATGCTCATTCCGTCATTCGTGGCTCAGAAACATGCCGTCGCGTCCAGTGGAAAAACGAAACCCGAAAAGAAAAGAGAAAATAAAAAACGAAAGAAAGAAAAATTAAAATGAAACCAATAACATCCGTGGAAGGTTGTTTGCCGTTCGCAATACGCAGATGATCCCATTCGAGGATCCAAATATCCATTCGCCAAGATGTTTATCGTTAAGACGATATAACAGAGACCTAAGCGAATACTCAAGATGTCTTTGAGGATCGTTGTCGCTCAGAGCGTCTTGCCTGGCGATCCCTGCATTGTCGTGCATACTCGGGGTCGGTCGCACGCTTCATCTCAAGGTACAGCTCATAGTTTTGTTGGTGTTCCGCATAGTGAGGATCACCCATACGGGGAGGTCCGCGAGGCTTCCTGACTGGCTTAGGACCAAAGGCCATTTGTGCCTGTTGAGGGAGTGGTATGTTACCAGTGCTCACAGGAGCGGCAAGGGTAGCTGGGTTCACGATGGGAACCGCGTGGAACTGCGTATTTGGCTGCCCGCTGAAGTCATAGACAGGAGCCACCGGGTAAGCAGGAGCGTAGCCAGCTGAACTATAACCAGTGCCATTGTTAACTCCGTTGTTAGCTCCATTGTACGCAGATGGATCATATACCGATCCACTGACAATGGGACTATCATACATCCCAGGGATGTACGTCTGACTTTGCATCATACCGGGACATGACACCGCAGGAGGTTGAGGTTGAGGTTGCGTATAACCTCCATATGGCTGATATCCTTGCTGGTATACCTGTTGAAATCCCGGCTGAGTGCCATACTGAGTTCCATACTGAGTTCCGTACTGAGTTCCATACTGGCTTCCATGCTGACCATGCTGGTGTCCTTGCTGCGATTGGCGGGGGACATGTACAAGTGCTGTCTGCTGAGCTTGGTTCTGTTCAGTCGGAGGCTCAGTCGGAGACTGAGATTCTGAGTCTGTGCTCATGCTTTTCGCCATGTCTTGCAATTTGTCTAGCTGCTGCTGAAGCCCGGCGCCTTGGGAGTTCGATGGGTGCGTGGTCGATTGCTTTAATTCTGCTACCTCTTCTCGGAGGCGAGCTAGCATTTCCAAGATTACTTGTGCGTCGCTACTAACAATAACTTGATTGTTCGGAGGATTGTTAATAGTTGGAGTTGGACGATTAGGATGAGTTGTGTTTGATGAACTGGAAAAGTCGTGGGAGACTTGACCAGAAAATTGAAACTCAGAAGCTTGAGGGTTCAATAGTTTGCGCTGTTTTTCAATAGCCCCGATTCCAAAATCGCTGGCGCCATTCGTCGATGGGCGGCATAGAGTCATCGACTTTGACGCTGCAGAACTCTCCTTATTCTCAATGTTTGAGCGGCGTCCAATCGCACGAAATTGTTCTCGGATGCGGAGTCCATCGTCAGTTTGTTCCTGTTTGTGGCGTTCGTCAGCGAAGGAAAAGTCTGACCCCTTGTTGAGTTTGTGGATTAAAGTATCGTAGCGCTGAGCCTCTTCTTGAGGATGCTCGGGGATAGTTGGGGGGCAAGGCGCCACCAGGCGTCTACTATTGAACGTTGTTCCACGGGTTGCTGGATCCTGAACGATGGATTCAAAGACTAATGGACGTCTACCGCTTTCATTCTCTCGATGCAGGTAACGTAACGGAAGACCTGCCGTACGTGGCTCCTTAAACTCAAAAACTTGTCTCTGCACTTGTTCGTCTAGGTCCCCCCAGGCGCCTGTCTTGAATCTTCGGGATTCTCTAATTGCTTTAACATTGGCGGCTGGAAAGGTAATGTATTCCTCTGAGCATGAAGAATTTGTCTGCGGGAGTGGAGTGGCACTTAACGGAGAATCTCCATAACGCCACTTCTCCATCCATTGGCTATCTGCCTTCTGACGTCCAAAGTTTTCGCGAGTTCTTGGAGATAGTGGTTCCAATCGGACAAGAGCCTCTACCCCTAGATCGTTGCCACGCTGCTGGTCTGTTGGATACATGTCTCTGTCCTCATCATCCTCAGTGCCGCCCGAGTCAATATCTGCACCTGTGAATTCCTTCTTCGTTAATGGAGCTGAATGGATGAAATCAGGATCAACAGGCGTCATTCGATATCGGCGCACAGAAGATTCATCGTCTAGGGAAACATCCCGGACGGGGTTCTTTGCTTCGTGACCCCCGGATCTCTGGAATTCGGTCTTCGGTAGGCCAGCAGTTTTGGGGGGTCTTAGGGGAGCACCCGGGCCTAACTGGCGGGATCGCCAATTAGGGTTAGCGAGAGCCTCGCTTGGCTTCGCGGACTTGACTCTGACTTCGGTGCTGTCAAAGTTCTGCTGATTTGGTGGTGCGGTTAAGATCTGGGTAGAAACATCTGCACCCCGAGTCGTTGCCACTGAGCCACGAGTGTCGGTGTTGACATTGGTATCGACGCTCAAGTTCAGCGACTTCGCTCTGGCGGCAGCCTTGTTTGCCAGGGCGTGGCGCATCTTCGGCTCCAAGTGCACTAATATCAAAGATTAGTAGGCTACAATTTTGATGACTTGAAGAGATTGGTAAAAATAATATTGGAAACTGGTGACCTAGGGGTTTGAAGAGAGCTGATATCTTACAGATCAGGTCGAGATTGATATTGTGATCAGAACGCGGTAAGTGTGGGTTGGAAAAGGTATTACAAGCGTGTACGCTATGTGTGGTATACTGTGTAGAGCAAGGTATCAGCATGTATTCTAGTAGACGAGAGTGTGCGATTATAATCACTTAGGATGTGAGTGATAGGTATAAAGAAGATAAGAAGGAAATACTGTGCTAACACTTCCATAGAATGTGGAAATAAACGGTAAAGAATGGGGTGAACGCGCAGCACGGAGGTGTATGGCATATCTCCATAGACGGGTAGTGGTCATAGTATGGTAGGGTACGAAGTTTGATATAATGGTAGATATACGTGAGCAGGATTGGATGGAGTATTAAGGATAGAATGAATATTTGGTGGAGAATACTAGCCTAATCGTAGGAGAAGGTATCTCGTCGGTGATATATTGTACAGTTGAATTACTGTATGATTCCGATACGCGTGGGAAAACTGGCGCGGAACGAGGTTGCTTGAGAGAGTTGTTAGGAATCTGGCAGAAAGAAGGAAGAAAGTTGGGTAATAGGAAATATAAAAAGACGAAATAGGGTGTACGTACCCGGAAGAAAATAATCCAAATTCAGTGTTGCTGCTGAAAATGGTTGAACGGTGTTGATGTTCGCTACACGAAGAAGTGTTAGAGTACAAGTGTAGGAAAAGGTGTATGAGAAAGAGTAGAAGAAAGTCTGCAAGGAAGAAGGTGAAGAAGGTGAAGAGTGTGAAGAAGGTGAAGAAAGTGAAGAAGGTGAAGAAGGTGAAGAAGGTGAAGAAGGTGAAGAAGAAGAGGTGGGGGTGGGAAAGATTTGTTGGGTGGATGGGGATTGGTAATGTTTAGGTGTTTTGTAAATTTATGAGGGTAGAGTACGAGTGCCCTGTTGGGTGATTTATTAATGGGGGATGGTAGTGATTAGAGTATTCAGTGTTGTCGACAATTTATATGATGATCGTACCTCAACCGCTAGTGGACGACTCAGATTCAGATTGTCCGAGTACCTAATAGTACCTAAGTATTGGGGACCCTAACAAATTGTGACGAAAACTGTAAGTCTAAAGTCCAAAAAACCAAGGGGAAATTTTGAAAAAAAAAATCTCAAGATACCACCAAAGAACGCTGTATGCCCGGAACTGAGACGGTGAAGCAAAAGGAAAGCAATAAACTCACGAGATTTAAGACGCGTCGTTCCGCTAGAGACATGTAATGGTATCGACCGATCCTTCCTTCTTTAGAATATATAGTCTCTTTCCTTATCTAAGTTTTATGTATCCTGTGCGTTTCTGGCAAGCACGATCACTAAGGAGGTCGTCGCTTCGATTCGTTAGCGCGATTGGTACAGTATTGTCAATTAGGTACCAAGTACCGTGCACCTTGAAACGCTTAAGCCAGCAGTAGAGTCATTGAAACTAGAAGGAGCGAGATGTTTGCCATTCTCCTGGACCTATGAATCGTGTCATACCCCTTGTAGTTTAAGCTAGGTTAGTAGGTGCAAATTGTACTTCTTTCCTAAACCCCTTTTTACTAATAACTATCATATTATCCTTTTTTTACCTAGCAAAACCGTAGTTATACTGAGATATTATTTTTTCTTCGGTTTCTCTCCCACTCTCCTTTTTTCTCCTTTTTATAAAATACGCTTTTGAGATACGAAAATCTATTATTTTCTACTACCATGAGCCTCGTCAAATGATTACAAGAACACATCTTCAATGACATATTCATAAAGCAAATCCCGACACTCTACAACTAGCATATCGTACAATAGGGGTATTTAAAAATCCCTAAAACATCTTATTCTAGGTAATAGCCCACTGCTTGTATAGAAGCTGAACTACTGCTTAAAGCAACTGCCGTTTTTATTGAGAGGAGGTTGAAATAAGCTATGCGTACAATCTTAGCACATATTCCGGGTTGATCTCGTCATCCGGTCTGAGAGCCCCCTGATGCTAAATTTGGAATAAAAAGCGATAAATACCCAAGGGTAATCACTGGTCATACTATTGTCCTAGTCACAAATATAAAGAAGAGGTCAGTAATCATGATGCTATATCAAGTAAAAGTACGTTATAATTGAAGTCAATTCACAAAAGCAATCCTGCTTCGTTATTATCATTCACATTTTAATTTCCCCAACGTAGAAGTGAAAGTAAAATAGGTATCCAATACATGAGCTGCCCGGCACTGGTATTTTGCAAACGTAACTAGAAATATATCCCATTTGTAGAAATATCGAATATTGCCTTGAATATCCAAACGGTAATAATTACGGCGGCGCAGCGTTACCCGCCATATAAGCGCCAAAAGATCTCTGTACGGTATATTAGTCAACCAGGCGCCCAAGACTAAGATGTATCGAGGAAAGAAAAAAAAGAGCAAACAAATGCATTACTTACCGGGTTCCTTGTTTGCAAGAACACAGTGCCCGGACCCGTAAACTTGCAGACGAGGCCCTCTCCGCTAGCAAGCCCACCCATAATACCACCGCTAGCCACACGTTCCATGACGTACTTCACATTCCACGCGACCAGATGACCGTTATCGACGATATACCTCTCACCCTCAGCGAGGTCCTTGCGGATGATAGCGCCGAAGCTGGTGATCCACAGTAGACCGATACCACTGATCTTGTGGACCCACAGCCCCTCCCCGCTGAACATAGCCTTTCCGAGACCCTGGCGCTTGTAGTCGCGAACGACGCCCTGGGTGTTGGCCACGTACGAGTCTTTTCCGACGCTCCAGGACTCGTCGCCCGTTAGACGGATGGTGGTCATGTCGCCGAGCATACTAGGGGCAAGTAACAATTCACCAGGACCAATGAAGGTCGAGTGACCGAGCTCGCCGCCGCTGGCCATCAACTTCTTCATGCTGAACTTGTACTCGCCCTTCAGCGTGATTGTCGGGCTCATGGCGATCAGTACACCCGGCTTTGCGCTTATCGGACACCCCATTGCCAGCTGAATCGTGATAATCGTGTTGCAGTCTCGGTGACTGATGCGATATGATCCACCATTGAATGTACCCACGTCGTCTAGAGTCGCTGCGGCACCCTGGAAATGCGAGGGTCCAGCAGCATTTGAGGTGGTCCGCGAGTGATTCGGTCCCGTCCCTAGAATGCTTTGCGCTTTCTCGTTCGGGAACCCCTCGGGAGGGTTAGAGACTACGTCTCCATATGCTGGTGCAGCACTGCCTGGTGGTGTCATTGCGCCATCGTTCCGAATGGGCAAGGCATGTTGTGCTGGCTGGGAAGGTGGGGGTTGGTATACTGGTGTTCCGATCTTGGGTGGCGGAGATACAGCCTGTTGTGGTGGCGCTGGATAGTTCTGCTGTGGGGGTGCTGGATATGATTGTTGTGGAGGAGTGGGATAGCTTTGAGTTTGTGGAGGAGGGTAGCTGGGAGTTCCAGGCGGCGGAGGATAAAATTTCGTCTGGTTTGCGGGAGGAGATGTGGGTGGTGGCGGATAACTCTTTTGGGGTGCTGAAATTGTTTCCATCAGTCTTCTGCTACCGGTCGCCGTCTAGGGGCAATGGATTTCTAGACATACCTGTTGATCCAGCCGCACCAGGGGGCGCTGTATACGACTTATTAGTTCCAATCCTAAGCTATGACACGGTAAGTCGGAATGAGGGTTACGCACGAGGATAATATTGGCCAGACATGATGGTTCAACACTTCTTGAGTTTTTGAGTATAGAGAATACTCTGTTATTGTTAGCCTCGCGTTTCAATGAGGTGGTGTAGCTGGAGGTGCAGTTGAAGGATCGTCAAGGTGGAACAGCCCCGCATCCATTTCACACTTACCTTTGCCGTGCTTCTATTATATGGAGATGCAAAGCGGAATAGCTCAACTAACTCGGGATATGTGGTTTTCAACAAGATAGCTTTAGATGAAGTTTTCAGAAAATCGCAGTTTTAGGGTCAAAAAGGGGAGGTAAATAGGTGAAGAGACTCGACGGTGACAGATGGCCACTTTTTGGGTCGCCATCTTATCCTATAAGGCGAGCTGGCTGCATACATATGTACTCCTTATCCCTGCGAAAGGGAGATCCCGCAGATAGGTAGGCTGTGCTAAATACAGCTTGACCAGCTCCTCGGCGTCGATGAGATTTGTCCAATCATTAATGAAGCTGGAGAGTTGTAACTTGCTGTAACCAACCCCATTGATCCCGACAAACGGTGTGGGGAGTATGATTACGCGCTATGCCCCGCTCATGAGCGCCAAAACAGGCGCTTATAGATAACCCCTGTCGATTTCTAGAATTCGATTGGCTATTAGAATCGGGGGTTAATTAATTTGGGGGCCTAACAGGCTGATTGGAGAAGGGACAAGTACCTGAGTACCTGGTGGGGTATCCGAAGTTCCGTAATCTGTACCAGCAGCTTTTGTAACCCTTGCCCTTGATTTTTATGAATTCATCAACTCTTCGATGTCTCGGTCTCGGCTACAACTTACAATTGATGGCGTAGCGTGTCCTCATTTAAACGACTCTTGACATTCATCAATCCGAAACCACGAGTTCACTATGAGACCGTTATTGGAGTGGTCGTTGGTTCCGCATACTGTCCTCTGGCTCTCATTCGCCTATACTCTTCCTGCACAACCGGCTCGTACTTGACAGGGTGTTTCTCATCTATGCATACTGATAAACATTCAATAATAGCTTCCGGGTCTGGAGAAACGAAGTATGGGATCGAGTATCTTGGTCTTGTCATAAGCTTTCCATCAGCTTGAGGCTTGCTCTGAACTGGTGGAAGAGTGACGCGATGGAGCGTCGATTTCAAGAAATCTTGAATCCCGACGTCAGTCATTTCACGGAATATTAGTGGTAATAAAGGCGCGCCGGACATACCATTGCTCCATCTCATCAATAAGTCGCCCACGTTCATAACCAAGGTATTCTTCATCGGCGTCGCATCAACGAAATGGTTCCGCTCATTCGGGTGCTCAACTTGCAAACCTCCGCAGTCGTCTTGGAATAACATTGTGATCGTACCCCAATCAGAATGAGCGGGCATACGAGCGACTTCGTTACTGGAAAGCTTCTCTGATTCCACTGGCGGGTAGTGAAGTAGCCTTAATTGGTTATTTTCGCCGCTATGAAAACGAAGAAAGAAGTCCTCGTCTTCAAGTCCAATTCCGATGGCTAAAGCACGCAGCAATTCTTTTCCTATTCCGAAACACTTCCAGTAGAATGGCACCATAAATTCACGGAAGCCAGGGAGGATGTCTTCGGGTATCCAGACGTTCGGCTGTAATTTGGATTCCTCACTGCCAATTTCATAGCTCTCCTTTCTGGGATTAGAGATTTGTCAACCTAACAAGAATTGGTGGGCTGGGACAAACCTTGACATCTGAGATTTTCCGGTTCTCGGCCTCTTTAGATTCGTCGCCATCTTTGATGATATCTTGCGATACCTTTTCTAGACCAGGCCACGAATATCCACGGTGGACATTAGGGCCTAGACCATACTGTTACCATGATTGATCATCGACACTGGATTACATAAACTTACCTGGTGGATGGGGTGCTAGCATCTTCTTCTCCCGAGGTAGATCGAAGAGCTTCTTGGACCAACCAAAAGCTTCCTCCAGCAAATCATTGGGTACTCCATGGTTGACGACATATACAAAGCCAACTTTGCGACATGCGTCTGTTAACTCTTGAGCAATATGTTTCTTATCTTCAGTTGAGCCCATCGACCATACGGCAAAGTTCACCACTGGAATTGCTTCTCCCAAAGACATTGTGGATGTTCTTGATGCGGATTGTCTAATGGCACTTAGGTAGGTACTTTCGGAATCGATTCAATTTGAGAATTGTGAATCTAAGATGGAGATGATTACCTTCTTACACACATATTTGGCCCTCCACTCCTATGGTTTACTCCGGAACCTTCCTATCAAGCGATGCGGGGTCGTCACGACGCCGGTCCTCTAGCTCCAGGTTTAATGCTGTAGCATTATCACATCTAAGGTTATTTCCGGAATCAGCGATCGCATACTTCATTTATTAAAAATATTTGAATCGATATACTTGAAAATCAGCGAGATCCTTTTGAATTAGAAAGCTACGTAGTTTTGACGTAGTTATAGTATACCTAGTGTCGCGCTTCAAGGAAGTCGCTTTCAAACATCGCAAAGCCCCACATCGATTCTCTTGTCCCCCCTGCTTCGTAGGTACTCATTCGGCAGTTTCCTCTATCATCACATCATCCGTTTAACATCGTTTGATATGTTGAAGTTAAGCAGCTCATGCACAGGATTCTGAGCTGTATTTTTTAATTACTCCGCGGCTATTTTCTTTCAAAACAGCAAATTCTTCGTTTTCCACAATTGTCGATTATTGGTGAAAATATAAATCATAGCTGGTAGTATCTGACCATGTAGCCAGCTGCAACAAAAGCCACCCCTCAGACGTATGAAGATTATAGGGCGTCACGATCGCCACAAAGCTGAGACCGTTTCCGGAGCTTCCGTTAAGTGTAGGCCATCTGGCCAAAAAAGCAATCACACCAAGGTCGACAATGTCCTCATACTCGCCAATGAAAGCGTCAGATACTAGATATGGAAATTTGGATTTGCCTTCCACTCGATACGATAGAAATCACCGAAGCTATCATCACCAATTCCCCCGTCGGATATCAGTCAATACTCCAGCCAGGCACCTAATAACCCACAGGTCATAAGACCCACGAAAAGGCGACCCTGAGGGAACGCTGGCCCGCCGAACTCCGGATCGACTCCCATCGTTTGCGGCGGAAGAATTGAAAGTAGTCCAGCAAACCAATAAATAGATCCGGACAATGCGCTCATAAATAGGAACTCACGTTTGAGCTCCCGTGTCCGAGCAGGACGCCACGTATAATAAAGCGTCATGACCGACAGAATCATGGCAAGGCCGACAGTTTGCACGTTGTGGAACCTGTTGAAGATATTAGCAGGGAAAAAGGAGGGGGTTGGATAACTAATAGACTTACTTGGCATGTGGCGGCCATTTCGGATTGAACATATGGGTTTCGCTGAAATAGTCAGCATTCAATGTGCCAATGCACATTCCAAGGGCATCAATCGTAAGTAGTAGACGACCTAGCATCGTGAGTTTTTCCCCCGGTTCAAAGAATAATTGAGAGGGTTTTGACAATATATTCGTAGGTTGACAGACGGAAACTATGAGGGTGTCTACCCTTCCCCAAGCTTAAATATATAAATGCTTTGGAGGTCCGGACGCATCCATCCCTCCATTCTTAACTAATGTTGTTAGGCCATAAGCTCGGTGTGAAGGGGTGACGTACCCGGAGCAAACAACGTCGCTATACTAGAACTGGGCATCTGGTGTGATAAAAATAGCCTTGGCATAGAGCTTCTTCACACATCGCATTGGAAGCATAATGTCGAGGGATGTCCGTATTACTCCGACTTATATGCAGGCGATACTTTTCTTCAATTATACACCCATCTTTGTGTGCTACCCGCATACCTAGTACGTATCGTTACCGTTACCGTTATCGTACGTCTTCCTGAGAGTTCGTACTACCTACCTAGATAGGGCATATTATACGTACGCCTGTCCGAAATTGTGCACAAGCGCTCAAAAGTGCGAACGCGATCAAGGCTCTTTCTTCGGGCTATACTTTTGCAGTGTAATCAAAACTCGAGGCCACCCGATGATGACTCAATCTTCTATAGGAGTCAACGCGATCGTGAAAGAGCAGATCTCTACCGACGTCTAATATAACTGCTCACTAGGTACCTACTCAAGGAGTCGCTTGGCTATCGCATCAGTCGGATCCCTCTTCATTTTTAGCGCTCTAAGCCTCTCGAGCTTGCCGGCATCTCGGAAGCGAAACTCGATCGGTCTTGCGTAAATGTTGTTCTAAAAGTCCACATACTCTAACCGATTAAGCCCTCGCATAATTACGATTGGCTCGTCATCGAAGTCGTCCACCTTTTGACGGGTGTTGACGGTACGTAATCACGGTATCTTACAGTGGTGATGCAAATCGAGGACATCTACTTAAGCACCCTTGACTGAGGCATGGAGGGTGCAAGCCGCGTTTGCGTCGTTGCTTTCGGTAGGACCGGTTTCGGACGGGACCACAGTCCCGTCATGCGCATACCCACGCGCTTATAACAACGAAATTATGGACACGGTAAGTTGCATACTCTGAAGAAGAAATATAATTCATAGTGTCGGATAAACCAATGGTTCCCGATACCTTGTGATTAACATTTTGAGATATATCTATCCTATAACCTCTAACAATCCTGAAGCTAGAACCTGGGCTAGCTACCGCGCCGCGGCGGTGCTAAGTACTAGGTGCCGTCTCAGGGGTAATAAGTATTGGCGATCCCCGACTATTACCAAATTCTATCATTTCTCAACACTCCCATCTTCTGGTGTGCCATTATCGACGGCTTTACGGAAGAACCCCTTTCCCTCGGCTTCCTTGATCGCCTTGACGAAGAGACTCGCCATCATTTCATACCCCTTAACTGTAGGGTGTGAACCATCGGGTCCGATGTCATCTGTCGTAGGAGTCCCAGGGACACCTTCGCTGGGATGCATCTCAGCTAATACGACTGGCTTCTGATCTGCCTCGAACCCCTTCATCATATCTCGATACTGCTTATTCATATCCAAGACCTTAGGCTCCTTATCGGGGACTTTATTAGTCAACATGGTGCTCATGATGACCGTTGATTGGTTTGAAGCAGTCAGCAGGTAATCGATCAAATCTTTCATTTGCGAGCCAACTTTGTCGGTGTCCTTGTTCTGCAAAAGATTGTTGGTCCCGAGATGGACGACGAAAAGGTTGGGCAGTGACTGGGGTACGATCTTCTTGGCATAGTCGTGCATCTCCGTGACCTTCTTCCCGCCATAGGCTTCAACCTCGTTGTCGACGAAATCACCTAACTGTACAGATCCCACCATGTTCACGATGAAACCGGAGTCGACTAATTCATCACGCATGGGTTTGCGGAAACCGAGGTAGCCGGGAGAAGTCTCGCCCTTGACGATAGAGGCGCCAAGAGCCATGATTCTTAGAGGAATCACATGTGAGACTGCAGCAGAGTTGACGACAGATGGCGTAAAAGAGGGTTGAGTCGAATCTGAAGTTGCAGATCCTAGGGCAGTAGACGTCGGTGTCGACGTTGAACCTGGCATGCTTACATCATTGACTACCCGTTTCTGGCTGGTAGAATCATTAGAAGGGCTGCCAGCGTGAATTGTGCCGGTCGCTGCAAGAGCTAGTCGATTACGCTTGATGTTAGTATGTAAGATCTACACATTCGACATTTTCAAGGGAAATTTTTGGCAACTAACCGATTAACACGATAGCCGCGACGAGGAAACATCCTAATGCCGCGAAAGCCGCAATTAATTGTTCTCTGTGTAAAAATCCGAAGCAAGAGGCTTTTCGCGGCTCGACGCTTTCCTCGGATCGATCATGCTCCATGTGTTGTTCTCCCAACGCGCCGGCACTCCAAGGCGACTGAGGAGCAAGGTGAAAGATCACATCATTTTTTCAAAAAAGAAAGTGAGACTTCTGAGGTTGAAATAATATCCCACGCATCTACTTAACCTGGATCAATATAAGCATGGAAGAGATTTGCCAAGTCCTTTAGCTCAAGCCTCGCCCACACTTCCGGCTGATTTCTGACACTTTGATTTGACCGCTGGCATCTCGCCAAGAGATTGTTGCCCGGTTCGCTCATCTCACCCGGGTATCGGCACGCGATGAGTCGTGAAGCTTGGCTTGACGGGAAAGAATATGGTTACCTAATCAGGGTCCAAACGAAACCGGCACCTAATTCTACATGCGTAGAAGACGTGGCTGCAACAATGACGTCGAGTCTCGGATATTGTTTAAATCCAGATGGCTATAAGAAGCTTCGGACGTATCGTGCATTGTGCATCGCCTGTCGACAGCTAGAATCACGATGCTTACGTTACGAGGCGACACAGAAGCACGAAAAAGAGCCAAGTTTATAGAAGGGAATTAATGACTTTTCATTACCTCTTCACCTAAAATAATAGCTGTGAAACTCTTCACTGCCAGTACTAGGTAATAATTATATCCAACAACGCCCCTTTTCCCCAAAGCCCCACACCAACCTTACCTACTCACCAAATAAGCCTACCTTCTTAACCCTTCAAGAAACCTTCATAACCACCACCAAGCCCCAGGCCCGTGGCAGTAGTAAGTGTTCTTATGTATATCTCATAAATCCCACACCACATCTCACGCTCATACCTACCCGCTCCCCTCAAACCTCATCCCGCCAACGAATCCTCCTCCCCTCCCTCTCCTCCAACAACCGCCCCAACCGCACCGCCTGCAGCGCCTCGACCAAATGCTCGCCGGGATCGGTGTCGAACACGCGGCCCGCGCGCTTGCGCTTCGTCGCCGAAGCCGACGAGCTCCGCTCATACACGAAGCGCTCGTATCCCGCCGCCCGCGCGTAGCAGCGCAGCAGCGGGTCGTAGCAGAACCGTTGGAAGGCCTCGCATGTGGGGATTACTGAGGGGTTCAGGGAGACGGGGCTCGTGCGTGCGAGCTCGAGGGCCTCGTCCGCGAGTTCGAGCGCGGAGGCGTATTCGCTCCGCGTTGGGGCGCGGCCGAGAGGGCGCAGGATGTGTGAGGCTGTGGTGTGTAGGTGTGTGATTTCGGTGAGGACGGACATTTTGAGGGTGCGCTGGTGGGAGGTTCTGGAGTGTGTTGTGTCTGGTGAGTTTGGGCTTTGAGTGAGGCTTACCTGGTCACTCCGATCTCAGATGCGGAGTTTGTGGTTCTTGGGAGAGGTAGGTTTGGGGTTAGGGGTGGGAATTGGTGGTTTAAGTATGCCATTCCGAGTGACAATGGAGATTGTTTGGGTTTGTTTCTTTGGGGTTTGTCTTTGTCTTGGATTATGCGTAGAAAGGTATGAGAGCTCAAAGGTTGGAAAATGGGATTGTATGAGGAGAAAGATGCACAATGCATGATATGCGACGTTAAAGATTGATGATATTGCTTTATCTCTTGGTTAAAATTTGAATTGGCTCTCTTGCGAATGCTGTCACAAAACTGGATTATGAGATTACTCCTTTTTTCCGACGGCGTCATGAGATAGTTCTTTACCTTAGGAGGTGCCTTGTATTTCCTACCTACACACTACCTAGATATTATAATGTATGCCTAATTCAACATAGAAACTCAAAGTATTTTCTGAGAATAAATGGCTGACATGCTCATTAACCTTCTCCGTGTTTACCGAAAAGGGGCGAAATCATCGTAGGCCGAAATATCCCCTTGTATGCCTAAATAGGTAAGTCACCAGCTCTATGATCGGCTATGCATGGCTGTCGTGTAACATATGGGATAATTACAATTAGCACATCCAACCCCTTTTCTGACCCCATTCCAAAGTGGTACCTATTACCAACCTCAAGATATTACCTGAGTTCTACTTGATCGTTTCAGAAAGGTAGAGTTGCAATAACTTATACTGTCTACTAGGTATCCTTTCTATAGATATGTTACTAGGTAGGCATTAGGCACCTACCTAGGTAGATACCTAAGTAATAATTCACCACGGGACATTCATGAGTTGGGTTATTCTACCGCCGGACTACGATTGTTCCCGTTGACCGTAAACTCTTCAAATCAATCACCCTTTCCCCGTACGATTTTAAGCATGGCGTTTTCGCCCCCAATACTGCCGGTGGGTCTTGCTGCGCCCCGGTCCGTCTTACTGTGTGAATTATGCCTTACGACCCCAGCATGCAACCTCATCCTTCAGCTGTCGCTTTCTCCTGCGCCCATGCAAGTAGCGGGAGGCCAACGATCTGGTCATCATGATATTACGAAAGTAAAAATACATCACACAGAGGTATGCCTCTAAGTTACACTGATACTCGACGATAATTAGGCAACTAACTGGATTTGAAAGCAAGCGGCGCGGAAACAGCCTACCGGATTATTTCCACTTTGACCTCTTTCATTATTTAGTGTATGAGGTCAACTTTTTACAGTTAAACTAACAACATGCCCTCCAATGCGGCTCCTTCAAGTTCATACGAGACAGTTGGAGGAATTCAATGGGCAGCCCGCCCCGCCTTATGCTATTCTTGTAAGTGTGCCCAGTAAGCATGTATTTCAGCACATATGAGGTGAGAATACTCTAGATCATTACTAATGCTAGATACTAGTCACATACATGGCAGAAGCATGAGATAACTTTCCGAGATATTTCAAACCCGGATCACACCAGCTATGAGCAGTATACGAAGATAGATGGGTGCTGTCGACAAGCTGCTAAAGATGGCCTTGACTACGTGTGGATCGACACTTGCTGCATTGACAAGTCAAGCAGTGCTGAGCTCTCCGAGGGTATTAATTCGATGTTCCGATGGTATAGACAGTCTAGGATCTGTTACATCTACCTGTCAGACGTATCCGCAGATGATGATCCATTTAGCGACGATTCAGAGTTTCGAAACAGTCGCTGGTTTAGAAGAGGTTGGACGCTCCAAGAATTACTCGCGCCTATGGAGCTGATATTCTTTGATTCTTTGTGGAATGAGCTTAATATCGGCCGTATCAATCGGTCATTGGAACCAAACCGAGCCCAAAATCTCCAGGCCGCGTTTACGCACCAAGAGCATTATCTCAATAGGCTGGGGTTGCTCTACCTCCTCTCCGAGATAACGAATATTCCGAGGATTGCTCTAGACTCCGGGGATTTCTCCCAATTCTGTGCCGCGGCTCGATTGGCTTGGGCGGCGGACCGAGAGACCACGCGAGTCGAAGATAGAGCTTATAGTCTTTTAGGTCTTCTTGAAGTTAACATGCCTCTTCTTTATGGCGAGGGGAACAAGGCGTTTACCCGCCTCCAGGAAGAAGTTATCAAGTCACGCGACGATGACAGTTTACTGGCTTGGGGTTATCGCTTGACACCGAAAACGCAACCTAGACTCCACGCGGATCCCGTCCTCGCTCAGTCGCCTTCTGATTTCAAACATTGTCACAGTTTTCAAAAGCTTCAGACTGAGGAAACCAGCCCTGATGTACCACTAACGACAACTCACTCTGCTATGACAAACATTGGCATGCAGATGGCAATCCCTCTTCGTCCAATTGATTCCAAGAATCGAGTTTTCATTGCAATTCTGAGGTGTCTTATCCCGGGGACCTTCGACCACAGGAATCATCTAGTGCTCCCCCTAGTTCGAACTAAAGGAGGAGACAAAAACCATTACAGTCGAGCACCAGGTAGCCCACCCTTCCTCATCCGCAGGGAGAAACTATTCTCCCTTATTAACAATTCCAAATTATTATTTACCCTTAGCCGAGTACCAGCACTATGGAAACTCTTCATCACAAAGCCAACGTCAACACCGATTTATCTCCGAGAAAGCACTCCCATGCCACCACTATCAACCACTTGGCGACTCTCCAAGAGAAAGGAATGTGAGACGATAGGTCTTCATATTGAAGAAGTGATATCGGCAGGCTACGAAATTATTTCTTTCTATCCCCCTTGGATCACAAGGAGGATGGATTATGGCAATTGTCTGGATCTTCGATTAGGATCGTCAGTTCCAGCAAAATTTATACTCATATTCTCACGACCCGGAGAGACTGAAAATGGACGTTTATCTTTCGCAATATGCATAAGTCCAAAGGCGCGACGAATGACAAGGGTGAAGCACCGATCAGCACTGGAGTTTTTGATGGAGCAGAGCCGAGGTTTAGAAGTTGATATGAACCATCATGGCATCCAACACGAGAATTTGGAACTCGGCGAGGAAGATTCAGGCGGGCATGTTCGGCGCATTCATTCCATATGGTTCGACTACATGTTTGGCGATGTTCGCGTTAAGTGTAAGGTGAAAGAATCAAGTAAAGGCGCTAGCAACGGCGAACAGGAAGATAATAAACCTAAAGGAGAGTCTTACGTTATCAGCACACTGGCAGAGCAGGAAGCTGCTAAGTCTTGGGGCACTGGGAGTTCGGATTCGCCTACATTAAAATAGGCAGTTAAGATCCAATTATACATGTCGAAGAAAACTTACTTGGGGCTAGGGTTTGAGGGTTAGGGTTAAGGTAAATATTGGGGTTAGGGTAAATAACCCTTATCGACAAAGGGCGACAGGCGCCTGGCACATACGTATAAATAGACTCCGAAGCCTCCGTTAACATATCAATCAATTCATCAACATATTTACGTCCTTTCTACCTACGCAATATATCACATCATCCAACTCTGATCATGTAATATTTTGCTCTCACATCATTGTCCTTGTCCTTCCTCATGTAGCAACGCCCCTCATTGAGGAGGATCCTTAGCAACGATCGAAGAAAGCTCATTGGTAGATCGAAGGATAACTCCCACCAAGGTAGGAACCAACTAAATCGTGAGATACCCCGCTCGAGGTGAAGAAGCCAACCATGATCTGTTTTTACATGCAATGTCACCTTGTCGCACGAGTTTAAACAAGCCGGATTGGTAAGTCAGGTGGCTATGTTGGTGAGCGTGACTACGAGACGCGACCCGCAGAACAAATACCGCGACGCGCGATCGTTAAATATAAACAGACTTGCTTCTGCAGAGACATAGTTTCTAAATTACCCCGATTTCTTCTCTTTTATTATATTCAATCAACATCCCTTAGAGGATGAATATTTCCGCCACCATGAATATCAAAGCGAGAAGAAAAGGGACTCCCAATCCTGCCCAGGGATGGTTACGTAGGTGTCACTGAACTACGCATTCGAAGATCATATGACTGACATTGCATTTAGCGCTATCGAATAACAATCAATTCAAGAAGATCACATTTGATAGTTATCATGCGCATCTCATATCGATTGCGAAAGCTTTCCATGTCGCAAATGAGGAATTTCTCGCCATAGTCGAAGAATACTTGCGATGGAGAGCCTGGTCAAACGCAAGATATGCTTTTGGCTTTAAAAGTCAGAAGCCGGGAAGATTCACCGACGACGATCTCAGCGTGCTCAAGGATTTAGTTCAGGCAGGGCCGCCGGAGGGGAAATTCGGGGTCCCGCAACTCCTTGAACGACTGCGCCAGACTTCGTACATCGACATCTGGAGAAGGGCTATCGAGAATATGGCTTATCTCAAAAACCACCCTAAACATTATACGAAAAAACATCAGACAAGCGGGAGGAAACGAGCCGAGAGGATTAAAGAGTGTCGGGTCATCGTCGAGACCAGTTATGGAAAAGTGGAGAATGAACTTCGGAACCAGATGCTCTTTGGTGTTTGCGACGGTATCCTTGAGAAGATGGCGATGCTTCGTAAATACGAAGATGCGTACCCCGTATCATCCTCGGATAGCAGTCCAGGAACCCGATTTCAATTCTCAGTGTCAACTCTTCTTGGCGGTACCTCGGTGTGGATGTTTTTGTCTCTAATACCTATGGGCATAGCGTGGATGAAATCGACTAGCACTTCTGGATCTACTGGAGATTCTGATTTTTGGACGTTAATCCAATCTTCAATGATGCAAATCTTAGGCCTCGCCCTCGCGGTCTGCAATATCCCCCGAAAATCGACAGAGCGATCTACTGCTTGGACATGCGCGCTCATTCTCACGTGTTTTGGTATCGTGTGTGCTCTCGCATCAATACCAACGTACCTCTATCTATCGACTATGTGGAGCAATCTCTTGTCGTACGGGGCAACTATCGCACAGACGATTGTGATGCTTGAATTGACTTTGATGACCGATCATTCTAAGATAAAGCAGACTTGATCAGATCATCTACGAATTGTTATACGTTCACTCTGAGAGCGTATTAATTTAATGGTGCACGTTAATCCGGCGTACCCAAATTAATGTCAACTGCAAGCGAAGCGGAGTGAGGAGCAATGGGTTGAGGAGTTAAGGGTTAGGGTTTGGGTTAGGGTTAAGATACCATCCATTCATTATCATCACATGGCGTAAGTCAGGCATCAGCACTCATTATCAATGGCATTTCTTCTTTTTATTTGAATTTTATCAAAAATAATCTCGATCAGGACAAGTCCAAGGCTTAACTCGGAACTATTTCGTCCAGAATAGAATCAGAAACGATCTCATGTGCCAAGTTTTCCTCATCGCCCTGTAACAGGAACTATCCCATGTGTTACACAACCAACCACCACTGCCGGAGGAAATCACCTCTGTAGGCAGAACAGGGGATATCCCAGCGCAGTCCCACACCGTAGCATCAGCACCACCTCAGAAGATCTGAGCAATAACAGGTTCCTGCAACTCAACCTTACACTGCGGTAGCTCAATGCCGTACGCTTCCGCCTGCAACGCACTAACACCCTCCTCCGCAGCCGTCGTGTACCATCTCCGGTTCCGCAAATCGCCATCCTGCGCCATATCGAAGAAGTTCTGCGGCGCGAACATAATGCTGCTCACGGCCTCCGAGTACAGCGTCACCGGGATGTCCTCGCTGCGCGTGAAATGGTGCATCCCCAGGTTAAACCACACGACTAAATCCTCGCCATCCACGCTCTCCCCATCGAAGAACTTCGCGAAGTCGTGTTGCGGCTTTAACGGTAGGTTCAGGTTCTGCACGCTGTTGCCCCATGGCTCGGTGTCGTGCTGTCGCGTCACGGCCAACTGCGTTTTCGATAACGCGGTGTTGAGACGCGAGAACGGCGAGTTTAACGTGCTCAGTCGGATGTTCGATTTCCCCGGCACGATGCGGTAGCCCCGCGGCGACCCCCATTTGTTCGTTTTCGACGCGTGGTTCACCGTGTACATCACCTCCCCGTTCTCCGCCCAGCTCATCTCCTGCTCCGTCGCGACGTTGTGCGTCTCCAGCTGGATCTGCTCGAAGGTGCCGAGTTCAGGCCACCATGGCTGCGTCTGGTTCACCGCTTTCAGCGCCGTTACTTGCAGGCTGTTTGTTGTGTCGAGGATGTCGAAGTCTGCTTTCCAGGTTATCACGTGGTCGTGTAGAGAGCCCTGCGTGGCTTCTTGGATTCGTGGACCCCAGGCTCCTTGGTCTTTGTAGTAGAATGAGGATTGGAGGTATCCCGAGGCTCGGACGGTTATCTCGAGGGAGCCGTCGACGTGGAAGGCGTAGTCGAAGAGGTAGTCGTAGTTTCCTACCGTGGCGATGGAGCGGAGGGTTAGGAGCGATCCTTTGACTACGCCTAGGTTGCTGAATCCGTAGCCGCCTGTGGTGCCGTATTGTCCGGCGCGGTGTCGGGATAAGGGGAAGCCGGCGTCGGACTCGAATATGCAGATCGAGTTGGGGTTGGTTGTGGTCTTGTTTCCGTTGTGGATAGTGATGTTCCAGAAAGTCGAACCGAACGGGCAGTCGAAGCCTTCAACGAGTGGGAATAGATCGGCGCCCAGCTGGAAGTAAGTATCGTGGTAAAGTGTCGTGGCGGCCTTCGGCTGGAATCCACCATACTGGGCTGCCGCTTCTTGCATGGATAATTCGTATAAGATACGCTCTCCCTTGAAACGTATGTCATACAGCATGATACCCAGTGTTCGCGTGTGGGCAACGTAGAACGACCAGCCTAAGTACTCGACGTACTTCTGCTCCTCGTCTACCTTATATCGCTTTCCGCCCACCATGAGATTCTGTGGGGCAAACTTCTCCTCGAGCTCGCGGACTCCCATCTCGGCATTGTATTTCACCAACGCCCAGTCGTAGTCCGAAGGCTGGTAAAACTCTTCCTTAAGCTCGCCAGCTTCAAATGCGGCGCGAAGCTCTGCCACGGTTGGGAAGAATCTTGAGTTGGTCACGAGTCCCTTCAGCTTGTATGTTGAAGCATCTGTGCCGGTGACATCCATCATGACGAAGAAGTCTAGGGGTCTGAGAAAAGTGGCGGATCCAGGAAGCCTGAACATGAGTACGTGGAAAGCTGTGGTGCCGTCGAATGACGTCGGCGTCGTGTCAGTTGGGTTCAGCGTTGTCTTAGGGTCATCATATCCGAAGAATGATCCTCCTAACAATGCCTCCGTGATGTCACTGATGTTGGACATGATGGAAGTTAAAAGCGGGGCCGTTGCATCGGTACGCTTTTGATCGAAAAACCGTGCGTTGAAAGGCACGAATCCCCCTGATCCTCCGTTATACAGGTAATCTAACTTCTGTATTGTCGTCTCACTTGACATCGGCAGAGGTCCGATAATGTATTCCTGGGATCCAGGCTCAGGCTTGCCGCCTTCGAAGATCATGGCTCGAGCCCAAGCACCGGGCTTCTTTCCAGATGCGTCAAGATAGGGGATTGCATCGGACTTGTTGACATGTACAGTATCGATATAAAATACATAGTTGTCGGTTTGAACGGCCGTTGTTGGGTCTGTCAGATTCAACCCGGATGCTGGGTCGTGGAGCAGATTCCAAACGGCTAGGTTGTCCTCGGGCGATATTTGTGACCAAACATTTGCCTTCGGTGCCGCTATAGATTCAGCTGTCTGGTATAACGAACATGTTGAGCAGGTGGCATTTTGACTAAATGGAGCCCGTTCGCTCAACTTGGGGAGAAAAGCCTGTCTGAGATATCCTAACGGTGGTGTTGCAGCAGCATTTGCCAACGCAACAATTGAAAGAGCCGCAAGCACAATTCGTTGAGGCATGCTTAAGTTGCTGAGGATTCTCAGAGAGGATTGCCTTGAGGGTATCTCATCGGATTTTTGGAACGGATATAAGTGTGCATTATATAGAGTTCTTGTACGCCTCTGTAACCCCATGGGGAGCATCGAGAAGGCTATTCTCTTGTGATAAGATGTTGACGTAACTAATACACTACAGGTATATGATCATCAATGGCAAGGTTCTGGTAACACAGCAATCACTTACATAACAACCGTACCTAATGTAAATTAAACACCGCTTCCTATGTTACTCCGTGAACGCGGACCTATCGGCTAAGAGCTAGCGGATTCCGGACCTGGCCGGTTATCAAAGGGATATGAACCGCGGAAGAGTAAAGATTGAGGTGGGGGATTAGATACGAGGTTGTGTTGCTGTAACGTGGGTTAACTTCCCAGTCTCCTCCTTGGCAAGATAATGAGATAACGGCTCTTGAAGTTGAGATAAGCCTTCCAGGCTATAGAGAAATGGTAGACATAAGTGAGTCTTGGCGTTACTACCTCATCCAATAGAAGACAAGAGTGACAAGCAGCTAGGGATAACTCTCGGGTATAGCATGTTACCTCATTAGTATACCTAGGTAAGGATAAATATCGCGGCAAATGATAATAGAGAAACAGTTAACTAGTTTATCACATGGAGGTAGAATATCCCATCCGGAATCGGATCTTTCAACTCAGCTTTCAGCTCAGCTTTTATCCCACAAGGACTCGGTCATGTAACATTCACCCAAGAGTCGGAAGATTTTGAACTTGGAACTGATTCTATTATAAACAGCTAAACAGAAAAACATATAACTCACCAATCAAATCTGCGTCATAATAAGGCACCAAGATATTTTGCGAAATACTCATCCCACATAGCCCAGTTTATCCCACATAGCACAATCGTCAACCATGCTTGCCCAGGTGGCTAAAATACATCCGCATGGCTACGTCCCATCATCCCTCCGCGGCAGCCTTTCCGGAGCCTAGATGTATCGACGACGAAGGGGCGCAGCAGTCTCAATCACGTCATACATCCAGACAAACCACGCAAGCATGAGAAGGGCCTTGAATATCTCGAACGGCTTACCGGTCATGAAGTGGTCAGTCGCAACGGCCATGACGAAGGCGTCGCAACAGGCAAACAGGAAATGGACTATCGTGTCCCAAATCTCGTCGTCTCGGTTGCGACGTTCGATCGGATAGAGCCGGATGCGCATCAAACAGAAGATCGGCACCCAGACGAACAAGGCCCAGAGGCAGCGGAAAAACGCAGCCTCGATGCTGTCGTAGAAGCCGCGGCTCAGATCGAACCCAAACCGGACCATGGAAGTCCGGACAGTCGTGTTGGCTGTGAAGACGAGGATTGTGTTCCCCGTTAAGTGATACATCCAGGTGATATTGAGAGAACTCATCTTTGCAATTTTGGTCCGGTCAGTATCTACCTACTGGCTTGTTTGGGATAAATGTTTTTTGTAAGTTTGGTGAATTGATTGACTCGACTCAGTTATTCGAGGCAGTTTGTTTTGGTGATATCGAGAATCCCATGCGGGTGTTTCTACCTATTTAACCTATATGCCGGCTCAAGCTAACCAAGGAATAGTTTTTGTCTGTACCTACACAATCTGCTTGTTTGGTCTCCAAGGCTCCTCTGATTGAAGAATAATGAGAATAAGAAAGGGGTTGTAGGAGTCTGAAAGATAGGTAGGTAGAAGAGCTTGTTTCTAACAATCTCCTTGTTTCTCCTTACGACGATGAACAGACTGCCCCCCTTACCTAGAACAAAGAGGAATATTTCTAACAAGAATCTAGTATACGAACAATTCTTTGAGTCGTACTTTAAGATATCATAAACGTTTTCAGGTCAATTAGATACCTACCTATGTTCTGGGTTAGGGTTAGGGTTAGGGTTAGGGTTACATATACCCTAACCCCAAGAAAAAAATAGCCAGCTGACGTTTACAAAAATATCACAACCAGAAACCCCTTAAAGGGAGATATCGGAGTGTACCCGAAGGACGCACCACCATGTTGAAGAAAACAGTAGCTGTGATTTCCTCGAACAAAAATATACACCTTTAGGTACAAGACCAACATCTCATGTTTATTCATACTTACGATGACAGGAATGACTCATTAACTTTCTAATTTATATTTAGGTAACTAGGTACATTTATAGAAGTTCTTAAGGATCATAGTTCCACCTGATTATCATTATGAGGTCAAGTAAGAAGAAAACCGGATCCACGACGAATAGGAAGCAGGCCACGACGAGACAACTACACACAAGCACCACGAGCAGTTCCAGGAAATGTTTCCAGTAGGCGCAGAGAACAGCAAACGAAAAATATAAAATCCACCCGCACACGAAATCGGTGATAGGGAAGATAGCGTTTAGGTCTGCGATATTGACTTGCTCCATAGTTCATCAAAGTGTTCTTACGTACCTACGTATACAACCATGGACGCGTTATGATGGCCGATAACCACAGGATCTTATATCACATCGAGGCTACGTAACTATAGTTGATGTAAGTGAGTGTTTTGAATCAAGTATTATTGTGCTTGAGCAGAGAGATTTATTGTTCGGGACATTACCTCTCTTAGACATATAACATCTAAGACCGAATTGGGGAACGGTAATCTTCTCCCTCCGGTTCTCTAACACAACCTGCAGTGTTTATTAATAAGGGTACATTGCCTACAGCTATGTATCTATCGAACAGTTTACTAGCGCTTGCTGTAGAATCAGCAATTTTATATAGCATGTAACTCGGTCCTAATCCTCAGGTCAGGCCGTTGTCGTGCGTCGCAAAACCGTACTGCATCTTTCATCCACAGAACGCCGACGATTACAAGCTGATAAAACCAGCACCTCTTCACACGCGTCCGACCAGCCCTGGTGGCACGATCGGGCTACTCGAGAGCCCTAGGTTCAAAGGAAAGTTTATCTTCAAAGCCACTTCAGGAACCTTGAGCTCCTTATCGATATTGACGCCTGAGCTAGCTCGAAACACCAAAGCAGATGAGGACCCGCCAAAGTGGAACATACCGAGCTCGTCGCCACGGACGACGTGATGTCCCTCGGACACCGTGGCCTGGCACGTGGAGATCTCCGTCATGCCGATGGAGACGACGCACATGAGCCCGATTTGCTCGTCGTCAGCGTCGATGAACATCAACTGGCGTGCGGCGGTGTTGGCGAAGAAACGAAGGGACTGCAAGTATGGTGGCGCTTCGGTACCTTCGATGGGTTTTCCGATGGTACTGGGCGCTTGGGCGAAGTACGTGCCGGGAATATCAACGATCTGCTTGATGATGCCGTTGACCGGAGCGTGCCAGCGGTGGTAACCTGTAGTGTTCAAGAAGCCCTGCAAAACCGTGCCGCCGACGAAGTCATCGACGTGGTGGCCGGCAAGGAGGTGCTGAAGGGAATAGGCCTCGTCCTTGATGAAGAGTTCGTCGTACTTTTGGACGTTCTCCTGGTAGGCGTATGACGTGCACTCCGTTGCGAAGCTAACGGTGCTGTCGTCTAGGTTGATCGTCGGACGGTCTATTTCTGGGTGACCGAAGCGGCGGTTGAAGAAGTCCTCGTAGGAGGTGAAACCGTAGTATTCGGCGCCTGAGTCGCAGATGAAGACGTCCTCGAAGGTGCGGCCGGGGAATTGCTCGGTCATCGCGTCCATAGCTGCAGTGCTTAACCAGCCGTCATCGCCGGCGTTAAGTACGTCACGAGAGTCCTTGGAGGCGAGGAAGAGTGTCCAGGCCACGAACATCTCCTTAAAGTGCCTGTTCAGGTTTTCCTTGGTGAAGGCGGAGAAGCCACCTTGGGTGTCCATGATACGTGCCATGATCATGTACATGGGCGGGCCCAAGGCTCCGAAGGCAGGCGCGTGACGGAAAGTGTCGTCGATCTGTAAGATGAGATCTTCATAGGAACTGGGGGGATCTGTGTCGTCCTGGGACGGAAAAGAAGATTATGTGTCAACTAGCAATCTTAGGAAGGAAACCGTGCGTTAACAACATACAGCGTCCTCAAACATGCGAATGAACTCTCCATAGACCGTCGGTTCGCTCTCGATGAAGTCCTTGAACTTCTGCACGCTTGGCAGGAGAGCAGCATCTCCAGCGCGGATTAACTTCCGTTGCTTCTCGATCTTCTTGGAAAGCTTGTTCATGTAATCATGGAAGGCTTTCTCGCTCTTGGGAAGCCATCCAGAATTTTGGAATGACTCGCGGGAGGGTCGAAGTGTTCGAGACTTCGGTGCAGACATGTTGTTGAACTGTATTAAGAACTTGGAGGGAAATTAAGCGTTGCTGACCGACTTTGGGCTTGTTTGTAAAGTTAAAGGCTTGTGGTGCTGGAAGATCCGAGGCAAACGAGGCTGTCTTTATAGGATCCTTGAGGAATTACAACCCGTGACCTAACTTTACTATCTTTACTATTGCTTAAAGGTTACGATTCTGAGGTTGCAATGACATATAGTTGACGTGTTATCCCCCGGGTCATTGCATGAAGGTCGTATCTCAGGTAAGCTTAGACCTGAGTGTGAGGGCGTCGTCATCAACCCAGCTGTGCAACACCTAGTTGACTGAATATACCTTAGACGATGGGACATACATATGTAAGTCGCCGGCGATGAGACTTGCCTGCAATGTGCGGGATAAGATCTTCATAACGGCTTCTAGGCAGGGTGAAACCGGTCAAATTTTCGATGATGCTTGGCAGCCGTAGTCACTTTTCATCTCGTGATATGTGTGGAGCCACAGGTCGACGAGCTCCTCGCCTCCTCCACCTCACGGGGGACAGCAGATGATTCTTTGGGTAAGAAACTTGAGAGGGGAAATGATGGAAGAAAATGTTCATGCAGGTGTCCGTATGAATCGACTGGACAGTTCTTCTGCAGACGTTACCTCAAGTAATATAAGTAAGCCATGAATTAGTCAGACGTATTCAGCTAGCCACTATGAATTCTACCGAGTGGCGACTCAAATACGTTACCACGCTGGTTTGACAAGTTGGATATTATTCCAGTGTGGATTGTGCTAGCGAGTGTGTGATGCCTGAAAGCGTCCGCCTGCATCCCCCATCGCACCGATTAATCTATGCAACGATCGTTACTTATTTACGCGATCAGTTGAGCTTCGAGCGTTATGGTGTCGTGTCGCAACGAAACGTAGGAAAAAATCAACACTTGTCGGAGTTTCGGACTTGCTGCAGATACCCAAGGGGGGTTCACGACCGGGCGGAAAGGGGGGCAGTGTATATGGCCGCCGCGGTGGGACGCAAGTTGGGTCGGGTCTCGCATGTCGGGACGTCCACCATGCGGCCCATGCCGGCGTAGGTGGCTGACATACTAATATAAATGGCTGCCGTACCGACGTAGATGGCTGCCATCAAGCCAATGGGCACCACCCGGTTATTATCGGTTGGCTTGGCAACAGGTCGGAGACTATCGATGTTTTTGATTTTTCTGACAAAAGCGGCATCCCAAGATTCAAATCCCTAATGAGGCCGTTCTTTGCTGCACTCGAACAGCTCTTCAAATGAAGGCCATTCACTGCCGTCGGGGTTGGTATACTGGGCAATGATCTTCGGTGGCTCTGGCTGCAGCGAGCTGGCTTTTGTTTCACGAAGCACGTACTGAGAAAGACCCGTCTTACCTAATAAGTACCTTATCTCTGCAGGTATCCAAGATGACTCTCATCTTCCCGTTGACCTCGGGCTTGAGGGAAAAGGCATATTCGCTTAGAGTAGCGATGGGCCAAGCTAGAACAGCGTTGAACGGGAAGCCAATCAAGCCGACTGTCTACCTAATCCAACCTTGCTCCGCTCGGGCGCCTCATGATTCATGACGACGAATGCGCACAGTATGGTTCATAGTCTCGAAACTGCTTGTTGCCGACACTCTATTCTTGAACTACCTAGGTATAAATTCCTCTGGATCATTCCAACCTTACAACCATCAAATACCTAGTATACTCCAAGTCTACCAGATAACCAAGACATCATAGTTTATCTTATATCCAAACTGCCCTTTACTCAGTCCTACCTGCACTTTAATTTCTACAGTATGTTATTGTGGCTTGGTATTGCCTTATTCCCGTTCGGTGCACTTGGTGCATTGCAACCGCCAGGAGAAACCATCCAGACAACTGCTGCAACACTGGACATCTTCCAGAACGTGAAGATATCCCGTAAGGAAGTTTCGGTATGTTCAACAACAGGTACTACTTGATTTATTCCTTGAATACAACTGCTAACCAATTTTTTCTCCAGCCAGATATATGCGGGGGGACCACTTCATACGCTGGCTACGTGGATTTCGAACCCAATTCCATGAGTGGGGTGGAACATGACTATCCTGTTCACACATTCTTCTGGTACTTCAAGTCGCAGAATAACCCCGAAGACTCTCCTCTGATCATCTGGCTGAACGGTGGGCCCGGAGCGTCCTCTATACTCGGTATGTTTACTGAGAATGGACCATGCCACATTAATGGGACGATTGACCCTGAAACCAACCCTTTGTCTTGGAACGTCGATTATAATGTGCTCTACGTCGACCAGCCCGTCCAAACAGGCTTCAGTTACGATGTAGTGACGCCTGGAGTGTTGGACCTGAAGACCGGCAACATCATCCTTGATGGTTCCCTTGAACCGGGCCGAACCGCGATCCAGGGAAAATTTAGCAGCCAGGACACCAAATCGACCGCCAATACTACTGAAAACGCTGCGCGGCATTTCTGGAACTTTCTGCAAGTGTGGTTAGAAGATTTCCCTGAGCATACCTCCAGCGACGACTCGATAAGCATCTGGACGGAATCATACGGTGGCAAGTATGGGCCGACCTTTGCCAGGTTTATCCATGAACAGAACGCTCTAATCCGCAACGGCTCCTTGCAGGGTGCAAATGTTCTCAATTTCAAAACGCTTGGCATCATTAACGGGTGTGTGGATTTGTACGCTCAAGAGATGTCTGGACCAGAATTTGCCTACGACAAGAATCCCTACGGCATCGATGGTATCACCTCCGATGAGTACGAATCTGCTCGTACGGCATATTTCCAGGAAGACGGCTGTGAAGATCTAATCGGCAGGTGTCGCCAAGTCGCCGGGGAACAGGATCCAGGCATGTATGGCAATGCGACCGATGTTAATAGCGCATGCGAGTTAGCCAGCGACTTCTGCCAGAATGAAGTGGAAGGTCTGTATGTATTCCGTAAGAAGTGGGGTTTTTACGACATCAGTCATTGTTACCTGGATGCATTCCCTGGATACGAGTTCCTGGATTACCTCGCCGATGAGCAGGTGCTCACGGAATTGGGCGTGCCTGTTAACTTCACCGTCCTTTCCAACGCGGTTGGAAAGGCGTTCAATCTCACGGGTGACTACCCGAGGCGAGATCCCAAAGGCTATTTCGAAGACATCGCTATCTTGTTGGAGTCCGGCATCCAAGTCGCTATGGTGTACGGGGACAGAGACTACGCTTGCAACTGGATCGGTGGCGAGCGAGCAAGCCTGAGTGTGGAGTACTCCCAAAGCGACGAGTTCAGTGCTGCTGGATATGCCAATGTTACTGTGGACGATCCTGATCAGCCCGATCCAGTTGGACAAGTCCGCCAGCATGGCTTGTTTTCTTTCACCCGTGTCTATGAATCCGGCCACATGGTTCCAGCTTACAAGCCCAAGGAAGCCTATAACATCGTACGCCGTTCCATGCAGGGATTGGATATCGCCACAGGAACGATAGCGGTAACGGGCGACTACTCGACGGATGGCCTGATTGAGTCCGACCAAACATTCCCACCGCCAGACGCTTATCCAATGAAATGCTACCTGAGGTTTATGTCGTCGACATGTGCTGACAACCAGATCAGCGCGGTTGAAGATGGATCTGCTCATATACTCAATGGGGTCATAGTGGATCCGGATCCTACACCAGGGACGTGCCCAAGCCTTCCTGAAGGAGTGCAAAGTATCATGAAGCAAGAGGATTATATCATTGGGGAATTATGATTTGTTTTATTTTTATAATGAAATACGGGTTTAATTTAGAAAATAAGCTACTGAAAAGTGGCGGATATAAATATAAATGTTACAAGTGGGCACCCCGAGGGCACTATAAAACTCTGACTTCAGGAGCGGATTCTACGGTGCTTCGCGTGAAGCTCGAAGGTGGTGGTGGTGGTGATGGCAGCCAGTCGCCGGTCGCGGTGGTGGCGTCGTCGAGCCGGAGCCCGGTGGGGCAGGTCCCGGAGGTGTGGGGTCCGCCCCCTAGCCGCGCCTATCACCAGGTGGGCCGGCAGGGCCGCCGTTGTTATGTATATTAAGGAACGAGATGGTCGTTCTTGCGTAGCCGATTCTTTGATCTGCCGAGGGGCTTCTCATTCCAAAGCTCTACTGTATTAATTTTTATTTGGTGCTTTGAATCCGGAACACTCTTAGGGTCAACTACTAACTGGTAATTGGGACGCACATAGGGTTCATCATGAGGTTCGAATCCATCATCTGCGACGTGCACCAACGGCGGCGGAACCGTGGTGCTCGAATCCCACGATTTTGTCTACGGGCCAGGTGGGCAAGGGGTAAGTACAGGGCGTCATATCCACTAACTGCCCTATAATTATAGCGCACTTTGTCCGTTAACACCATTCTAATTATAGGCCTACAACGACCCCACATATGGTCCTGTAAGTCCATCGCCAACTCGCTCTTGTTGATGAATGTCTGCTAACACCTACTAGGTACATTCCAGATCCTCTACTATCATTACGTCGACATCTGGTACGATATCGATTAAATACTATTCAGATTCCAGGCGCCAACTAAACCGATGTGTATCCGTGACTCTGATCTTAAATTAAGTAGTATTGGTTCAAGCCTGTCGCATGTATGCGGGTGGTAGTGGCATGTATGTGCTCCAGGGTACAAACGTACACCAGCTTGTGTAAGGTAACATTAACAAAGATCTCGGGCATTACGCTAAGAACTACGTTAGGCAGGTATTTGTTACTAGATTGATATGTTAGTTTTTATTAAGGGGATAATAGGTTTTAAATATTTACCAAGGTAAGGTCTTGTATATAAAGTATTACAAAATGACATTGATGATGTAGACAGCTTGCTTTGTAATGATCATGCAACTAGGTGCCTACTTGGTATGTAACCCAACTGAACTATGTGGGATATGCAGTTCAAAAGACCAGGGCATCGAAAGCAAGGTAGGAAAAGATGAAATAATATACAGTTGCATCCGCGTAATTAATACGTAACGTAATTCTTGAGGTCATGAGAAATGGGAATTCGGAACTGATCGGAGCTACACTTCAAGCAAGGACAGTCATAAAAACACAAATAGACAAGGGGTAACCTATAGCCTACTTTGAAAATACATTTAGGCATTGGGTGGCACGTGGGGGCCGTACCAAACACTCACAAGGTGTCCGTGGTAGTGACCCAAGAACTGAAAAGGGGTGTTGCACAAGCGGTTCGCTTACGTAATGTACCAGAGTCGCCCTGCTAGAGCTTTCAGTTGACTTCTTTGAGCAGTAGATAATAATTTCAAAGATAGTTGTTGTAAACAAAGATTGTTTTATTTAGATTTTGATGCTTCGATTGGAGCCCCAGGTTTTGTAGCAGAAATAGCTACATAATGCCAGTGATCACGTCCCCTATACGACCCTACTCCAGCAACTGTGTTGATGAAGTAACGCTCGAGTCTGAACAAACGGATGAAGAAATACGGGACGATGGCAAGAAGGAAGAATATCCGTATCATAGGTCGGATATTATCCGAATAATCACGAACGACGATATTCTCAAACCCCGCCTCTTCCAACATCTTCCTGAAAACCCCGGGGTGTGATATGGCATTTGTAGGCATGGCAGAATATTTGTTAACCTGAACCATGGAAGTCGCGATGTCCTGGGGCGCAGTTTCGAGCGCGTTGTGGTCGTATTCGAACTGAGCGAGATGACCGCCCGGGCGTAGAATGCGATAAAAGCCAGCTAGAACCGCCTTGGGGTCGGTGGCATGTACGAATGTCTCCATAGTATAAATGCCGTCGAGAGACTCGGAAGCGAAAGACTCCAAGTGGTGGTAGTCCATCTGCCGAACCCTAACCGCGCCCTGTGGCAAGCCTGACCGTTCTACGTTTCGCTGGGCCTTACTGACATGATGATCTACGACATCTATAGCCTCGATGCGCAGTCCGTGCTTTTTCGCCATACGGAGGGCTACGTGGCCCACGCCACATCCGGCATCCAATACCTGGGAGTCGCGCGGCAGTGCAATCGCCTCAGCTAGCTTATCCTCCATAGAGCGTAAGCCTTTTGAGAGTGGGAAAGGCCAGTGTGTGTCATGTTTCCAATAACCGAAGTGCCTTGTACCGCCTAGAAGCAGCCTGTATCCTAGTCGGGATTCGAGGGAGTGGTAATATGATTGTAGCTGCGGGTTTGGGTTAATTTGCGGCTCTACGCTGCTGGGGTCGCGCTCATTACTAGAGGGCGACATGATGAGAGCGTTTAACAGAGATTTAGATAAAGGCAGAATGTTGTATTTGGGAGGTTGGGAATAGAAGGAAATGCCGGGAAACCACGTGCTTATGGGTGTAGGATGTTTGTTGGACCCACCGTAGATCGTAGGGCTGATGGATGGGAAGGTAGATCGTTGCAGTTGTCAACGAAGTATGCCCAGGTTTACAGATAAAAATTTGATATTGTTCCCTAAATAGATACCTAGAACTTTAAAGACTCCAAGGTTAATAGACCGAAAAACTTCACTTGTGACTCGCCCTTGTGACTTCCAAGGTTGCCTTTGTGACGCGGTTGCCTACAAGTCTTGAAATCATTTAATAGAATTCATATGGAAATTTTCTTATAGGCATGATATTACATGCACTTATGTAGCATTTGAAGCAAAAGATGCCATTAAGTAAGGTTTAATATCTGCTAGGAAGATATTACTCAGCGGAATCTGACAAATCATATGGTTTAAGTTCAATCTTAGTCAGCAGAATTGCTGTTTAGCGAGTTTATGTAATGAGTTTTGTATTTAAGCGGTAGTATTATGTAATTTTATCATTTGAGCTTACCTAATGCTCATTTATGCTGGACAAAGGACAAGATATGACAAGAAATCTTATTTCTTTTGATTATCTTAATAGTCTTGAAGTGATAATTGATTACTTTAACATATATAAAGATGACTAGGGAATAGCTTAGTCTGGAACGACCCAGTCACGAACTCAACAAAAATTACTAAGACATTACTAAGAGCTTATTAAGAGATTATATAAGCATTGGGGTCAAGACTTTGCGGCAGCAAGAGTTGAAATAATCTACGCCCCTTCCCATCTAGTCTAGTAGATATATCACTGTAAGTTATACTATGAATACGATAACATTGTATCATTATGATTGTCGCTATTAGCATTTGTGGGAGCAACTTGACACTTAACCTCGAGCACTAATGTTGAGGATAAATTAGAATAAAATGGAGCTATACACATTTCGATAGTCATTAAAGGCTTTTAAACATCTAGTATAATAGGTAGAATAGGAATGTTCTAGGATTTATATTTTCCATGTTTCATTATGTTTCGTAGTCGGTAATCGAGTTTGCAAGACATGATCGAAGATGCCTGAGAAATATCTCGAGACTCTTAGTGTGTTCTCGATTTCAAGGTACTAATCATCCTTTGACCATCGCCATATGTTTATAAGGCACTATGGGATAATTTCAGAGACTCGAGACTTAGACATACCCACTAGGTACTTACTAACCTGAGTACACATCTAATTGTTGTTAAGGCGCTCTAACATACTATCAACCTCATTGACAGCGGTATCGACGGCGAGTGCATCAACTAGTCAAATAAAAGGAATTGGGTTTAACTAGGCGATATCATTTATCTCCCCGCTATTTTTTACCTTTCGTCTCCTATAAATCAGCTTAGTAAGTTGTTGATTTTTCTCTGTTTTCTATATTCCAACCAGTATCGAAGAGAGTTGTTTTGGTAGAAGTTTCTCATCGTTTATATCTGGAATGCACGCTTCATCTTGGGACGATTCTATTCATATAAAACTTTACAACTAATGTATTGATCAATTAACTGAGTAGGTGCCAACTAGTAATATTTATCCATCTTTTCTTTCTCAGTTGCCGTCCTACTGTTTATCTTCACCGACTCAACTAAGACGCATCAATGAAGCGTCGTTTCTTCCATCACTATGTCTTCAACACCGATATCATTTTCTATCCAAACCCACCTTTTTTTTTCCAGGCGATGAAAGTTGTCCTTTTTAACTCCCCGTAACTTCCGAGCTTCTGGTATCGCCCCTCGAACATCCCTCCTCATCAATCTGGACATGTTGTAGTACGCATCTCATATTTGCCATGTTTCAAATTTCTTCAAAACCGCGGTAACTAACATATTCAGTCAGCCTCAGATCAACTACCATGGATTCCAATTTCAGCTGGACTCCACACATAGGAGCTGAACAAGACATGTATAATATGGATTTCTCCATGGACCCGATGGGCGAGAATACTGAACATCTACTCGACTGCGGAATGGATAATTGGGATCATATGGATACAGGTGGATTGTCGCAAGTCATAAATCAGCCCCAGAATCCCCTATTACAGGGGGTCGGGGGCTGGAGTACAACTGAACCTGAGGCATGCGCAAGCCACCAGATAGGCGAGCCACAGGCCGAAGATTCATCGTTCCTCTTACGCCCTAGTCCGCCTATCCCGCCTATCCCGGGAGAGTCATGTCAGTCTCAGTTCATGGTACCTGAAGATTACCAAGGCTACTGTGAGCAATATAGATCACCAGTACCTACATTAATGGTAAATGACCGACCAGTGGATAGTGAGTCACGCTTCAGCCTACCCAATTGATTATGACTCCGCCTCAAGCTGGGCAGCGACCATTTCTGCCTAGAATAGCGCATCAAGTGTACTAATATAAAAGATCTTAGATTCCCGAGAGTTAACTGTGCCTCATGAAGCAAATCTTCGTAGCTCAAACTGGACATACGCGGTCGAGGTATGGCCGGCTGAAGATAGACTCGGTAAGTTGACGTCGTATTCATTGTTCTTTTCGTTCTTTTTGTTCTTTTTAAGTTTTATTTCCCCGAAGCCTTACAAGATCCCTACCTTTTACTTGCATGACTACGCTAGTTACATTTATCCTGGCAAATGTGGTGGTCCGTGCTCTGTCCCACATGCGCGGGACAACCTTAAAAGACTGTGGCGCATTCTTGTGGTGTGGTTCAGCTCATTCAGCTTGCTGCGACCACTGCGACCAACTGCACCAATCCTATTGTGCGACAGTTTAAACCTTCGGCTTCAGGCTGCTAATATTTATTTCGCGTCAGGTGAATCATACGTCGAGGCGCACGATAAAGCCATACGAAAGATATTCGATGCCCACGCTATCGAATACCGCGTTTTAAAAACCCGATCGGTCGAAGAACCGGGTATTTGTCGACAATACAGCATAGCCCAGAAAGACCGATTCAACGATAGGATACGCCTCGAGTTCCTACAAGCGTTCAACGCTACCCGGAAGTATAACAAACAACTTCCGGGTTACTTCTTCAAGATGAGTGTCGTGTATAAAAGTCGCGACATAATATCCTCCGACCCCTACCCTTCTGGTCTCGATGGAAGCGATCATGACGGAGACACTCGATCCGTACGATACTCGCCCGTGCCGCCGGTGCATTATATGGCATACGATGGAGCGGAAACCTCGACCCTCATACCTTCCCCTTCACCCAACTCTACCGACTTAAACTCGCCCAACATTCTCGAACCCCTCACCCCTCCGGAAAGTCTATCCGCTCCAGCGAAACTCGATACCCGACCTCCGCGCCTAGGATCAATACCGAAACCTGAGCGCACCGAGACTAAGAACCGGGACGGATTATACTGCTGCACATACCCAGGCTGCACGGAGCCAGTGAGGACCTTTCCCCGAAAGTGCGAATGGGGGTAAGTAATCGCAGCCGTCGCCCTTTCCTCCCACACGTAACTTTACGCTAACGTATCAAACCAGAAAGCATATGGACAAGCACGACCGACCATACAAATGCCTATCTGTGGAATGCGAGAAGCTAGCCGGGTTTACGTACTCCGGCGGGCTCTTGCGACACGAGCGCGAAGTCCACGGCAAGCACGGAGGCCCTCGGAACCCTCTCAACTGCCCCCACGGCAATTGCAAGCGCCACGAGGGCAAGGGCTTCTCGCGCATGGAGAACCTCAACGAGCATTTACGCAGAGTGCATACCCCCAATGACACTAACCAATCCGCGCCTTCCGCACTATCACCTGAAGACGAGACAGAGGAAATTCCGCCAGCGGTGGCTGCGGTATCGGCGCTCCAACCCATCGCCGTCGCGTCCCCCGAAAAAACAGGCGATAAACGAAAACCGGAGACGGACCTACGCGAGGAAGTTAAGCGGCTACAGGTCGAAAACGTGAGTCTCCGCGACGAGCTCAACGCGCAGCACCGGCAGAGCATGGCGATGATGCAGCAGATTGCAGAAATGAACTCGCGGCTCCTCGCGCTCAGCAACGCCACCGCCGCCGCTGCTGCTGTCGTCCATAACCCGCCTCCGGAGGCGTAGGGCGCCCCGGTCGGCTACTATCCTTATATGGTTAATATGGACGGCTGGCAGCAGTGAGCTAGCTTTCTATCTATCACATGACCCTCTCCCCCTTTTTTCATTAGTCTTTTTCCCTTTTGTGACCTATCAGATACCCCACTTTTATTCGTCTTTTCTGCATCGGTTTGGGAGTTGGCGGGTTGGGTTCATGGGTCACGGACTGCCTGGATGGTGGACGTTGGGTTCGGTCGGTAGAGAGATTGCCGCTGGTGTTTGGGGTTGTGTGCTGCATTTTCAGGTAGTTTTTTCATACTGAAATGAATTACGTGACTATTTCAATATTCAGGGGGGCTTGGGGTGATGTGTGAATGTGATAATGAGAGGGAGGGTAGGTATAAATCTTCAGGCTAGACTTCAAGATGATATCCATTCCGAGATAGTCACTAGGTCTATGTTTACAGGTAGGTGAATCTTCATATGCTTCACTGAGTGGGTGTAGTAAAGCATAAACGTCTCAATGTTAGGCACACCCTTGTATCGTGTATCCGAGGCTATCTTGATTGATTCGCTTTCTTTAGGTTGGCATACTCTTGTTGGAGCCTACTTCGTACTAGGCACGCAGTAATCGACGGTGGTTCAAACGTAGACCCCGGTCGAAATCCCCTATGTGAGGTTTCCCCTACGGAGTGCCTACGACAAGATAGGTCACATGCCTCTATGTACTACAGGCTGAACGGTACCTAGATAATGAGAGGTTTGCATAGTATGCCTAGCTCAGGTAAATTTTCTATTAAATTCTCTACGATGGAGTCATGTGACGATTTCTTCGCGTCGTCGTCGGGTGACCAGCAACGCGACGTGTCAAGCAGGCGCAGACGCGTCAACCTCGTCCCTGACCATCCTACCTCTACCACCAATCACGACGCGTTTTCCTTAGCAACCTTATATATCTAAATAACTTCTGCACCTTTAAGAACAGGACAGTTAGTCAAGTGGTCATTGATTAGCAACTTACTAAATAAAGGGGGTTCAATTCCCCGCGAGGGACCGACGGTTCGAGTCCTCGACTTATCCATCAATCTGACTGGATTTTCTACCACATACCTTATCCGACTGGGCGTGCCCATAAGGGAGTTCTGCACTTAGGGACTGAGACATGTAGACTTATGGTGTTTGCCCATCGGCCCGCAGACTTGGATGATTATACCTGATGATTGAGTGGATAGATAGGCGGTGGGAAGACCAACTTTTTGACATTTTATTTATCGGTTGATTTTTTTGCACCCTTTTCTTCTACTTTCTTTTATCTCCATTTTCATTCCCTTCATCTATCGCTTTTTTTGCTACATCTTTCTATTACAATTTCTTAAGCTCCTCTCATACTTCCCCTTTTCCCATCCTGAAATACCGGCGTTCGACGATTTTTACTTGCTCCTCTCCCTTCTTCCATAATAAGTCCCATCGTTACATTTTAATAGCTTTTCACGGTATCCTTACATATCTACACAACTAAACTCGAGTAGAGAATGCTGAGATGATTAGTAATCAATGGATTTCCTATCAGCGCATCGTGACCCCTTTTTCGAGCTATTGAGGCAACACAATATTCTCATCGACTCGTCATTCGAATCATACAAACTTGTAGCATGTTACACTGAAATCTTTTGTCATTCCTAAAATAAATCTACGATAAAATGACCGAGGACATGCTGCAGATGTTATCGAGGTCGTACATAGATAGTCTATTGTAACGTCCACATCGCCATTGACCGTGGTTAAATATTGAATTTCGCCTAACTTCACGGTTATCTAGGCTTTCAAAGTAAAGGATATTTGCTGAAGATACTCAATCCTAGAAGTAGGTTCTTTGGCATTAAAGGAGACGATCGCGAGCCACCTCATAGTATTATGTAATCAGGAATAAATAGGGGGAGGGGTGACAACTTAGTCATCAGAAGTGTCAATAAGGTTTTGGACGGGAAAATCGCCGGGGTTGCATAACATGAAAACTATCAGCAGGGAATGGCTAGTGACGGCAATCATCTGAGACACTGGACTCTCAAGCGGATAAAAAAAGAATAAAAAGTCCCAAGATCCACAAAAGTGAAGAAATGACGAATTGTGCAATTCGATCCTAATATTTGTTGATGGACTTTTTACCTGCCTTTCCTGGGCGTATTGGCTGAAAATGGAGTCACCGAAGGATGCCTAGGGTCCTTGCGTCGAAACCTCGACTATGTAATGCTCGATGACGACGATACGGAGTTTGATGTAATAGAAGCAAGAAGATTTAAGTCAATAGTTAGTCCTATTCAGGCGTTCTTCTCAATAGTCAGTTGGTTCGATGCGACACATGCATCGGTCACCAGCATTCGAGTCTCGGAAACAAGCAGCTGAATTGATGAAGTCAGTAGACGGAGGTCCATCTATTGGTAAATCGAGCTGCTGAACACTTCTAGTAGGTACTATTTAATATGTACAGGTCTGTGGTTCGTCCGGTATTAGGCATTTAGGCTTTGCGCCAAGACGGCTGGCTCCGCTGGGATCTTTTAGCTAGGAACCTAATTACCGGATGAGGTAATCACTAAATTGGAGTAAATCTTACAGATCGTATTGGTTTTGTACCTGTTTTTGTAGGTGCTTCTGTACCTGAACTTAGTAGAAAAGGTCGATTTTCGGAGGGCGGCAACTTCACCAACAAACAATAACACAATATTCCTGACGATCTCACTAACTATTGGGACTCATCATCAATACCAAATTATTTGTAAGGTCATATTTCTATGAGGTAATGGTACTGATGGGGGTGTCATTTTGCCACATATCAAAAATGCATCCACGGATACGATCAAGTTTTTGTTTATCTATCAACGAACCCCTTACGTCGCTATACATATGCAAACTCGGAAGCGGGTTACAGGTTACATAATTAAGGCAACCTAACCATGCACGGATCGGCAAGGCATTAAATAGCTACTGCATAGTCGAGTCTATGGCGGGCTGAGCAAACGCGAGCCAAGCCAACTTTGGGAAAACTTACCCATGACTACCGAATCTTCTTCGACGGGGAACGCGAGATGTCGTGATCCGCCAAGTGACCCAATCTGCCTGTCTTACCATTCTTGGCAGTCTCGAGAAAAATAAGGTAAGGATCATCTGTCAGGGGCCACGCGAATAGCTCCTCCGGGAACCCGTTTGCATCTGCCCCGGTAGCTATGCACGCTCACTTCACAAAGAATAATTATTTAGTAGTTACCCAGATATATAACTAGGCGTTTTCCTCGCCTATCTATCTTACTTACCATGTACTTGTACACATAGTCAATCTTTCACTCTTTTGTAGTCCGTGTGGATAGAGTTCAAGGCGTCGAGGCATCCAATACAAGATCATCTCACCTCACCATGAAGAGCACGATCGCCTTCGGCATCTTGCCGCTATTGTCCCTCGCCGGGGCCGCCGCTATCGCACCCCGCCAAGACCCGACCTACGATGCTATCATCATCGGTGGCGGCCCGTCCGGCCTCAGCGCTCTTAGTGGTCTCGCCCGTGTGCGTAGAAACGTCCTACTGATCGATTCGGGCGAGTACCGCAACGGACCTACCCGGCACATGCATGACGTCCTAGGTTTTGATGGTGAGTTTATTTCATCGCCTATCCTACTTACCTAAGCATATAGGAAGTCGGCAGCTATTCATGAGACTAACCCCGTGTAGGAGTCACACCGGCATACTACCGCTGGGCCGCGCGGGAGCAAATCTCACACTACGACACCGTGAGCGCGGTCAACGGGACAGTCACCGCAATCGAGTCCCTGAACAACAACACCCAGTTCAGCGTTGCAACCTCATGGGCCGACGGCACCACTGGCACTGTCAGCGCGCGTAAGATCGTCCTCGCAACCGGCCTAAGGGACATCCTCCCGGACACCCCCGGTCTAAAAGAGAACTGGGGCAAAGGCATCTTCTGGTGTCCCTGGTGTGATGTAAACACCTCTCCCCCTCACACCCCAAACCCAACCCGCTAACCTCCCCAGGGTCACGAGCACGCAGACCAAGCCCTCGGTCTCCTTGGCCCGCTCGAAGAAGCCGCAAGCTTAGTCCGCGAGATCTCAACGCTAAACTCGGACATCATCGCCTTCGTCAACGGCACCGACACAGAGGAGCAGCGGGCCGCCGCGACCGCCAGCTTCCCGGAGTGGCAGAAGTACCTGGAGATCAAGAACGTGACGATCGACAACCGCACCATCACGCGCGTCAACCGGCTCAAGAACGGGAGCGACCCCGCCGCCGACCCCAGTCTTCCCACCGTGCCGGAGTACGATCTCTTCAGTCTCGATTTCAGCGAGGGCGAGAGCGTGCAGCGCGCTGCGTTTTTCACGAGTTTTCCCGACGAGCAGAAGAGCGATGTTGGGGAGAAGATGGGTGTTACGCTGTATGGCGGACGTCTGACTGCGGATGGGAGTAAGGGGCTGGTGACGAATATCCCGGGCGTTTATGCGATTGGTGATGCGAACTCGGATAATGTCACGAATGTCCCGCATGCGCTGTTCACGGGGAAGAGGACGGCTGTTTATGTGCATGGTGAGTTTTTCCCATTTTCTTACGCTGTTTTAAAGCTCTTTTGGGGTTGCAAGGCTAACGAGATACGCAGTGCAACTCGCCCGTGAGGAAGCCCAGAGAGAACTTGCCGCGAACGCGACTGTGACGAGACGCGAGAAGGACCTCAATTTGAGGGCGATCTGGGATGAGATGAATCCTCGTGGCCTCCTCTATGCTGGCGAATTCGATCAGTAATTGTAATGTGTAATCCTGTTAGAGGTCGTGCATTTAGCGTTGGTTTAGGAAAGGAAAGAGAAAAAGGGGGAACATTGGAAATCTAGGGAATTAGCATTTAGGTAATACCATTTCATGCGATATACTTGATAGATTTTTGGAACTTGTTAACTAGAATTCAATGCCAAAACGTTTACAATTAAGCAAGACAGAATATGACGTGTCAAATCCATCGCCTCAAAGGGGGCAGGGGAAAGACTGAGGATACACTATACTCAACTAGAAGTCATTCCACCTATGTTTCTTTTAAGATAAGGCACAGGCAGTTTTCAACCACCAAGGCCAACTCTAACGATCTTTTACTCATACACACTTCCCTCGTATATCCCATGCACCATGCACCCACATACCCCCTTCCCATTTCCATTCCCTACATTTCCCTTCCTATCGTCGACATCCCATCAAACCCACAATTCACTATGGATATCTAGTAGGTAGGTAGGCACAGCCGTACATCAGCGACGTTCATACCTCAAAAACCTCACCAGCGCCAAACCCCCCACCCCCTCTCCTCCCATCCACAAGGTCCAGCCTCCAACCCTCCCAATTCTTCAAACCCCTCTTAATATCCTTAATCCTCTCGAGCCTCCTCTTCGCATCCTCCTCCTGCGCACGGCGGAACGCCTCCTCGTCGAACTCCATATCATCATCATCAAGCAGCCCGCCCTCGTCCATCGTCTTCTCATCTACAGGCGTGGCGCCTGTAAGCGCGTTAATCCCACTCGCGAAGAAATCGCCGAACCCGCCCGCTCTAGCACTAGGCTTGCGAGCGGATCCCGGGCCGCCGAGGTCGATGTTGGTGAACCCGCCGCTGGGACTCGTGGCGCCGTCGTCGGCGCCGGGTTCCATTTCCCTGCGTCGCTGATGCCAGATCCCGCGGCGCAAGTCGTACACTTCGCTCTCGAGATCGCGGATTTTCTTCTCCATGCGCTGCCTCTCCTCGTCCTCTAGCTCATCGACACCATCATCGTCGCCGCCGCCCTCCGCGGCGTCTTTCCTCCTCAACCGCGTGTTCTCAGCCTCTAGCTTCTCGATTTTAGTTTTCGCATCTAGCGCCTCTTTTTCGGCACGTTCTTTATCTTTCCTTAATGCTTGCGAGCGGCTGTCGTTCTCCTTGTGTAGGGTTCCTAGTGCTGCGACTTTCTTGTCTAGAGCCTCTACCTTCTTCTCTAACTCGGCTTTCTCGCCGCGGAGCTTGTCGGTCTCGCGCTCTAGGCTTCGGAGTTTAGTCTCGGCGCTTGTGCGCTCGCTTCCTTCCTTGACAGCGCGTTCGGTAGTGCGTTCGAGGTTGCGCTTCAAGTCGCCAAGCTCACGCTGCGCTTTCATCGCTGTTTGCTCCGCGCGCGCGAGCTTCTCTTCGAGTGCAGAGATCTGCTCCTTGTCGGTGCCGCCGGCAGAGGCTTGTCGCTCAGCCTGCGCACGCAGACGCGAGATCTCGAGTTCCATAGTCTCGATGGTGACGGATTTCGAAGCGAGTTGAGCTTGTAGTTCCCCAGCCGGCGAGGATAGGGAGATCGAGGGTGACGAGCCATGCCGTTTCGAGGCTGCGGATTGGAGCTGCGAGTTCTGGCGTTGTAGGGCTGCGATTTCGGATTTCTAGAATGATAGTTAGCATATCTCGTAATACAAATAGTAACTAATTATTAGGCTCTCCGTACTAATTTCTCGACTTGGCTGTCTGAACCGTCTCTATCGGCTTCCCGCAGATCAGCCAACTCCTCCTCGGCCTTCTGCCATCGCTTTTCCGAGTCACCAGCCTCTTTAGCAAGTCTCTTGTTTTCTTTTTCCAGATCTTCTATACGTGCAACTTGTTTGCGATATATGTCGGGTGCCGTTTCGCCTTCGGGGCTTAGGGGGAATCCGGTTGGTGATACGGTACCAGCACGGAAGGACGAGGAGCGAAGTTTCGACTGTTGCGAAAGAGTAGCCGTATTTGAACCTGAGGGGGAGGTTGGTGGTTCCGCGGAGGCATCTTCGACAGCTGGCTCATCGGCCGTGCTCGATTCAGGTTTTGGTTCTGTAGCGGGGGTGTCTTCCTTGTCTTTATCTTTCTTTTGCTTCGACCCCCCTCCTTTCTTCATTTGCTTCCTCCGTTCCTCGAACTGCGAAATTTGAGGTTTAGTATCCAATTGAAAACCACAAGGAGCTTTGAATTTGCAGAATTAATCCGTACCTTCTTCTTGTTTTCAGCCAGCTTTTTGGCCGCTTCGGCCTTTGCGTCATCAGCCATTTTGGTTTGGCTTACGGTGGTATTGAGAGGATTTGAGTGTCTGGTAATTCGTGAATCTCGCTCTGAAAGTGGTTTAGGAGTAACAAGAATAAGATGAGAACTCTAGAAGTAAGACGTGAGGTTGTAGGATTTATTAATAGCTACTCGATGGGTCGCTGTTGCAGTTCGATAACGAGGGATAACTGGAGCTTAGGTGTCCAGATGAACAAGCTTCCGGGCATGGAGCTGTTGAATAAGGCGCTAACGTCCCGCGTGCACGAGCCACATTACCTCCATCCCACCTCCGGAAAGGTACATCCCGCCAAGTACCGATTGTGAAGCAGCGGAGGTATACCAGCTAACCTTAGGTCATACTATAATATAAACTTAAAATGACTCCTACTTTCCTCGATATTATATTTAATAGAAACATCATCTCTTCTCATACGAGACTCAAGTGTCTGTAATGAGAATTTCTTATATATTCGGTTTCTGAAGCTTACCTATTATGCGTAGGTTCCTCTCCACCATGACTCAACCTTTTCCGAAGCGGTTTGCGCCACTTAAGGGAGCAACGGCGGAACACCATGACTTACCTAAATTAAAGGGCGTAATATTCGACGTAGATGGAACTTTATGGTAAGTTTAAATGAAGTTATAAAATGGGAACATTTTTCTATTATAAAAAGGAAGGGAGTCTGGCAAGTCTGAATTTGGGTATATGAGACTCACCATGAGTCTTGTTCCGATGACTATTCCGAGACTACTAAAAGCTTCCAAGACCCAATCCCATCAAACTTCTCATACGAGCTCTCATAACCTCCCCGAGAACGTCAAAGACCAGACATCTCACTAACACCCCCCAGCCAACCCCAAAACCACATGTTCACACAAATGCGGCACGTCCTACAAATCCCCAAAAGCGTCGACATCCTCGAGCACATATACGCGCTCCCCACCCCTTCCCAGCGGGAATCCGCCATGGAATCCATCCGCGCCATCGAGCGCGTGTCCATGACACAGCAGGTAGCCCAGCCGGGGCTCACCGAACTCATGACGTACCTCGACGGCCGCAACATTCGCAAGGGCATCTGCACGCGCAACTTCGAACAGCCCGTCACGCACCTGCTCACGAAGTTCCTGGCGGGAAGCGTTTTCCACCCTGTGGTGACGCGGGATTTCCGTCCGCCGAAGCCGGATCCGGCGGGGTTGCTGTTTATTGCGCGGAGCTGGGGGCTTACGAGACGGGTTGAGGGGGAGGGGGATGAGAGGGCGGTAAGAGAGGTTGTGTGTGAGGAGAGTGTGCGGAGCGGGGAGGGAGAGAAGGAGGGTGCGCTGGGGAGGGGCGAGGTTGGGGATGCGTCGGGGTTGATTAGTATGTTCGCCTTTCTAGTTAACTCCCCCCTTTTTTTTCCTTCCCCGAATAGCCTATCTCAGTGGCAGGAACTTCACTCCCAAGACGTTTCATGCTAGCCCCTTAAAACCACTTTCTGGGATAGGGGAACACGAGTATCTAGGCAAACGCTGACGCTGTGGAAGTGGTCGGCGACTCAATCGACGACATGACGGCGGGGCGACGCGCGGGCGCGGCTACCGTATTGCTCGTCAACGACGTGAACCGCCACCTGGCTGATCACGAGCACACGGACTTGGTGATTGAGCGGCTAGATGAGCTGGTTCACGTGTTAGATCGTGGATTCGTGGGGAGGGAGATACCTCAATGATGTTATGAGTAGGTATGTATAGAAAGATAGGTGTCTTAACAATTATGAGGAGAAGGGGTTTATACACATAGAGAATCCCAGGTGCGGCATCGCTGTCGTTTTTTTATACCTATGGGATGTGGGGGGCAAATGAATAGTGTAGGCATCTACACTTGAAACCACATTTACCTGGTAGTATGTGTGAAGTCAAGATCGAGATACTTCGTGTCAACTTGAATCGTTACCCTTTTATAAAGGCAACATGAAAATACGGCACATAGATCTCACGAGTATCAATCAAACATCACCCAGTCACACCAACAATGATCTCAGATTCTCATGCGGATTCTTGTCACATTTGTACCTAGTCCGACGAAGATGACCACAGATCGCCAACTACGAGTAGTATATAACGGTTGTAATTCTCTCCTCTAAACTCAAGATCGCTCTTTTCGGTTCCCATCTGTCCTCTTCCCCACCAAAAAAACGTGTCTGACATGTTCTCTCTACCAAAGGCATTGCCGCCGTGGGACGTGGGGGAGATGCAAGGCTGTAATATATCTGGGGCAAAAAAGTTCGGCGTGACGTTGCGCTAGGCGGCGCAGGCGCTAATAGTTGACATTCGCTAGTATAACTAGAACCAAGATGCTCAAAATTAGACGAACTTGCCGTAGCTTATACGGTGACAAAATGGCCGTTGTGATCGGTGTGATATATAGTACCTATTTATCGTGATGGATATCCTGCATTTCCGTATGCGCCATTTGACGGGGGACCAAACGTCGCTTGTCGCCTACCTCCTCCCCGCTGCTCATCGGGCGTCTCCTTTCTTGGGGGAGGGGGTGGTAGCGGACCGCCGGGGGGTGCGGGTCTAACGGGTAGAGTGAATGATGTTCCTAAAGTAGCACTGGCCGGCTGAGAGAGGTCCGCAGTCGTGATCTTAGGAATCGACCCGGATGTTGCTGCTCGTTGGCCAAGTCCTGGATGTACGATGGAGCCGGCTGCCCGGCCTAGGCTTCCTACGCCGTTCCTTGTAGGCGACCGGTTTTGCGCGTGGCCTGGTTCTCTTGGTGAAGCAATAGCGCCCGCGATTGGGATCTCGCCAGACGTTGGGGTGTAGGCGGGATTGTGGTCATTCTGATAGGTGGGGGACTCGCTGGACCGTAAGAGGTCCCGAGTAGCCGGTGAAAGTTGGGGGACTAAATGTGACTTGCGATTGTCTTTCTCCATAAGCCCTACGGCCCAGTCCCTTAAATCTACAGGTGTCCGTTTTGCAGCCTGTACAAATGGATCTCGATCCTACGTACTGTTAGCATTTGTTGCCTTTTATCTTATTTGGAGAATCCTTGCTCACCCAGAGTTCCTGGGGCGTCGGGCGCTCTTCAGGATTTTTTGACAGGCATTTCTGGACCATGTCTTCCAGGATCGACGGGAAAGCATCACTTTTTGGAAGTCTCGGGGCTGGCTCATGCACGATCTGTTGAAGAAGGTCCAAGATACCGGCAGGCGCGCCGTCGCCATCCGATAGCTGCTCGCTCGCAAAAGGAAACTTGCCAATAGCAAGCTCCATTATGCTGAGACCAAAACTCCACACATCGGACTTAACAGTATATTTCTCACCTTGGATCCTTTCGGGGGCCATATACGTAGAGGTGCCAACGAAGGTGTCGGCGATGGAGTTGACGAGCTCTCCTGAAACGCCAAAGTCGCAGAGCTTAATATGTCCCCTGGAGTTTACAAGGATATTAGAGGGTTTGATGTCTCGATGCATGATGTGTAGCTTCGAGTATAGATAGGTTAAACCTCCTAATGTGGCTTCCGCGATCTTGCCAAGCACGTCAACACGGATCGGACCGAAATGGCGCGAGACCCTATCGAGAGATCTATCGGACTCTTGTTAGGTTCGCATCTTTCTTGTGCTTTTCACTTAACCCCACTTACCCAACGTCCATATACTCCATACACATTATTACATCATTATGATCATTTAGGAACGCGCCGTAGAAGGTGACGATGTAGTCGGAGTGACAGCCGTGCATAATCTGGAGTTCGCGCACAATTCGCTTTCGCAACTCTTTCTTGGCCTCGACGTGAATGACCTAAGTTACGATTAGTTGTGAGACCTGAGACCTGAGACATGCCGATCTGAAATATTACCTTTCTAGCCATCGTAGTTCCGGTTGGTAAGTGCTTCACCTTACTGACTGTACCTCCATTTCCCGAACCAAGTTCTTTTACGATCTCAATATCTTCCTGTCGAAGGTCTAGGTTGAACTCTATTCCGATCTCAAGCTGAGCATCTTGGCCCGCTTCCTCAGCTCTCGATCCACCAAAACCCCAACCAGCTTGTTGATCATTGTTGTTAGAGGCCGGCGATTGCTTCGGGGCGGCGGGAGTCAGAGCTAGGCCCTTGACATTCTTGCGCTTCATCGAGCGCGGGGCGAATGCGTCGGTCATGTTGGGCGATTGGCAATCCTGCAGGTACTCGGGGAATGTCTAGGATTCGAGATCGAGAAATGGTGACTCGCACACTATGCAGGATGCTTTTAGAGTAGTCTGAAGCTGGAGCGGATTGGAGATAGGAAGGCGATTTGCATGTCCACCAGCAAGGCGCCTACGTATTGGAATGGATTTACTTGGATGTTGGTCGGGGCGTTAAAGTGTTAGGGTGTTGAATTGTTAGAGGTTAGAGCGTTTGGGCGTTTAATATCTCTTAGGTCTATGCCCCTCACGGACCCCGAAAAGATCCAAGTTCGGATTCGGAAAATGGGATGACTGTAGATTTCGACGAAGAAACTCGTATCTGTTTCTGTTTCTGCCTTTACAGAAGCGATGGTGACAATCGTACAACCATGTGCTTATTGTGAGATATACCGAGGAGTGTTAATAGGTACGTAACGACTATAAAAAGCCGCCAACTGTTTTGATTTAGTACCTAGTAAATTAAATGGTCAGGTAAAGGTTGTGGAAGAGAAGTGCAGAAAGATGCAGGAGGAATGCAGGAGTATGGATGTAGCAAAGCAATAGTCGTTAGTTGTTAATTGGGTTAACTGGGTGCACTGGGTGCTCAGGGTGCTTTAGTTCCAGGTGGTGGGACCCCTGAGATGGGCTGGGATAGACTGGGATGGCGCTTTCTCACAATGTAATTGGTAATTCGTAATACAATAATCGGGGTAACTGCTGTACACCGCAAGTACTTTATGTAATAATCCTCAATCAATGTACATATACTGTACATAGGGATATTTAACTTGGAGGGTGTCAGAGGTGCAATAAGTTGTCATTGGCCAATATTGAACTTCTTGTCAAGTGTAGACCCGTATTGAGGACGGTTTTAGAGAATGGAAGCAATCTCGATTGGATCAAGTTTGCTTATATTCCTACCAATGAACTAGCAACTTTGTCCGCTCGTGGATATATATTGTACCAACTTGGTTAAATGAAAATGTCAAAGCGAGTAGAAGAACGTGTGAGTTGATACTATGTAGAAACTACCCCTTTTTAAAAAGCAAAGAAAATAAAAGAACCTGAGCAATTATTAATTATTTTTAAAATGCTCACCTATCAAGTTGATAAGTGAATGCTCGAGCGTCACGGTACCGGAGATCAATTTATGTCTAACAAGACAAGTTGGGTTATTAATCGGCCGAGAGTTCGATTTGGTCTCTTCTTACATGCAGGCGTATGCAGTGAAATCAATAGAGTCTATAAGTAGTTAAAGATTGTCGACAGACAAGGCGATAGGCTCCAGAGTTTCTGGTTATGATTGCATATAATACAAAAAGCTGCGGACAATATTGAAATTGAACTATCCGAGGATGACTGGTGGTATACCTAATCCTGGGAGTGTCTTACATTTGAAGGAACGAATCGCAAAGTGGCGATCAATTATTTTGCAAAAAAGACAGAGAATGTGAGAGGAATGATACTACATGGGGGTTTTCAAGATATGAAACAACATCGTTATGCCTAGTTCAAAGCGTTTACAGACGTGATATAAGTGGAAGGGTTGAAGAAGTTGGTTACGATTTGCTCGAAAGCTCAACTTCTCAAGTGCTTTCCATGTTTCAATGTTCCACTAGAAGCTTTAGCTTTGATGTAAACGATACAATAAAATCTAGTAAAATCTAGTTGCAATTACAGTAACGGAAATGTATAAGTTACTTAATAGGTACCAAGGCTGGCGGAGACCGCGGGGCTCAGTGTGGATAGGAGCGGGAAGGTACAATAATGCACCAGCAAAAGCATGCTGCAATTGCAACATCCAGATTTAGGTATCCGTATACTCTACATACATTCAATGTTCGATAAACATACCTAATGCCATAGGTATCATTGATGCGAAACAGCAATTGGCTAATATGTAGTCCGAAGGGTAAAATATAACCTACATAATAAATAAGATATCAAATATCGCGATTCATGTATCTAAAACTGTGAAATGATATTTGGTGTAGGTTGCATGTTTCTTGCTTCCCCCCCTTTTTATCTCACACATTGTAAATCCCCCCTATGGCCATACGTTCGCCGGATGAAAATCAAATGATCAATTGGAAATAGGAATCCTTTTTCATCAATCCTTTACGAGATTCTTGGGGACTAATGCATCCTCCTAACCTAAAGCACACGTCCATTTACTTACCCCCCTGAAGCTCTAGATAGGTCTGCTATGGCCCCTGTCTAAAGTTAGAGCCTTGCAGACGACTCTGATGTATCATATTAAGTACTAGCTATGATAGGCTGGAATATTAGTCTTTAGCATCTAGGCATGTATAGGTAATCATACTATATGCAACGCGGCTCGGTAGAACATGTCGATCTAAAAGCACCTGTGTAGGGTCTAGTCATGTACCTAGCATCGTAGATTTACCTATTAGGTGATTAAGTGTTGGAAGAATCTGGATAGAGTGTATAAATCTATGAGATTTTATGAGTTTTGAGAGCCTAATTCTTGGGAAATACCGAATCGATAGGAAGGGCGGAAGTGTGTCGTATCTACTAGGTATTTTGCACTTGTGCTAATGATGAATTTATTCCAAGTTGCAGTGTAGTAAAGCGTGCTTATAAAATACCTAGGTACCTCCATAAATGTAGGTACCTAGTATGTATTAGGTGCACTTTCTCGGCATGCCGCAGGCGTGACCAAAATCTAGCTTATATAAGTCGTAAATAAAGTTCAAATCTCAGAATGGAGGCGAAAACCCCCACCACCCTAGCCACTTGTGGCTCGCTTTGACCCTTGTCCAATCGAGGCTTAGCACCTAGCAACCACTCCAATCGCGAGGCTGGCTAGGTACCTATTTGATTAACGCGATTCAAAATTCTAACTTTCCATCACTAGCTGACTAGGTAGCTTCCTAAGGTTAAGGGAATCTCAACATTTGCTCTTTCCTCAATCTTCCTACTTTGTTTTTAATATTTCTCCTCCTTTCATCTACCACCGCATTTATAACCTCCATTTTCATGGAATAATCCTCTTTTCACGATCCCTACGAATTACAACAATTGAACTTCGCGCATCGCAACTTCTCTTCTCGCCCGTTGAATGTAGAACCATACACCGTTCTCTTCCATAACGCGCCTCGCCAATATGAGTACCTCCATGAGAGATCTAATTGTAGGGGAGGCTGAGTTGGATGATGAAGAAGATGATGAATCATTCGACGAGGAGACCGGTGAAGCTCGAGCTCGAGCTAGAACCCGAGATCAGGACATGGATGATTCGAGCGAGGAGGATGATGATGATGACGATGAAGAAGAAGCCAGAAAGGTAAGTTGCGTCATTCGCGTTCTCTCTTATTCAACGCTGCGTATTAATTAATGTGCGTCAATGATGGCTAATCATGTGTTGTCGACTAGATCCGTGAAGGCTTTATCGTCGACGAAGATGACGAAGATGAAGATATGGTCGAGGATGAAGATGAGCGACGCAAGCGGCGCAAGCGCAAGCGAAGACAGGAACGTGAAGAAGAAGCTCAATTAGACGAAGAAGATCTTGATTTGATAGGCGAGAATGCTCCCGAATGGGAACGCAAGCAACCATCACAGGTATGACCCAGCATTGATCACGACGCAATCCTCGCTTCTAACGTCTAGATAGGGTTACAAGAGACTTAAGCGTGGACATCGCGAAGAGGATGCCCGTGGGAACGAACGACGTGGCCTTGATGAAATATTTTCCGATGAAGATGAAGAACCCGTTGACGATCGACCGTATGCGCGTCCTAGTCACCGTGCTGCCGCCGACGAATTCGCCGACTTTATCATTGAAGATGACCCCGAGGACGAGGATGAGCGTCAACGCCAGATGGAAGATATGGAAGTTGCTCGTCCACGAGATAAGGGTATCGCCGGACGCATCGTCGACCGCGCTGGTCTTGATAAGGACGCCCTGGAAGATATGGAAGCCATCTTCGGAAACGGAGAAGATTACCAATGGGCTTTAGATGAGGAAGAAGAAGAGGATGAGCGACAACGAGAGGAGCAAACTCTCGAGCTTAAGGATGTCTTCGAGCCATCGCAGTTGGCAGAAAAACTTCTAACTGATGAAGACAACGCCATTCGTTTCACAGACGAACCCGAACGATTCCAACTTGACCGTAAACCTTTCGAACACTTTAGTATCCAGGGCGAACAGTTGAAGGAAGAGATGCAATGGATCGCGGATTTAATGTGGCCGAAGAAACAACTTTCTAGCGACATGCACGGCCCCTTTCAAAAGTCCGTTGGCAAGGTGCTCGAATACTTCGTTCTCGAAGGTCTTGAAGTGCCCTATATCTTCCAGCACCGTAAGGACTACCTCATCGATGCTCGGAAAGTCAGGAATCCCGAACACCGCAATGATCCTGAAGCGCCAGAGTACATTATCGAGGCAGAGAAGCTACTCACACAGGATGACCTCTGGCGGATCCACGAATTGGATATCAAATATAGGTCCTTATTTGAGAAGCGAAGCGTACTCGAGAAGACTTACGATAATCTGAAGGCGGTCGCGCGCGTGACTGATGATATGATCCCCGAGATGCTCGGTCGAGCGATTACGATGGAGGAGCTTCAAGATATGCAGGATTATATCAACTTCCAATATTCGGCACAGCTCAAGGATATCGCAACGATTAATGGAGTCACCAAAGGAAAGAAACGGCCTGGCGCAAAATCATCCATATTTGAGCGGATCCGCGGGAGCAACGTTTACAAGTTTGTGAAAGCATTGGGCATTTCCCCTGATCAGCTGGCACAAAACGCTCTTCGCGAAGGCCAGAAAGTGATGTCGAACGACGAGCCAAGCTTGCCGATTGATCTTGCGGATAGTCTCACTGACAGCGATTTCCCAACTGGCGACCAGGTCTTGTCTCAGGCGAGACATATGTACGCCGAGGAGCTATTTGTAAGCCCAAGAATGCGAAAACACTTCAGACAGGCCTTCTACATGGGAGGTGAAGTTAGCTGTTACCGTACGGAGAAAGGACTTCGGAGAATAGACGATTCGCATCCATACTACGAGATCAAATACCTTATCAACCAGACGATTGGCGACCTCGCCCGCCGACCTGAACTTTTCCTAAAGATGATGAAGGCCGAGGAAGAAGGCCTTATTGAGGTCAAGCTTCGACTTCAGAACGAAAAGGACTTTCGACGCCAATTACAGGGCGAATTCATCTCGGATGACTATAGCGAGCTTGCAGATGCGTGGAACGAAGAGCGTAAAAAGGTGCTAGATCTGGCTTTCACCAAGCTTGAGAGGGTGATAGCTAAGGGAGTCAAAGATTCGTTACGAACGGCCTGCCAAGAAGAGCTCCTAAAACTCTGCCGTGAAGAATACTCCAAGAGGCTTGATCAAGCACCCTACAAGCCTAAGGGCATGGTCTTGGGAACAGCACCCCGTGTCCTTGCCTTGTCAAACGGCATGGGTGATCCGGCTCGAGACCCAGTATTTTGGGTATGGTTTGACGAGGATGGGCGGTGCGTCGACCACGGAAAATTTGGAAATCTTGCTCGTGATGAGACGCAACGCAAGGCATTCGTCGACGTGATCGAGAGAAGAAACCCAGACGTGATCGGGGTCAGCGGCTTTTCTACAGACACCCATCGATTGGTTCGTGACGTGGAGAGCATCGTCAATGAAAAGAATCTTACAGGTCCTGAGTTCCATACGCAGAACGAGCGCAATTACACCAGCGAGCTGTTAGAGGTTGTGGTTGTCAACGATGAAGTCGCAAGACTTTACAAAGACAGTCCTCGAGCACAGGTTGACCACCCGACATTGAATTCTAACACACGGTACTGTGTTGCTTTAGCGAGATATCTCCAAAATCCGATGAAAGAGTACGCAGCTCTCGGAAAAGACATCACCTCTTTACTATTTAATCCTTGCCAACACCTTCTCCCACAGGAGAAATTACTAAAACATCTAGAGACATCGATGGTAGACATGGTGAATCTCTGCGGTGTCGACATTAACGAAGCTGTCAATGACGCGTACACAGCCAATCTACTCCCTTACATTGCTGGTTTAGGTCCTCGTAAGGCTACCAGCGTTATCAAGGCCATCAACAGCAATGGTGGAGTGGTTACTTCGAGAGACGAACTTGTCGGCGATCCGGATAACAACAAGTTGCCAGTTGTCGGCCCTCGAGTATGGAATAATTGCGCTAGTTTCCTTTACATTGAATACGATGCCACAAATCCCACATCGGAGCCACTAGACAACACGCGTGTGCACCCTGAGGATTATGAGCTTGGTCGTAAAATGGCAGGAGACGCCCTAGAGCTGGACGAAGAAGATGTTAAAGCCGAGATTGACGAAAATGGCGCCGGTGCCGTGGTCCGTAAGCTCTTTAAAGATGATGAGCAGGAGAAAGTCAACGAGCTTATCTTGGAAGAATATGCTGAGCAGCTGGAGTCGAGATATAATCAAAGAAAGCGCGCCACTCTGGAGACGATTAGAGCGGAGCTGCAAGTACCATACGAAGAGCTTCGTCATCCTTATTCTACCTTGAATTCCGACCAGATATTCACAATGTTCACGGGCGAGACTAAGGACTCTCTTACGGAAGGTATGATTATCTCGGTTAACCTGCGACTCGTCAAAGATGACTTTGCCATCGCCAAGCTTGATTGTGGCATCGAGGGCCGGATCGAGGCCCATGAGGTTAGCCACAGAAGCAACATGTCTATCAGGGATGTTATCCATGTCAACCAGACTGTTCAAGCCAAGATCATGGATCTCAACCGCAAAGAATTCTTGGCAAAGCTTACTTTGCGTGAGGATGCGTTGCGGCGACCTTTTAAAAAGCACAATGATCACGACCGTGGGACTTGGGATTTCAGACTTGAAGATGACGATAAAGAAGCCTTGCGCGAGAAGGACAAGATTACTGGTCGCACCCAACGAGTCATCAAGCACCCGTTGTTTAAGCCGTTCAACTCTACGCAGGCCGAGGAATTCCTAGGTTCCCAATCTTCTGGCGATGTCGTTATTCGACCATCCTCAAAAGGAAATGACCATCTCACTGTAACATGGAAGGTCGCAGATGGTGTCTATCAACACATCGACGTTCTTGAACTTCAGAAAGAGACCGAGTTCTCTGTTGGGAAAACGCTTCGTATCGGTGGCAAATATACGTACACAGATTTGGATGAACTCATTGTGGAACACGTCAAGGCAATGGCTAAGAAGGTTGACGAGATGATGGGTCACGAAAAGTTCAAGAAAGGCAGCGTGGCTGACTCCGGTAAGTATTCGTACCCTCACGAAGTATTTCAGAAATCGACACAATACTAACCCTGATAACAGAAAAATGGTTAGCTTCATACTCAGACGCCAACCCTAATCGTTCGATCTACTTGTGTTGCATCAACCCTAAACGCGCTGGGTATTTCTACCTTTGCTTCAAGGCTAGCAAGTCCTCACCCATCAACATGTGGGATGTGAAAGTGGTGCCCCATGCCTTCGAGATGAAGAGTAACCAGTACCCAAACATGACCGCTTTGTGCAACGGCTTCAAGCTCAGATTCAACAGTGAGATCAGCAAGATGCAGCAGATGAGAAGATAAGCGGGTAGCCGAGACACAAAAGCATTGCTTTCGAGCCGCGTGTATTATCAAGGGCGTTCTAGTTGGCGGGCTAGGCTGCGTTGAGTTGCGTTGAGTTACGAAAAATCTGATGATTGCATTCGGCCTCGGATAGGTATGTGGTCGAATTAAGAGGTAAAGTGCGAAGGCCTACTACTTGCAACTCCCAAGGTCCTCCTACTTTATAGACCAGAAAATGAAATAAATCGAGGTTTTTATTGCAATATGTCGATGCTGTTTCGGTGAACTGATTGAGTATTTGTGTGATATGTATCATGTATCTATCTTGCAGTCCACGCATTAACACTCCATCTTTTTTACACATGCCACAATTTCGTGATCTTGCCAGGTATGTCGGCGATTGTAGACGTAGACTATATACACCTAAACTCAAACGTATTTCTAGAATCGAATGTGTTCATTCCCGACCGTTAGTTCGGCGATTCGCGGGAGCAGGTAGCAGCTTGAGGGGGCAAGACGAAGCCGTTGTCGCATTTTCTCCTGAGGTTCGGCTGGGGTACGCAGTATTTGGGATTTATATATCGGGGTAGCAACGCTATGCCAGCGCCACTAGCTTTGGTTATCTGAGACTAACCGCTGCGATGTGGATATTGGTACGGTCGTTGGTCGGTCGTCGAGAGGATCAAGGAGGATTCATGTCTTAGTTAGAAGATAAGTCGCGAGAACGAAGGATTAAAGATATTCCCAAAACCTACAGCACGCAGCCCCAGAAGATCTGTCCATGGCACATGGCTGAAAGATTTCTAAGCGATCACCTTCAGATATGAATTACCTAAGCTGCTAGGAGGGCTTATTTCGACTACACGTGAGTGGCGTACTTCACGCAAGCAGCTGCTGAGGATTATTAAGCCAATAATGATCGAAAATCTAGCTTACTTAATGTCCGTAGCTGAGGTGTTCGATTCAGCCTCGAAATATTCGCGATGATAACCTTCGCAAATTGGAGCGAGGCTCTTTAAGTCCTGGAAATATGGGTAAGCATCTTGATATGCCCGTAATACATGTCATTTTACGGTTAGTGACAACTCATTCCCGTTTTGCCCTTTCACTAATAACTCAATGGGCGCATGGCACAATATATACGAAGCTCGTCGAGATAATACTGAATCGACGGCTCAACTACCATCGACCATCCACGAGATTCCTTGGGAGACAATGATTATACGGCAAGGTACCACTCCAACGCCAGAGAAGATGGCAAGCGGAACGTGTCTAGGTTGATTCGGGCTCTATTGTTGCAGCACCGTCCCATCGACTAAGGTCTATCACCACCCAAAGTACAGCACCCAGAGAAAAAGAAATTGTTGCTCGAAAAACCAAGTGACCAATTATCAGAGGAACCAAAAGATCCTCTCAAGAGAAAAGAGAAAATATCGCCCGGCATCCAACTCCCATCATCCTGTCCGATAAACAATACGATTAGTCACGGTTCCCTGGATAGCACAGTGTCCCTCGTTCTAAACATACCTAGTACTTATTAAATATGGGCGTGAATCATGACCACATATTCTTGCGTGTAGCGTACTATACACGTCTTTACTCAGAATCAGGACCGTCTTGTGGCCGAGTCCAGCAGGCCGGACACTCGTCGGTGTATAGTGTATCGGCTCTCATGTATCCGGAAACCGGAAGCGTACATGGGCCGCCGGGATAGGCTTCTCCTGGACCGCAGTCGTCTTGCCGCCAGTATATTGTCATGCTGTCGATGACGCACATGCAGGCGCAGCAGTAGGCCATGATGATCTGGCCGTAACACATTTTGGCGGGTTTCTTGTCGGTGGTTCTGGTAGGGGATTCGTTAGTTTTATTTTGTTTCGTTTGGGAGAGTGTTGGGGATAGGTAGGTACCTTAGAAGATGAGTGCTGTGTTGATGAATGTGCTTGGTAGACTGTGCGTTGGGAAAGGCAGGTGTTGGTGATTTTGTCCACCGAAAATAGAAGCTTTGCCTTATGGATCGGTGTTTGTGCCCTGGATGGTTGGTCTCTTCGGGGTATAGGAAAGGTATAAATCAACAGGAAAGCAAAAGATATGCGTGCCGTTTTGGTTGCCGAAGGTTTGTATGGCCATATCAAGTGACGGTTCTGATGGCTACGGATTCTGCTGTTTGCATGAGACGTTGATATTCCCTATGTCCTAACAGCGAGAATCTAGGGATGAGGTAGCCATCTATTTGTCCCTGTATCGATCAGAATAATGGCTATCCTGCCTTCTTGAATAGCACCGGTTGCATTCATGAACGCTCTTGAACCGGGGCGATCCATAGGTAATACCAACCGGACAATGCATGCTTGAGATGTCGTATTTCTTCGCGATTTGGCATCTCATAGTCGTGGGGATGAATGTCTTCCGGTAGACAATCTCGTTGCAGATGCTGCAACCTTTGATCCTCTCGTGTCCACTGCACATTTTCGTGATTCCTTGTTGGTATTGTGGAGGGACTGATGGTTTGTGGATTTTTGTGGTGGTACCTAGACTCGAGATGTGAAATTAAAAAAAAGGTTTGTCTTTGGACGAAGAAAATGACTGCCAGCATATGGTGTTAAATAGTTTTACTCGGGTGTACCTGCCATGTGTACCTGCCATCTGTGAACATGATATCCCCTTGAAGCTAGCTTATTTATTCACTGATATATTGTCACATTTTACATGTCTTTAATCCACCTTGCTTGCTCGAGGCTTTCCATCGTAATAGAGTTCATTGTTAGTCATCGTAAGTTGCTTCTAGAGATATTGTATCGAAGATCGTTGAATCATGAACTAGGCATATAATGATAAAAATATCAATAAGTTTCATAACGAAGATGATATTCTTTACCTAGGAATTCATGATTATTAGCTCTAAGAATTAGTGATTGGAGGTATTCTATATATTTACGTGTCCACGACCTAGAATTTCCATAATTTGAGCGAGTGTTGCACTCTAGGTTGTGATATCTTGAAAAATGTTCAAATGCAAATATCGTGATTGGTATATTATATTTTCGGGCACGATATAAAATTTGACTAATATGTTAGTTTGTCACAGTCATTCAAAACAACAAGCAGAATTGATGCCGCTGGCCTCAAAGCACTACACTTCTAGTATCTTTCATGCTATAAAAGACAATCCTTATTTGAATACATCTATACTCATAAACTAACTTGGCTCATCTATATTGAAAATAGGGGTAGACTTACGGGGCTTGAACAATTAGGTAATCCCACTTAACCTTTAACCTAGTGGATTACTGCGCCACAGCTGTCAGCCTAGCCTGTCAGCTTGTGAAGAACTCCACCGTAAATTCAATGTTGGCCAATGCGCAGGTAGCTACGTAACCCGTGGGAGGTAGGCAGGTGCGTAGCTTGTACTGATAAGGCGCGCCCGTTACTTCCGTATTTCGTGGTTCGGATGGATACGTAGTACGTATGAATGACAAATGTACATGGATTCTTTCCACATTTACCAAGTGAATGGTTAAACCTCATCTTTTTCCCATTCACAATTGGGCGGAACCAAGATTGGCAACGACATAAAAAGTTGAGGTGAGCATCGAATCACGCCTGATTCCCACCGCCAACTGCCAATTGCCATCTGCCAACCACCGCTGTTCTTGTTGTGTGGCTGGGTCGGATCCAGCTATCTTACAGCAGGAAGAACAGGCAGACAGATTACTTCACTGCCTCAACACAATATAACCACAACTTCTTCCTCATTCCTTTTTCCTAATAAATGGCAATGTTGCAGATAAACTGGGAGTAATTCACTTACTAGTCACCACCAATTACTACTAACTTTAAAAATGGCTGGAATTGAGCAGCTAGAAATTCACAGCAAGGTATGTTCGTTCTGTTATAGGGAGGTATTCTACAATCGTAAAGAGCTGACATTAATCCAAACAGTCCTATATTGTGCGATGGGTCAAAGTTGACGAAGGCCAAACGATCTCGTGGAGTGTCCAGCCCCATAAGAAGTCAATGTGAGTTGAATGTCCTTTTTCCAAATCACCCAACTACTGGTACAATTGATCAAGATACTAACTCCGATGCGTTTTATTAGTAACTTCGGCATCGTAAAACACCCCGGCTCCGGCGCAACGAATAATAGCTCAACCTTGGACAGCTTGAACGCCTCGGTTGAACATGTCGATGGTAGTGGAAGTCAAGGGAAGAAAGGCTTTGGCAAGAAAGATGCTAGTACTGCACAAGAACAACTAGCCAATAAGGGGTTCATTCCTATAAAATGGCTCGGCAAATGCGAAGCAGACAAAGTATCTATGGGAACATGGGACGTCCTGAAGTCCCATGGAGGAATGTACGGTTTAATATTCGACAACACCTTCTCGAAACAAACCTCCAAGACGGCAACATTTGTGCTCCTTACCTATCCTACCGGCGCTCCACCACAGGGAGCCCACTATCTTCCAAATCTCCAAGGCGGCTCCCATTCAAACTCGAGCAGGACTAGTCTAGGAAAGCATAGTCCAAGTCAAGGGATCACTGCAGCCGATTCTACCGAGAGCCTACCAAATCATACCGGCCGAGGTCAACGGGCCAAATCGATAAGTGCTCGTAGTGACGGAACGGTAACTTCGTCTACATATACGGGCATTCTTCTAAAAAGAAGGAGGAAGAAGGGCCAGGGTTATGCCCGTAGATTCTTTTCCCTGGACTATTCATCCTGTACGATGTCATATTATCACAATAGGCAATCCTCTGCACTTAGAGGCGCAATTCCGCTTAGTCTTGCGGCAATCGCCGCAGACGAACGGAGGAGAGAGATAAACATTGATTCCGGTGCTGAGATCTGGCATCTACGAGCGGCCAGTGCCAAGGAATTCAACGAATGGGCGCACGCTTTAGAAAAGGCTAGCAGGATCGCAAGGGGTTTGGACCCGGTGCACGAGGAGTCTGCTCCTGAACAACTTACCGTAGCTACTCCGTCGCAACCCAATCCCAACCCATCTCACATGAACCACGAAGAGGACCGAGAATGGCAACAAGTCGAAACCTTGGTCAGTCGCATTGTTGGCACGCGAGATGCTCTGCGCCGTTTAGTTAAGGACACGGCGGCACAAAAACAACCGCCACGCCCCGAGAGTTCGCACCTGTCACAAGCGTCGCCGGCAATGTCGGAGAATAGCGACGGCTATTTTGCCCCAGCAGCGCCGGCAACACAAGATAAACGCCCGTTCTGGAAACGCAAGCCGAGTGCTTCACCCCTAGCGCCAGATACAATGACGCCACCCCTCTCTTCGGCATTGGCTGTTCCCACACCGGGATCGGTAGGTGCAGTGAAGCCGAATGGAATGCGAAAGTCTAGTAACCCTGAACAAGGAAGTGATAAGACGCATGAACACTGCACGGCACTTCTTAACGATCTAGATTCGGTTGTTACGGAGTTTACTAAGGTACTTGCTAATAGTAAAAGAAGACGTATTCCAATCCCCGCTTCTGCTACATCTAGGAAGAGTTTTGAATCGACGGCGTCAACTGATGAGTTCTTTGATGCCGAGGGTGGCGAGATGGAAAGTAGGCCCCAAGTCATGATGATTGACCGTCATGGGAGCGACGAAGATTCCCATGGATCGGAAGCTGACGAAGCTACAATCGATGATTCTTCCTCCGTCTCAACCATACAGGAGGAAGAAGATACCGCCGGAGCCAGCGGTGCCGCGGCTTTATTCCCTATAAGGCCTAAATCTTTGCATCCGTTACCCGTTGACATTGCGGTCGACCGCCGAAAGACCATCCCTCCAGCCACTGTACCTCCACCAAGCCTGATCGCCTTCTTCCGCAAGAACGTAGGCAAGGATCTAAGCACGATCAGTATGCCGGTTTCTTCCAATGAGCCCATCTCTGCTCTCCAGCGGGTTGCAGAACAGCTAGAATATGCTCAACTTCTGGACAAAGCATCGCAGCAAAAGTCCCCGAAGGACCGTCTATTACTTGTCACAGCCTTTGCCATTTCGCACTTCAGCGTCAACCGTATCAAGGAGCGCGCTATGCGTAAACCTTTCAATCCTCTATTAGGTGAAACTTTTGAATTGCTTCGAACCGAAAGCGAAGTGCCTGGAGGATTCAGGCTTTTAGTTGAAAAGGTCACACATCGACCGGTTCGACTTGCTATGCATGCAGATGCGGCGTCCTGGTCATTGACGCAGAGCCCTGCTCCGTCTCAAAAGTTCTGGGGCAAGAGTGCAGAGTTGAATACCGAAGGAAGAGTTCGTCTAGCGCTACGATTACTAGATGGCACCGACGAACTCTATTCATGGAATATGGCTACCATGTTTTTACGAAATGTCGTCATGGGTGAAAAGTACGTTGAGCCGGTCGGGATAATGACGGTTTCCAACGACTCTACAGGGGCAAAGGCCAACATTGAATTCAAAACCAAGGGCATGTTTGGCGGTCGAAGCGAAGAGGTCGAGGTCGATTGCTGCGATGCAAGCGGCTCCTCAATGGGAGCTGGCCTCACAGGCAACTGGACCACGTCACTCTACGTCGTGGAAGGCGGCAAACCAACTAAAAATGAAATATGGAAGGCTGGCCAAGTTGTTCCCAACGCGCCAAATACTTATGGCCTGACCACATTCAGCGCCACACTCAACGAGACAACACCGATTGAGAAGGGCCGGCTTCCGCCTACGGATACCCGATTACGTCCTGACCAACGCTTGGCGGAAGAGGGCAGACTCGACGAAGCTGAGGAGTCGAAGGTTCTACTCGAAGAAGCGCAACGCGCGAGGAGAAGAGATTTGGAGGAATCAGGCGAACAATACAAGCCGAAGTGGTTTGTTAAGGTACCGGAGGCGCCTGATGGAGAGGAATTGTGGAAGTTGAAGCTTGGTAAGGAAGGCTACTGGGAAGAGAGAGCCAAGGGGGAGTGGAAGGGCGTCGAACGTATATTCGATGTGTCGTCCTAGTTGGCTAGAAAATCTGGTCCTGTTTATGATGATAGCTGATGACGTTGTTTCGTACGAGACTGCACGATGTGACGAGGTTGCCCGAATAGAAGCTCTTAACGGGCTGGGATTCGCGAGGCATATAAAATGGGTGAATAGAAGGGCTGCGTTCCCGCCAATTAGATCTATAAATTCTGTTTAGCGAGTATATCGCGATTTAATCCAAATTTTTAGAAATATCTTGGTTGTCTTTCAGGGTTGTCTGGTATCTTGGGGTTAGTAAGGATTAGTAAGTAGTAACCCTAACCCCTAACCCTGGATGAATAAAATGGCTCCGCGGGGTTAAGAGAGACTATCCCTTATGTTACACAGCTGACACCTAAACCTGCCATAGCATGTGTAGATTACCAGTATCTAGAAGGGTCAGGGGATAGCACAATTCAATAGGCGCGGGGCATTTTTCATAACCCCCAAAAACCAAAAAGTTCCAAGGTTGGTTTTGACCTTGAATTTATTCCTTCCCTGTTTAGCCAAGCCCATGATATCTACGATACAACAATGATTTTGGAACTAAGCCAGATAACCGCTCTTATTTTCCCGCGAATCTCGTATCTAGCAGGTTCTTAACAGAATGTAACGTTCTTTCAACCATCAAGCTTCTTAGATAGCTAATGCGGGGAACACGATGGAGCTTGTCCCTACCTAGCCGGCTCGTATAATATGTCGGCTATGCGTCGACCACCCGGCGAGAATGTAATATTCACCTTCGAGTTTTGATGGCTATTCCATCTTTTCCCCTACATCAACTTGAAGGACGACATATACCCACGAAATGCATTGGTACCACTCCCTCTTAACATGTCTCCTCCCCCTCCTGCCCCTAACACAGGCCGTATCCCCCACCCCAACCCTCTCGGCCCCCGCCCCGGCCTTCACATACAACCGCACCTCCTTCCTCCTCCACGGCGCCCCACACGTCCTCATCGGCGGCCAAATCGACCCCCAGCGCATCCCCCCGCCCTACTGGCGAGACCGGCTCCGCAAGGCGCGCGCGATGGGGCTGAACACCGTCTTCAGCTACGTGTACTGGAACCTTCTCGAACCGACCCCCGGTGTGTGGACAGGGGGTCAAGGGGAGAATGACATAGCGCGGTTCTTTGAGATCGCGGGCGAGGAGGGGTTGAGTGTGGTGCTGAGACCCGGCCCGTATATTTGTGGCGAGAGGGAGTGGGGTGGGTTTCCGGCTTGGTTGAGTCGGGTGCACGGGATGAGGGTTAGGTCGCGGGGGAAGGCGTTTATGGATGCTGCGGAGGGGTATTTGGACAGGTTGGCGGGGGAGGTGGGACGGTTGCAGGTTACGAGGGGGGGACCGTTGGTTATGGTGCAGGTTGAGAATGAGTATGGTTCGTATGGCACCGATCATGGGTACACACGTGCGTTGAGGGATGTTTTGAGGGGGGTTTTCGAGGTCCCGTTGTATACTAATGATGGAGGCGTCGAGTGGACGCTTGCGGGCGGGGAGGTGCCGGGTGTGCTCGCGGCGATTGATGGGGACCCCAGGTCTGGGTTTGCGGCGAGGGATCGGTATATCACGGATCAGTCGGAGCTCGGGCCGTTGCTCGATGGGGAGTACTACACCACTGGCCCGGACTTCTGGGGGTCGGCGAATACGCATACTACGGCGGTGGGCAACCCGTCGCTGATCCGTCAGTATGTCGAGGATCTCGACTTCGTGCTCGGTGCGGGTAGTTCTATCAGCTTGTATATGTTTCATGGAGGCAGTAATTTTGGGTTTAGCAATGGTGCGATTTGGAAGAATTATACGGCTGCTTTTATTACGAGCTATGATTACGGCGCACCCTTGGATGAGAGCGGACGCACGACGGAGTTGTACGATGTTTTGAGGGATGCGATTGCGAAGTATGTCCCTGAGGGAAGCATACCGGAGCCACCGGCGAATGTGCCACTGGCCGAGATTCAAAATTTTACGTTAACGCCGGTGGGTGCGCTGTTTGATGTGGATATTCTTGGGGAGAAGACGGCGAGAGAGGCGCCGGTTACGATGGAGGAGTTGGACCAGGCTTATGGGTTGGTTCTCTACGAGCATATGGTTACTACGACACTGCAAGGGGTTTTGCAGCCAGGGGATAGGGCCAGGGATCGCGTTATTGTGTATGTGAATGGCACGAAAAAGGGTGTCATTGATAGCACGTACGCGAAGCCGGCAGAAGTTAGTTTGTCATTACAGCCGGGCGATGTGCTGCGGCTACTAGTTGAGAATCTTGGTCGCGTCGACTACTGGTCGAGGGAATCTGGCACATTCATCGCGCTCGAGGACCCATATAAGGGTATTGTAGGGAATGTCACGGTTGGTTCGCAAGTTGTTTCTGGGTGGGATATCTACTCGCTGCCACTTGATGCGCCTCCTGCCTCTCAAGAGATCAGGCCTGAGTCTAAAGCATTAGCGATAGCAGCGGAATCGCCACCTGTCTTCTTCAGCGGCACGTTTCGCGTTGACGGCGGGAATGCATCTGACCCCATGACACTAGACACGTTTCTATCCGTCCCAGATGGTGTCAAGGGAAACGTCTGGGTGAATGGGTTCAACTTGGGTCGGTATTGGATTGTAGGACCGCAGCAGTCGTTGTACCTCCCGGGGACCGTGATTAAGGCCGACGAGGAGAATGAGATTGTCGTGCTCGAGCTTGAGCCGAATGCGGACTCCTTGACGGCTTTTGGGGCGGCCGAGAGGACTTGGGCGAATCATCCGGATCCTGACTACCCCTGAGTTTAAGGCGTTTCGATGTTTTCGGTCGCGTGGAAGCATTTCGGGGCTACTCTTTCGCGGAGTTAGAATAGAAATAACTATATCGAGATCTCGAATTCCCTCACCTTAAGAATGAGTATTGCGTTTTACTGTTCTGTTAGTTACGCCGTTCGGCGTCTCGTGGCTGATACTCCCTGCATGAGCCTGAAAATACTTTTCATCGATTGAAATCTCACTTCATGAAAACGGAAGGTATGTGCCTGAAATAAACTATGTTCCTTGGAGAAAACAGAAAGTTATAAAATTATCTGTTCGCGATGGACCTCCCTGGAGATAGGGGCAAAGTTTGTATTTTAGCCACGATGCTAGAATATCTATTTTTAACCTCACATTTCGTATCATGTAAGTTATTTATATGACGTAGATAACCGGGTTCGATTCCATGCCATTGGGTTCGTATATAATACGCGGATAGTAATATATATGCATGCCTTGTAGGCGCGGATGTTTACATACCAGTGGCCAATGATTCCCTATTCTGCAGGCAGTTATTGGAAATCTACACTATTGGCTGTTAGATCTCTATCTCAATGTTCCGAAAATAAGATTATCTGCTCGGGAGACCGTTCGTTCGGGTCATCATAGGCACTAACTACTGTAAGGGCCTCGAAATGTATGACCTAATTGCCACGAGGCTCTGATTGTCTGAGCGTGTCGGCAGTGAGACATTGCCTCCATCTAATAAAGCTAATATAGGCGAGTTTGGGGATCTTTAATGAGTTCGCATTGGAGTAATTGGATCTATACATAACATGCCGGCGTCATCTCACCACGTCTACCACTCTGTTCTAGAACATCCATCTAGATAATCGCAACCATCATGTACGATCTCCGTTTGAGGCGCCTCCATACTCCGCGATTCGTACGACAGACCTACCTGGTTGCGTAAATTTCCCTTCAATTGTGACCCTTTTAAGTTATGCTCTGGCCTCGATATCTTTAAATGCGGTGTCTGAAACACCCAGTCCGCTAACGATCTGAGTCTAACGGCTCCGGTTATTCGGCCTCTCCCGTTCCAGAGGCTTAAAGGTAAATATTGCCAGCGCCAATGGTATTTTAAATGTTCGTTCCATAGGTCCCATGTGCCTGTTTTCAAGTGTCACGTCTCGAAAACGGCGATGCTGGTAGCCGACATTCCATGTCGCGGACTTCCGGGACAAGAATTATCGTGGGTCCTAATATAGACCGTGCGTTTGAATTCCAACGCCAACGCGTCAAGTTGACAGCTTTAATTGGCGATGTAGGCGATATAATCGATCTTGCATGCGGCTATGCAAGTTGTTAGTCTACGTCAACGTTGCTCTCGTGAGTTTGCAAGGTTAAACTCTTCAAACATGAAGCGCAGCAGGTCTACGCAGCGGTTCCCTTCTTTCCCCGTATCTCCCTTACGACTAAGCCTGAATATCCTTTAGCATGAGAAGCTTCGCCGTCGAAATATCGCCATCGACTTACTCTTAAAAGACTCGGGTGGTGTCCCGGATCCGTGAAACTTGCTCATCAGGTGTTTCACTCTTTACTCTTCATCTTTCTTGAATCCTCGCCTTGGTTTCTAACCCCATCTTCCCTCCTAGATGTCACTTTTCCTGTCAACATAGAGTTCTCATCAGGCGCGATGCATAGGGGATACCTTCCTTTTCTCGCCGCGCTGGCCCAGGTCACAGGGTCGCTGGCAAAGACGGTCACATACAACTGGAACGTTACCTGGGTCTCTGCTAGTCCAGATGGATTTGAAAGGCCGGTTATTGGGATCAACGATGCTTGGCCATGTCCAAAGATCGAGGCCAATGTTGGCGACTTTGTCGTTGTCAACCTGAACAACAAGCTGGGGAACGAGACGACCGGTCTCCACTTCCATGGCATCAACCAAATAAGTTCCAATGACATGGACGGCGCCGTCGGCACCAATCAATGTCCTCTGCCTCCAGACTATTCCGTCAAATATCGGTTCTATGTAAGTGATACCTCGTGTACGTTGGGGCGTGAAGATAGGAGGCTGACAACAGATGGCAAAGGCCGATGCACCTGGCACATATTGGTGTAAGTTGAAAGGCTGGAAGCGGCCGGGTTGTTTCCACTTGCTAATAATAATGGGGAAGATCATTCGCATAGTATGGGGCAGTATCCAGACGGCCTCCGCGGGCCGCTGATTATTCATGACCCCGACGACCCGTACGAAGACGACTACGACGAGGAAGTCATCCTTACACTGTCTGATTGGTAAGCCTAACGCCTCGATATTATTAATTCCAATGGCGATTATTTTTCCTTTTCTAGACCCGCTTACACATCGCGCAGGTACCGTGATCAGACGCCAACATTGCTGCAGACTATGATCCAGCCCAATAATACGCAATTTGCTCCTCCGCTGCCTAATAGCACTCTAATCAATGACGGGGGTGATGGTCACATCCCCGTTGAGGCGGGCAAGACGTATCGCATCCGGATGATTAACTGGTCCGCTATGTTCTCCACCTTCATAACATTTGCAGACTTTGACATGGATGTCATTGCAATCGACGCTTCGTATGTGCAGAGGACGTCCGTGCAGCAACTGCGCATATCCGCCGCCCAGCGGACAGATGTCCTGATCACAATCCCCGATGATGCAGACAGGAACTACCCGTATCTTGTTGCCTTGGACGTGAATCAAGATTTTTCGTCCAAAAACCCTCCGAGACCAGTCTCGTTCCTGTTTAACGTCACTGGCCTGTTGGTCACGGATGACGACGGGGACAAGACCGAGACATTTGACGTCCAAGCTTTCGAGCCCTTCGACGATGCTACCTTCGCCCCGGAGGACGATGAAGAGGTGTACGGCCCCGTCGATAAACAGTGGATCCTGTTTTTCGACTACTGCCACGATGTCAATGGGTATCCCAGGGCATGTTTCAACGACACGATGTACATTCCGCAGAAGGTTCCAGCGTTGTATTCGGCATCTTCCTTAGGAGAGAACAACACCCAGACCGCTGCGTACGGGCAGGTGAACCCTTTCATCGCCGAGTACGGCGACGTGATCGAGATAATAATCAACAACAACAACGACGCGATCCACCCGTTCCACCTGCACGGGCACCAGTTCCAGGTCCTCGCGCGTCCGGAAAGCGAGGCGGGGAACTGGTCCGCCGACGTGGCCATTAACGATGTGCCACCGAGGCGAGACACCATCGCCGTGAACTCAAAATCGTACGCTGTGTTTCGCATCAAGGCCGACAATCCGGGTGTTTTCCTGTTTCACTGCCATGTCGAGTGGCACGTCGAGATGGGTCTAAGTGCAACCTTGCTCGAGGCCCCCGACAAGCTGCGAAACTACACGATCCCCCAGGACCACATCGACGCCTGCGACGCTATGGGCATACCGACGACAGGCAACGCCGCCGGAAACGAGGATTGGGATAACACGGATGGCTTCGTTACGGTGCCACCGACGGAATACACAGGGTAAGTCTCTCACGACGTCGGTTAGATTCGCTAGTGATTTTGATGTTGCTGGCTAACCTTGGCGGTGTAGATCTCTGTACACAGCGTCAAGCTGAGTAGAGGTGAGGCGGAGCGCACGCGCGCTAGGGAGTTCTTGTGCGATGTTCGACGTAGGGAAACAAAGGGCCTTTCCTAACTTTTTTATCGGAATATTTTCTAGTCCTACATAGATACCTAGGTGTTGGCACCCCCCCTACATACCCCGGCTTAAGTGCCGAAAGGATTAATGGTTTTATAATTATTACGGCGTTGCTATTTTACGGACAGACGGACATACAGACGGACTTCACAGCTTAGCAAGTTGTTTTCGGGACTATATTTTTATCATACTTGGTCAGTTTGGTGGTTTAATGCGGTTACATGTTGGGTGTACAGGAGAATTGGAAAAACTCACATAGCGTACATATTGAAATTAACTGACTATAAGGTCATATACCGTAATAGTATGATACTACTCGAATTTAGATCGGTATCTAGGTACTAGAATGTTGTTGAAACAGATGTTGCCAAGATCATGTAAGCTGACTTTGCCGATGTATGTATGGTTTAGAGTGAATTGGGTAAAAAGGAGCGCGCCGCAATCCTACATGCGTTTGTGGTGATCCTCAAAACCCACCGCCTGGTCGAGCCAGCCAGTCGGGAATTTCACATGCATATCTGAGTAGTATGCGCGTCTCGGACCCTTCTCCATGGATATCACTGGTGCCTGAACTGAATATTGGGGACAACGGTCTCGAACTTTGGTAATACGAGATGACATCGTCGCGGGATCTAACTGGGCGGCATTCATTCCGCAACACCATCAGCCACTCGAGTCCCTTATCTAACTGTGATTTGGTTTTACTAGGTAATTGACGTAGTAGCGCTAGGTACTTCCCGAAGCCAACGGCCGTTAGGGTTTCATCAACCTAGGCGACATTGAGCTTTTTCGTCGCATCGGCGGGATAATTAGTCACCCCGAGGAGGTCTAAGAACCCGTGTCGCCAGCCTTAAGGCTGAAAGTCTTGGATAACGTCCTGGGTTTCGTCTCGGCCCCGCGGGAGAGATCTAAGCTTGCAGAAGTTTGGCTCGATGAGACCTAGCAAGGGGGCGCTGTTCCTGGGCGTTACACGAAAAATCTTCTATGGTTCTTCTCAGCTTATTAGGGATGCTTAACTTGACTTAGCTAAGCATTCTATCTTTCTGACTGGGGCTTCCGATAAGTCGACATGCAGAATTCGGCATTGGCATTTCGTAAGCTATGGAAGCGAGCCCGCTAGACAGATTGGCTGGAGTCCCCACGGAAACAACAGAATTTTTTTGACAACGTCCCCCAATCTGGGGTTTTCCTTTGATCCGAGTCCGAGACGGGCATGAATGGCTGAGGTGAAGATTACATATGGGACGCCATCTTCGACGTTCGACGTCGCCGATACGAGGCTACCTCTGAACGAGGCTTTTATGATTAGCAGAACGTTCCTCATAATAGATTATTATAACCAAAATCTATCTGCATTTCAAATGGTCTTCCTACATGCAAGGTATGATTTGATGAAATCGACAAAAAGTAAATCGAGACAGATTAAGTTATGGATCTTCGTAGTATGCATCTCTCGATCTGCGTGGATTGCCACCTCCCTGAAGACAAACCTGGAATACTACAAGTATCTGTACTTTTTAGGCATACCGTAGAATGTCGAATTATGCTCAAGCATGGGCATGGGCATGGGCATGGGGCAGGATCGCCCGGACTGTCAGACTACTAGGTACCGTGGTTTGTGGTTGTTTCCGTATGATGTAAGATTAGCTTGCATCTATACGCCGAATCTTGGTGCCTTAGGTATATGAAGGTACGTAGTTCTAGTGGTGATTTGTAAGGTGGTTTGAACGGTCGTTGACAAGATATTGTCTATTGACTCTTCACCGGCTTGGCGTTCATCATTCTAGAGGCTACCGCACCTGGGCGTGCGTATCTGGAGGGCGATGGTATGAACATCGATGCATTTGATCATCGCTCGAGAACTTTTGATCGTAACGGAACCAATGGTCGAGTAAACTCGGGTTTGACAGCCATATGTGGAGAAGCTAGGAGCTGAATTCTGGTCTAGAGCATCGTGTGGTTTTGCGTAGCCGTGATGGCTCGTAACTCAATTGTTTCCGCGGGAAATTGGAACGCTACGAGGCTTGGAACCTATCCAGGTTAAACCGAAACCATGCCCTACATGCAGATGAAACTGACCCTCGATCCGGGTAAGAATGAATCTGAGAGATAGTGATCAAGCCAATGAGCGTGTCCCGTCAGTAAAGGAAGCATCGGGCTTGCATACTGCACTAGCAAGGAAACACTTTCAAGCGTCCACAACGCCAATCTGTTCTGTAATCAGTTACATCCACCTGAATAATAAAACCAGGCTTGGTAGTCGGCGTGCATGTGTAATTTGGCCCAGCGCATTTTGCTTGGGATCTATACGATAATAGACCGGAGGTCCGATTTCTCATCGCTTAGAGGGTGCGGCCAGACCGACCGAGCGACCCGTTGAGGTCCAATTATCTTCTACCATGTCCTATACAAGGAGATATGATAGAACAGTATCGGAAGCAGGTATGTTTCCCGGGCGAAGGGGGATAATACCATGGCATGTTATATGGATGGTGAGATGAAAAGTTGTCAGCTTTGATAGCCAACTCCTGGCTGTGGCTAGGTAAGGGCCATAGGTACTAAGTATAGGGGGGTGCTTAAGTGCAGTTAACAAGAGGGAACGCCGCTGCAAGGAAGAATCCTTTGAGATAGGATATTGCGACGAGAGTGTACGTTACGGAAATAAGCCACAGTGAAGCGTAATCAAAAGATTAGAATGATATAATTAGGTCGTACATGTCTAGTAGTACAAACGTACGAACTGATAGGAGGTATGTATGTACCTAGAATGACGATCATAGCTGGAGTGCGGACTGATGAAGTTCTAGAATTGGGCTGGAGGCAGTGGAGGTTGGACATTGGAGAAGGCAGGGAATGGAGAATGGAGATCTGGAGTTTTTACTGTTCCTAGGTGCTTTATCCCACGTGGCGCAGAACCCACCTGCAGGGTTTATCTTAGACCTGGAATAATGTTGGTCCACTCCAGTACTCCAGGGCTGTTTCCTACCCGGCGCGTTTACTGGTACCCGTTAGCGGGAACTTTACATGGGGACCCATCCACTTGAAAGTTTCCCCCCTAGCTGATAGGCACCAATGTTGTAGGGCGGTCCTATTAAGGTCGCATAACACAAGCATTTGAGGCGATGATTTAGAGTAACCCCACCTAGGCAAGTCATATATTAAGATATATGGCACCGGTAGTTAACTGTAAGGGAGGCAACTGTAATTATCCATCACACTTAATTAGGTAGGTACATTAGATGTATTGAGTTTTGAATGACTTAATCGAGATTTGGAATAAAATAATTGTGTTAAAGAGGTTTTTTTTTTTAAAAAAAAAAATAAGCTACCAGTTACGATCTACGATATGATGTACGTAAATGGGCATATTTAGCTTGGTTAAAATGTTCAAGTTCAAGTCTATGCATGTATTCGTATTGATATCTAAAAGCATTCATTCATTCACTTACCAAGTATGGCCAGTAGATAAGGGATGAGCGGATAAGAAGATAAGCGGATAAGGGGATAAAAAATCAAGGATGAAAATCATAAACGATGCATGCGGATTTATATTCCTACCTCCTACTTCATTCAACTTCTACCTTTTATGGAACAGCCACAACCAAATACGATCACAGTCTCAAACAAATACTTCCCAGCCCACACGGACAACGCCAGATTGAGAATTAGACTCTGGAATTATCCATCATGATCACACTTAAACCCCTGCCGCTATTTCTTAAAACAGTTTAGCGAAGTCCGTGGGCGTCGGCATGCTAATGCAGGTCACCATGTACCAATATAGCACTAATTTATGGGCAATAGGTAATATGGTCAGCTAGCTGGATAGGTACCTACCTACCTAGTACCTGCGTGCCTGTCTTCCTACCTACTGGACACTCACTCGAGTCTGCTCATGCACATGCACATGCCAGAGCATTATCTTACAATGGAATCCCGAGACAGTGGTGACAGTTAAGAGACATTGTGCGCATTGTATGCTCCCTGTCGTAGCAAGACATCTTGTTACTATGCGTAATAGTCTCGGTCGTACTCAACACCTTCTCGTCAGTGGCGGGCGTATATTGCTATCCTCTAGTCGGTTTACGCTTAAGAAGCTCAGCCAGGGCTAAACTTCTTTGAGAAAGGCACCCATGCGGCTCATCTTCATTGCCACTACTATCCATGGCACCGTTATTTGGTTCTTACGTTCGTACTAACTACCTACCTATGTACAGTGGTCGAACTGTGTTGATAATGCCTCTATCGGCAGAAAAACGACGTATCGTCTCTATGCAGAAGCAGGGCAGAGTTACTACCGACCTAGTACCTCGGAAGTCAATGTTATCAAGAAATTCTTGAAAAATAAACAACATCAATCCTTCGGCTCATACCCGTCGGTGGTGGCGCCAGCGCCGTGGTTCATTTTCTTTAGTGAGACACAAATACCTCCTCTAATGAGGGATTGGTCTTATTACAATATTCCCTTTTCATTTTTTCTTATTCTCGTGGCGGGGTCCTCTGAATACAGTACAGCCTTTCTTATTCTCGTCCGTCCTGACGTGCACCAGAAGCTTACTGCTGCTGCACCTCTCGGCGGACATCCCCAACGGCCAACTCAATGACCCACCGTTTGGCGCCTAAGTAAGATTACCAAGTAATTCATTGGAAACCCGGGAAGAGAGCACCCACAAGCCTTCCCGTGCGCAGTTTCATGGGAGCTATACCTTTTGCGTCAGATTCACTAAGTTTTCTTCGCAGAACGCGTGAGGGAGGCTCGAATTAGTCAGAACAGCATGACTGTTTATCTCCCCGAATGAAAAAAAAATCGCAATTTGATCGGCTAGGCATGCAATGGCTAGGAACTGGGAGTATAGCTGCAGTCAGACCTTTGGCCATTCGGCCTAAGGGAAGAGAGCTTGAGATGTCACAGTTCGCCTCCCGTGATGACCATTATCCTTCGGATAAGACATGGAATATCCACCTTCGCAAGGTGGCAGCCCTATGATCCAGTTACTCTCTCCCAAAATGGAAATATAATGCTTATCTCCTCCCATGAACTTTCGGTCACCGAGAATCGAACCATGCCGGACTAATTGAAAGTACTGTATGGGGACCCAGGCCAGGGAGTGAGTTCACAGTTTCCCCCCTACACACCCCCCCACCCCCCTGGCTTCTAGTCGTGACGCCTCAGGTACTACCTTGATATATCGCACATGGGATCAGACACTGCCTTCGTGTTAAATTTAGTTCAGGCTAGCTTATCTGAGTGGTGATGTGTTGATCTGATATATATAAGTCAAGACACCTCGACCACCGCCAAAGGCTTGAGATATCACACAATCATCAAACAACATTAGCCTCACCCATCACCAACAAGATGGCGGACCAGATGGCATTTCTCCTCTTCGGAGACCAGAGTCTCGACACGCATGGCTTCCTGGCCGACTTTTACAGACGAGGGAACCCGGGTGTTCTATCGAAAGAATTCCTTCGCCTAGCCGGCGATGCTCTAAAAGATGAGGTAGAGCGACTACCTCAAGAAGAACGACGAAACATTCCTACCTTTAGAAAACTACAACAACTCAACGAGAAATACCACGCACAACCAGTCAAGTTCCCAGGGATCGACAGCGCCCTCTTATGCATAGCACAGCTGGCACATTACATCGAGTATGAGAAGTTCAATGGGGAAATGTTCGACAGGAATCTTTACTAACACGATTGGGTAGCCGTTCCGAGAAGGAGCACGGAGATGTTACCGACAAGAGCAACACGAAACTCTCCGGTCTTTGCACCGGCCTCTTCGCTGCAACCGCCATTGCATCGAGCCCGTCGCTTTCTACCCTCCTCCCGGTCGCCGTCCAAACCGTCTTGATGGCATTTAGGACAGGGTGTCACGTGGCTTCGTTAGCAGAACGACTTAGCCCGTCAACTGGAAAGTCAGAAAGTTGGACATATGTTCTCCCCGCCGCTCAGGAAGCGGAGGCGAAGTCTCTTCTGGCAGAGTTTCATAAGGAGGAGGTGAGATTCTCTCAATATCTAGCACGCTGTGTCACGTCTAACTTTCTGGAAGGGAATTTCACAAGCTGCACATGCTTACGTGAGCGCCGTTTCTGCGAATAACATCGCAATATCTGGTCCGCCAGCTACGCTACAGGCTTTGTTTAGCAAAGATCTGTTTGAATCTAGACCGACAGCAATCCCAGTATATGGTCCATACCATGCTCCACATTTGCATGGGCTAGTAGACATTAGGAAGATGCTTCGGCTTGACGACGAGGCTGTCACTACGGCTTTGGCAGGATCAAAACCTCAGAGCGCTGTTATGTCCTGCGTTACTGGCTTACCTTTTCCTGAGACCGATACTAAATCCCTTCTCGCGGCGGTGGTTCACGAGATTCTCAACGAAGCCTTAATATTTCACAAAACTCTCAGCGGAAACGCGAATGAGGCGCGGGACTTCAAAGGTTCCCGTATTTTAGTGATTCCATATGGCCCAACGCAGGCTGCCAGTACATTGGCTAACGTCCTGCGGTCACAAACTAAGGCAGAGGTTATCCTGAGGCCGACTCCTCAAGTTTCTCGCGAAACTACGTCGGCCTCCATCGGAAACCACGGGTCTTCTGGCAACTGCAAGCTTGCTATCGTTGGTATGGCAGGTCGCTTTCCAGACTCAGCGAGCCATGACGCGCTCTGGGACCTACTTTTGAAGGGAATAGACGCCCACCGTATTGTGCCCGCGGATCGATTCCCAGTTGAAACTCACTACGACCCGACTGGAAAGGCAATCAACACAAGCCACACACCTTATGGTAACTGGATTGAGAACCCTGGTCACTTCGACCCGCGATTTTTCAACATGTCTCCTCGAGAGGCCTTTCAGACCGACCCGATGCAGCGTATGGCTTTGACGACTGCCTACGAGGCGCTTGAGATGTCCGGCTATGTACCCAACCGGACACCATCGACAAGGCTAGACCGCATTGGTACCTTCTACGGCCAGACATCTGATGACTGGCGAGAGATCAACGCCGCGCAAGAGGTTGATACCTATTATATAACCGGTGGTGTAAGAGCATTCGGCCCAGGCCGAATAAATTACCATTTTGGCTTCTCCGGTCCTAGTTTGAACATTGATACCGCTTGTTCATCTAGTGCTGCTGCTCTTCAAGTTGCTTGCACCTCTCTAAGGGCGAAGGAATGCGATACCGCCATCGTTGGCGGTCTTTCCTGCATGACAAATTCGGACATTTTCTCCGGGTTGAGTCGTGGCCAGTTTTTGTCGAAGGAGCATAATTGTAATACCTTCGACAATGACGCAGACGGCTATTGCCGTGCCGACGGGTGTGCTTCAGTCATTCTGAAGCGCCTAGACGATGCGATCTCCGACAAGGACAACATTCTCGCTGTTGTTCTTGGCACCCAGACAAATCACTCAGCAGATGCTATCTCTATCACGCATCCGCATGGCCCGACTCAATCTATCCTCTCTTCGTCTATCTTAGATGAAGCTGGTGTTGATCCGCACGATGTAGACTACGTCGAAATGCATGGCACAGGCACCCAGGCCGGCGATGGAACTGAAATGGTCTCTGTGACTGATGTTTTTGCTCCCGCCAGTCGACACAGGCCAGCTGACAGACCTCTCTTCCTCGGCTCTGTGAAGGCCAACGTAGGTCACGGCGAAGCTGCGTCCGGTGTTACTGCTCTCATCAAAGTCTTGATGATGCTCAAGAACAATGCCATTCCTCCACATATCGGTATTAAAAAGGAGATAAACAAGACCTTCCCCTCAGATCTAGGTGAACGCGGTGTAAACATCGCGTTCCACAAGACTCCATTCACCAGAAAGGACGGAAAGCCGAGGCGAGTTTTCGTCAATAACTTCAGCGCCGCTGGTGGCAACACCGGTATTTTGCTTGAAGATGGCCCTCGCTACAAGACTGCTACTTTGGACCCTCGTACGCAACACGTTATTACTGTCACTGCCAAGTCAAAGGCTGCTATGATCAGAAACGCTGAAAACCTTGTTCAGTGGATGGAGGAGAATCCTTCTACTTCCGTCTCCCACGTCGCGTACACTACGACGGCCCGTAAGATCCAACACTATTGGCGTATGAATGTGACCGCTTCCAGCCTCATTGAGGCCCAAGAAGCGATTAAGGAACGCTTAAAGTCTAACTTTGTCCCTGTTTCCCCAGAGCAACCTAAGGTTGCATTCCTCTTCACAGGACAGGGATCTCATTATGCCGGCCTCGGCAGGGATCTCTATGCACACTATTCTATCTTCCGCCGTGCCATCGATGAATACGACCAACTTGCTCGTATCCATGGTTTCCCGTCATTCCTTCCTCTCATCGATGGCACCGAGCCTGAGGTACAGAAACTCTCTCCCGTCATCGTCCAATTGGGTTTGGCTTCTTTCGAGATGGCCCTCGCCAAACTCTGGATGTCATGGGGAATTCGGCCTAGCGCTGTTCTGGGTCATAGCTTAGGAGAGTACGCGGCTCTTCACGTCGCTGGTGTCTTGTCTGCTAGCGATACCATCTACCTCGTTGGCGCTCGTGCTAAGCTTCTTGTCGAAAAATGTACTGCTGGCACTCATGCGATGTTGGCCGTCCAAGGCTCTGTTGAGACCGTCCAAGAGGCACTCGGGGAACGTGCCGCAGCGACTAACGTTGCATGCATCAATGGCCCGCGAGAGACCGTCCTCAGTGGCACCTCCACAGAGATTGCCGAGATTGCTGAGCAACTTGGTAATGCCGGTTTCAAGTGCACGCAATTGAAGGTACCCTTCGCTTTCCACTCTGCCCAGGTTGAACCAATTCTGGATGAGTTCGAGAAATTAGCCCGCTCAGTCCGCTTCCAAGAACCCAAGGTTCCAGTCATTTCTCCCCTTCACGGCAAGCTCCTTGACGGCGAGCCAATCAACCCTACCTACCTTCGCAACCACGCTCGTGACGCTGTCAACTTCCTTGGTGGCCTTGTTTCTGCTCAACAATCTGGTGTTATCGATGAAAAGACCGCCTGGCTTGAGGTTGGCCCACACCCTGTGTGTGCTAACATGGTGAAGGCAGCCTTCGGAGCTAGCACTATTGCAGTCCCGACTCTTCGCCGCAATGAGGCTACTTACAAGACAATCAGTGCTACTCTGTGCACACTACACTCCGCTGGCTTGAACCTTGACTGGAACGAGTTCCACCGCGACTTTGACGCGTCAGTGCGCCTTTTGGATTTGCCTACCTACTCCTTCGACCTCAAGAATTACTGGCTACAATATACTGGTGACTGGTGTATTACTAAGAACCGGGGCGCTTTGGCTGCACCTAAAGCGATCGAGCCAGCCAGGCCGAGACTGTCCACCACTAGTGTCCAGAAAATCACCAAGGAAGAAGTCAAGGGTGACATTGCTATTCTCGAGACTGAATCAGACCTAGCCGAAGAGAACCTTCGAAAAGTATGTCTTGGCCATCGTTGCAACGGTGTCATGTTAACCCCATCGACTCTCTATGCTGATATGGCGGAGACTATCTGCGAATATGCTTACCAGCTTCTTCGCCCGGATGTCAAGGATATCGGTATGAATGTCGCTCATATGGAAGTCTCTAAGACTCTTCTTTTCGATGCCAAGGCATCGAGCCAGGTATTGCGCATGGAAGTTAAGGCCAATGCCGCTGAGAACGTCGCTGATATTACATTCACGACTGGCGAAGGTGCCAAGAGGACTGAGCATGCACTTTGCAAAGTCTACTACGGTAGCAAGGAAGATTGGCTGGATGAGTTCGAACGTGTCAACTACCTGATTAGGGGACGTATCGACGCACTCAAGGCCGCCGAAGAGCGTGGTGAGGCTTCGAAGATCAGTAAGGGAATTGCATACAAGCTCTTTACTGCCCTCGTCGACTACTCCCCGCAGTACCAAGGCATGCAGTCTGTCATCCTCAACAGCAAAACCTGCGAGGCAAGTGCCAAAGTTGTATTCCAAACTTCGCCCGCAGATGGTACTTTCCGTACCGCCCCTTACTGGATTGACTCCGTCTGCCATATCTCAGGCTTCATCGTGAACGGTACCGATGCTGTTGACTCTCGTGAGCAGGTCTTCATTTCCCATGGTTGGGGTAGCATGAGATTTGCCGAAAGACTCGATGCCTCAAAATCATACCAGACCTACATACGCATGCAGCCTGTCAAAGGTACTAAGATGATGGCTGGTGATGCCTACGTCTTTGATGGAGATAGACTCATTGGTGTCGGTGGCGATGTCCGCTTCCAGTCTATCCCCCGCAAGGTTCTCAACATCGTCCTTCCTAACCCCAATGCCGTTGCTGCTCGCCCTGCTCTAGCTGCTAAGCCTGCCCCTGCTAAGGCCCCCGCGAAGGAGAAGAAACAAGTCACTAGCTCTAATCTCCCAGCCGTAAACAAGAAACTAGCCCAGACCTCGGTGGTTTCCCAGGTCATGGACGTTGTTTCGAAGGAGACCGGTGTTAGCCATGACGAGTTGGCGGATAACATCGCGTTTGCTGACCTTGGTGTTGATTCTTTGATGGGTCTTACCATCAGTGGACGCCTCCGTGAAGAGCTAGAGCTCAACATTGACTCACATGCCTTCAATGACCATGCCACGATTGGCGCCTTCAAGAAGTTCCTTGCTCAATTCGAAACTGCAGCACCAGTCGTTGTTTCAGAGTCCAGCGGTTCCAGTGGTACTTCTGACAGCGACGACGATATTGAGTCGGACTCGGAAGTTACCACCCCTGGCGAGAGCGACAAGGGTTCAGTAAAGGAAGACTCCGCACCAGCTGACTCTGGAAGCAATAGCGAGCTTCAACAGATGGTTCGTGACACCATTTGCGCTGAGATGAGTGTCGAGGTCGAGGAAGTAATCGCAGCCCCCGATTTAGCTGCACTGGGAATGGACTCGCTCATGAGCCTGTCTATCCTCGGCATCCTCCGTGAGAAGACTGGCTTGAACATCCCCAGCGACCTTCTAGGCCACAACCCATCTCTAAAGGATATCGAGCGAATGCTTGGCATCGAAGACAAGCCTAAGCGTGCCGCTGCCGCACCTAAGCCTGCAGCTCCAAAGGTGTCCAAGACTAAGTCCCAGTCGAAGACTATTACCAAGACCCAGACTGTGACGGTAACCAAATCGTCTGTTCCTGATGCCTACCCCCACCGGAAAGCAACATCCGTGCTTCTCCAAGGCAACCATCGTACTGCCACTAAGCAACTCTTCATGATCCCTGACGGAAGTGGCAGTGCTACCTCGTACACGGAGATCTCCGAGCTCGGCTCAGACGTCGCCGTCTGGGGCATGTTCTCGCCCTTCATGAAGACCCCAGAGGAGTATAAGTGCGGTGTTTATGGGATGGCGACCAAGTTCATCCAGGAAATCAAGCGCCGCCAGCCTGAAGGTCCCTATGCCGTCGCTGGTTGGTCAGCAGGTGGGGTGATCGCATATGAAATTGTCAACCAGCTTACCAAGGCCGGAGACGAAGTTTCTAACCTCATCATCATCGATGCCCCTTGCCCTATCACCATCGAACCCCTCCCTGCCGGCCTTCACGCCTGGTTTGCGGAGATCGGTCTTCTTGGCGAGGGTGACAGTCCCGAGGAGAAGAAGATTCCGTCTTGGCTTCTGCCTCATTTTGCTGCTTCGGTCACCGCCTTATCTAACTACACTGCCGAGCCGATTGCCAAGGAGAAGTGCCCTAAGGTTACGGCCATCTGGTGTGAGGATGGTGTCTGCAAACTACCCACAGACCCCCGACCTGACCCTTACCCTACCGGTCACGCTCTCTTCCTCCTTGATAACCGAACTGACTTCGGTCCTAACCGCTGGGACGAGTACCTTGACGCCGAGAAGATGACCTTCCACCACATGCCCGGAAACCATTTCTCGATGATGCACGGCGACCTTGCTAAGCAGCTCGGTAGCTTCATGAAGGAAGGCATCCACTCTTAGAGTTCTTACTCCTCTTCATAACCTCATTCGCTTCATCATCCTCAACCTTTATCTTGTATATAGCATCATCCAAGCCCACGCTCCTTTTGTTAGCATGGCTGATGACGATCCGGGGTTATAATATCGGTGGACTCTTAACAGCCTGACATAGGCAATTGGCGTTGGATTCGGAACAAGACTGGGACATATATAGACGTATCGCAGCTGGTTGATGCATAGTCTAGGCTAACTATCATGTACTCAATCAACCTCTCATTAGATGAGGAGCTCAATACACACAAATTTCGAGTATCAAAGACGCTTATGTATAGATTCCTCACGTCCTCTCGTAACTTAACTGCTTGGTGCCGCTGCTTCTCTTGTTGATGCTTCACGGCAATAGTCTCACTGTGACACACCCACCGCATTGGCATTGTTCGACGTGGATAACGACATTGTTCGTGTTTTTCAGGCACAGCGACAGTCGTGCTTGTGGGTACCGCGTTTGACTTGCTGCTTCAGTATGATATGTTCGTCTTCCTAGTGTCAAGAATCTGTAGATCGATGCTATTGATCGTAGAGTTATTCGTCGTATAGGTATACTAGTATTCATTTTGAATATGATCGTAGAATCGATTATAAACTGGCATTCTCCAGTCTACCTTGATGTTTAGATGTTTAGATGCTCATCTGGATATGTACGGCCCGCCATCGTTATCTCGCGGTGATTAAAGCAGACATATCAACCAGTCCCTAGGCAATCAAGATAACCAAACACGAATCAGATTAAACGTTGACAAACCCTTTCTTCACGAAGTCTCTTAGTCATCCATTCGTACACGCATAGCTACCCCGATGCCTACCTAATCTGAAGATCTTCATTAGTGAAAGCAATAATACAACCCTCGGGATGCATTCCATGATCTTGGCTTTCTCGCGGGACGAATATCCAGCAGCCCCGGTATCGCCACTATCTCCGGGTGCTCCATCACCACTACCACGACGTCGCGATCTATTCCCCAAATCCGCGATCACGAAAAAAAGGACCTCCACCGACGAATTCCAAGCTTCGCGACCTTCAACCTCGAATGTTTCTCGTCCTTCATTCCTATCTTCTTCCCTGCTTTTGCTTCTTCTTGCGATAGTGGCGTCTGTCCCATGATCGAGCCAAAAAAAAACCTGCATCGTCGCATGTATATTTTTTTCTTTCTTTCTTTCTTTCTGTGGACTGTAACCATGACACAAAGGGGGAGCAAAGAATGGGAGGGCGTATCACGACATGTGTGCTTGCTTGGGATGTCGGAAGGCCGCATGGAGCGAAACCAAGCGAGGAAATGGGGCGAGGGACGCACGGCAGCTCGACCCCATGGCTTGATCCGTCGGGTTCCCTCGACGCAGAGCAAGGTCGCAGATGTGCGACTCGAGGTATAATAGTGCTACGATCGAAGAAGGTAAGGAATTTTGGGGGAAGAAGAAGAAGGGAAAGAGAAGGGGAGAGCGGTATTGGTTGCTAGGTACATACGAATAGGATTTGTTTGTTTGTTTGTGTTTGTTCTACAGCGGTTCGTGATTTCGAGATTTTCGCGTCTTCCCTTCACCTTCGCAGAATAGACCTTCGAAATCTTTCCTACCTAGGCCTGTCTGCCTCGTCCTCGAATCTTGGACGAGGCAGACGATGAAACAATAGCTCTTCCACACACGACAAGTTATCTGCACTCCAAGATAATTGAATGGCCCGACCTTGACCTAACTTGACTCTCTTCCTCCCGCCGCCCACCATGCTGCCTGGCTTAGTGCAGTATCTGGCACACATATTGTCGACGCCGGTTCACGCAATTACATAAACCCACCTTGGAGATATCAAATCTCAAGTTTTTTTTGGTTTTCTTTCCCCATCTCCATCACCATCCACATCCACATCCACATCCACATCACATCCTATCCCATCCCGTCCCCTTCCCTAGGTACCTACCTACCTACCTACCAACTTCGACCGGTATCAAGACCGCCTTCACATTCCTCCAATCCGACCCGCGCAACCTTGGCCCCCCCCTCCAAAAGAGGGTGTTTGGGGTGACACAGCAAGCGGCAGCATTGCGCGGAGGAGAAACACCACGTTTCGATGCGACCCTCCCACCCCTACCCTCCCTCGCGCGCGTGTGCATGCACGACATTGCCAATCATTATTTTCATGAATCATAGCTCTGCCACCCCCCCGCGCGCGGAAATCGTCGAACGTCAGCCACTTACTCCAAAGTTTTCCCTTCTCTTGTTTTTTTTCTTATTCTTATTCTGCTATGTATGTATGTATGTATTTTATCCTCTACCTGCCTACCTACATAGTACTTAAGACGTAGGTTCCTGTTAACAAGGGAGGGGTGGGTTTGTAAGAAAGCTTCATGTGCCACTGCAGCAAATAGGTTCTTGAGCTAACGATATGCGAATCAATACCGCCGAGGCGACGGCGGCAGCAATAACAGCCACACGCTGTAGCGAGCTATGGCGTTGTGTATGTAGGTTTCGCCCAAAGGGCCAAAAAAAGTGAAGGTAGCTTGTTAGAAGGGTACTCCTTGCGATGTCTTAGAAGCCGACTTGGATTAGGAGCCTTTCTTTACTTTTTTTCCTTCCCGCTTCGAAGTTTCATCGAATATCTCTTATTGCTATTGGACAGGACTTTCTCAGCTAGCTAGTGAAACCGGAACCCTTCTCCCGTGTCTCTGTTTTATCTGGTTTATTGACGTCAAAGACCTCGAAACAGGAAAGGCAGACTCACTAGTCGCAGTCATTGATTTCCTGTTTGGTAAATATCGTAATCCCGCCATGATATGGTATTTTATCATGCCTTTTTTGTTTCTAGAGATACTGCGAAATAAGGCCGATATTGGGAAGGGAATATCGAATGGAAATAGTTTATCCTGGATGATCGTTGAGCCTCTTCTGCGCCTCCTTGACGGGTAATTGCATCGGTTAGATACGAGCCATGTACAAAACGTTTCCCCGCTGTAAATATCTGCGAATTCCCGTCGCTGATCACTTCGACAGCTCGATGATCAGGGTTAGTGTATTGAAGCCTATTAATCATTAATCGGTTTAAACTAAGCTCGGCATACGGAATGAGGCAAAGAGGCAAAGACAAAACAGTGATGGAGCTGCGGGTGCGAGGTATATCGGGTTCTAATCTCAAGGCTTACCATGCAACAGCATGGTCGATAGAGCGGTCGTTATTGGTCATCGCAGCTTCACGGGGTCTGGCTGTGCTTCTCTGTGATGCTGCCGTGAATTAATTGCATATCTTAGTTGAACCGACACGGAGTTCCACGAAATCTCGTGCCGCCGTGACTGATGAATAGGACGGAGCGGCTTACAGGTTCGTCCGAGCTTAGGATGCCGCGTAACCAGAGCTGCTTGGAGCACGACACCATCTAAAGTCCCCCCAACTCCCACATCCCGAGTACGCCCGACTGAGCGTTTAAAGAGGGGTGTTCGTCCTATTCTACCATACCACTAGCACACCTGAAACTAGGATTTCCTGGGAATTCCCGTTGTTATAGACAAGGTTGGTGACCCGGATATTTAACCAGGGGTGTGGAATTTTCCGAGATAACTCTCCGCATTTTAAAATTCTGTCGTCGTTCGAGTACCGGAATTATAGTCTTCTTTGCCGTCCATATCCACCATCACGTGGTAGCTTGCCCCCGGCTAGGCTACCCGGCCGGGAGAATAAATGGTTACGCTTTTAAGAATATTCGGAGCCGATGTGTGTGAACCCTCTATTGGGCTGCTTACTTTGAGACTTCGTCAAATAGGTATAGAAGAAGCGCATAGAGTTTTCAAGCGTCACCGAAAACGCTATACTGTGTGCTAAAGTGAGCTGAAGAACGTTATGCCCCGCGTGGAAGGACAAACTAATACGGATGTTCATAAACCCAACTTGGGACAATGATGACCTATACTAGGAACCTAGTTGGTAGAACGAAAGGCTAGTTTTGGATTAGCTTCGAGATTTGAGAGTCCATAGTCAAGGATAAACCCTAGTCCATACCTCCAATGAACGAAGATGGAGTTTTGCAGGAGTGATGGTTTTGCAATAGGATTTCAGTCCGTTGAGGTAACGCTCCAAACCTCCAGTACCCAGTAGCTTTGTGTTTAAAACTATAGCCTGTGCTATACGATCGAATAGAAAAATAGAACATTGGATACCATAATCAAGCATTATGCCGTCACCGAATACACAACAGCTATACCGGCAGATATGCTCATCCGAACCCATCACGGATGGTGCGCCTTCGAAAGGCTAGATATATACCTAGGTATGGACGCTTGTTGCGAATTTTAACATCGACCTTGAACTTTGTGAAAGGTATGGCGTCAATGGCGTTGATGGCGTCGAGAGAATCCATCCCATATTAATTTTGTTAGTCGTTACAGGGTTAGAGCTGTGTACTATGATGAGCGGTGACGATTCTATAGTTTCGATGGATATAATATCCATGTGAATATCTCCAATCGGCATCAAATGGTACACCGGATGTTAATTAGTTATATCAGGCATCGTCTTGTCGTCGATTTGTCGATGTCTCGACGCAAGGGCTACACTGAGCAAAAGTAAAAATTACTTACATCAATAGAATACTATTAGGTACATATACCTAGTACCGGTAGTTGCGGTAAGCTGCCTACGATGGCAAATCAACATCCTAACTCGTTGCTCGGGAGCGTTGTCGCACCTGCAGAGTCTTTGTTGACTACAACGTCTGCCCCTCAAACCGCATAAGACCGAAAAGGGTTAAAGACCCATGCACGTGGAACAAGGATGTCCCACGATGCACTAAAGTCGTGGATACGGGGTCCAGAGAATCGCCCGCTAGTCCACTTTGAGCTATTCTTTGTGTCTTTCCGATCTCAGCCGTATTGTACCTGTACGACTCGCAGAGAACTTCAGAACTACTAGGTACTGTAAGCAATATGAGAAATCTAGATGTATATTAGTATGCCTGGTTCTTTTCCAACTGTGGCTGGACCATAGGACTTAGATTCTGCTACTACGTTACTGGTCTTGAGTTGACCTGAGGTTGCGTGATATTCGGGACCTAGACTCTTTTCCTGTGAAAAGTGTATTGTCCCACATAAGAACTATCTTATCCCACTATACATACCTATTGGGTATACTTTCTGAAGCAATAAAAGCAAGATGCAGTCGAGCTATGTGCCAAGTAGCCAAGGTCTTGGATGAGGTATGAGGAGAAGTTAAAGAATCTGATTCCCGATGCATTTAGAGCGCACACATCGCGGATTCTGGGAGTAACTTGATGTGTGATGTGCATCAAGTTCATAAGTTTCGTGCTAGCGAAACTAATGACTCGAACTAGAGGTACCGAGCGGAAGATGATAGAGAACTTAGGGCGGCAGAAGGAGCTATTTTGCTATCAATCGTAGGCAGTCAGGCCTTATCGGTGAGGGTTAGGAATGCGTTAGGATGCAGCCGGAGAACGATGGCTTCGGCGAACCACTCTAGTTGTCCAAGCCGTGACCTGGGGGGCTGGGCAGGAAGGGTTACCATTGGACAAGAGCTAGCTGAACAACAGCCACATGTAGCCCAACTGTGTCCACTTCCCAGGGTATGCTGGATCGAAATGCAAGAAATCTAAAGAGGATTCTTGAGCTTTCGATCGTCATATATCTTAAAAAATCCCGGTAGCAATTCCCATATTGGCTTTGCGTCGGGCGGGTTGAGTTTGAGCCATTGAGAGCTTCTTCGAGCTAGCAAATTGAACGAATCTAGATGCTTTGGGTGATATAGATCCAATGAAAGAGTCGTTCCAGAACCGCTAAGGTAATCGCAGGTTTTGAACCTGACCTAGCTCAGTTTAGTCGTAGCGTGTATAAACAGCTCCGTGGAGTCGGGTAGACCACCCACGGGTAAGATCCTTCCAAGATCCCTTGCTAAAGGAGACTTGTTCGATTTATCACTCCCTAGAAGATGACGAGGCATCGTCCCTGGGTTGGACACACAACATCCTCGTTGCTTCGAAGACAATTCGCTCGAGATAATGGCAAACTTGACTACATCGCCTGACGCGTGACGGAGGTCCGAGAAACTCGATGGAACCACAATAAAGCCCACCGCGCCGAGGGAACCCTTTGGGCAAAAGACGAAACTATCTTATCAGCGGGATGGAAGTTACGAAAGCGTATGTAAAGTAACATTTGTTAGCTGCACCAGAACATCCCATAGTATAGATAGCAAGACCAATCATGGTTTAGGGAATGCCCCGACTATTCAGGGGACGGCGGAGACCGCTTGTCTGATTTTAGCACGCCTAGCTGTAAGGGATGATTCCGGGCATGAATGGTCCCGATCCGCCGGGCCACTGATGCAACATAATAATTGTAGGTAACCAGGTAGATAGTGAATATGGAGTAACAATGTGATATCCTATTTCTTGGGACCAGAAGATGCGCGTTGCCGAATACTAGGTAGCGCTGGTAGCGCTGAAGGATTTATAGGGCTGAGGCTGAGTAAGAACCCATCACTGTCAACCTTGAAAATATCTTGGCCACTTGCGCGTCTCTTAAAGATATAGAGCCTACGCTAGAAGCATTCAAAAGATGATAGGCTTTATGATTGATATCAATGAATAGGGATAGTTGACAATAGCTAGGTGTTATTAGTGAAAAGGGAGTACGTGAGATGAGGCTCTGCTAAGAAAAGTGATATGAAAGTGGGAAGTTGATGAAGCTCTGCTATTCAGGCTTTGCCGTTCAACGGTCTTTGCGCACAGACCATAAACGTACCAACCTTAAGTGCTTATATAAGCAAATCCTGGCCATCCCACCTGCTACGGCTCTTTAATTCCGAATGCCGATTGTACCTGCCTTCGTAGGATTAATGGTTATAATTGCAATTAAATACTTAGAGACATCCTACTTTCTACATAAAATTAAGATTTATCACGTTATGCAGCTATCCCAGTAATAGATATCCCCTGGTTTTCGGATCGAAGGTAACATTTGTAACATCAATTAACTCATACATGTTCACTGTCCAGTCAAGGAATGAAACTTGCAGATGGAATCGCGTCAATGTTACTATAATTTTAACCCCTGGTCGAATAGCTATTACACAAACTCTTCTTCCTGTCCAGATCGGAAGTTATTGGCCTTTTTTTCTACCTACCTAAGCTTGGATTGTCAGTATTATCGGGTTCCTACTCTTTCTGCCTGCAGTGAGACCGTCAACCCTCTCGGACCCGAGCCTCATCTATCTTCATACCTTCTGCAAGTCTGCAAGATAGCTCAGCGACCCGTCTATTAGGCCTTGACATCTTTCCGTTAGTCTGAAGACATCTACTGTACGGCGATATACACCTGCATAAGTCTACGTCTGCTTCGACTCTGCCCTGTTCCGGCTCGGACAGATCTACCTATGACTACTCTTAGCCATCAAGCCAGCCAAGCATTATGTCCTCAAAACCCTGTCCATGGAAACCCCTCCTCGGGTGCTTCGTCAATCATCTGCAGCTGTTCAAGGAGGTATGTATGCACAGCGCTGCTGTCTTCTTACGGATCCGTTGCTTGCTTGCCTGCTCTCTTGCTTGCTCTTTTCCCCATATTATGTGTGTCGCATATCGCAGTGGGCGATTCCCATCAGAGACCGTCTGTTACAGGATCTTAACACTGTGCCGTACACTCACCGCGTGTTGATGCACAGATCTAAAGCTCTCTTTGATTTGACGTACAGGCTACTTTCTTGTTACTTTCATGCCAGATCTACTAAAGTGTACTGCTTTGTGGCTGTTGCTGGTACACAGCGCGCATTATCTGCGAGTCGAGTTCAGCCCATTACATTGGGACCAATCACCGACTATGTCCAAGCAAGTTATTGGTTACCATCAATTTCCCCAAGGTCGAGTCTGCTGCTTAATCGACCACCGGTTACTACCTAGATACCTGGACCATTGATAATGGCATCCGACAACCCGGGGCAGGAATGTTCGCCACTATACGAAGAAACCACTAGGTACTTACCGAAGAGTCACGCCGTGGAGTCTTGGAGCCGCTGTAGGTCTATTAGGTATCCGCGCTTGGTGAATTACTTACCTAGGTACCTCACAATATTAGCACAATATTAGTACGAAGAGGGCAGTGTGTGTCGTGTGTCTGTTCCTTCAACAGCTGACAGCTACCCTAGTCAGCCACCTTATTCATATACGCGGAAGCTCTGTTATTCTTCTCGAGCCAACCACTCGTTTTCTCGCTTTAAATTCATGTTCCGGCTTATACTGCTAACAATCCCTAGGTCTAGGTCGCCCTACCAGTGAGATTCCTCCTTAAATTCTACTCCACCCCGTCATTCAATGGCCTCATACATCCATTGGACTTTTACCAAGCAACCTCTCTGACAGCCTACGTATTCGATGTGGGTCTATCTCTCACTACCTTTCCCTAAGACCAAATCCGGTTTTAGTCAGTCCCCTGAGCCTTTTTATCCGGGTACTTGTACACTCTAAGCAGACTCCCTGTCGACTATCTTATGTCTATGCATATCTCTCACATCCTTCATAAACTCCTTTCAAGGTCACTCAGCTTGGTTTTTGGTTGCTTTTACCTTTCTGTTTGACTGATACCGGGCATAACAGAGGTCGAATCTTCTCCGTCAGCATTGAAGCGGTCTAGTTCCTTACTTTGTCTCTGCCTTGGCTCTCAAGTCGTTACATTGTAAGCTTTGTGCCACCGCACGTTTAAGACTCTCATACATATACTATCTTATAATACTACCCTCTCTACACCCCATCTCATCCCCCTTCCCAATCATGTCCACCGTTGTTCCACTTAAAGACTGAATATCTGCCTACGAGACCACTCGCCAAAATCTTTGAGACCGATAGCAAGCAACTGGCATTACTATGGCCTCCTCTACAAAGGCTCGCCAACCTCGCCTCCGAGCTTCATGCGACGGATGTTTCTTAGCTAAGGTCAAATGTTCTAAAGCCAGGCCAATATGCTCCCGCTGCTTGGCTTGCGGCATCGAGTGTCGATATTCACCTTCGAGCAGGGCAGGCAAGCCCAAATCTGATCCCAGTGGAAACACTCACGCGAATGGACCCCAAGATATGCAGCAGATGCATCACGGCATGATGGAAGAGAAGAACATCACATATTCCACAGCACATCAAACGCCGCCTGAACATATGTTCACTTTCGAGACCGGATGGACCACTCCCCCCACTAGCATGGACGGTGGTCTTAGTCGAAACCCTTCAATATCGACAGGACTTGCTTTGCTCGGAGTTGAAGATCGAACGATGGGCGAACATGACCCAATGTCCGCCCCGCCAGAGATGTATTCATCGACAATGCCATGGACCCCCCCTACAGACCTTTCGTGCGCGACATTTGGCGACATCCCCGTCACAACAGGCCCTATACCTAGCGCTCAGATGCGGTCCCAATCGTTCGACATGTCCATGTCAACACCGATGGCGTGGAACGACCCGGTCTCCCACGATATGATTGCATACAACCAAGTACCAACCCCGACAAGCATGTCTTCCAATTACTTCCCTAGCCCAACGACAACGCCTACAATGAGGCCAGCTGGTCCACGTCATAGATCATCATCATCCACTATCAACGGAGGTTCTTGCACGTGTTTTACGGCTTGCCTGCAATCGCTTCAAGCATTGCACAATGCTTCTTCGCCAGCATCGCCACCTTTTGATTTTGTCTTATCTCTGAATCGGAAGGCGGTCGAAGGGTGCGCGGCCATGTTATCCTGTACAAAATGCATGAGCCGATCTGGTACGCATACTGCAACGATGCTCCTTGCCACGGTTATCGGTAAAATAACGTCATTCTACAAAACCGCCTCTCACTCTTATTTCGAACACGGCGGTATGGGTATGACACCGAACAACCCGGGGACCAACGTAGGTGTCAGTCTTGGCGTTTACCAGCTCAATGGCGAGGATGGCAAATGGCTAGAGCTTGAAATTCTGGCTAGAGAGCTTAGGAAGCTAGAGGAGGTGTATTCCAGGTTCCGGGAAGTTGTCTGTACAGATTTCTCTGACGTTCCTGATGTCACGAAAGCTATGATCGGCTACCTTGGACAAAGCCTGGGGTCCACGCTTGAAGTCATTAGCCATAGGAAGGGAGATATGACTTTTATTGCCTAAAGCTTCAGGCGATTATTATGATAGGTGCGAACACGGCACCAAGCCGCATACTATCGGACGAGATTACGATGTGACGCAGAAGAGGCCCAAACGACCTACGCAGCAATATATACGTTTCAAGACTGGCTAATTATAATGATCAACTTCGATTCCATTACAACCCATACGTTCTACATTTTCGAGTTGGATTTCGCCACAGGGTTCACCATAGCGAAAGCGAGTTTCGGCGCTCTGAGGCAGGTGTTCTATTTTTCAAGCCGGAGTCAACTGCTTTTCTTCTCTTTCTCACTAGGGCATGGTACGCTTGGTCTAGGATAAGTGACGGGAGAAAAAAGTTAAGCTATCAACCTAGAATATTATCTCGCATTTTTGGGTGGCTATTTGACCTGCAAGACAGGAGGCGTTAGGATGGACTGATTCACAGCGGTCGGAGAATACGTTGCTTTACCATGGCAAGCGTCAAGCTATTCTCCTTTTGATCTTTCTAGAGATGTGACCAATGTACTAACATTATGAGCTCGACGACAACATATTTTATTCAAGATCTCTATTTGGCTAGAAAGAAACTTGAGTCTACAATCTACAATTCAAACATGAACATTGGGTGGTTCCACACCGCCAGTCGTAAAGTGCATTGAAGCGTATGCTCGTTTTCGAGGCGGCTACTTTGTTGACTCAGACAGCTCAAGACTAACAACGTTTGCAACCTTGGCTGACGATTGGATGTGCGGAAGTTTAAAAGCCTATGGAAAGACATGCAGATTGGTCGGGACTTGTCGCGCGGCAGATGCTTTGAAAGTATCACCGCCGCACAAAATCAGGGGCGTTCATTTGCTATAACCTCGTGATCCGAGTCATCACTTTTACGACGCTGACAGAAGCGTCACCTTACGGGGGTTCCGCACACTTTCTTACCGTCAGCACTCTAGCACGGGAATAGCCTTCAACACAGCAAGAAAGATCTGATCGCACCGGATCTATAGGTGGGATGTAGATCACCCATGCTTAGTCACTACCTAGGTGTTAGAGTATAGGAAGGATAGCAATGGGTAGGGGACGTCGGTGGGCACAAGATTACTAAACACGTCGATTGTCAAGCTCGTCCTAGGATTGCTTACCAAAAATTTTCAAGAAGCGGAAATAAGGCTTAGCTTCATACGAAGTTCCAATTTATCAGCCATTTAGATGGACTGATTTATAAGTTCCATTCCGGAGGAGAATTTTGGAGAGTCATTTCGGAAAGCCAAGCCTATACCAGTGACAAGCTGCCAAACCAGCAGATATTCAATTTGTAAGACGTTACTTATTAGATGATGCGATGCAACCTGCCGACGACATGTGGGGGGCAGAGTATTGGGCAGCCACCCGTGATGACGGTCGAGAACCCAAAGCGTAGGTAGGTAAAAATCGACTCTATTCGGATATGATTGGTTCGCATTTCGGATCGTCGCTTCTAGGCACTGTAGAGCTGAGCCATGAGCCACAACGATCCTACAACACACGTATTATTCCTTCTTTCTAGAACGGTGACTAGACTGCACAGAGATGTGACTGCCTCCCATTTCTCCCGCCTTAGTGCTTCCAGCCACTCCGAGAGGTTAATTCAGCTTTTGAAGATCTCTCCCTCATCGTACATTGCATAGCACAGCCCCGCCGATGCCGTTCATTCTCTCTCAATACGTACTACGTCAAGAAAGCAACATTGGGTCGATCACTGTGGCCGGGTCTCAGCTACTACTGCATGATGGAAGCTTGGCGTCGCTAAAGTACATTCAAGGTATGTCTCCAGGGCCACGAGGCGGGGGATCGATGGCATCATATTTCGTTCCCATGCCACCCTTCGACCACGTGAGGCTGAATCGGCCATTCTGGCTATACTATGCGTACCTACTTTGGAATTGGTATCACAAGAATAATAGATGGTGACCACTGGTAACTGTTACGCGCGTCACGAGTATTTTGAGAGACCGAATACGGTTTATAACCCAGCTGCGAGAACGAACACGTCGGTGAGTAACTAGCTACTTACCTATAGACTCAAATAGATTAAACGCGTATTAGACTTCTGACAGGAAAATGCTTTTATGGCCGCTATCCTTAGTTGCGATGTACGATAATGAGAATCAGATCACTAATTTAACATTTCTAAAACATGATGAATTTCAATATACAGATACCCAAGACTATATCAACAAGGATTAACCCGAACCTGTAACTTATTTTAGAAATCTTAAAAAATAAGGGAAATTTAATGGATTACAACAGGGAAGAGTATAAAGTCTATTGCAATAGTTGCATATAGTAATACTTTCTTTTTGCTTAATACTATAGGTACGAATAAATACACGCAAGCTAAAGTGGTCGAGTAGGATTGCAGTGATCTTAGAGCTCACGTGCTAGGCTCGATTTGAAATAGCTTGTGCCTCTCTCTTGGGTCGTCCACGGAATACGGAACCCACACCCCAGGTACAAGGTTCCTAGGCAGCCGAGCAACTATGACCAAACTGTTGAAACCGATGGAAAACAATTCGCTAGCGGGGCAACCCCACTGTAACCCTCTTAAACCTTATCTCAAGGTAAGTAAACAGTCTAACTATTTTCGTATTAAGTAAGTTTTTAGCTTTGTAGATCCCGGGTCTGCCGTTCTCTCCACTCAAATCGTACCGTTTGAATTCCCAAACTAAACTAAACTCTTCCACACCTTCAATTCTATACACCTACCCAGGCATATTCTTATCTCACTCACACTTAAATCGTTTGGGGGCTATATTGACTCTAACATTCGATCTAGGAATCCCCTACCAGACTCTAGGACTAGCTGAATATTGAATATCTATTTCTCACATCGGGACCGAACCCGTAACACGTGTTGCACCTCCACAGGATTGTCGAAGCCGTCCCCACCATTTACATACAAAATCTGGGAAAGTCGAAGATCTTATCATGGAGGATCATCGGATCCTCACTGCCTCACATATATTACATACGTGTGTACCTAGGCTGCTAGGCTTCTAGGCTACTGGGTCATAGACTCATAGGAGCGGGTGATTCCGACACTGTGGACCTGCAACTCAGTTACCGAACACGGAAGTATCTTCACTAGGTACCATTCGTAGGACAAATTCGCTCTTGGATTTCCTCCGCCAAAGAGTAAATCTTACCCATCGTCCTGGCTGCCTGGAAGACGCGCACCCATTCATCTTGAAGTCCATAATGCGCTGACACCTACCTCCCTACGCTCAATGGTTTAATCGGCCCGCACGGGTAAGGTCTATGCGAGATACTTAGCAGGCTAGGACATAAACGAGCTGCGTATGCAGGCCGAATCACCCCAAGCGAGAAAAAAACCAAAGGTTACTTACCCAGTCAGACCTTAGATTGGTCTAGAAAGGACCCACGCGAAATGCTTTTTTGAATATCGACCCTAGATTTGATTACCTAGTTACGCTCTAGACTCGTCGATGCTAAACCAGCTGTTTTAGATGGTAGACAACAAACATCGTGGACCTATAAGGTGCGGGTGGCTTTACAAAACCCCCCATAGATGGCGACATCGACCTTCACGTATCGTACAGGTTGCTTCACTCGGGTGGCTGGCCGAATCCCGCGATACTACCATGTGGCTTCACCGGCTCTCCTCACCGGTATCGGTTAACCGAACTACATCTACACGAGTCGGACGGGCTGGATCGCCGATTACTTACCTTGAGGTAGGAATGCTCCGTTTAGGGACCGTCAACGGATCGCGAAGCGCATTCCATCACCTCAACATCAATTCATCGATGTCTACCTTTGGAGACTTTGCGCGAAATGCTTACTTCCGTCCTTCCCCGAGAGCTATTATCTTCATCCACCTCCGTCAAGTCCACGAAGATAGGATGGACCTACCTTTCTAGCCTTACTGCTTCATTAACCGAGGCGTTGGAGTACTGAGCCTTCCATCCTTGGTACATGGGCTTGCAGCTATCTGTAATACAGCTCTAGAATCGACGTCATATGAGAACGTTGTTTATTTTCAGGATAGAAGCAGGCTATCGACTTACTAGCATCATGCGCTAGCTACAGCGAATGTTGCCAAATTGGACAACACCTCACGCCACCACACTTGCTTCCCTACCAAAACACACACTAAGGTAATACCTGTGATATGCTTTAACATCTTATAGCTGATGACTATGTTTACTAGCATTGTATTTCTCGGTACACATTGTTGGCGGGCCGACCTTGTTACCCCCACACATATTACGTCCGTATGGATTCTAACTATGAGTGGCGCCTTAGCCTCACAGGTCCTGTGGGAATGTCTCCGGTTAGTATACGAGCCAGTCATAGTCAATTGCAGAACAGCCACTACACAGTTCTACAGGTACCAACTCATGTCCGATCAGATATACTTTATGCTCTCTGTTTACGAAGTATCACTTAACAAGATCCTACCATCAGAAACCCTTTGTTTCAGCCCATCTGACAACCCACTGTGTCTAAGCTTATCAAGGAGCGCCGCCATAACCTACGAGTTGGAGTTGGCGATGACGACGGTGGCTCGGCTTTGATACTGACTCTACTTTGCTAGGATACTGATCCATCAATAAAGCGCCCAGGAATATGAAATTGTTGAAATAGGTAGTGAAGCTAATATCGTTCACCTTGCTGACGCCATGGGGAAATTGGCAGGGCTGATATTAATCGAGCACCCTTGACAAGATATCGCAACCCCCGAAGACTGCTTGTCGCCTCAACTTACTGCTTATGTAGTAATCGGCTGGTCGCGAATCAACCCAATAAGACAGACATCTTACCGATCCCTAGTCGCAATATCCATCTTGATTCGTCCTCGGCAAGGTAAGCAGAATACGGAACGTCTTCTAATCTAACGCCGTGGAGGCCCATGGGGTACAATCCAACCTACGCAATCCTTATTAGCGGGATGTCATAGAAGAATCACCGAGTTTCCGTCAAGAGGATTGCGCGCTTCTCGACCACGAGGAGAGAGAATTTCTCAAAATAAGTCAATCCTAGGGACTTTTACCAAGGAATGTATTCATGCATCGTACGGTATTCCAACAGGACGGAAAGTCTGAGCAACAGCTACGTCAACACGTGTGATAAATCCGTCAAGGTCGGATAGCCCTATAAGGTATCCTCCCCCACGTGGTTACACGGGTGACAGCTGGAATACCGAATCCTTTGAAGGTGAAACGACCCAAGGCTCGATTTATCCATCCTTCCCTCTTCTCGATAATCCCATGTCACTCATCATCCCGCATCGCGCCGTCATCATCAGCAACCCGTCAAAAGTACCCCTTACCTAAGTCGGATTTTATAACTTCCGCGCCTCCAAGGAAATACAGGTCGCTAGTTACAGCATATGCCGCTTACTCACATTCGCAAAATGCACACTTGACGTCTATAACATAACTCTCACTGCCACCCATGCATAAACCGACCTATATACCTCGTCAATTATATGCCTGTCATATGAATCGTACCACAAGTATTATCTAATACGCAGCGAGCCGAACTAACGTGTATTTTACTTGCAGGAAGGTATCATTGTACGTGTATATGTACATGTCCGTGGTATCCGAATGTAAGTGTTCCCACGTGGATATGGGATTGTTACTGAATGTAGCTCTACGGCAGGGGTCTATCATGAAAATGATCATGAACTCGATCATGAAATCTCCTACTAGGTAACAAGAGTAAGCTGATAACAAGCGAGGATCGAGAAAACGTTTGTTGGGTTAGGATAAGACATGTGCGCGCACTATGCATCTATGGATTTTAGTAAAAACCCTTCATGCGGTGTAAATCGCCATCAAACAGCCTCGGGACCCAACTGCCTACCTAGGTACCTATCTAGTACCTAGGTCCCCTTAACCAAGCATTCCAGGTCGTACGAAAGGCGCGCAATTACATTGGCAGTTGGATTAGAGTTACACAAGCATAAGCTCTTCTCTAGATGCTGACTTGCCTAAGAAGTAGGTACATTGCGCGTTATCTCATCTCACCTCACCTTCGTCTCGGAGCCCTTCGAGCTATTCGCTGGAAGCATGTTGGTCATACGCGCCCTTGGCGGCAAATAGGGCTATACAGGAGAAAGAGGCGGTAAAATGCCATCTCCAAAAACTAATATTTACACGCTTATGTGGCACAATGTGCAACCTACTTCGCTCTCTATATCCCTTGTTCTTCTACCTTCCCTAACTTCCTCTCCGATTTCCCATTCCTGTTTGTCTCGTCCTACGGCTCCTACCTGCTACTGCGACGATAGTTGACACGTCTATCCACTCGATTTTTGAGGCGATGGTGATGGGAAAACGCGGGATCCGCTGGCTAGCGGGGTCCTTGCATCGCGATTCGCGATATGCTGCCCTTGGTGGTCAGCAAATGTTCGAGCCGCTCTCCGTGGTGCTCTATCTGCTTTACGTTGGTTGGACTTGGCCGGTTTACGGGTCCCTAAAGCCGAGCTTTCGCGCTCGCCCCTTGGCGTGGGAGTTTTCGGGTGCGATGGGACCGCGGAGATAAGCGATTGGAACATGGTCGCATCATTGATCGATTTTCCCAGTGCTACCTATGACCTACTATTACTACCTTACTACGTAGCGAAAGGGTGGTGGGTAGTAAGTAATCGCGAGCCTCATCGTGCTTCTCCGCCAACCCTTATGGTCCCCCATCCCTTCCCCCCAATGTTTTTTTTCCCTATTCGCCATTAGATAGGTACTCAGGTGGGTAATCCATCCAGCACGCTACATAAGACGGGGGTTCTTCGATTATGACCCAAGGAGCTTATCGCTGGGGGGTAGCTTATGTGCATACGGGCGATCGCCTACACTATACCATGTTGCCTGTAGGAACAACTACCGAGAGGGCACCTCTTGCGAAAGGATGCGATCCCGCGGAATCCGGGGGGCGGTCTGGGACGTGCCTTTCTGATCGGCGCAAGGTAGCCGTACCCAGGACCAAGGCGTCTAGAAGTTCTGTTGGAAGGGCGGCAGAAACTTGCAGATCCCTTGGCGCGTAGGAATGCCTGTAAATAGCTTCGTTTTTTTTTTGGTTGGAGGGGGGTTAGTAGGATGGGTTAAGATATATCGAGAATTAACATTCGTAGTCAGATCATGCGTTAATATGTTTATTTCAAGGGCCTTGCTTTGTTGTTTATACTATATATCTAAATATCTATTCATAGCGCTTATTGGTTACGTGGAGATATCTCCGCACCTACCTACATAGAGCCATAGACTAACCTACCAAGGGATTTACATATGGATGGATGAGATGACGATTAGACTTTATTACCAAGCTGCAACGGGCCGGCGATTATGTTCACATAAGCTGTCTAATTGCTGCACCGGCTGATACTCCGGCGGTATTAGATCACCGGGATGGTCCCGGGAATAGAGCCTCACGACAGATATTCGCCTTCAGTCAGGTACTAGCAGGAGATTAAGATACCAAAGGGTGACGCGGCTGTGATGTCAGATAGATAGGCGGATGGCGTCGAACGTATAGATAGCCATATAGCAGCTTATACAACTACAAAAAAAAAACTCGGCGTGCATGAGACGTGTCTTGGTGAATCTGACATCTACGGTGGCCACGGCGCGACATGGCTACTTAGTTTGGTTGGCGCCGTTACTCATCAGCGTCGTGCGAGGTAGGTCATCTTCACCGGCTCACCGAGAGACGGCTTGGCTTACTCATAAAGCCGACGATGGTGTGAAGTGGCGACAACGACGACGATAGCAATGGCGTGAAGAATTACCCGCGTTCGTGTTTGATATCCATCTTTTATTTTATTTTATTTTTTTCTCATCATCTCTAGTCCGCCCCGCCTAAGTCGGGACGAGAGCTACACAAGAATACGAAAAAAAGGGAAAATCATCGTCTCGCTACTTCGATGCTTTAAACCCCGTAGTAACAGAGCCATTTCCTTCATATACCCCTTATCACCTAATCCACGATCACGCCTATTCCCGACGTTTCCTTTGAGCTTTCTCCTCTTTCCCATCTCCTGCACCTTTTTTCGCCACCTAGGTATGACAAATCGACAACCTGCCGTCTAAATAGCCTACTTACTAACCCAAAAAAAAAGCCCCGACGGCATTCTCCAGAATGGCGCCGAGTAAAAATCTGACATGCTCCGCGCGTTGCTAGCTGCATGCCACGGCAGCTTGGGCGGAATAAAAAGGGCTCAGGGGGGGGATCCCGGTCGCGCGTAGAAAATCTACACGCCGCCGCCCGAAGCACGGATGACTTGGCCTGCAGTAGTTGCGGAAAAAAGTCAGTCATAATAACTCTCTCGTATCCGTCTGCCTAAAAGGCCAAGAACCTTTTCTAAACATCACAGCGCATCGCATCGCATCGCGTCGCATTACAAAAAAACCTTCCGATATAATGAGGGAAGGGTGTAGGTAAATGCGACGCCAAAACAGGATAAGACACGGGGCTGTGCTGCGCTGTGCTGTGCTGTGCGGGGTGATGATCGAAATGAAGAACGAACGAACGAAAGAAAAGGAAAGGAAAGGGGCAAACAACTCACCGTTAATCCACTCGCCCTCATCGCTAATGAGGCAAAAAATCGCCTTTCCGATGTCGGCCGGGACGCCGACACGGTCAAGGGGGCACATCTTGCGGAGGCCGTCCTTGATGGTATTGATATCCATGCCCTTATACCCACCCGGCACGTAATGCCAGCTGTTCTCATCGAACATATCCGTCTGAATACCACCTGGCGCAATGGCATTGCACGTAACGCGCTTCTTCCCACAGTCGACGGCGAAGGCGCGCGTGAACCCTTCCACCGCGGCCTTGGACCCCGCGTACAAAGCATGGTTCGGGATCCCGGCCATCTGCGCCGCGATCGACGACGTGAGGACGATACGCCCGCCCTCGCGACAGTGCTTCAGCCCCTGCTGCGCGACGAAGAACTGCCCCCGGCAGTTGAGGTTGAAGACTTGGTCGAAGAGCTCCGGCGTGACTTCGGTCTCCTCGCACCAGACCTCCATGCCGGAGTTCGAGACGACGTAGTCGATGTGCCCGAAGTGCGCGATTGCCTTGTCGAACAGCGCCGCTACGTCCGCGGGCTTCGCGATGTCCGCTTGGATCGCGACCGCTTTGGACCCTAGCTGTGCGAGCTCGGACACCGTTGCGTCGGCGGAGCTGGAGCTCCGCCCGTAGTTCACGACGATGGAGGCCCCGCGCTTGCCGAGCTCTAGCGCGATGCCTTTGCCGATGCCGCGGCCCGCGCCGGTGATTAGCGCGACTTTGCCGGCTAGGGGCTTGATCTGGTTGCTCATCGGCGCGGCGGCCGGGTATGATGAGGTTGCGGATGGGGCCATGGTGTTGACTGGTGTTGACTGGTGTTGGGTTTGTGGGGTGGGTAGGTGTCGGTGTAACGACTGTTGATTGGGACGTATGTATCACACACACAGGGAGAGAGAGAGGTGTCACAAAGTCAAAGGACTCGAGTCAAAAAGCGAAGATATCTTTCGAGAGAATGGTGGTTGGGAGATGGGATAAAGAAGGATGGTGAACACTGTCCTAGCTTCTACAACTAGGGATAACCTTCCTCTCGACTATTTCTTATAGCGAATTGAGGCCCCAAGGAGCTCCGGAGACTCTGACTGTGCTATGTCAGTCCGGTTTAAGGGGTGAGGTGCCGGACTCGTGGCGGACGGAGTCGCGACTACAGAGATACGGAATAGATCGGAGTCGCGACTATAGAACAGAATGGCGGATGGCGCGAGGACAGCAAGACATCGAGAGGGGGTCTTGGTTGGGATGCCAGGGACCCCGATGGTTGCTGTGTGGCTCGCCATACCTGCTTTTGCTGTCTGTCCTATACGCGGACTGGAGCAAGGGGGCATTCGCGGAGTCCATAATGCCGGACCCCACGATTGCTACAGACTTTCGGGTCCGCATCATTACGAATTACATACCGTGAGACAAGCGTTAAGCCATCGAGCGTATCATCTTCAAAATCACGGAAAAGATGTTGGTTTCGACTGCAGGATAAGAAACCGTTTCGACCCTTACCAAGATGCCCCTATTTCGTCAAAGGCTCACCTATGGAGATCTTTTGCGGCACGTCGTCTGATGCGCATAGCAGAATGTATGGCACGCCACTCTGCACTAGTTACCCCACTGGATGTTATCGTCATCCTACTTGCGCCCGCCTTAGCCAAAGTCAGAATGTCTAAGAGGGAGCTGGCGTTGCGCCCCAACGGACTTCCGGAAATAAGCGCCACTTGTGCGACGCGAGGTCTTAAATATTCCCATTAAAGCGATTTTTCTGACTTGGGAGTCATGAAAAGGCGGACGACAGGAATCGACATGATTAAAATGAAGGATGGGAAAGGATGGGAGACTTCTTGTAAGCTGATGTTTGTTTTCTTTAATTTTCGGGTTGAAAATGTTGGACGGTTGGAAGGTAAAAAGGGGCGAACACCCCGATTCAATCTCGCTGTTAACTAACTTGTGTCACCAAGAGCTTTGAACATTTTTCGAATCGCAACTACCGATAGTTGCTCTTCGGCTTGAGAGCCGAAATCTAGTCAGAAAGATAATACTTGACTGCATTTAACGGGAGAGAACAACCCGAAAGGGAGGTCGACCGATGTTAGTGTCATCAACTTAATAGGTTGCGGCACAGTCATCCTGATTCCTGATAGGTACGAAGGCCAAGATTGGGTATACTAATTATACTAATAAGATCGATCCTTTCTTGATATAGGAGGTAAGCATAAGATTTAACCCGCTGGCTAACAACCAACATAACGGGAAGCAGATAGATCGGATCAGCATGACCGATGCGATACCATCGAGTGGAGAGAGAACAACCATATGTCGGTTGATGATCTATCATATATTCTCATCTCGTGACTTCCAAGACCGAGACCGAATCCGAGCCATAGCCACCGAGGCGACCGTCGCCGCGTAATGTGCAATGCACAATGCCTCTTTTTGGATCAATCGAATAGTAAATCATCTACCTATTCATATCTCGATCATAGAGCCGCGTGGCTCGTGGCCGGGTTCCCAACATCTCTGACGCCAGCCCATCTCTCTCCAACATAGGGGTTCGCATAGAAACACTATTAGAGTAGATAAGTATTCAGGGTTCAAGGTTAGCGGATATGGGACTGACACATCAGACGATGATCGTCGTGTAATAGTCATATATCGCTATCCTTCCTGCGCTGATGATGATGATAAAACAGGTTGAATTGAGATCAGTTTAAGCTCATAGCCGCATGAAAACTTGGTCTCGGCAACCAGTACACATTAGGTAAGATCCGGAGTCGTACCCCTTGCTATTGAGCCCCTGTCCCTTGCGTGCGGGTACGTTGAGCGACCCGAATACAGGGATAGACCAAGATCGGCTCGCCTGAGATTTGCTTAGCAAGATATTTCGTAACAGTACATATCTTGAATTGCATCTAGTGATACATTGGTAACATTGCAATATGTGCCTATCAAATAATTGACGATGATCTCAATTCCGTTATGTTGAGATGTTTGTCTCACGTGTAGAAATCGGAAGGAGAACGCGGTCGATCCTAAAGTAGCGAGCCGAGATAAGCACAAGTAGGTAAATAAACAAATCGTAGCGACATCCTGAACAAAGTCTATATTCTCACTGCTCACATAGGTGTTCATGGAAAGCATACTAGCTGACTAGGTAATACCTTGACATATTAGGTTAGATTCGAGTGTGACAGTGAAACGTTTGACATGGTACAACCGTAGTATTGTGAACTCCGCGTGTGTGGGGGTAACATAGACGCCTCATCCCATCTTCTTCTGTCCTACCTAGGTGAACAGGATACCAAATCTGACCCGAACTCCAGCTAGCTATTTCCGGTGTGACTGTTATACATATATACCTACATACACAAATGCATAATTTGAGATATCAAAATACTGATACGTCACGAAGCTACCTAGGTTCAAGCTGACCGACTCATGACCCGGTCAAAGATATAAGATAAAAGATCTGGAACAGGCTCCTTGGCATCGTCTTCCGCCTTAATGAGTAAGTCTGACACGCATATAAACTATACGTACTGTAGTAAGGTAGCATATATGCAAGCACGCAAGCACGCAACACGCAACGCAGCATGGGGGGGACCCTAACCCAACCAGGGCGATACCGCCGGCGCGGGATAAATCCCGAAAAGGGACGCTGAGGTCAGCCACGCTTGCGGGCGCGGAAGTTTTAAGGCCAATTGGAAATATACGCAGGCGAGGGAGGTATGGGCGGAATGGATGCCTCTTGGACATAACATCTTAGGAGAGGCGCACCGCCAATTTTTTAACAGTAGGTACCGTACTGGGTTGGGTAGATACCTGGCTGACCCTACCTGCATCGACTTGTGCTACATAATATCTATAGATTATACTATACAAACGTACCTAGGTAGGTTGTATGTATAATGTATATACATACATACATACATGCTAAGGTGAGGTACCCAAGCTGTGCAAGCACATACACGTCTATTGGCGGGAACCGACATCACTAGCAGCATCTCGCGCAGCGGAAAGCTGCCGACGCAATCCAAGATGAAGGGTGTCATGTCATTAAGGTGGCGGTGCGATCCCGAGCTCATACGACAGAAAGCCCAGACCCTTCCACCCGCGTCCTCGCACGTACGACGTACATCACCTAGGTACCTAGGGAGTGGCGGGCGTAGATTAGGTAGGGGGGTTCAATCAATTTGACCCTCGCGTACAGAGGAGTACGGAGAAGACGGATAGGCACCTAACCTAACCCCCTTTGCTGAGCCATGACAGGCGGGCGAACCCACGCAGACCCCTGAACGGGCAATTGTGGCTTGACGCCGCTAATTACCACGCTGCTTCTATTCCCTCTTCTCGAATGACACTCGCAGCTTGTCGGAAGCACGTAAGCGGTCCTCCGCTCGTCGGTAGGAAACGTGCGTCCTAAATAGTACCTAAGTAGTAAGTAGTATACCTAGTGTAGGTACATATGAAGCAAGGTGTATCGCACATCATCGTCGGTTAGGGCTGGAAGAGAAGAACGATATCCCACGCGGGAAATAAACCACTAGATAGGTAAGTACAGACATATAAGGTATAGGGTGCTTATGGACCCGGAGTTAGGACAAACCATTAAGAGCCCCCTCGCGAGAGCCCCTTGATATGTCATATATCGCAGACGTTGAGAAAATAAGGTTGATGGCGGGAGGTACTGTAGCTTATTGATCGCTGACAATCGAATCATTAAGGCTGAAATTATCTAACAGATTGCCTCTCAACGAGAATATGTAAGCGCTTACCAAAAGGGCATAACGGGACTTTATAAGTGGTCGTTCCACATGGTCATTACTAAGGCCCATGCGTATTTACCCATGTTTTATGACAGGCATCGTACACTATGCCGTCTCTAGCAGGACGCTAGAAGGGCTTTAGAAAAGTTATCCAGGTTGTATAACATGTGGTATAACGTGTGGATGGAAAAATTCCCGCGGAGAATATCCAATTCGTAGGTACCGACGAAAAGTCTCCCTGGGTCACGCACCTCGGGACATACATAAGCTGTCACTTGAAACGGGAACAAGCGAGCGATCAAAGATGTAATAGGTACCTATTCGAAGCAGGCCATGAAGAAATATGTATGAGTGAGTCAAAGGTCTATTGGAAGCTCAAGCAAGCAGCACAAACACGCCGGAAATTACTCCCCACTAGCCAGGGGCAGATGATGATGATGATGAGAACGGCTAGAAAAGCCAGAAGAACTAAGCACCCTATCCCCATCCCCCATCCCCCATCCCCCTAAAAATCTCCAGTACCCGTCAGTAACACGTAATATCCTCGGACCGTCTGTAGTTTGTAATATTCCGATAACCCCTGTTATTCCCCCCCGGCGTGCGACTATCCATGCGCGTGCCCTTCCCAGCCCCTTAGTACCGAACGCCTGGATGTCAGTCCCGTCCCCACCTAGCATAAACGTCGTAACCACAAACGACGAGAAGAAGAAGAACAGCAATAAGATAAACCCCTTACGTGGTTGCGTATCGTCCACGTGTATTTCCCCTATGCGGGTATATGTATGTGTGCAAACGCAGACATATCTGCGGCATCCCCTTTCCCTTTGCCCCTCCCTATTTCCCCTATCTCAGGCAACTGTATATGTGTAATGTCTTAAATAGGTACTTTTATGCAAATGTAGTATAGGTAAATAAACAGGCAAGTAGTCAAAAAAAGCAGAAGCAGAAGTGAAAAAAGAAGAGTATTAGATGAAGAGCCGTGATATCGTAGAAGAAACTTTTCAATCAAACAGGCGAAACAAACGACAGATGCGAATGCGATATGTGATAACCTGTCAGTCCAGTCGTTCATGCCTACCAACTTAGGCAGACATGCACCATATACCGGGGTAAATCCTTGTAGTCCCATGTAAATCGCCACCGGCAACCAAGCACGCTGGGACCAGACCCGAACCCCTAGCTCACGCAGCCAACACCGGCGTCGGCACCGGCCCGGCCAGCGCATCAGCGCGCCAATTCGCGCCAAGCGCAACAAGCTTACGTCGAATGCCATCACTCAAACGCGAACTAACGCCCTCCTCCAGCGTCATAACCGCATACTCAATAACACCAGCCGGTTTCTCCAGTCCCCCCGCCGCGCGTCCCTTCGCCGCCGCCAGCACCGGGACCCCGTCCCCGCTCCACAAGTACGCAATAAGCGCGGGGTCCTCAGGCGTGACCATGTCAACGGCCACCGGGGGCCCGGACTCATCGCGCTTCTGGAAGTTCGGGTCGAGGCGGGAGACGCTGTCGGTCCAGAGGATGAGGGTGGCGCGGTAGACGGCGGCGCCCCACCAATTCGGGCGGCGGTCGCGGGGCATAGAGCGGAGCAGACGGTACACCTGGCCGCAGTGGAAGATGGCTTCCTCGCGCTGGTAGACGCAGCGCTTGTGGCGCAGCGAGAGCTCCCAGTAGGAGCCGTCGAAGTCGTCGCGGCGGGCGAGACGCTCGATTTCGGGGAAGTTGGTTACGGCGTTTAGCGAGATGAGGTGGTAGAGCACGAGGTTTGTTTTGGTGGTCGCGCAGGAGGGGTGTGCTTTGTGGTGCGTGATGGTCTGCTCGTACCATTTTTGGAGCAGGCCTTGGATTTCGTTGAGCCGCGATTCGAAGGAGTTTTTGATGTGTGTGCCGTTGCCGAGACGGCGGGCGCTCATGACGTCGGGGAAGCAGGAGAGCATTTGGGTTATGTGGTAGAGGCATGATTGTAATGGATGTAGGAGAAGCCGCATTTGGTGCGGGGTGATGCTGGCTTGTCGTCTGGAGAGGTTGTCGTTTAGGAGGTCTTGGAAGAGGTCGTAGAGGGAGGGGGTTAGGGAGGGGGTGGTGAGAAGCTGGGGGTTCACGTTGGCGGTGCAGCCGTAGATCGACTGCACGGCTGCGACCCATTGATCTGCGTTAGCGGACATCCAGAGAAGCTCGGGTCCCGGCAAGGGGGCGCAGAGTTCGCTGGTGGATAGCATAGGGGCGGTATCGTGGAACAAGCTTAGTTCCTGATCGACCATGACGAAGTTATACACTAGTCTGTTTATTTTTTTTAAAAGTGATCAGCGGGCTTGCATAAGACTATTGGTGGAAATTGGCGGTATGGGATAGCCCTTCGGCAACGCACCTATTTTGAGATTCCCGGTGCAGCCAAGAACGCCACTGGAGTTCTGCATTGGTCGAGCTGTTGAAAGATGGAATCATAGACGGCTGGGACTCAAACATTCCCGCATGCTTTAGCATCTGCGTCGTCACTAGTTAGGACTAAAAACTCACACACAGAGAGAGGGATTGGGTTGTCGGATACTCACCGATAGGTACATTCCCCGTTGTCCCATGGCAATATCCATGAGCCACTTGTCACCGCTCCAAGCCCCCAGTAGCGTAAACAGCAGCGCGCATCGAAGAGCGGTGGGGTCGGCACACATCTCAATGTCCTTCTCGATGATGTCGAACAGCGATATGCGGCAGGTCTCGATCAGGCCGGCTGATAGAGCCCTTGCTTCCGCCGTGGGGACCGCAGACGCCCCCTGGGCAATCATGAGCAGCACTAGAAGTGCGGCTGCCTGGTTATTCTGGAGCATCTCGTTGGGATCCACGCAACCTGCCGAGACTAACGAGTAAAAAAACGAAAGGTTCCGAACGTAGCTGCGTAGGAAGTACTCCAGTATCTTCGACGGGGGTAGGACCAAGAAACTAAGTAATCTGGGACTTGCAAATGCCTTGTTTTGCGTATTCACACCCCCGCGGTGGATTTCCAGGGCCTTGTGGAGAAAGGTCTGTGTGATGGCAAGCATCTTGTCTCGTGTGCGGGATGTCATGGGGATCACTGAAGCCAAGTCGGCAGCATCCCAGTCCACTTGTTCTAGATGCTGTTCCAGGGCGTTCCAGGTACCTTCGTGTCGTGACTTCTGCTCTAAACACTCCAAATGGACAATCGCTGTCCGCGGACATGTACCTGAAAATATAGGAGGGTTACATCGCGCCAACGGCCAGGCAGCCTCAGCGGCAATGACGACCTCAAACTCGGGGATCATGGTATCGGTAGGGGTGTTTAAGCTCATATCCACCGCCTTAGTGACTGGTTCGAAATCCGCAGTAGACATGATGCTAGTGCTCCTCGTATGGATAGATCCTCGCGAAGAGCTCATATGCTCCGAATTAGACGATATGTCGCTAAGTTCCGGGAATGTAGGCATAGACACGTCAGCTTGAGCAAGAGGCATGTTCCCGGCATATATGTCGAGATCTAGTGGATACTCTGACCACACAAGCATGTCTTGGTAGTTCGGTTCCTGATGTATGAAGTCGTTGCCTAGCTGCAGGAAGTCGTCAAGGCCTTCTACTCTAGGATGTGGGGATGGGAAATCGTCGTTACTCGTATGAGAATTCGCAGGTGAATTCTTCTTAATCGGACTTTCATGTTGCTGTATTCGTGGGTCGATTGTCATAATGTTGCTGTTTTCGGGTGACATCGATGCCTTTATAGGTGGATCCTGTTTGGGTGTACCTTGATCTATGTCCATGAATGCGGGATTGACTGTTGTTGCTGATGTCGGTGGTGAAGGTTGAGGTTGAGGTTGTGGCGGTAAGGTGACATGACTATGGCTGTGACTGTGGTTGTGATTACTGCTCATGGCGGCAGTTGCTTGTGCAGCTCGCATAGCAGCTTTCGACGAGCGTCGCGCAAACCGCGCTTGACATTCGAGGTTCTTGTCTGCGCATCTTGCGCATGGTACTCTCTTATCACAGCCCGTCTTAGCCTGGGCGCAGTTGAGGCAGGCGATAGGCGTCCGCCCCGCTACTGTAGGAACACCACCGGGAAGAGGTTCCATGGGATCTCTTGCTTCGTGGTATGTGGAATGATGTCTCTGAAGTAAGTCCCTATAATCAAAAGATGAGTATATGAGATGACGGCCATGTCAAAGAGAGGGCAGTAAGCAAACCTTCGAGCAAAGGAGAGCTGGCAGGCACTACATCGGTGCGGTTTTACATTGGTATCTATAGTGGTTGGCGTCAGTTTCTGTCAGCTTGCGGAGCTGGTGAGATACTACTCACGGCTCGGTATGTGTCTCTCTAGATGCTCCTTGCGTGTGAAGCTCTTCCCGCAGTACGCACAAAACACCATCTTGATTACTTAAGTCAGGTAGAAGAATGAAAGTGATATCCTGCTATGCTCTCGCTCATGTCAAAGTGTACTGGGTATTCGTAGCAAACTCCAACAAGCATCTAAGGATTCTGTCCGTAGTTGAAGAAGGGCAAAAAAGGGAAAAGGTTGTCTATACTAAGGTGTAAGAAGAAGAAGCCAAAGGGCGCCAGGCACGAGATATTGGATGCTGGGGCTGGAAGAGGGCAGGGGGGGTAGGAGAGAGAGATCGGGTTGGGTAATGCTAGGAAGACAAGTGAATTCTAACAATGTGCATAATGAAGATACATGTACACGGGAAAGCATCGAATGTGCATGAATCAGACCTTCTCCGGGTTTACGGCTTTCTAAATATGAAAAAGGACCCTCTAAGGTTATTCAACTCGGGAAAGCCAGTTACCCATGTGGAAAAGTACAAAGTAAAGTAAAGTAAAATAAAGTAGGTAAAGTGTGTGGTGTATGTGGACCAGGAAGTAGGATGAGAGCTGCACCGCCTTAGCCAGCACAGTCCCTGCCACTCGGAAACGAGGATTACGGGTGCATGTAACTAGGGACTAGGGAAGTATCTTCTCAGACAAGGGGGGAGGGGCCGTGGGCTGCGTGGGACACACACAAATTGCCCGGCCTAGCCTAGACATTTTTTTCAGCCGCCATCAAATACATAAGGAGATAGTGAGATACTGAGATACGCGGATACTCAGATACAACGACCAGGTACGCCGTGGTGGTCAGGGACCCCTGGGAACCCTGTCCATGGGATGGCGGGGCAATATAACGATGATGTGGGTGAGAAGAAACACAGAAACACAGAAACACGCAGAAACAGAGAAACACAGACATCCTTCAGGAGGACCATAGAGACATCGAGACCATCGAGACGAATCTTGAAAAAAAGGGTTGGCTTAGTCGACTGGGTTAACTGGGTTGACTGGGTTGACCACCTAGGTTGATTAGGTTGACTAAACACGTAGGCATAGAGCCAGATATTGCCAGATATTACCAGCTTGCCAGATAGTAACGCTGCTTTCCCCCGAGCTAATGCGAGTCTCTAAAGTTTGCATAGACCTATTGGAGCATTGTAACCCGATCTCTACCAGGGAGACGGAAACCAACCCAAGACCTGAGCCGGAATAGAAACACTGTGAATGAATGTCCTGCGGCACTAGCCAAAGCTTCGACCGATTCATACATTACGTGCCTCTACGTGTATACGGTGTATACGGACTAGAGTAGCCTAGAGTAGCAGATAGGTAGCAGGATGGATGTATCGTGCTACTCTCGATGAAGAGATATGTATCTTGATAGGCATAGGGATAAGAGGGACATCAGGGTTCGGCAACCGTTGATTGGTTACGGCGTTCGAACTCGAATCGTTTTGCCTACTATGTAATGTGTAGTATGTATGTCCCCCTTCTAGATGTCTGTTCAGAGGAATCCAACTCGTGGCGAACCTAGTTGACAGCGGTAGGACGAAGGCACGATGGCGTCAGGGGCTATCCAACGCTGTCATCCAAAGGTTAATCAACCGAGAGGACGAGTAAGCGTGTGAGAAAAGATAAAGACACATGGAGCCATGGCTTTTTTTTTTTCTTCCTCTCGCGTGAGATGCGATTGTAGTTGGTTGAGGACCGTTCGAGGCTTGGGGTGAGTCGGAAAAGACTGTGCTGATAGCGATCAGGGTGGGCCTAGTTGAGTGTACGAAGGAGGGTCGTATGGATTGGAAGCTGGAAGTAAGATCAAAACTCGTGGTGCAGGGTTTCTTAGTACCGAGACTTGCAGCGAGATCTGCGCGTCTAGGGCCGAAGATGTCGCCCAATGAAACCCTACGGGGTGGTGGTAGCGAGCAACACAGCTCAGCTTATTATCATCTACCTACCTAGGTATCTTCCTTTAAAGTCTTTCTTCGCGTCTTCCTCTATAATCTGACTTTAATAATAAGAATAAGAATAACTAATCACAAGAAATCAAAGGATTTTGAGCGATAAACTTACCCTCGAAGGAAATATAATCCTTACCCATTAGTTAGTCTTCATTCTTGTTCTCAGTTTTCATTCTAGTCCTCAGTCTTCAGACACCACCACATAGAAATATTGATTCTCTCATGACGAAATAACTGAGTATTAACATGATATAGGTCTCACCTCTTAACTCCGGCTTAATAATCAGTAATATGAAATTTTGTATGTGAGTAACAGCCAGCCGTGTCCTGTTCCGCGCCTCTATCATGCACCAGCCCTCCAGGTATTGGTCATTTAGAATATTATGGCTGCGGTTCGGGAAATCTTAAAGGCTATCCAGGACTTTCTTCTCTTTCTTCAAATTCGCTTAGAATCTTAGCTAGATGCTAGCTTCCCGCCTCTGCGAAATAGACTTAAGTCAGGTCTCAGACATCGCTACGTACCTCATCACTCTTAAGTAACCGTTGCAGAGGTACGTAATATTGGAGGGTACCAAGACAGCAAGGTTTTCATTTGCTTTTTCGACGTTATCAAGCACATGTAGGTAATCCTGTCTGCTCGAATCATAAAGTCGCAACCGTTTCGTTTCTCACTCTGGCTCTGGGCTTGATTACCACCTGGCACGCCTTAGGACCCGAACGTCTGTGTGTAGGTAAGGTAATAGGTAAGGTAAAGAAACGCACGGTCTCGACACGTTGACTGCGCTGCGAGTACAGTGTCTGCGCAACGTCGTGCTGACAGACGTTTCAACCCGTGCACTACCTATTTATACTTCAATACATCTCAATGTCACTATTAGTCTCTAGAATCTATTCAACGGCTAACTATATCTAACTATATCCAACGTCTCGAAGAAAGTAAATAGATTCATCAATCAATATAATGGTAGTTGTGGTTAGTTTAGTTGAAGTGTTGGTTACCTACTAGACCGTTTGTTTGCTTGCCAACCCTGCCCCTGATCGACGTTTTTTATTCCCAACAACGGTCTCGTTTTAGCAGACGACCCTAGACAACCCCAGTCAGATATTGATCTCTACCGTGATATGCTGGATATGATAAGGATGCAAGCAGACCCAACACACCGGGCGATTGGAAGGAGTTTGCCTATTTCGGAAAGACCGCTACCTCCAACTCGCGGTCTAGTCTTACTACGTAGTAAAACTGACAGCGCAACCGAGTCGTCGGGTCGTCCTGTCGTATCATATATGCCTTTCCATCCATGGATACGTCAGGTAGTATTCCTTAGCATCGGTACTCGCCCGCAGCGATCACGAATCCTTCATCGTAAGTCTATTCTTAGTTTCTTAGCTTAGAACGTCTGAGCATCATCGCTCCAGCTCCAGCTAGAATCATGCTAGAGCTGCTTGCTTGCTTCCTTCCCCTCCTCTTACTGGCTAGCATTCCTAGTAGGAACGTGTAGCCCTCGTAGGCACTCTTGATGTAGCACAAGCAAGCTAATCCAAGTTAATCGCACTCTTGGCTTCGGGAAATATTCTTTCAGCTTTCGCATTAGCGCCTCATCGTAGGTTTAGGTCTACTCTAGCAGTCTAGTACTACCTACCTTAGTCTCTGTCTTTAGGGTTAGTTGCCGCTAGTTGCAACAACACTGACACCTTGTTTTAGACTCTAATTCCTTCCCGCATAACTCTATAGGGACGCCTTGATGATCTTGAAAAGGCTGGGCGCCCGTGTCAATACAGCCTCATGAGTTTAGATTTGTGCGAAGTTAACATGGCATGGCGGCACAACCTAAGTACCCCCTTTCGCGCAAGCAGCCTGAGAGGGACCCCTTGCCGCAGATAACAAACAGGCGTGTCGAACGTATCCCGTACGTGCGCCCTTTTTTTGCCAGACCAGCATTTGTTGTCTATATCGCCGATGGGAAAAACTCCCTCACTCACTCCCTCTCTTCTCTCTCTGCATATATCCGTCGTGACGTGCTTGGCTCCCCCTCGATGTAGAAAGTTCTCTATCTTGTTCATTCTCCAGCGATCAGTTGCCAGCGGCCGGCTGATCTGCCAAACTTGCAGCTAAACTCCGTGCTGATCTCCGGTGCCAAGACCCGCGAGGCACGCAATATTCACCACATACGGCGGCCGAGGCCTTACCCGCAGATCGATATTACACTTGTTTAATCTAGTATGTAGGTGGTCCCGTCTTTATACCGCTCGAGAAGGTGGAGAATGAGATAGGAGGCCGTGTAAACACTATCTCCGAAATGCGATAATCTAGGACCTATACCTATGGACTAGCCGCTCCTGAGAATATATTGATCAATGTCTCACCTTCGACGCCACATCACTAAAACATTTCTTTTTCTATTGAGATAGAGTGGATTTAGTGCGAGATCTAACCGCCCTGTGTTCAGGCTGTCAGGGTATTAAGGGCGTCGCCCAGTTGAGTTAGCATCGCGTAGGGGGCTTCGGAATCTCGTTCCGCGACCACATCCATGATAATTTCCCCCACGAATATTCATCCCTTCGGCCATACAGAGAGAAAGAGAGATATAGAGAGAGATAATAGTGAGTGGATCAGCACACTCCCGTCCCGCAGTCGTCGCCGCGACGTCGGTGAATTGCAACGAACTAGCAGACACGAAGAAAGTTGATCTCGTGATCATCGATGTTTTTTTTTTCAATAGTTCGTATAGGTATAGGTGTGGGTATGGATAGAGATAGGGGGAGGTTGGCCGCTACAATATCGAGCAATCTAATATCCAGGAGTTACGGTGATTCGAGAACTTCGGATCTGGAGTTCTTGGTATGTTCTGTAGTACTACGCAGAAGCTATGAGGTATCACACAGAAATAAACACTGGACTCGTCGCACCGCAGTATTTTTTCTTTTCCAAAATTTTATAGTGGC